TTTCACGATTGGCATCTCGACGGGACACCGGTGATGGAAATGAAGAACAAACACTTCGTACGACTACTATTGAAGGCGCGTACGGACCCGAAGATCCCCACGCTCGCGTTGGAACAACTCGGCCTCAGTGACTTTACGCCCGCGGAAGATACATGGAACAGGGAGATCTTGTGGGATCGCCATGTCTTGCCAGTCTGCGCGGACCTTAAGTTTCGGCTTCAGCACAATGCTCTTGGCTTTCGCTACAAGTTCGCATGGCGCACGCAAGTTACTACGTCTACGACTTGCGTCCACGACTGCCCTACCACAGAGAATGCTTTGCATCTCTTTTGGGACTGTGCCGTGGCCCGCTATCAATGGGACTTTTACCTGCGGCCGTTTCAAGAACTCATTGACGGAGCATTCGATTGGCGTCTGGTTCTCTTCCCGAGTTCTATTCGACTTCAACTCTCTACGGTTCGAGTTTATGGAGACTATGCACTTCAGGCTATCTTCAATTTTGTTCGATGCTGTGTTCTACGGGCACTTTGGCTTCATCGCAACAAGCGGCTGTACAACCCGTCTGTCACGACTTCGGCACCCTTTGTCACGCATCACGCGCTGGCCTACATCCGCCTACATCTACACAAGTTTCGATCAATGGCAACTGGAAAAGGAAAGGAGAAATGGGTGAGAGCAACGGATTTTATTACGGATGGATATGGTTTGGAGCGAATTACTACGTCTACTTCTACGGGCACGACTTCAGCGAGTGCAACTGACGGCGTCGTGCCATCGTCAGTGCAAGTGAGTGACGCTTAGTGAAAAGCCAGCCCACCACGTCAAGGTGGTCACTCGTCGGACCGGGAAGAGACACCCGGATTGCTCGGGGTGCCCCGAGAACGCGTCAACCTCCCCAAGGGAGGCTCAAACTACCTGTGGGTCTGGTAAAATGCGGCTTCATCACCTAGGCGTTCCACGGCCCAAGCTATCCCCCGCAAGTCGATTGAAAGCGACAAGTTCGACGACTCAAGGTGCTTTCACGCGGAATGGAACCGCGGCTGACCGTCTCCCTTTCAGGACGGCCACACTTTGAGAGTCTCCCCGAACCCACTCCAACCTAGATCCGATCAAGTCGAATCCGCCAGCCTCCCCCCGCTACAACGAGCAGGTTCGACCGTACTGCACAATGTGCAAGCTCCACCCACGATTCATCTCAAGCATGCGGCATTAGGGACCCCACGCGAGGACTACCTGCGTAAGTGACGACTCCTCTCGCTCCACGCACGAATTGCAACACCAACGCCACCGCTGAGTTTCCTAGGCTCAACAGATCCTCGATGCCAACCCCCTTGCAGATTGAGACTCATCCGTTTTGCCCGACGAGAACCTGGTCCGGATCGCGAAGCGTTTCTTCTACTCGCCCGGCGGCCCCAAGGTGTCTGGACGATTTTCATCATGACCTATCAAGGTCGGTCCCGACTCCCTGCCGCGCCGTTTGAGGGCTCACTCCATGCCACAAGTCGTCTGGAAGACTTTGTGTCAAGGTCGGTCAGACCCATCCAGATGATGACTTGTCACACTTCGTGACTGCTTCGCAATCCCACTCGCCAGCCAACTCCTTTATCGCCCGCAGCAGAACAGCCAAGCCCAAGCTCGTCCAAGCCGAAGCCAGACAAACAAGAACCCAGCCATTCCGCCGCAAACTTCCGGAATCGGCCATTGATCATCTCACGTTGTTCTCGTCGACGTCTCGAGTACACCAAGATGCTTTACGCCGCCATACGTTCGTTTTTTCGGCTGCTCACCGAATAACGCCAACCCATGACGGAGCTCTCCCGGTGCGACGAACTGTCTTAGTTCCAGGCACAGACGTTTCCAGCCGACCACTCCCCCGGTCCGACCGTACTGCGTCAGCGACTCTGAAGCTGCAGCCACCTTTGTCGTGTGGACATCTGCCTCCCCCCGCTCACCCGGGCAGGAATCAGACTGCGCTTCGTCGTCTCATTAAATTCGCACGCCCAGGCCGAAGCCCCGACGCTGATACTCGTTTCCAAGTTCTTCGACATCATGACATCTCCAGGTTGGTATTCTGTGTCCCCCTCTCATCCCAGGGCGGAACTCAGGCCGCAACTCGAAGAATCTCTCAAGAACACACGTCCGGACCGAAGTCAAGACTACGTTCTTCAACGACTGCTACAACACGCTGCGCCCCCCGTAAGGTTGAAGTCTACATCCAGCCCCCATCCCCCTCTCGCCAGGACAGGAATTGGAATATACTACGCAAGCTCGCAATCAAGATCAACGGATCAGTGCCCAAGACCGAAGTCCTGGACCCATCTCCACCAGGTTTCCAGCCGGGGTTTGTACCCCCAGAAATCCAGAGCGCACTGGACCATGCATCGCAGGCCGGAAGCTGTTTTTTAGAGAGGAGGTCTCCTCTATAAACGCTAGCCTCTTGCGGAGAATTCTCCCCGCGTTCTACATATTTGCTACTTTAGGTTTGGAATTAAGTCAATGTAATCAACATTCCCAGCGGACTGCTGGAAGTCGATGATTCTCGACTTTGTCTTCGGACTTCCGGCCGATGACCGTGGCAACACTGGTGTTGTTGCCTTCGTGTGCCGTCTGAGCAAGATGGTCCACTTTGCTCCAGTTCGTGACACCGTCACTGGCGACGAGGTCGCTCGCCTGTTCATGGACTGTGTCTTCCGACACCACGGTCTGCCCGAGACCATTGTCTCTGATCGAGACCCGCGGTTCACCGCTACGTTCTGGCAGACGCTGTTTCGCCTTCTCGGCACACGACTGTCGATGTCGACGGCGGACCACCCGCAGACGGATGGCCAGACGGAGCGCGTCAATCGCGTGATCGAAGACACGCTCTGCAGTATCTGCGCGGAGATGTCCCGCTCTTGGGCTGATCGCTTGCCCATGGTTGAGTTCGCACTCAACAATGCGGTACATGCATCGACGGGCTTTACGCCCTTTTACCTCAACGGGTTGCGCCACCCTCAGGTACCGCTCACATTACGAGGCAGTACCGGGGCTTTGGTCCTACGTGGGGGAGAGGCTCGGAAAACCTTTTTGTGGTGTAGTGCCCAGCGAGGAAGCGGGCACGTCGGCGTTGGTGAAAGAAGGCGCCGAGACGAATGCTGATGGATGCGGATGATGAACTCGACGCAGTTGATGAAACGCGACGCGATTGATGGGGGCGACGCGCGGCAGAGGTCGACGGAAAGTCGACGCGGGTGATGGGCCGCGAGACACAGCGACAGAGTCCAACTCGACGCGTAATCATCCGACGAGTCGACCAGCGCCCCGTCTCTGCAAAACGCGTCGACCCTAATCCCCGCCGAGCAAGACGCGCCGAGTAAGACGCGCCGGCAAAACGCGCCGACCAAAACGCGTCGAGGTAAGATCTTGATTACGCCACGCAAATCAGGTTGAAGGACGGCAGTGCAAGCACGACAGAAGTAGGGATAGGCACAGAACGATAGGCTTAGCAAGCAGTAGTACGGAGTAGCCAGTAGCTAGGGCATAGGATAGGGTAAGGACTCAGTCCCGAAATTTCTCTGAACCACAAAGACCTCCCGTCTTCTCCGAGGTTCCAGGGGGACCACCAAGCGCCGGCAAGTAGAGCCGCCTCGATATCGCGGCCCCCCGTCGTTTGCTGGTTCGGGTGCTCACCCCCCACAGACCCGTGCTGGAACAAAGGCACGTTAAACGTATACCGTTTAGGTGGGCGCCCGATAACGCGCTGCCTAAGCGAAGGACCGCACTGGCCTGATAACCGCCGTGCACAAGACCCCCCGTGTAGGCCCGATAACGCCACACAAGCCCCAGGAAACGCCGGCCCGATAACGCCGCACACCCGACGGGAACGTCGAGGAAACGCCGGCCCGATAACGCCGCACGCCCAAGGCTGCTCGACGACGCCCTACGACAAGGAACAAGCGTCAACACAAGCACCCCCAACTCCGAAGCCTGCGAAGACTTGGGCCTGTATTTCGAAGATACGCTACTCCAACAACCGGGAATAATTTGCTCGGCGCGACCGCTATCCAGACGCGCCGAGTTTGTGCGAGATCGCATTCGCGAGATTTCTGCGAGGGCGCTACTCCACATTTTCCTCCCAAGTCTCGGACGTGAGTCCAGCCACCTTGCGGAAGCAACTGTCCTCGTTTGCCGAAGACAGGCTGGACATAATCAGCAGGGTGCGAGACACCATGGCGCAAGCCCAAGATAAACAGAAGGAGTAGTCTGACCGAAATGGAAGAGGAAACATGAACGTGTTTAAGGTTGGAGATTTAGTTCTCCTAGATACTAGAAACCTACCTCTAAACACTGTTAGCTCGGTCGAGAGCAACAAGCTGAAGCACCGCTTCATTGGACCCTTCACGGTCCTCAGCCGGCATGGCGCGGCGTACACCATAGACTTGCCCAAGTCGATGACGACTCACCCGACGTTTTACGTGGGTCGTCTTAAGAGGTACCATGACCCTCTGGCTCTGGCTGCCCCGCAGGAAGCGGTGGGTGGCCCGGTGGAGAAGAGCGCAGCTCCTCGAAGCGCGGCGTCGGGTCGCGGTAAGGCGCCTAATACGTGCGCTGGTCGTAAGACGGTGCGGCGTACATCGGAGCAGCATACGCAGGGGCCCCGAACGAGCCCTGGCCAAACTGGGCCTGATACGAGTGGGGCTGCTGCTGCTCCGGATACGGCGCGTGGCCATGAAGCTCGGCCCGAAGGCCAGCGAGCTGGTTTCGCAGCGAGTCGTAAGACGACAGGTCGGCTCGACGATCCACACGGCCATGGAGACTGAGAGTTTCTTGATAGAGCGAGGCAACATCCTCACGGAGCCGCTCCACGGCACCAGGCTGGCCAGCACGAGCGACAGCCTCGCCACCAAGGCCGACGCCAAGCGCGATCTCGAGGACGTACACACGGTCCCGGAGAAGACGAATCTCCTCTTGCTGCAGGGCCACCACCTGACTCGGGGCCCCAGCATACGGCTGCGTCGCCTCAGGCTCGTAGCCATGGCCGTGCGAGGCCACCGCCGGCCCTCCTTGATCGTAATGGGCAGATCCACTACCACGTGGAACGAGTCGTCCGGGAGCGGCGGCTCCATGGCTAGCGCCAGCTGCTCGTGAAGTGGAGGGGTTACCCTGAGTCGGATAACTCGTGGGAGCCCGTTGAGCAGCTCCAGGCAGACTGCCCGAAGGCTGTTGCGATATGGGACGAGAAGCAGCGGCAGCTTCGTAAGTAGTCCTTGGCTTATTGGCCGGTACCCGGGGCACGGTAGCAGACGTAGTCGCACCACGCCCACGCTCTTCACGAGCTTTGGCTCTCGCCTCTTGCTTCAGCTCGTCCATCTTCGAGTGGAGCTTGCGCTTGCTCACAAGTTGAGTGAACTCGATGCGGAGCTCGCGCACGTCCAGGATTGCGGACAGAGTGCGATCCTCACGGAGTTCTTTGAACTCTTGGTCGGAATACCCTTTGCGCTGGACGTAGCGCCAGAAGAGGTCTTCCACCTCACTCCAGGTCATGTTGTCATTCGGCTTGACCCAGTGGAAACCCCACACAGGATGGAGTCCACCCTTGTCCTCCGGCTTCTTGCGAAGCGTGGTGAACTCCTTCAGTGTGGGCTTGTGTGGTGCTAGTAGCACACACCGGGCGACTTCAACGTCGCCAAGAAAGAGTGGCTCTTTCTCAACAGGAGCACGCTCATAGGAACCCCTCGAGGTGTACCCACCGATAAGGCCACGAGGAGCCGAGAGCTTCTCCAACAGCGCTGGCGCACCAGTGCCAGGCTCGGGTGGGAAGTAGCCCTGCGGGTACGTGGCATCCCCGCCTGAAGAAGACTCGATGGCAGTCGTGGCAGTCGGCTGCCTGGCATACGCACCCGAGCTAGCAGCGTGGTATTGCTGCTGCTGCTCGTCGAGGTTGTTGGAGAGCTCCTTGGGCTCGTGGACGGCACCCTCCTCGTCCTCAGACTCCGAGTCGATGAACTGCTTGGAGCTGAAGCCGCGAGGCGACCTGGAAGCTGAACGCTTCTTCGCCTTGGCCTCGGCGGCCTTCGCAGCGGCAGCCGCTTTCGACGCTTGGGCACGCTCACGACCTTGTGCCAGCGTCAGATGCTTGGATGCCAGCACCTCCTTGGGCTTGGAGCCCGCGTCGCTCGGCGACTTCTCGGCCACGACCCCAGCGTCGGTCATGGCGACTTCGTCGTGCGACTGCTTGCTGTCGCCTGGGCCGGACTCGGCGTCCTCCGCCTCCTTCTCTGACGAGGCCTTTGCGTCGGCCGAGGCGTTGCGTGCGTGCTGCCCTCCGAGACGTTATCGTCGTCGGGTGAACTCTCACCGGAGTACTGGACCATCGTGCAGTCAAAGACGGCGGCTTCCCAGTCGCGATCCGGGCTTTTATGGCCCCGAGGACTCTCCTCCTTGCCTTGCGCGGCGTCAGGAGACTTGCTCCGAGCCCCGGCCTGACGGCCACTCTTCGGCGTGCTGCTACGAGAGCGCACCACCTCCTCGGCCGCCTTCGTGGCCTCCATCAGCGCGGACGACTCGTCCTTGGCCTTGGCCGCCCTGGCCTTCGGCCCTACGGCCCGCGGTTTCGGAGGTGCTTTCGCACTGCGCGCACTGCGCTTTGGAGGCATGCTTGCGGTCGACGTGGAGACCCTGCGGCTTGCTCGGCGATGCGCCAGTTGCTCTGTGAGGTCCGGGAGCCGAGGCGCCAGAGCTCGCGCCATTGTCGATGGATTTCGACTTTGCGAGTAAAATGTGAGTCGCCGGCGTAACCTCGCTTTGATTGGTCGATAATATCGAATCTAAGTGGGGGAGGATGTAACGGGGTTACATGGAATAGTGACCCTGTCATTATTCCGGGATGGCTACATCGGTCACTCCCCTCAGAGCCAACAGATACATTTTGTATGACACAAACTATAGGGAACTTAGGATTTGTATGCAGGCCAAATCTGTACCAACCTATAAATACATTCAGTCTTAGATCTACCGCTTTTCAAGTCAAGTCGTCCCCTTCAGACCAGGGACACGTGAACGGCTGTTCACTTGGAGTTTGTATACTCCTGCTTCCTCTGTTAAGAAATACTGTGTGCCCCGTCACAACAATTCACGTAATTTGGACGACGCGAAACAAGCATATATTCGAAGACCGGCCTCCTCTGGAGGCGACCAAGGCCCTCTATCGAGTTTATTCCGTTAGTGTGCACTTCCGCTCCCTTCTTCGGTCGTCGAACTTCGAGGCCACTTCCAACCCCAAGTCACAACGCAACCGGGCAGTGGTCGGGTCAGGCGCCGCTGCCGCCACTCCTCTGCACGAGGTCTCAGTTGAACTCAACGTGAAGTCCGTCGCATTCCCAGTTGCAGCTTTGCCGCACAATGGAGGATGGACCTGCCGGGCATGAACGACAAGGACTTCCGAGCAGTAACTTTCAATGTTGGTGGGTGGATCGACTACAGTGTAGCAGTGTTGAACGGACCTAGGGCCCCGACTCGGGGCCAGCATTTACAGCGTCAGCACGCAGCACCCGCGCGAGATGCTTCGCAGCGAATGCACAAGCGTTCCCGATTCCTTTATCCGCTGTAGGACATATCGACGCCGGAAACATGACCGCATCGTGCACCATGTTCTGCAAGAAGTCAAACTCCACGTTTGCCACGCCCTCCGCTTCCGCCTTCGCCTTGAAACGCAGTCCTTGCTCGTAGAACCGCTCCAAAGTCCCCCATTGAAGGAAGATTGGTGGTAGATCACGGAGACTGTGGGTAATGGGGGACACCATCCGCCGTTGGTCCGCATCCGTGACGTTGCGCAGGTACAACGGAATGCAGTTATCCAGGAAGCTGTCAGTCAACAAACAGTAAGGAGTCTTCTCCTCAGCGCCAACGCTAGCAAAGTCCACGACCGGCGAGTAGCACAGCGCTGCTGCGGGCTGCAGTTCCGGGCTCTCCTTACGCAGTCGCATACAGTTCGTGATGGCCATCTCAGCCCCCGCACTGTCACCACTCAATACAACGTGGTTCGCGGCGATATGCTCGTGTTCCAGGACGTACTTGAACACGTCGAAGCAATCGTTCAAGGCGGTCGGGTACAGATACTCGGGGGCCATGCGGTACCTCGCCAGCAGCACGTCCACAGACACGTCCACACTGTACTGCTTCTTCAGAATTTGTTTGAGCTTGGTGTGGGTCTTGTTCCCCAGCTCCACGTTCAGCAATGGGTCGGAGACGCAGTAGCCCCCACCATGGAAGTGGATGACCACTACGTGGTGCTGCTTCTTCTCGGGATCTCGCAGCCACGTGTGCTCCAAGTTGTTGGCCACCAACTTCTCGGGGACCGTGCCATGCTCACGACAACTTGGCCCCAGAGTCTTCTCGCCGTACGACTTGACCGGCCCTCGCACCCGCTGAGCGTTTTCATTCACGATGACCCGACCGTATTCACTGAAGATGTAGCGCGTCATGCCAATCGCTAGTTCAAGGGTGAACGTCCACTCGGGCAACGTCGGCTTGAAACCCCGGAAGGTGTACGAGCTCAGCAACGTGAGCCACTTGAGCTGCAGCTTGATGGCGACGAACGGGATCGACACGACCGAGGTAGTGAGGAGGCTTCCAGTGTAGCAGAATCCGACGAAAAGCCCCACGAACGCGATGGCGAGCGTCAGAAGCAGGAGCGGGATGGCGAGATAGAGCGCATCGAAGTACAGCAACAGGTTCCCAACCAGAATCACGTGAAGGCCGATCTCCACGAAGACACCGCGCAGGGTCATTTCCTTGTCGCGAGGAAGCAGCGGAAGGAAGAATGAGGAGCAAAGGAGGCACCAACGGACGGCGCTCCGCCCCTCCCGATGGATCCACCGGGCTTCCACAACTCTTCATGCTTCGAGTGGTTCAAGGTGGCGTGGAGCATCAGCGGGTGCCGCTGGATCCAACTCAAAGTGCAGTTGCTCCATGCAACGCGTTACTCAAAGTGGATGATGCTCACGGTCGGTGACCATCCATCTTCTGCTGGGTTTTGGCGTAAGTTCCAATAACTTCCTTGGGGGCTTCATGAGGAGTTGGATGGCGATAGCAGCTATCATAGCTAACAAGAAGCGTTGCCTTCGACTTCGGCATGGAACAACGATGAAGGAGCGATAGAAGTCGCTCAAGCTTGCAATGCCATGGCAGTCGTCACTGCCGATAGTCTTTGTGGGCCATTATCTGGCCAAATACAAACCTCAAGTCATTTATTGACTATATTTCGTACTTACTGTTATTATAATTGCGTGTATAGTGATCTCAAGTCAATTCACCGCCTCGCCGACAGCCATGCCGAAGGACGAGGCGCTGGCCGTGGAGCCGGCGAGAGATGACGAGCTGCACGAGCTGCAGCAGCACCTGCAGCTCGAGGCGTTCGGCGGCAAGTACCTGACGGCGCAGGAGATCCTGCTGCAGCAGCTGTTCCAGAGCGTGGCGGACGCGGCGGACGCGCAGGCCTCGGAGCTGAGCGTGTTGGCCCCTGCCGGCACCGGCGCGTCCCCCAAGGTGGCAAGCGCCGCAACACTGAGCCGCAAGAGCTCGCTGGGTGCCATGGGGAAAGGAGGCGGCGCCACGCCCCCGTCCGCGACGACGCCCAAGCGCCAGGTCTCGTCGGACAGAGCCCGAGTGCAGAGCTTCCTGGCGCAGCGCTCGTCGGCCGGTAGTGCTGCTGCTGCCGGCACTGGGGCTGCCGGTGCCGGTACCAAGCCGGCCATGTCGGCAGTGGAGAGGGCCAAGCTGCTCATGGCCAAGAAGGCGGGAGGACCCAGAGCTGCCGGCAGCGCCACGGCCGTCAAGCGGACCAACCCGTTGACGGACATCTTGAGGGGCGGCTCCGGCAGCGTCGTGGGCGGCGTGCACAGCGTCAAGAAGCCCCGGACCGCCAGGAGCGACAAGCCGGGCGAGATCAAGATCCAGGGAGGGCGCACATCCATCCAGCTGCCGCTCGAGAGCTTCCTCCGCAGCGAGGACTGGGACTCGGCCACCGGCACGCCGCTGGACCTCGTGCTGCCGGAAGTGGCCTTTGCCACAAATAACACGCTGATCATCCACGCCACGCTGCCGCCCAGGTCGTCTCGCTGCTGCTTCAACGTCAGCACGCAGTCCAGCATGCTCAGCGGCGCGCCGTACCCCGGAACGGTGCTGTACCACTTCAACCCGCGACGTCAGAGGGGAGGACACATTATCCAGAACAGCAACATTGACGGACGCTGGGGCTGCTCGCAGCCGCTGCCTCGGTTCCCCTTGGCATTCGGAGAGCCGTTCACGCTGCGACTAACGGTTGTACCGACCGGCTTCCTCGTGTTCATTGAGGAGATCTTCCAGGACGAGTTCAAGCACCGCGTCCCGATCCGCGAAGGAGAAAACCTGGTACTCACGGTCCCCACTCGTGACGAGAACGGCAACCCGGAGGGAGTTATTGTGCACAGTGTGTGGTGGGGTCACGCCGAGGTGCCGCCGAATCTGGACACCCGTCGGCGGGGCAGCAACGGAGGGTACCGACCGCGCGGATTCGACGGAGACCGTGGTGGCTATCGTGGTGGGAATGGTGGACGAGGTGGCTTCCACCCCGCTCCTCACCCGTACGAGGTGTACGTGGGCAACCTCCCGCAGGGCACCTCGCGCGAAGAGCTGTCGTTCCTGTTCCAGTACCTGGGGTACGAAACGGTGCGCATCACAGCTCGCGGCTTTGGTTTCGTGACGCTACGAAGTGCGGAGGACATGAACCGAGCGGTGGAGGATCTGGACGGCAAGGAGTTTAACGGGATGAAGCTGCGCGTGTCCTGTGCTCTGCCTCCGAAGTGATAGGGCAGAGTACGGCAGCAACCAAGAGAGAATTGAATTCATGTGCAGACTTACTTGTTCTCGTGGTTGCGTGCTTGTTAGGTAGGCTGATAGTCGTGGTGTATCCTGTCCTGTGTCTTCGAAGCAGAAACCGATGCACAGAAATTGTATTCACGTTGTGGCTGTGCAGTGGCCTAAGAGAACTGAGTTTGACTTGTAGGCCTAGTACCTAGCACTCCGGTTCGGGCTCGGCGCTCAGCATTTCTGCTGCCAGCTTGGCAGCGAACTCGCAGCCATGGCGAATCCCTTCCTTCGCTGCAGGACTCACGTCCGTGGGCAGCATGACGGCGTCGTGGGGCATGTTCTCCAGGAAGTCCACCTCCCAGTTGGTCACGCCCTGCTCCTTGGCCTTGGCGATGATCCGCTTGCCTTGACCATAGAAGCGCTCGAGGGTCCCGTACTGGACGAACATGGGCGGGAGGTGACGCAGGTCGTGGTTGATAGGGGACGCCTTCAGACGCTCCTCCGGGTCCGTCACCTTGGCCAGGTACGTCTCGTGCACCGAGTCCACGAACTTGGCCGGCATGATGCAGAACGGCGTCTTCTCGTCGCCTCCCTTCTCCTCAAAGTCCACGCTCGGAGAGTACAGCAGACACGCGAGGGGAAGCTGCTCCGAGTTGTTGGCGTCCCGCATCCGCATGCAGTTGAAGAGCGACATCTTGGCGCCGGCACTGTCGCCGCTGAACAGGACGAGCTTGGGCGAGATGTTCTCGTGCTTCAGCACGTGCTGGTAGATCGTGAGGCAGTCGTCATCCGGTGTCGGGTACGGGTTCTCGGGGCTCTTGCGGTAGTTGGCCAGCAGCACGTCCACCGACACGTCGAGCTGGTACTTGTCCATGAGAATCTGCGTGAGCATCGTGTGCGTCTGGTTGGCCAGCTCCACGTCCTGCAGCGGGTGCGACATCGCGAAGCCTCCGCCGTGGAAGTGGATGACCACCACGCGCTGCTGCTTCTTGTCGGCGTCACGCAGCCACATGTGCTCCAGTCCGTTGGCCTCGAGCTTCTCGGGCACCGTCTTGTGTTGGCGGCAGTTGGACTTGAGGATCAGTCGCCCGTGCATGGCGAATGGCTCTCGGAGCAGCGCCGCGTTCTCGAAGGCGATGACCTCGCCGAACTCCTCGAACATGTAGCGCATCATGTTGCACGTGATCTCGAACGTGAGCGTCCATTGAGGGAAGCGCGGCTTGAGCCCGCGGCGGATGAAGGTGGCGATGGAGCAGCAGATATTGAGCTGCAGCTTAATGGCCGCGATCGGAGCTTCCAGCGGAGACCGCACCAACGTCCGACCCATGAAGCAAAAGCCGGCGAACACAGCCGCGTAGCCGAGCACCGACACAATAGCAGCGGTGGCGATCACGACCGTGAGACCGATGTGCATGACGTTGAAATAGGCCAGCAGCACGCCGACGAGGCCGCAGTACGTGCTGAGCGCGACCAACGACCCGCTCATGATGCTGGACGTCTACAGCGAGGGGGATAATGACAAAGTGGGTGGTCGTGGTCATGCAGCCACCGACCGATGACCTGCCACGGCTCTGCTTGCTGGCGTGGAGGGGTCCATCAGCGCGCTTCAACGCTTCTCTCCGATCCATCCCACTGCACCGCTCCATACGGAGCCGACACGGTCTCCGCCACACCTTCTACCCGTCTACTTCAAAAGTGGGCTCCCCCTAAAACGAGAGCCAAAAGTCGCACAAAATGGGCTCCCTCATGGTAAGTACGAGATCAAGGAGCCCTGGTTCGGGCTCCCCATTGGCTCCCCTCCAGGGCTCCCCAAATTTAGGCTAAATTATTTAGCTTCAAATCTATGACGGGCTCTTCATAGTAATATCTGATTGGCCAATTTTACCTAGACTTAAGGCGAGCAACTTCGCGTGATCGATCCCCACGCTAGAAGATCGAGCTCAAAGATCGCCACACTAGAAGATCTCGCGCCGCTCATATGTGTACAGCCGCTCCGAGGCCACCCCAGCGTCGCCGAGTCATTCCTCCCCCTCAAGGAGAAGCCCTGTTTCCTATGCCTTTTCAGGTTAGAACCTGGAGATACTTCAATGACGGCCAATCATCAGCGAGATATTTAACAAGGGCTCACAGTTCTGGAGGGCTCCTTTCACTTAACCTATTGAACTCAAGAGCCTAAGGGGCCCGAGCTCGCGACTTTTTGGGTTCACCCAAGAGCCCAGGAGCCCGGCTCTCCCCAGGGCTCGTAGAAGGTGTACTTGCCTGCTGATGGATACTTGGTGGCGGCGGTGACGGCGACGGCGACTCGCCGTGAAGATGGTGACTCCTCCGCCTGCAAACTAATAGCCGCGAAGCACATTCGCTCATGTCGGACATGGACATGATGTCCACGGAATCGAGGGCAGCATTGCTGGCGGCAAGACAGGAAGGTGTGCGCCGCGGATCAGATCGCTGCGGGCACACCGCGGCTATGAATGACACGCCTCGCCATCTGCTCGACATGGTGAAATAGCTTCAACTTCGTTCGCGTAGTGCTCGACTGCTCCGAGTTGCAGTCTGCAGCACCCCCGCCTCTGTTTGAGCTGCTTGCTTGGCGTCGTTACAGGCGGCTTTGAAGCCAGGCGGCGCATGTATACTGTATTGCACTCCAGGTTGATCGATCAAGCTGACTGACGTGACTGCCACTGGCCATGCCATGCTGCGCTCGAGTGCCACGCAGTAACAGGTTGCCACCCATAGAGCCCCGGGGTCGTCACAGCTCGTGCAGTTCGTGCCTGTAGGTACTGCATGGCCTCGATTTCGCCCTATGTGGTGCGGTTGTCCGTCGCAGACTCGCTCCACTTCGAATTTCGCCGAGTGACCAACACCAGTCGAGTATGGAGTTCAAGAACTTCGCGTCCAGCACCAAGAAGGCCCCCTTCACGAGCCCGTACCCGCCGATCGCACTAAGCTCCAAGGAGAAGAAGCAGCTTCGCCAACTCACCAAGACGCTCGTGGAGGTCAACGTGGACGGGTACGAGGAGTTTCTGTACGAGCACAAGGGCAAACTCCCAGAGAGCGAGTGGAAGTTCTTCCGGCGCGACGAGCAGGTTGAGACGTTCTTGCGTCGTCGTGAGACGTACAATCTGCGCGGGTTCGGAGCCACCAAGAAGTTCCGTCGCGGATCGGATACCAACAGCTCGACCAGCACCAGCAGCATGCGCAGTGAAGAACTGTCGTCTCTTGATGTGGCCGCCATCCGATCCATCGGTTCGAGGGACGGCACTATCGAAGACGCCGTCTACGGCGCCATGGGCCCCGTGTACGTTCAAGACGGCATCGAGGACTGCAATGTCCTTGTGATCATCGACAACGTCACTCCAGAGGAGCCGTTCACGTCGCTCTCGATCCGCTGGCGAGTGACCGAGAACCCGCCGATCCTCCGAAACATCCTCAAGAGCTACGACCACATCTTCTTGGAAGCGACGGGCTTCACACACTTGAGCAACGGTGAGCGCGTTGCCTTCCACTTGCTCCACTCCGTCGACTTTCCATCGCTCACACCTCCGCTGCCGGACTATTCGCGCGGACAAGTAGCTGCCATTGGGTTTTGGCGACAGACAGCCCCGAACGTCGTGGAGATTCATGGTCGCGGCGTGTTCGCGCTTCCATTCGAGCGAGCCCGCGCGCTCTTCGTGCCTGTGGTGACGACGTCCATGTCCAAGTCCATCATGCACATCTTCTACGCGGCGCACATGAAGAAGCTCCGGTGGGCGTTGGCGAAGCGAAAGGCTCAAGATAACCTCGCGCGTTCGCAGTCCTGCGTTGATCGAGTGTGCAGCATCTGCAGCAAGAAGCGGACGATCCACAAGGGCGACAGCTGTGACTTGTGTGGCGAACTCGTGTGCTCTGTGTGCCGCATCACACACGAGGTGGCGTCGGTGGAGCTGGACAACAAAATGCACTGGACCAAGGCTCACATCTGCCCGTTTTGCATGACCAAGGTGGTCAACTTGGACACAGCAGCGGTAGTCCGCGCTGAAATCGAGGCGGGTTGGTACGACCGCTTCCCGTAGACCAATGCCCATTCCGTGTGTACAACTGCGTCCACCTTAAAATTTGCAACTTTCAATGCGCTCGCTACACTAGGTCGACGCACCTTCAGCGCCGTCATTTATTGTTTATCGGGCAAATTCGCCTGTTGGATATCATCACCAGCCCCTGAGAGTCTATCCACTGCAGAGGAAGAAGATTAGCCCATTGGACTCGTGTCAACATGAGTGATCGATAGTGCGATATCAGTCCTGAACTTCCTGCAAAATCTATCATATCATTGCGTGGAGAGGCCAAACGACCTCGTTTTCACGGGGCATTGCTCGCTTCTGGTAACATTTTCATTTGACTGGACAATGTGCAACGATTTAGGGCACTTTAACGTGCTGATGTTCTTGAGCAAGAGGTCTCTGGTGCCACTACAGGCCAAGCACTGGAGCGACGAGGAGCCCGAGGACGCGCAGCCCGTTAAGCCCCGGTCGCGATCAGCATGAAGCACCGGGCAAGGCCGAGAGAAGGTCGAGAGAAGTAAATAATCTATGAGCCAGCGAGAAGTCGCATGCGTGCCAAGGGAAGCAGCCGTTGCGTGAGATTAGCGGCGAGCTCAACGTAAACTAAGCAAAATACAATCGCTATTCTATGAGCTGCCAGTGCCCTAGCGTCAGGCAAAGATGCCGTTGCCTTTTGGCGCGATGTTTGAATCACCAACGGTCGTTTTCAACAGTCGAGGTCTGTGATAGGTCGAAATGGTGTTTGAACGGACCAATCGCTGAGGTCGCGGTGCCGCTCATCTCAGCCGAAAGTTGAGAGGACAACATGTTTGCGACCGCTTACTAACTTCGGCCGATACATGTAGCATGAACACTATCCACCGGCACTACTTGTGTCACTTCGTAACCTTCACTGAAGCACATGGACTCTGCCACGCCGACCATCACCATTCGCCAGTTCCACGACGACGATCTGCCTGAAGTCGCCGCAATCTTCGAGTACGGCATGATGCTGTACGCGAAGAACGACCCTGTGTCAAGGCAGCGCTGGGCGGAGTACGTCCGTAACAGCCTGAAGGACGACCTCGCTGACGTTCAAGGCACGTACGTGGCCCCCGGTGGCAACTTTTGGGTCGCAACACTTGAGGACAACAACGGAGAGAGCAAGGTCGCAGGCATGATCGCGCTCGAGCCGAAGGGTAATGGCGGAGGTGAAGTGCGGCGTGTGTCCGTCCACCCCGGCTTCCAGCGCATGGGCATCGGCCGGAAGCTGATGACGCACCTGGTGCACTGGGCGACGACCCACAACTTCAAAACTTTGACACTCATGGCTTCATACGCGGAGAAGACCTCGGCTGTGGACTTTTACTCCTCCTTCGGATTCAAGAGCGGTGAGAGCTTCATGCTGTGGGAAAACCCTGCGCACGAAGTGTTTTGGATGATCAAGACGCTGCAGTAAATCGTTGCTCTAGACCAGGATCAACTTTCAAATACAGTGCAATCAGTTTGGAGGTCACCATTTACTTCTCCTCGTCCATAGTGGCACTTGCGTAGTTGCTAGCATTGTTGCTTGCATTATATCTGCCTTCAACTCATTAGGGCCCTCCAGACCGCTGTAAACGCTGACGGGTTTGAATTAACAGGCGTTTTTGTCTTTGCATTTGAACTGACCAATCACCGACTGGGTGGTGCCACTCATCTCAGGCTGAGATTCTCAGCCCAAAGTTGAGATGGCAACACGCTTGTCCAGCATAGCAGAGCTACTCCGGTAGCATGCACTTCCTCCGTTCAAGCTCCTCACTAAAGCCCTACAGCACCGAGAATACCCCCCCCCCTTCACGATGCCCTCAGCGAGCACCATCAAGCCAGCCATCACAATTCGTCAGTTCCGAGACGACGACTTGCCCGAAGTCGCCGCGATTTTCGAGTACGGCATGATGCTGTACGCGAAGAATAATCCTGCTTCAAGACAGTGCTGGGCGGAGTACGTTCGTAAAAGCCTCAAAGACGATCTCGCCGACATTGAAGGCACGTACATGGCGACCGGTGGTAACTTCTGGGTCGCAGCACTAGAAGACAACAACGGAGAGAGTACCGTCATAGGAATGGCTGCGCTGGAGCCGAAGGGCAACGGCGAAGGGGAAGTGCGTCGAGTCTCGATCCACCCCGGCTACCATCGCATGGGTGTCGGAAGCCGATGACGCACCTGGAGCAATGGGCGACGACCCACAACTTCAAAACCTTGACCCTCTCGGCCTCGAACACCGAGCAGAGCTCGGCAGTGGACTTCTACACCTCCTTCGGCTTCGAGAGCGGCGAAAGCTGCGCGTTCATGGAGAATGCCAAACACGTCGGAATGTGGATGAGCAAGAGGCTGCCATGAATTGCAACACCAGCGCCAACGTGGAACTCTCCAGCTTCGGAGACAGCGCTAGCTCAACGTATTGAAAGACTCCGAACTCTGCACAGTTTGAAAAAACATTATATAGCAAAAGAAAAGTAAGCTATACGGTTACCATTTACTCCTCCACGTCCATGGCGGCGTCGGCGTCGTCGCTGGCCTTGTCGTCTCCCTTTTCTGCCTCCATCGTCTTAATGTCCTCCTCCGTGACCAGGCCGCTCTTTAGCAGCTTGGCCTTCTCGGCCTCCACGTAGATGCGGTGGCGCTTGGCGCCCTTCTGCAGTTTCTTCTTGGACGGCCGGTGCTTGCGCAGCACCGTGCGCTTGCCCTTCTGCAGCACCGCCACCTTCTTCTGGTTGCGGATCTCCGCGCGCTTCTTGCTGAGAAGTTTCACCATCTTCTTGTTCATGGTCTGCACTGCCTGGCCGTTGGCGCCCATGGTGATCGAGAGTGGCTGCTGATTCCTGCTACGGTTGCTGTTGCTGCTGCTGCGTCGAACCTCTCGGACGGCGTCTTGCTTTGGGGAATGACTCCGGAGCTCTTCGCAGTCAAAACCGAGGCAATCGACTACGACATCATTCGAGACGCAGGGTAACGGAGACCGTCGAGTCCACGGCAGACAGACTCGTTCATGACAACGTGTCACTCGTTGAGATATCCTCTGTATCTTCGATGTCAGCCGAGTGGCCAATTTACATCAGCTTTGTTAGCTTTAGCACCGTCCACACCTACGATGAGAGAGAGCATACGTACAATCATTACATTGGACTCTCGTTAATATCCACGTATGGAATACATGGCAGCCTGTTCGACCCAAGCTGCGGCACGCTAATAAGTAGGGGGTCTGCGTCGCCCTTCGATCGGACTCGCGGAAAATCATTCGTAGGTCGCCACCCTCACCTCACTGCAAGACGCCGTACTGCCCCGCTCCAACCTCTGCCCGGACGGTCTCCTCGGCCGTCTTGGTGGTGACGTTCAGCATGCAGAACGGACAAACGTGGATCTTGGAGTGGCGCATCTTGTTGTCCAGCTCCACGGACGAGAGCTTGTGCGTGACTCGACAGAGTTTGCACACGTGCTCGCCGCAGAGCTCGCAGCTCGACCCCTTGTGCATGGTCCGCTTCTTCTTGCAGACGCTGCACGGGTGGCTGGCGCTCCACCGCGGCTTGAAGAGCATCTGCATGCGCTGCTCTCGAATGGCCGACCGCAGCTTCTTCATCTGCGACGCGTAGAAGACGTGCACCATCGACTTGGACAAGGACGTCGCGATGGCAGGGATGAAGAGGCTGCGTGCGCGCTCGAACGGCAGCGCGTAGACCCCGTGGCCGTGGATCTGCACGACGTTGGGCTCGACTTGGCGCCAAAAGCCGATGGCCGCGACCTGGCCACGGAAATACTGGGGCAACGGCGGCGTCGTGCCCCGGAAGTCGACGGAATGCACGAGGTGGTAGCCCACGCGCTCGCCGTTGCTCAGCCGTGCGAAGCCCGTAGCGTCCAGGTAGACGTGGTCGTAGCTCTTGATGACCTTGCGGACAATGGGCGAGTTCTCGGTGACCCCCCAGCGAATGCTAAGCGACGTGAAAGGGTCCTCCTGGGTCACGTTGTCGATGGTGGCCAGCACGCAGCCATCCTCCATGCCGTCTTGCAGGTACTCGGAGTTGTAGCGCATCATGTCCGTGGTGGGGCACATGGCGCCGTGCACCGCCTCCTCGATGGTCCCTTCTCGTTGACCGATGGAGCGGATGTCCGCCACATTGAGTGACGAGAACTCCTCGCCACGCGTGCTACTGAGACTCGTAGTGGTCCGCGTGAGCGAGTCATTGTGCAGCTTCTGCGGAGCCCCGAAGCCGTTCAGGTTGTATTTGTCGCGACGACGCACGTACGTCTCGACCTGCTCGTCGCGGCGGAAGAACTTCCACTCGTGCTCCGGCAGGTGGCCGTCGTTCACGTACAAGAACTCCTCGTAGCTGTCGACATTGACCTCGATGAGGCTCTTGGCGAGCTGACGCAGCTCCTTCTTCTCCGCGACGCTGAGATCCAGCGGCGCGTACGGACTGGTGAATGGCGCTTTGGTGGATCCCATGGCGCTAGTCGGCGGCTCCGTTTTGACTCACTTGGGGGTGGACGTTTGCGGCTATCCAAGGCTCTCGGGAATAGAGAAGTGATCCAGCAGAACCACCAGCAAGCAAGCAAGGCGAGGCTGTCAGTCGCTGAAAGAGATGTGGGTGTGGGTGGTGGCGTGGAGTGCAGTGCAGCGTGCGGCGGACATTCCGCCATTTTGGTCGTGGATCGTCGACAAAGACAAGTTGCCGCCGTTGAAGTGGCTTTGTCATAATCCAGTGGTAAAAGGGACCGAAATGTACTGCCTCAGTACATGCAGGATTGTCCGTGTCAAAAGCATGAAAACTTCACACTGGATGGAGATCGTCTCATGAGCGAAATTGGATGGAGCTAGCAAGCATTGCCCTGTTAGCGCCGAATAGCTAGCTGGTGCCAAGCTTGGAGCTTGGAGAGATATGCTACGCATGGTCATCGTCTCGTTAGTGCGAGAAGATTACGCCGGGTTTCGCTAGCTGATAACAGAACACCACCATGGCATTCACTGAAATTCGGCAGTGTCGGTTGGTGTAATGCTGCAGTAATCCATGTCGAGCCTCGACATCGTTGACTGAGTCAACGATGGCTCGCTGGAATTCACGTGCTAGCTATAGCTCACTGGAGGTGATCTTTATTGTCAACAAATATTGAACAGCTACTATTACATGATACTGTTTTATGGATCCCAGCTCCGCATCAGTACCTTTTCGCGGGGTCGAGTCAAATGTGACGGCGAGCGCCGCCGCTCGATGCTAATGCCAGGACAGACTTTAGCGGAGACCGGCCGCATTACGCTCCCGTGAAGGTGCCTTCAAGGCGTCCGCGTGTTTAGCCCATCGCGAAGTTGCACGCGCGCGCAGCCAGTCAACCGGCTACATGTATTCTTCAGGCGCAGGTGGACTGCTGGTTGCTGCAGTTTCGCAGGGCCGGGCGCCGCTACGTGCGCCGCGCAATGAGTGACTTTGCCTCGATGTTGAACTGATTGCCCGCAAATCGTTGCTGCACCTACTAAGGAGGCAGTGATAGCACGCGCCCGCATTGCGTCGAGCCTGGATCGCGAGGTCACTCTGGCCATGGAGCGGATACGTCTAGGCCAGACCGCGGGCTTCCCGTACGCATGACAATGCGACGCCGAGGGCCATCTCCGAGATGATCCTGCGAGCATGTGCACGCGCCGAGTCGTTGAGCTCCCGATCGCGACTTGAATCGCGGCGCCACCGGCTTCTTCTTGTAGTTGGCGGCACCGCAGCGGCGCCTGTCGACGGCGAAGCCAGCTCGAGCGCAGAGAGCGAAGTGAAAAATGCTCGGTACGTGCACACTGCAACGTGCGCAAAATTGCCGGTGGGGACTTCGAGTGGTCGTTGACTGGACTGAAGGGGCGTATCTTTACTGCGGGTATACCACTCCGAGACTTGTCCTCCGACTGTCGATTTTCCCGTGGTCAATCTTATTTCTTAAAACTGTGGAAATGAATATCGGCCCGATTATGTGCATTACATGGACCCTATTCACGCTGCGTGTCAATAGCGCTAGTGCGACATTCGGGCGACAACTTGTTCAGTGTACACTTCAACTTGCTCGAGCACGGAGCGCATTGCTGCCAGTGATCGGCGGCGATAGTCCCAGATGGGCATTCGTCATTAGCAGCACTATTAATACGGGGGATGGGGCAAGCCGACTAGCTTCCTTTCACTCAAATCGCGGGTTTTACTTCTGATGGCAGCAGTTTAGAGAACTGTCCATCTTGCCTAGACGGCTCGGTTTGGCACTTTATTTTGGCGTTACTTACACTGTTGTACTGACCGCATGAAGCAAGCCAGTTAGCTACATGTATCACTGAAGCTGTTGAGCGGGTGAAGTTCAGCAGTTGGGAATGAATCCGCTTAAGGAAGACTTTGAGGTGAGGCATCGCGGTTCATACCATCTTTGCTAACCCCTATGTGAGACCACATTGTTGTACAGAATTTATTGCACCGGCAACAAAAGACTTCTACACCCGTCTTTTCATCAGTGCTACTGCTGGCACTGTGCGGGGATCAATGAGTCCGTGTCCGTGCCAAAGACTCGCTTCTCATGGCGTTGCCAAAGCTGCATTGGTGCTCGTCGACTTTTGCTCGATGACCAAGTCCAGGCCGCTCCGTTCACATAAGTACCGACCTGACGTGGTGGCCAAGTTGTAGCAGCATTGTTGCTCCTGATTGCTTCGCTCTCTCTTGCGGACTCGCTTTTCGTAGCGAGTCCGTGGAGAAGCCTAAGTTACTTTCTACAGTAGAAGCCTTTGGAATCGCGCAAACTGGTCCAGCTAGATGCATGCAACTACTAGTTGCCAACTAGTCGCAGCAACACGCTTAGGATACTGCAGTAGGTGCCCTACATCTTCATCCATTTACCGCAACTTGGTTCAATCTTGAATCGCTCTTGTCGTACAAATTTGAACTTGTCGAGCTAATTTCGTACGCCAAGCTTCATCATTGCGATCAAATGGCGCGACGAAGAGCCGCTCCAAAAACACCCGAGCACATCCACCGGCGGCGCTGATGTCTTCATCCACACAAGCCTCCTTCTTCTGGGTGAAATATGGCTTTGGTGCGTTCCATGACTCGCGCCCTTGGCAACTTCACGGACCTGTACGCTCTAACCAGTTCCTATTCCGACTGCGCCGTACTCAGACAACATCACACCGCCGAAGATGTACAATGCCAACGTGTACTGCGCGATCCTACGCAGTTTTGTAAAGAATTCTTGTGCTAGGGACGTGGAGGACCTCTGCAAGCAGAAGAACATCCAGCTAGGCATCGAGCTCGACGCGCTCAACAAAGCTCTTCAGGCTGCCGAAGCTCGCAGTGGCGCAGCTCCGTTGGGAACGGGCAGGTCAGCAGCCTCAGCAAAATCCGCTACAGGGTCACGTCCGCCAAGCGGAGCCTCTCGTCCAGTTACGCCCACAATGCACGCTGGGTCCGGAGGGTCTACAGCGACAGCAGAAGACGAAATGGCTGAGATACTTGCTAAGAAGACCGCCCTGGAAGCTCAGCTTGAGGTGGTTGCTGACGCTTCCAAGCTAGCGAAAGGTACGAGTTTCTTTCAGGTAGCACAGAGTGATAAAGCTGCCTTTGCTGACACTTTGAGTTGGTTGGGTTTCATCAAGAGCTGGTTGCAGGGACAGTTATCGTCGACTTGGCAGATGACCATGGCACACGACTCAAACTGGACGAGACTGGGGAAACTCGAGCCAATACCATATTAAAAGCTCGAGCGCACTACACGGCCGTGGCTGTCAGTAAGTTAGCTTTCGCGTCGAGATTTTCATCATTACACCACTCCCTGACCTGATTTTGCATGCAGCTGTAGACGACAAGGGATCACCTCACGCCGTGCCTCTGGTCTTCAAGCTGACAAAGCCCTCAACGAGCACCTCTTCCTCTCGTCCGAATAGTGGGGCAGCGAAATCTACAGGCTCCACCATACCAACGTGAAAGGTGGTTAGTTATAGTCCTCACAGTAATATCAAGGGCAAGGACACTGGGATCTCGTTTAGATTCGAACAAACTTCAGTGTTTTTTGGGCTAGATTAATTCGGGGGGAGAGCTCCGAGGAATGACGAGCGACTCGACGATCCTCGCGCGCATCCGCCAGTGCAGGATGGACTAAACACACGTCACGATCTTAGAGAGACGCAGCGGCTCCACGCCCTCAGCTCACAGCGCCGCGCGCGCCGTCTCCTCTCGCTCTCCACTTCAGATGTCCACGGGCTTGCCCTTCGAGGCGAACTCGTCGTAGTACTCGACGACCTTGTCCCAGTTGGCCACGTTCCAGAAGGCCGAGATGTACTCGGGGCGGCGGTTCTGGTACTTGAGGTAGTAGGCGTGCTCCCACACGTCGAGGCCGAGGATGGGGATGAGCGGCTGGTCCACGCCGGGCATGAGCGGGTTGTCCTGGTTGGGCGTGGACGTGATGGCCAGCTTGCCGTCGGCCTTGACGCCGAGCCAGGCCCAGCCGGAGCCGAAGCGCGACGAGGCGGCGGCGTTGAACTCCTGCTTCATCTGGTCGAGCGAGCCGAAGTCCTCTTCGATGCGGGCCTTGAGGGCGCCGTGCGGGGCCGTGTTGGTGGAGCCGGGCTTGGTCATCCACGTCCAGAAGAGCGAGTGGTTGTAGTGGCCGCCGCCGTTGTTGCGCACGGGCGCCTCGGTGGCCGACTGCACCACCTCGAGGATGGACTTGCCCTTGAGGGTCGTGCCCTTGTCGGACGAGATGTAGTTGTTGATGTTGTTCACGTAGGCCTGGTGGTGCTTGGTGTGGTGGATGTTCATGGTGGTCGTGTCCACGAAGGGCTCCAGGGCGTTGTACTCGTACTCGATCTTGGGCAGCTCGAACGACATGGTAGCTGTCTGGGAAGAAGGAAGGGGGGACTGGGAAGAGAAGGCTGGGTTGAAGCTTGTGCTCTGGACCTGGCAGATTGCAGACTGAGCTCGGCTCGGCCCCACGTCAATGACCGAGGGATCTTTTGGTCGGACAATCCCACCGCACGCTTTTACGGCCAATGGGAGCGGCGCAGCAAGCCACATTGGCGAAAAATGGCTGCGCTACTGGATGACGGAGTATCAGCACGTTTACGGGACAGGGACGTTGGCCAGCCGGTACAAGTTGACTCCATGATCAACTCAACCTCCACGGAGCTTGTTGATCGTCTCCGATAAGAAGGCAAGGAAGGCACACACCACGAGCCCCGCACTTCATGTCGAAGTTCGCTTGGCTCACCCCTTCCCCTCCGCTTGTTTAACAGGTACAATGTACCGGTGCATCATCGGTATTCAGTTACGTAGGTATGCCTTTCAACAGGCTTTTTGGTTGGAGCTCCTACTTCGACGTCAGCCCGAGCTGAGCCGATCCGCAGCGGACACAAGCGCATCGCCCGCCGCCATGGACGCCCCCACGCAGCACCAGGAGTCGGTCTCGGACCTGGCCGTCGCGGCGCAATACGCCGACGAAGAGCTGCACTCGGTCACGGCGCAGTTCGCGAGCGCCGCCAGCGTCAGCGCCGCGCCCACGGCCCCGATGGTGGCGGTCGTCACGGACGACAAGGACGAGAGCGACAGCGACAGTGACAGCTCGGACGACGAAGCGCCAGCCAATGACAAGGCGGAAGAAGACGCCAAGCAGGTGAAGAAGGAGGAGGACGCCTCGGCCGAGGCAGCCGACGACAGCGACGACGAAGAAGGAGAAGACCCCGCCAAGCTCCGCGCCGAGATCGAGGCGGCCATGGAGAAGGAGGCCAACAAGACTGGCGGCCCACTCACCACAGAGAACGAGGTGCTTTCGGCGCCCGTGCGTGAGCCTGGTGTGGAGCTCACGGCCGATTGCCCCATTGCCCAGTGCGGCAGCATCCTGAACGTCAGCGTGCCGGGTCTCATGATGACCATCAAGTCCGACCCCAACACCAAGCCGCTGGACGAGGGCAGCGTGCTGTGTCTCGAGGACCGCACCGTGATCGGCTGTGTGGACGAAGTGTTCGGCCCCGTGCTCATGCCTATGTACCTGGTGCGCTTCGAGAACGCGGCCAAGATGCCGGAGAAGGCAGCGATGAACGTCCCCGTGTACTACGCCACCGAGCACACGACGTACATTGTGCCCGAGAACATCAAGGACAAGGGCACGGACGCTTCCAACATTTTTGACGAAGAAGCGGACGATGCCGAGTTCTCGGATGATGAGGCGGAAGCGGCAGCCAAGCGAGGGAACCGAAAGCGCAACCGCGGAGGTGCACCGTCGTCTGGCAATGAAGGATCTGGATACGCCCCATCTGTGGGCAGAGGTGGTGGGCGTGGTGGACGCGGAGGCCGAGGAGGCCGTGGAGGCAACTTCTCGGACTACAACTCCCGGCAGAATCCGTCGCCCCACGGAGGACGCGGTAGCTACGGTCAGCAACCGTCGTCGATGTCGGCTATACCCGCACTGCAGACTCAGCCGTACGGTGGCGCTACCAAGTACACGCAGCCTGGAGGTTTCGGCGGGGCGTTTCCCGTGCAGTACGGAAACACCAAGTACACGTCTCCTCGAGGAGCTGCTATGCCTCAGCCACCGTACAGCGCAGTGGGGCAGGCTCCTGCACCGGGTTACTACCAGCCTCCGCCGCCGCCACCCGGGCAGTACAATGCTCACAACCTGCCGCCGTATCCGCCCCAGGCCCCGCCTCCTCAGACCTCGTACCAACAGTACCAGCAACCACGAGCACCTTACACGCAGCCGCCGCCTCCAGCTCCATACGGCCAGCCTCAGCCCCCTTACGGCCAGCCTTACGCACCACCGACTGCGCCGTACGGTCAGCCGCAGCCACCTCAGTACCAGCCTCAGCACGGTGTACCTCCTCCGCCTCCGCCGCCTCCTCCAGCAAATGGCTACTATGGCGGAGCTAACGGTCAGCCTCGTGGACCTCCCGGTCAACCGCTTTAGTAGTAGAAATTCAATTTACCAAACTTTCTCAGGCATGCTTTTGAAATGTAAATTAGACTTGCCAACCCAGCATACCAGTATACAGTACACGCACGGTGACTGTCATCATGCCAGTTAGCTGGAAGATGTCAGCGTAACACTTGCGATGAAGCCGTTCTTCATCACTTCGAAGATGCACCCAGGTGTTGGCGAGTAGCACAAACTCGAGCCAAACGGGTGAAGGCCCAGCCCATTGTCGTGCACAATGGGCCGCAAGTCCGATGCTCCTCCAAACGCCAGACGGATGTCCTTCCACTGAAATACCAGCGTGACAATGGTTAGTGCTGGCCACCCCTCTAAGATGCGAACAACACGAAAGCGTACCGGTGTTTGGGCAGTGATTTGCGAGCTAGTTTTCTTCGTGATCCCCGACTTCTGCAAAGCGCTGGACGTCTGAAAGCTGAGCCGGAAATTGCATTTGTTGTATGCACCAAAGTCTGGATGGCTACAGTTTGCACGCAATATGAAATTAGCAAAGTTCTCGGAAGGGTATTGAAAATATCAACTGCATGGCATAGTACCCGAGTGCGTTGGCCTTCAGAATCACCTTCGACGCTCGATGCATTGAATCGTACAGAATGTCGAGCCCAAGGTGCGGGTAGTTGTGGAAATAGTCGCCAACTAGCCCTCCAGCAACAGTAGCACTGTCAGCCCACCGCAGCATCACAGAGAACAATAGAGAAATTATTCCTCGAGCTCCGATACATCCAACAATCAGCGCAATGCCCAAAAACGTACCCGTCATTGGGGTCTTCCGACTTACGAAACACTGACACCGGGGCGCCTATCTCGCTAATCACCTCCTGCACCAGACAAGTTAGATCGAATCCTGCATCTTCATCATCACACTCGTAGAAAAACTGCATTACCTGAGGAGACCACCCGAGCTGGATGCGCTGCTTTCGGCCCGTGAAAACGAGCGATGTGTTCTTCTCGCCAACCTCAACGTTCACTTCTTCAAAGTAGTGTCTGTAATACAAAACACACAAAACTTTAGTTCTCACGCTCACGCTCGCAGAAAAATCCTCCGCGTTTACTTCTTTGTAGGGGCTGGAAGACCGGGAGACCGATAGTCGCCTCCCACGAAGACCATGAAACCTGTAGCCGCTGGAGTGGCTCCATTCTGCAGCATATCGTCACCGTTCAAGTGAGACAACGAGCTCTAAGCAAACTGCGATCATCAGAGCACCCACCGGGAATTCCATGGGCAAGTCCGTTCCGTTTTGGTACAGCTTGCGGTACTCGCTCGGGATCGGAAACTTGATGCAGCCACCTTCGTAGCCCAAGACGTAACTCTACCTCACCAAAAAACAAACAAAATATTAAATTACACCAACGAAACAAGATACCACCACCAAGATCACCCCCAACCTGCTCATTGGCGTCATAGTGACCCGGGAACGTCGGCCCGAACAGCTTCAACAACAGAACCATCAGCCCAGCCACATTAACCACTTCAATAACTTCAAGGCAAGCAGACACAGTTGTTCGCGTACATTGTAGACGGACATGAAGGTGGCGGAGATGTCTCCGCCGAAGATCACGACGCGCCCGAACTTGAGCGCCACGCGGTTCACGTCGTAGAACTCGATGGCCTTGAGCGTCTGCCGCACCGGGTCGAAGTGCAACTGGCGGCAACAAAGTGAGAGCGGCAAAGCAGATTAGTGAGGTGAGGTGGCCAGCAGGTTAAGACTCACTCTCTCGTCCCACCTTGAGTCCGTCCTCGGCCGAGTCGATGACGACGTCGCGCCTGTAGGGCTCGGCGGCGTCATACGCGATCTCGAAGGGCCGCACGGGCAGGCGGCTCTTGAGCGCGTGCAGCACCTCGGCCACGCTCGCCCCCAGGCGGAAGGGCCCCACGCCCACGCCCAACTCGATGCGCCACACCTCGCGGATCATTCCTTACGCCCTGTTGGCGTGTTGAAGAAAGTGTACCGAGAATTTGGTACATACCGACAGTTGCTGCAACTTGCAGTGCAAGGCCTGTTTTCTACGAAGCGCTCAAGCTGGCCAGACGAAAGCCTTCAGCCGGCTGGGCTGCGCAGCGTGGAGCTGCTGGGCTGTGAGAAGCGCTGGCCTCAATAATGCAAGCAGGCGGTTTCAGCGCCGGCGGAGACCACATCTCACCCCGATGGTGCAAGTGGCGTCGGGCGAAAAGCAATCCACAGCCAACCCGTTGGCAATGGACCTGATAACGGGCGGCGCGCACAGCGACAGAAGCTCCTGCTACGTGTACACTGCATGGATGCTCCAGCCTGGAGCATTGCTGCCTACGGTCTGTATTTTGCTGTCGCTGTTCGCGGTCATTTCGATAGTGGGAAAGTCTCTTCAAGGCTCGAGCTCAATTGTCGCTTGGAGCAGCTCATTTTTTTTCGAACGCAGCTCGTCATCAGTCTGTTAAAGCTAGCAATGCACGCACTGGTACAGTAGTGGAGATGAAGGCAATGTCTCGGTTCATCGTGGCAAGCAAGTCCCCATTCGGTGCGGCAAGGCACGGCAAGGCACTCCACACACCACCGGAGCTGCTCGCAGTGCTCGGGTGTTGTGTGGATTTTACGTTTTGTCCCGTGCGCAACGCCGGGACGCGGGGTTCGTCCCACTCTGCGTTTCACTTGCTTTCAGTATGTCCTTCCAATCCGATCTCTGAGTACTATCCAGTTCCGGTTTTCAGCCAATCGGCATGCTTCAAACCCATTCTCGCTCTATTTGAAACAACCGATTGTCGGCGCTAAAACGCCATCGACCGGCCGACCGACCAACTCCACCTGCCGATGAAGCTGCCGGCGCTGCTCCTGCTGGGCGCGCTGCTTCCCTGCGCGGCCCACGCGGCCGCGAGCTGCGCGGACTGCGGCGGCCAGACCTGCATGCTGGACGGCACGGCCACGGCCGTCAAGGGCGGCGCGACGTCGCTCAGCGTCAACTTCTGCAACTTCGACAGCTCCAAGAACGACTCGTACGCCGTCAGCTTCGGCGTGTCGGCCGTCCCGAGCTGCGACGCCGGTAACGCCACGACCCCCACGCTGGCCTCGCTCGTGGCGGCCGACGGCTGCACGGCCGACGCCTGCGCCGTCACCGTGAGCTTCGAGGAGGCGCTGGACTGGGCCATCGCCGTGCAGACCAACGGCGCCAGCAACACGCTCACGGCGCAGCTCACTAGCGGCGGCAGCACCGACACGGTGACGGTCGCCACCTTCGAGCCGGTGGCGGCCGCCGTCATGAACGGCGGCACGACCGGCGTGTCGGTGTGCGCCACACAGGTCGACGTCAGCGGCTCGAGGTTCTCGACCGTCAGCAGCTGCAATACCGCACAGGTCTGCCGGGGAGCGGCCACCGACACCACGTGCACGACGGAGCTCATGAACAACGCACAGGTCACGGACGTCAGCTGCAACGGAGAGGCGTGTACCGGCAGCCTCAGTCTTAGCCAGTCGCTGCCCTGTGACGGCTCCACGGGCGACGCCACGGCGCTGATTGTCGGCGTGACGGTGGCCGGCAGCACGCAGTCCAACCTCGCCAGTGTCGGTAGTATGTCGGCACCGAACTTTACGATCTCAGACGCTAGCGGACTCGCTGCTGGCAGCTCCGAGCTGGTGCTGACTACCGACACGTTCTGCGCCTACTCGAGCATCCAGCTGAACGTGACGGTGGACGACGACGCCGTGGAGGTGACCAGCGTCAACTCGACTAGCAACGGGACGGTGGTGGTGCAGCTGGCGTCCGCACTGAGCAGCGACCTGGCGGACGAGGACGCCAAGCTGTCGCTCTCGCAGTGCGGCGTGTCGGCGTCGGCGTCCTTCGAGGTTGCGAAGGACACGAAGGAGTCGACCAAGGTCTCTACCGGCTCCACAGAGGGCTCGGACGACGACGAAGCCGTCGCGGGCTCGGCCGGATCGGTATCAACGCAGGAGGAGAACGCCTCCACCGGACTCTCCCATAGCATCATTGTGGGCATCGTCATCGCCGCGTTCGCACTCGCCGGCTTCGTCTTCGAGTACGTCCATCACAAGAGACGGCAACCCATGCCGGTGGCACAGGACTCTACCGTCAGCAACCTCGCATCGCCCATCTAGCGAGGACACACAAATCGAACCCGGCCCCAAGCGAGGGCCAGGCCCCAATGTAGGCAAGTTAATAAAGTTTTTGTGGCTCTTTTTGTTTAGCTTCGTGTTGTGTTGTTCCCGGTTGTTGCCTTCACTGCAGTTTGCGAGCCTCTCGGATCTTCTTGGAGCGCACCACGGCCAGCTCCTTCTTCAACGCGAAGCGCTTGGGCGCCGACAGCGCGTGGTCGTCAAGCTGCGACTCGAGCTGCTCAATTTGTGCCGACAGCTTGGACAGCTCCAGCTCGACAGCAGAGTTCTCGTTATTCGACTGAGCGAAGTTCTCAACCGGTGCCACGGGAGCTTGTCCTGCGTGAGCTGCGTAGGTATTGCCAGTACGTCCGGAGGCTGGTCGTTTATCAGGGAATGGACTCTTGCCTCCATTTCTCTCGGGACTCGACTTGGCAGCTCGTGGTGTTGCCACTGGGGAGGGCGGAGACAACACCGCGTTCGGTGGGAGCTTGTTTTTCAGGTACACTAGGATCTCCGCGCTCCCTTTTGCGATCACCGCGCCTCGTACTGTGCGCTGTGGGTTGCCGTTCATGTAGATCGCGCGGAGGTGAGGGCACAACCCGAGCTCGCATGGGACTTTGGCCAGGTTGTTGTTCTCGAATGAAAGGGACGCCAGCAGTGGAGCGTCGTAGATGCGGCCAAGCGAGCGCAGTTTGTTATCCGACACGCTGATCACGCTCACTTTCGCGAGCTGAGACCATGGGAAGCGATCCAGCGTTTCGATCCGGTTGTAAGCCAGCAGCAGCGTCTCCAGCGATCGGAGTTGGGAGATTTCAGCGGGTAAAGCTGAGAGGTTGTTGCTGCGCAGATCCATCTCCTTTAATGTATTCCCCAGTGCTGGCGAATCGCCGAGGAAGTAACTGATACTTTCAGCTAAAAGTTGGTTCTTTCGAAGACGCAGGAGCTCGAGATGAGGTAGTGCAGCAATAGAGGGATGAAGAGACTGGAGCTGGTTGTCCTCCACTGTCAGAGTCTATAGTACAACGACAAGAACAGTGTCAGTTTGACAACCATTCCGATATTCTACAACTAGGAGCGTACCTTTAGCATCACCAACTCTCCAACTGAAGCTGGAAGCGCCTGTAGCTGGTTTGATGAAAGGTTCAGGTGGATCAGGGTCGAGCCGAAGTTGAATTGACCTTGGCCTACCAAGTCCGGCGGCAACACAGCAAGCGAGCTATTCGTAAAGATCATAGTTCCTGATGCTGCAGCTTCCCGAAACTGAGCGGTGTACTCCACTGCGGGGGGTGGGAGCTCTTCCGTCTTGTTATTGTCGACTTGGGCCAAGCGTTCTCGCTCCAACTGCAGTTCATCTCGCTCTTCTTCCAGCACATCAACACCAACGGGAGGTGGACCGCGCGTACGAAGGTATTTCTTGAGCGACTCGCACCCGGAGCTGATCACCGAACGACGAATAGCTCGCAATGGATTTCCATCAACGATAAAGTGGTTAAGGTGCTTGAGGTAGCCCAGGCCAGGCGGGAGATCCGACAAGTCGTTGTTCGCAACATCTAACGTTTTGAGTAGATAGAGGCACGCGATGTTGGCGGGTAAAGCGGCAAACTTGTTGTCGCGCATATCCAACACCGTGACGGAATCTTTGATGCGCAAAATGGACGTCTCGTCGATGGCGGAGAGTATGTTGTACCCCAAGAAGACCTGATCCAGCGTCGCACCTTCAGGAAGCTCTGGGAAGACGATGAGTTTATTCTGCCGCAGATCCAAGAACTTGAGTCGTGACAGCCCAGCCAACGCGTCGCTGGTGGACTCCAATCGATTCTTCTTGAGGTCGAGATTCTGCATATTTTGCAGCGCTCCGAATGATGCTGGCAGCCTTGTCAACTGATTGGTGTGTGCCATCAAAACGTGCAGCTTGTGCAGTCTGCCGATGCTCTCAGGAAGAGCTGTAAGCGAGTTATCATCGACATGCAAAGTCTCGAGGTTTTCGAGGAGCGCGATGGAATCTGGTAGTCGGCTCAACTTGTTACCCGACAATACCAACTCTTTCAAGCCGACCAAAGCGCCAAAGCTTTCCGAGAGGTCTTGTTCCAGCTGATTGCTACGGATATTTCAAGTTAGTGGTGAAGTTACAGCTCAGGGGTCTAATGGGAACTACGTACTGACTCAAATCCAGGTACGTGAGAGCTTGAAGCTCGAAGAACCCCTCTGGGAGGACTTGCAACGCGTTCTGTGTCAGCTTGATCGAGGTTACTGAAGTTAGTCCCGCGATCTCGTCGGATATGGATGGGATGGCGTTGTGGCTCAAGTCGATCTTGACCAGGTCAACGCATTCCCACTTCTTCTCGTCCTGAATGTACCAGTTGCCAGTTGTTAGTCAGTCTCGCGTGGGAAATGCGGCGCGCAAGTTCTAGTGTTGTGCGCAGTCAAACAAACCTTTTCCAAGTGTTCTTCTAGATGATACACTTTAGCCGGGAACTCGGTTAGATTCCTCGCTGGCAGACTCAAGACGCCCGTCCGTCGAGCTTCCCGTAAAGCCCGGGCAGTTTGATCCCTGGCTGGAGCCAACACCACATCTTGCTGGCGAAGGCGCCCCCGCATATTCTGTCCTTTCATCATTCTAGGTCGGAACCTGAGGATATCTGCGCGAAACGACACGATGCGACTTTCAACACTTTCAACAAGTGTATGGCATTTTTCACTGATGTATATACAGCTCAAAACTGAGTTTGATGACCTACGGCTTCTGTCCAATCTTTCGCAAGTGACGGATCTTGAGCGACCGAGTCATGGCCAAGTCCTTCTTCACTGCAAATCGTTTCGCTGCCGAGCCAGCAAAGTCATCCAGTTGCTGCTCCAGCTTGAGAATCTTCGCGTTCAACTCGGCCAGGACTTCGTCTTCACCCTCTGAGGCTGCAACGGTAACAGGAGCTGCAGATGGCGCGGGGCGCGGCACTGACTGCTTGGCGAAGGGTGACGTTGCTGACACGGAGCTCGGGTTCGCTGCTGGCTTCACCTGCGGACTCATGTCTACCGGTTTGAACGGCGACGTTGACGCGTCCACACGAAGGCGCTTGGACTCTAGCGTGGTTGTTTGTGCTCGTTGAGGTGGGTGAACGTGATTGTTCTGGGTACAGCGTGGCATGTTGCTGGACGGGTTGGTATCCTTGGCGGGTTTTGGGGTCCCTTGTCCGATGGTTGGAGGCAACACATCAGGAGGGAGTCTATTGCGGAGGTACTTCAGCACAGCTTCGGTGCCGTTGTTCAAAATGTGGGTTCGGATACCTCGCTGGGGGTTGCCAGCCAGGTAGAGAGCTCGGAGATTCTCGCACAGCGCTAGTTCCGCAGGAATCTGTACCATGACAACACATGAAAGGTTACTAATTAAGCCTAATTCGATCCAGCTACGGAGCGATGCTTCCATGCCGTACCTGGCGTAGCTCGTTGTTTTCCAGAGACAAAGAAGTTAGCTTTGGAATTTGGTGAACCGCTCCAAGAGATTCCAGCTGCATGGACGGTATAGCACAGCAGAATATGGTTAGACAGAGCGTTCATGTATGCATACTCGAAACTCAATACGTACCCGGTTGTCAGAGATGCTGAGCACTGAGAGCTGCTGCATTGAAGACCATGGGAACCTGTCCAGCGCCCGAATACGATTGAACGAGAGCAGTAACGTGTCCATCGTCTCCAGATATTGCAGCTTCTGAGGAATATCCGTCAGAATGTTGTTGCGGAGATCAAGCTCCTTCAACGACAAGCAGATGCTCGCATTGTTGCCTGCAACCAGCATAGCATCGATAGCGTCCGTCGTCAGCGAGTTCTTGCCGACGCGTAAACGCTCCAGGCTCGGGATCATCGCGATCGAGGGATGAATCGACTTCAATCCGCACTGCTCTGCGACGAGCGTGCGCAGTGACGTCAGTTCGCCGATCGCGACAGGTAATTCCACCAAGTGATTCTTCGACAGGTTCAGCTGAAGCAGCGTTTCACCAAAGCGATACTTCCCTGCAGCACCAAGTTGGACTGGTAGTTGCTGAAACTTCATGTCGACGAGCTGCAGACTACCCGAGGCAGCAGCATTGCGGAACAAGTACTCGTCCTCCGCCGGTGGTTCTTCAGCCATAGGTTCGTCCTGCTCTATTTCCCTCTGTCTGATCGTAAACTCGTCCACTTCTTCCTCCATTGCGTCAACTCCTTCTGGAGGGCCACCGCGGGTCCGCAAGTACTTCTTGAGCGGCTCCGTGCCGCCAGAAATGATGGAACGTCTCACCGATCGCAGCGGGTTGCCGTCAACCAGCAAGTGGTCGAGGTACTTCAAGTATCCCAGCCCCGCAGGTAAATCGTGCAGGTCGTTGTTGGTGACATCCAGCGTCTTCAGGCGATACAACTGCGGAATCTTCCCTGACAGCCGCTGCAACTTGTTGTCACGCACGTCCAGCACCGTCAACGACTCCTTCACGTTCAGCACAATCTCTTCCGGAATTTCACGAAGGGTGTTAAACCCGAGGAAGAGCTGGTCCAAGCTCGAGTTGTTCTCCGGCAGCATCGGGAACACCTCGAGCTTGTTCTGTCGCAGGTCAATGAACTTGATCGACACTAGCCCAATGAACGCGTCGCCTGTCGTCACCAGACTGTTCTTCTTCAGATCCAACGTCAACAACCCCGTGAGTGATCCAAACGACGCCGGCAACTCCACGATCAGGTTCGAGTGCGCCGACAGCGTCTTCAAATTACGCAGCTGGCCGATCGTGGACGGCAACGTCCTCAGCTGGTTACTCTCCACCTTCAGCACCTCCAAGTGACTGAGTCCGCCAATGCACTCCGGCAACTTTGTCAACTTGTTACCTTCCAATCCGAGCTCCCGCAACTTGTCCAACTTGCCCAATTGCTCCGGCAAACAGCCCTCCAGCTCATTGCTACAAGAAAAATATGCCCTCACATTAGTGTCTTTTTCGTCAAAACCGTTTTTGACATAATGCCATACTTGCTGAGGTCGAGACTCGTGAGCGTCTCGAGGTTCCAGACCGCCAGGGGCAAGTGACGGAGACGGTTGTGGCGCATCTTGAAGCTCACGAGGTACTTGAGCGTCTCCACTTGCGTCGGCAGCTCCGAAATGTCATTGTAGCTGTCAAAAATGACAATACATAAGGTCAGCTGCTGTCAAAAACGCACTAGGGTCTACCGACCTATCGACATATTCACCTTAGGTCGAGCTTGCGCAGGACCGCGCACTCCCAGCTGCGCTCGTCCTCGCCCAGCAGCTCGTAGAGGCGGAAAACCTCCTCCGGGAAGCTCTGGAAGTCGCGCGAGGACAAGTTCAAGCTGCCGGACTGTCGCGCCAGGCGCAAGGTGCGCGCCATGGCGCTCGCGGGCGCCGCAGAGGAGGCGGAGGACGCCGCCGAGCGCCGCATCGCGTCCCGGATGCCCATTAGTGTTCAATTGTGCCCGAATTTGTGAATTGGACAGTCTTATTTGTGATTTGTGGCAGAGAGTGTGATTTTGATCCGACTATATTGTGTAGTGTTTGTGTACAGGTTGCAGTCGTTGAAGTTGCATTGCTCTTTATGATCTCATTGTCGTTTTTAGTACACGGGAAGCAGCTTTACCTACCGGCCAAACAGGTCTGTCACAGGATGAAGAGCAATTTTTAGCGATCGATGAAACATCATCAGACCGCGGCGAACGCAGCAGCACTACGCTCTGTGCGACTAAAGTGACCCGCGCGACTTGATCGCTGCGCCTTCATCTCAACGGGAGACCTAGCTCAGCCAATGGCCCCACTTCTCATCCAGAGTTCGACCTCCGAAGCGCAAGTTTGAAGCCATCCCATGCACAAGCACCGCGTCCAGCCGAACGGGAGGGGCTCTCGGGCGTCCGTGGACTCGTCCACTCCACTGCGCCATGACAGCGAGTTCATCTCCGTCCGCCTCAAGGGGAAGAAGAAAATTATGTCGTGGCAGGTCTTCAACATCCTGCGCAGGCTCGCGGCCGTCGCAGCCGCCATCCAGTACGTCATCGTGTCCATGTCGGCCACGTGGTGGGCGCTGCAAGTGCTCGAAGGCGCCAAGAACCCCACCGAGACGCTGCGAGTCTTCCCGTCGTCGCTTATTGAGGGGTACTTGGGTGACGGGTTGATCCGTGATAGCCCCTTAGTGCAAGATGTACTGGGAGGAGACACGACCCCGCGAGGCCACGCGCTGTTCCTCGAGTCGGACACCAAGACGTCGACTCAAAATTGCTCCGACATGCCCCTGTTCAACCCTGCGATCTACAACTACGACTTCCTGAGTGAGGGTTATCTCAAAATGGTCTCGGGTACCAAGTACAACGTCACGGCCCTAGAAGACCTGGAGCTGGTGCTTGTGGTCGTGGACTGCTCCTTTCGGCAGATTGCAGCGGGGGACCCCTCTTCTGTTCGTGTATACAACTTGGTGCGGTCGATCGCAGACCACAGTCACTTGTACCTGGTCACAATGTCGCTGAATGTGCAGGAGTATCAAGTGCGGGCGCATCGCAAACAGGGCCCAGCTCTTGTGGGGATGCTCACGCTGGTCGACATGCGGGACAGCAATGTTCAGCAGTTCTACACGGTCGCGACGACGTACCCGTTCCAGCGCTTACCAGATTTTGAGATCTACCAGTTCGTGGGGATCACAAACGACAGCTACCTCGAATTACGCAGCATCCCTCGGGACCCGAACCTTGAGCCGGTCAAGAACTTGGTCACGGCTCGGAAGCGCGACTTCTACAACAGCGACAGCCAGTCGAATGTCCGTGTGATGTACTCACTACTGGATGGACTAAGCGCCACGACCGCTTTGACCCGCTGGGAGTGGATCGGAGAAGCTGTGACTGTGGACTCGTGGGCTTGGGTTGCATCCACTTCTTCTTCGGACTGGAGACCATTTATTCCCTCGTCGTGCTGGTTCTGGTGACGTACCAGAAGGTTCGGACGGGCAAGATTTGGCTCGGAGACCCGTTCGCATCGATTTCGACTACAAGTCTGGTAATTCGTGGCTTCTTGGTGATTATCTCGTGGATGGTGGACACCTTCTGGTCGCTGAACGAGTACGCCATGTCCAGAGCGGCCATGCTCACAGGCTCTACCCCTGTTCGCGTCCATCGAGAGCTGGTACACGCGGACCTGATGGTGATATTCCTCAGCTTGGTGGGCTTCGTCAGCTCGGTGTTCCGAGAGCGTATCGACCCGTCAGTCGCCATCTTCTGGTTCGAGCTGGTTCACCAATACCGGTTAACCGTTCTCCGGTCCTCGCCTGCAGTGGTGAACGAGATCATCACGTGCTCGACTGCCCAGTACAACATCGGCATAGCAAAGGTGACACCGGTGCTTGCTTCGATGTCACCGCTGCGGCTGTGGTCGTCCTTCCAGTTCCCTGACAAGGACTCGACGTTCATCGCTGCGTCCTACTTCCCCACTACGTATTTGGTGGTGGGTATTTCGTGCTTTGCTCTGGTGCGCAAAGTGTATTGGTATTTCCACCCGGAGGAGGCTCGACAACGATCCAGTCAAAGCACGGATACATCGGGCAATGAGAAGGCTGCGATGACCATGAAAGGCATCGTCACCAACTTTGAGATCTCGACGGGTGCCGAGCTACAGACAAGATTCGGACTCATCTCCGACTACAACAACTACGTCTACTTCAAGGGCATGAAGTTCGCCTCGCCTGACGGCGTCTACTGTTCTGGATTCGTCATCGTGAACGGCAAGTATCTGGTGAGCACCAAGCACTTGCTGTCGATTGTGTTGATGAAGCTGTTGCACGCGCGCTTTGCCAACGTGTACGCGTACGAGGTGGACGGCAACAGTGTGAAGGAGACGGCTCGACTGGTGCATACGAACACGTTCATGTGGTCGGACCTGTGGCGTCTGAACGTCACTGTCCTATTGTAGCCAAAACGCAACATCGACAAGGTTCCATGGGCTTCTGGCTGAAAGTACTTCGTTTAATTGAAAGCTGTACATTATCAGTTGATACGTTGGTGTATTGACAGCGATGCGTGTTGTAGGCGTGTTGGCTCAAACACTCTCAGTATTGCCAAATGGAGGCAAACCTTGAATTTGGTTTGGCCAGTGGAAGTCGGGAAGAGAAATGGAAATGAGAATATGCACGCGATAAGCACAACAAGGATAGGATTTTATCCGTTTCACCGCTTCATCCCAGACAATACCCTACACGGCACGGCAGCATGAATATCCCTCGTGCGTTGCAGTAACAAGGTCGTCTCGTAGGACTACGGGCAGTTCAGTTTTCTAGCACCTCAACGTCTACTGTAGACGACTCGTGGGCGGAATCCCATTTCGGGAACTCTGAGCGCCCAGTCTGCTTGCAACGCACTCAGAGGCAAACTCCATCTCAACAGCCAACGAGGAGCACAGCAGAAGCCTACCGATGACGATGGTCAAGTCAAGTGTTCAACCGATACTTCTAAAGGGTCCACAGAAGACCTCGCTCGATTCCTCCGTGACACTCCGTGAAAGCCAATACGTCGCTGTGCGCTACAAAAGCAAACGCTCGATGATGTCCTGGCAGGTCTTCAACCTCCTACGCCGCCTCGCAGCCATCGCAGCCGCCATCCAATACGTCATCGTCTCCATGTCGGCCACTTGGTGGGCATTGCAGGTCCTGAGCGGTGCCCACAACCCGACTGAAACTCTACGGGTCTTCCCGTCTTCAATCATCGAGGGGTACTTGGGCGAAGGCCTCATCCGTGATAGCCCCTTGGTGCAAGAAATACTCGGAGGAGACACAACACCGCGAGACTACGCGTTGTATCTCGAATCTGCCACCAACACGTCGACTGAAAGCTGCTCCAATGTGCCTCTTTTCAATCCAATGATCTACAACCACAGCTTCCTGAGCAGCGGATACCAGGGGATAGTGGACGACACTGAGTACAACATCTCGGGTCTTGCAGACTTGGAACTTGTAGTTATGGTCGTCGACTGTACGTTCCGACAGATTATGGTGGGGGATCCGTCCGCCGTGCGCGTGTTCAACTTGGTGCGCTCCCGGTCCGACCCCAACGACTTGTACCTGGTCACAATGTCGCTCAATGTACAAGAGTACGAGGTGCGCAAGCTGCACAAACGTGGCCCTGCGCTAGTCGGCATGCTTACGCTGGTGCAGGACATGCAGGCGGATAATGTGCAACAGTTCTACATGTTGGCGACGACTTACCCCTATCAGCGCGTACCAAATTTCGAGATGTACGAGTTGGTAGGGGTGACGAGTGAGAGTTACCTAGAGCTGCGTAGTATTCCACGTGACCCGTTGACACACCCAGTGAAGAACTTGATCACGGCGAGGAAGCGTGGGTTCTTTGACGGTGACGACCAGTCGAATGTCCGCGTCATGTACTCAACACTGCGCGGGGTGAATGCCAAGACGGCGTTGACGCGCTGGGAGTGGATCGGAGAGGCCGTGACTGTGGACTCGTGGGCTTGGGTGCACTGTATTCATTTCTTCTTCGGCTTGGAGACGATTTACTCACTTCTAGTGCTGCTTTTGGTTACTTACCAGAAGGTTCGTGCGGGCAAAGTCTGGATTGGAGATCCGTTCTCATCCTTGTCGACTACAGGTCTCGTATTTCGCGGAATCTTGGTGTTAATCTCGTGCTTCCTGGACAACTTCTGGTCGGTTAACGAGTACGCCATGTCCAGAGCCTCCATGATCACGGGTTCGCAAGTAGTCCGCGTGCACAAGGAGATCATGCACGCTGACATTATGGTGATTTTCCTAAGCTTGGTCGGCTTCTTGAGTTCCGTCTTCCGAGAGCGGATTGACCCCTCCATTGCAATTTTCCTGTTCGAGTTCATCCACAAGTACCGAATCACGTTGCTGCGCACATCGTCCGCAGTAGTCGACAAAATATCGACGTATTCGGACGCTAAATGGACTCTCGGAATTGCACAAGTAACTCCGGTTATGATGTCGATGTCTCCGATGCGCATGTGGTCCTCGTTCCAGTTCCCAGAGAAAGACCCCGTCTTCATCATCGCCTCCTTCTTCCCCACGACTTACTTGCTGGTTTCCATCTCGGGCTTCGCAATTCTGAGGAAGATGTATCGGTTCCGCTACCCGGACAAAGTTCACACTAGATCAAGCCAAAGCACAGATACATCGGGCAATGAGAAGGTGGCCATGACCATGAAAGGCATCGTCACCAACTTTGAGATCTCGACGGGTGCCGAGCTACAGACAAGGTTCGGACTCATCTCCGACTACAACAACTACGTCTACTTCAAGGGCATGAAGTTCGCCTCGCCTGACGGCGTCTACTGTTCTGGATACGTCATCGTGAACGGAAAATATCTGGTGAACACCAAACACTTGCTGTCGATTGTGCTGATGAAGCTGTTGCACGCGCGCTTTGCCAACGTGTACGCGTATGAGGTGGACGGCAACAGTGTGAAGGAGATGGCTCGACTGGTGCATACGAACACGTTCATGTGGTCGGACCTGTGGCGCCTTAATGTCACAGTGCTGCTCTAAACGCTAATTAGGAAGTAAATGTACTAAGTATTATATATTATGCATAGAAAATGTTGGTTGGTGAAAGCTTTTGCTAGTTGAATGGATACATCTCCTTGAACAGGTACATCGGGAAGGACGCCTCGTTGCCTGCCGGTCGCGGAAAGCACATAACCTGGTGCACCAAGGCTGGATCGGTCATCGGAGTAGCACAGAACGGGTACCGGCAGCCCAAACAACTTTCGTTTGGGTCTTAATCCACGCCGGTATCGCTGTCAAGTTCGTTCGTTGGACATTCAGCGACATGACCATTGCATCCGGCGCCATGAGCGTAGCGGGGAGCTCCTGCAGCGGGTTGTCCTTCAGCCTGAGGTCCGGGATGATCATGCGCGGAGACATAATTGCCAGCGTAGGAATCGTCTTGATCTGGTTCCCCATGAACGAGAGTCTGTACACTCGAGAGAAGAACATTTGATACGGAATCTGCGCCAGGACGCCGTTCTCGAAGGCGATCACTGCTAGAGCGTGCCACCGCTTGTAGAGGCCGTCGGGTAAAGTTGTGAGGTTGGTTTCCGAGAACTGCATGTTGATCGTGGACGCAGGTAGCGGTTGCAAGAGTCCGGGGGGGGGAACATGTTCATCTGCGTCTTCCCGATTAGTACCGACAATAAGCGGGGGGGCGCTGTTGCGGACACGGAGCTGTCGATGTCCCAGTTCACAATTGTGCTGTTGTACATGTGCAACATGACCAAACAGTAGAGATTTTGGAACTCAACAGCGCGGAGCAATGCACAACTGCCAGCGTTTCCAGCGAACTTTGGTCCAACCTGTCGAACGACGTCGTGTCGAGAGATACCGTGTTTCTTGCGTGACAATCATACACCAGGCTTGAGCATGGTGCCTGACCATTCGAGAACCAAGGTCGAGTCACAGCTCGACACCCCACGAAGTCGAAGCTGGATTCACGCAGAGTTGCTAAAGAGTGGAGGATAATGATGACAATCCCCCACAGAATAAAGACCAGGATAATAATGCGATGTCTGTACTCCTTGCGGGCTTGAAGACGCCATTTCCTTGACGTCATCAGTATCCGAACCACCCCCTTTCGGTCGCACGACGACATATTTGGTGTTCTTTTCATCAACTCCAGGGATCACTGCCGCTTCACTGTGTCCCAGTAACTCCCCCACAGTCACCAGTGAGAGGATAATGCTGAGTTGTGGGATCAATTTCGTTCCGAAGTCGAAGAGACCTGACGCAAACAGCAGTCGATTCTCAAGGGCCATCCCGGCGACAGCAACCGGGTCGTACAGGAAGTCTGGGTTCTTGAACCCTTCGATTTCAAAGTCGAAGCCCCTGACGTACGGGAGGAAAACAATCAGCGTGATGACGATCATGATACCGAAGCTGATCAGCGCATCGAACGTGAGCGTGACGACGCGTTCGAGCGCGGCGTGTGTCTGAAGAACTTCTGGTTCGCTGCAGTAGTCCAGCAGTTTGTGACTAAGAGAGCAACGATCAGCGCGTTTAATTCGAAGTGGGATAGCAGATTGCTGGCTCGGTAGGCTTGGTACGTCTGGGAGCTGGTTTCCAGCACCTCGCGAAGGGCAAAGACCGTCGAGAAGTGCTCGCTTTCGACCAAATAATCCATACCGCGAGAAAAACTTGTTCCAGATGCCGGCAATGAAGCCACCAGCTCGTGGCGAGCTTGGGACAAAAGGAAGATGTTGAGCACCCGCACTGCGTGCATCCCCCCGACCGCACCGAAGACAGCGCCGTAGAAGCGGTAGTTCTGTATCCCCGTTAGCGACCAAACCGAGACGTAGAGTGGCAAAGTGCCCTTCGTGAGGTACCAATACGTCATAGCGACGCAAACGAGATGCGCAGCGCAGATGCCACAATAAACAACCATGCTACTGCATACAGCACCGGAGAGAGCTCCAGCGTCAACAGGGGCCTACGCGGAGCACTCGCTTTTCAGTTGAAGAGCTGAGGAGCTCATTGCCTTGATAACAACAACCAGTGTTAGTTTGGCCACGTGTGTTGAGTCTCTGGTGGTCGACAAGTTCCAAAGTGAGCGTCACGGACGGGAACTCATCCAAATTTGGGACACGTGTGCACGAGACCCTCCTCGGTTCTCAATAGTGAATATCGTAAGAATGGTCGATGATGTACATGTAGAATGATGTATTATTACATGCATGTTGGTATATTAATAATTGTTTGTATGGCGCTCGAACGTGCGTGGGTCTGGGTGGATGCTGGTGCTGGGCAAGTTCCAAAGCGAGCGCCAAGAATGGGGGCAAATTCAAAATTAGTTGGGAATATGTGTACGAGACCTCCCCTCGGTTCTTAGGATGTCGTAAGGATAGTTTCTTGTTCTTGAAGGCGTAGGTGTACGTGTTTGGGTCGGACGCAGGCGCGAAACACATAAAGCATTACATTTGCCATTACTTCTCTGTTTCACGAAACTATGCAGTAAATTTTCATTTTCCGATATCTCGTGATTCACGAGTCGTGAACAAATAAGGGTAAGTCCACCGGTTATGGCGCACTTAAGCGGAAAATGGCATAGCGAGCGCTGTACTTGTCCAATCGATTCGCTTAAATTAGCATTAGAAAGCCAAGACGGTAAGCTATCTTTCTAAGCAAACCAGAAGTGGATTTACGCAATATTGACGCAACGAGGCGTCAATGAAGTCGCATGATATTTCATGCGATCTCGGCATGGCCCTACCAATTCTGGGGCACCAGTTGTTACTGAAAGTAAGTCAAAACGGAAACAGAGGTTGATTACAGGTCTGCAAAATATACAATGGGTTGCTGGAGCACAGGAGTTACACAAAGGCTTGCAGGGGCTGCTCCATCGTCAAGACCGCTACTTTGAGTTGTAGCAGACACCTTGTACGCGCCAAACGCCTCAGTAGTTGCTGAGATATTGGGGTTCAAAACTCGTGCCTCTCTGGCTACGCCATCGTTCTAATCGGCGCAGAAGCGGTTCTGTATCCATTTCGCGACGAGCTTGGGTTCCATTTTCCTCGGTAGCTGGAGCGTTCGTGTGTGCATCTACATTATCACCAGCGTTCTCACGAGGCATCTCAGTGACCACGTGCCATATGCCCCATGTTGAAGTTGACTTGAAGATGGCTACGGCTCGCTTTTCTCCCCCTCGTTTCTGTCTTTTTCGCTTGTAGCTCCTCCGCTTTGCCCCGCTTCTTGCTCACGTCTCTTCTCCTCTCTCTCACGCTGCTTGTCTTCTTCTTGCTTCTTCTTACCCGATTCCTGTGCTGCAGGTAGCAAATTAAAGTGTGTGATCGGCGCTTCTTGCTGCATTTTTACAGCTCGCCACCGCTCCTTTTAATGAAGCTAGCGAGGGCTCCTGGCGCTAGAATTTGAGGCTCACCACATTTTCCTCCGCAATTCATCGGCTATTTGTCGCCTTACCCACAAGAAGGTATGGTTGGGATCGCCTTCATTCACTGCGTCCAGGAAAATTGATTGTGCGCGTGAAAGTGTTGTTTTAGGCTCGCAACGACAGCATTGATAATGACCAATAAGATGCCATCGCGGAGCGCTTTTGCGTTTTAATTGGAAAATATTATGCGATGGGGCATATTTTATCCAATCATATGAAGTTATGTGTACCACACATTGTTGATGATAGTTTCGTGGAACAGAGAAGTATGTTGAAGTTGTAGTAAATTACAGTCGTTCATATAGGTCTTTTTGGATCGTTAAATGAACCGTCGCGGCCAGTGGTAAAGTCGCCGAGTCCGCAGCCTGCCTTCGTTCATCCATGTCGGACCTGTCGTCCCCCGTCAAGAAGAATGTCCCGAAGCACTTGCGCCACGCCATTTCCAGCAGGAACAAGGCGGTGGTGCCTCGCCCCAAACGCAAACCTCGCGTGTATCTGGCGAAGCAGTTCGCAGGAGAACCTCTGCGTGAATGGGTGCAGCGGAACCTCGAGAGCTCCTTGGCAGGCAGCATTTTCAATGCAGCCACGACGGTGCTGAGTACCTTCCACGCTTTGTTCCACATCAGCCTCAACTGGTCTGGGCTGCGGATCGGACTGGACCCGTGGATGCAAGGTAAACAAACGCATTATGAAATACTTACTAATATTTTACGACTAACACATATTTCTTGACAACAGAGCTCGACTTTTGCCTCAACATCGTCTTCACGCTCGAGTTCGTCGACAATTTTGTAGATTTTCACCTAAAACTTTATGCTCAGTGTCTCATTCTCTGTGTTTTTGTCAGATACGCACTGCACGTGTATGCTGCCTTCGACCGACTCGAGTACGTTGTGGGTTTCTTTCCGATGGTGGAGTTTGCTGTCGTGTTGCCGTCGTGGTTCGACCTCATCACAGCGTACAGTCCGAGCATCACCTCGACGAGTACGCTTCCCCAGCTTTCACGAATGCTGCGACCGCTTCGCTTCATTCGAATCTTCCGTCTCGTACAATTTGCAACATCTTCGCTCCAGCAACAGGCGTCGGCAGCGATGCTCACTATTGTGTCCATTGTATTCGCCACAGCTGGCGTCGTGCAGGCTACTGAGGCGTGCCTTGAAGTGTGCGACGATGAACCTCGTGTGTGCAAGTGCCGCGATCTGTCGTTCCCCAATTTGCTGTACTTTGTGGTGGTGAGCATCTCGACTCTGGGCTATGGCGACATCTCTCCCGTGTCGACCAGCGGCAAGTTTGTCATCGCCTTCGTCATCCTCTTCACCTTCATCGTCGTGCCGATCCAAGTGAACCGCATCCAGGCGACTATCACGTCGCACACGGACTATTCCTCTGCTTATTCAGAGGCGAAGCTGCATCCGCACGTTATCATTACTGGTTACGTGAACGCCGACACGCTGTCCATCTTCTTCGGGGAGTTCTTCCACCCCAGCAACCTTAACTGGAACGAGCGAGTGGTTATCCTCAACGCGTCCCAGCCCACACCCGAGATCAACAAGGTGCTGCACACTTACGACAGCAAAGTGCAGTATATTGTCGGGTCCCCTTTGCTGGACGATGACTTGACCCGAGCTGTGCTGAGCGACGCCAGTGCCTGCTACGTGCTAGTGAACCGACAGTCGTCGCGTCCTCAGTACGCGGATCAGTGCTGCGCACTCATCACCATCGCTCTCCGTCGAGGGAACCCGACGTGTCCGATATACGCGCAGATAATCAACTCGAGGAATGCCGCGACGCTGCTGAAGATGGGGGCGAGCGATGTTGTGGTCCTTGGGATGCTCAAGTTCTCCGTCTTAGGACGAAGTTGCCAGGTGTGGGGGCTCCCGACGCTGCTGTTGAACCTCCTTACACAGTGCAACAGCGACCTGGACAGCCACCATTCTTCTCTGCAGTGGCAACGTCAGTATTTGCATGGCTACATGCATGGAATCTTCCTAGTCGACATCCCCCGTACCTTTTCAGGGCTCACGTTTGGTGATCTCATTCGGTTTCTCTACGACAAGGCGTCGCTTATCCCTCTGGCCATGCTCACGGACGACGGGGTGCGCTTTATGGACATGGAGTTCAAGCTTGGCGCCACGGCGGACCCGAATTTGTGCTGCAAAGTGTACGCTATTGCCAAGGGGCTAAACGCAGTTGAAGGCGTCATGAAAATCCCGCCGGAGCAGATTCTTTCGTACCGCAAAGGCATGCGACGCAAGGTTAAGTCCATGTCCAGCAACAGTTTACTGGAGATGAAGAAGATCAAGCCAGCTCTGGGCAATGAGATCGAGCAGATCCGAGAGAGTATCATGAACATGTACGCGGTCGCTGAGGATTACGACGTCGAGGCTGCGATTGGTATGGCCGAAAGGGAACACAACGGTTATCCGAACTCAGATCAACCTTTAGATGGGGAGGTGTCGGAATACGAACGCTTTGTGCCGCTTGGTGTACCCGAAGACGTCGCGGATCACATTGTGGTGTGTGGCTTCCCATCCGACACGTATCACTTCATCAAGACGATTAGAGAGGCGCCCATGCCCGATGACTACACTCCATCGCCGGCTATTGTGTTCTTAGCTTCGGATCCAATTGACGAGCGCGAGTACGAGCGTCTGCGAGGGTTCATCGACATTTATTTTGTGCAAGGTTCGCCTGTAAACTTCGGAGACCTCAAGAAAACCAACATCCGCTTCGCCATCTCCGTTCTCATCCTCACACAGGCGTCAGAAGCTCCATACTCCGACCCAAACATGGTGGACGCTGACGCTATTACCATCGTGCGGTACATTGTGGAGATCAGTCAACGCACGCGGATGCCGAACCTCGTGGTGGAGTTGGATAAGTCCTCAAACGTCAAGTTGCTGAGCTCGTTAGCCAATGAACGACGTACTAGCTCCGCCTTCGGACTCCCAGCGCTCGTGGTTCGCAACGTCTCCTATCGTACTCCACGGCAAAGCAATACTCTCGCAGCAGCCACTTCAAGGCGCGACTCGTTCTGGAGCTCGCTGGACGAGGGCGACGGTAATACGGACTCATCGTTCGTACTGGAGGAGTTCATCGCCTCCGGTCGTGTGTTTATGAACTCGATGCTTGACTCACTCATGAGCGAGTGCTACCGGAAGCCCTGGATCACACAGTTCCTCCATCTACTCATCAACGGCAGCATCAACGATCTCGAGTGCGTCCGCTACCTTTCGTATTATTTGTTTTTGTGTGATTCTGACTATAACTTTATTCCTGAAAATTGTAGGGAGCGACGACTGTTCCAAGTGGAGGCGCCAGAAGAGCTGATTGCTCTCAAGTATGGCGAGTGCTTCCGCAAGTTCCTCGACATGGTACGCATGTACTTCTGTTGGTCTAGGACGATGGAATCCTGACCAAGTCCTTTTACTTTCTTTTTTTTACTTTTTTTTACTTGTAGGCGAGTTGCACTTGTATCGGACTTTGGCGACCGGAACGTGGCGTGGTTCTCCCTCACCCCTGCGTTTTTATCAATCCCCCCATGGACCTCCAGATCGAGCCTGGTGACCTCTTCTTCGTTGTGGGCAAACCCTTCACCTTCGCATCCAGCCCCGACATCTTCACGCATTGAAGTTCATAAAAACAAGTTGCCTTTTTCAAGCCTTCTCATTGGTCCGTTAACTATTTTCATTCTAACCAATCCCGTCCATTATTCATTTGTGGCGACCAAGTATCGGAGACCTGGCATTGCGTCCTGCCCCGTCCTGCGTGAATATGAGCGCGTTCCGGTCCAAGTTCCTGTACCCGGCCAAGGTGAACTGGTTCCCGGGCCACATGGCTCTTGCGCGCCGCGCGATGGTGTCTCAAATGGACGCGGTCGACGTCCTGATCGAGGTGCGCGACGCTCGAATTCCGTGGAGCTCGGCCAATCCCGTCCTGGAGGAGGCGTTCGGCAAGTCCAAGCCCCGGCTCGTGGTCTTCAACAAGAGCGACCTGGCCAACTCCAACATGCAGCAACGCGTGGAGCAGCAGTGCAAGCAGCAGCTCGGGACGGCCACCGACTGCCTGTTCACGTCCGTGACCAAGGGCAAGCGGCTGCAGGCCATCCTGCAGTGGTGCAACAAGCACAGCGGCGCGCAGTTCAAGAGCACGGCCGGGTCCATGGTCATGGTGGTGGGGATCCCCAACGTGGGCAAAAGTTCGCTGATTAATGAGTTCCGACGACTGTCCAACAACCAGAAGATGGCCAAGGGCAGGAAGAGAGCCACCGTAGGCCCGACCCCCGGTGTCACGGTCCGCAACGACATTATCAAGGTGCGTTCAGGGGTGGTGAGTTAGAGGGGGCTAAAGGTTATTGACCGGCGTGCTTGGTTTTGCTGGTTTGTTGCAGGTGAACGACAAGCCGGCGGTGTATGTGGTGGACACTCCTGGTGTGATGCTGCCCAACATCCCGTCGGCTGAGACGGGAATGCGGCTGGCCCTTACGGGCGCGATCAAGGACGAGGTCGTGGGCACCGAGTTGATCGCAGACTACATGCTCTTCCTGCTGAACCAGATGAAATCGACGCGGTATGTGGATGCGCTGAAGCTTCCGCGCCCGACGGACGATATTGACGAGCTATTTGGGCTCGTCTACAAGCGCTGCGGAGCGCTCGGCAAGGAACCGGACGTGCAGAACAAACTGGCGGCGCAGTTCTTGCTGCAGGAGTTCCGTCACGGAGCGTTCGGCAACTTCACGCTCGACCCCATTGAGACGCCTGCTAAAGTCGTAATGCCTGCAGCTCCTTCGTCGTAAATGTACAATGAAAGTTGGGGAAATGCACCTGCCGCCTCGTCCCCTCACACCAGTTTCAGCCTCTCTCTCTCCGTTTGACCTTCACGCGTTCAAGCTCACACCACTCAGTCAGCGAGGATCAGTACTACAAGGTGGGTTCGAGGGCAGGAGAGGGGATTGGCTCGAGGTTTGAGGACGTCGATGGAGGCAAGTCATTCCCCTATTCTTAGCGGCAATAGGATGGCTCACGCGCTCGGTCACCCGTCCAGTTTGCAAGTTGCGCGCAGCTCCCGCAAGTCGTTTCGATCTGCCGACATCACTTTGGCTCGAGATAGCGCGAAAAAACAGCTAAACTTGTCGATCCCAAGGTGCAGGTGCAACTTCGACCTCTAGACGTACGTACACAGATAGCTCGGAGGTTGTTGGAGCCCCAAAAAAAGCGTGCCGAACGCCGGCGCAACCGCCGCTGGGACGCGGGATGATTCCATTCCCCCTTTTCCACACGGGCCACACTAGAATGACAGACACTCCCTCACGGGTGTCCATGTCGAAAGTGATCCCCAAGGACGACTCTGGCAAGGTGATCGAGATGGCGGGCAGCAGCGGCGGACGCAGCGGCACCAACCTGGCCAACAAGAACGACGAAAGCCAAGTGATGCCCCTCCCGTCCCCGAAATCCCCCAACAGCAACATGAACGGGGGTGGTAGCGCTCCAGCGTCGCCGATTCGAAGAACCCGACTGCATATCATGGGCGCGAGTATGCAGGACCTCAAGCTCAACTTCTTCCGTCCACGCACCAGCAGGAACAACGGGGCCCCCAGTCGCCAGGAGGACATTGGCATCTCGTTCGTGTCGCTGCAGTTCTCCAACGCGGACATGGAGCAGCGGTTCACCCTGGCGCGCTGTGTCAAGTACCAGACGCGGCTCAAGTTCGGCTCGGGCTTCACGGCCTTCTTCATCCCGTTGCTGGTGATCATGCAGGTGAGCTTCAAGACAAACGAAGAGGACGGCGAAAAGTGGACGCAACTGCCGCTCGTCATGGTGTTCCCGGGTATCGTCACGCTCATGGGGCTGCTGGTGGTCTTCTTCCAGCGGTTCTTCATGACGCACATGCAGTGGTTGACTCTGGTCTGCCTCATCGGCCAGATCAGCGCGTTGCTGGACACCACCGCGGCCGGTACAATGGTGAGCGAACGCAACATTTGGGTGCAGTTCATCTTCTCGCTGGGCATTACCAGTTCAACGGGGCTGACCTTCCTCAAGTCGACGACTGTGCTGGTGTGCTCGAGTATCTTCTTCCTGATCCTGGCCTGGGTCAAGTTTGCGACTAAAACGACTACGGAACAGCTCAGTGCACCGGGTACAGTCACCGCCGCCATTATCCTCTACTCGATCTTGCTCGCCTTCCTGTCGTGGAACTGGGAGTACGAAGAGCGTCGCGACTTCGTGCTGACGGAGCGTCTCGCCCAGGAGAACGTCATGGTGCAGATGACGATGGAGATGACGGGATGGTTCAGTGGCGGCGCGGCGGACCAGAGCCCCGGTAATGGAGCCGATGCCGGTGGGATTCTAAGTGCCAACTGTCACATTGACCCCAAGGACGTGCTGGTCAAGGAGGAGCTGGGAGAAGGAACCTTCGGCTGCGTGTACGCAGCGACGTGGAAGGAGACGCGAGTGGCTGTCAAGAAGATCACGCTGCAGGGCGACACCAAGTCGATCGTGACGAGTTTCGGCTCCGAGGCGAGTGTCATGGCGCAACTGCGTCATCCGAACGTCGTCATGTTCATGGGCGTCATGGTGCACCCGGAGTTCGTGGGGCTTGTGATGGAGCTCTGTCCCAAGGGCAGCGTCTACACTGTTATCCACAACGAAGACGTCAAGATCGACTGGTCTCTGCTGCTGCGCATGATGGTGGACTCCAGCCGTGGAATGCACTTCCTGCACTCGAGCAAGCCTCCGATTCTCCACCGCGACCTGAAGAGTGTCAACCTGCTGATTGATGCCGACTGGCGCTGCAAGGTCTCGGACTTCGGTCTCTCCAAGCTCAAGGCTTTCCGTGAAGACCAGAACGAGTCCGGAGTGGCTGCCAGCGTCAATTCCGATGCCAAGAACGTCCCTCGCGTCTTCATCGGCTCCAGCGTCTGGATTGCGCCCGAGGTGTTCAAGGGCGAGGAGCACACGGAGAAGGCGGACGTCTACAGCTTCGGCGTGATTCTCTTCGAGGCGCTCAGCAGCTCCGTTCCCTACAATTCCATCTCGGTGGACGCCGTTCCGTTCGTGGTGCAGGCTGGAAAACGCCCCACAGATTTTCAGGCGCTGGAGCTTCCTCCTGGAGACGCTATGCAGGACCTGTACAGCCTCATGACGCGCTGCTGGAGCGCTGAGATCTACGCGCGACCGTCCTTCTCGATCATTATCTCGACGCTGCAGTCCATTCTCACCAAGCACTGCGGCGACGAGAAGTGGGAGGACCACATCATCTACCCGGACCGGAAGATCGTCAACCCTTCGAACGCACCCGCAGACGACGATGGTCTGTCCATCCGTGAGGAGGATTTGATCGTGGATGCCGCTATCGGGCGAGGTGTCTTCGGTGTGGTATACAAGGGCAGCTACTTCGGCACCCCAGTTGCTATCAAGAAGCTGCATGTGAGCGGAGTCCCTAAGAACACTCTGGTCGAGTTCGAGAAGGAGTGCAGCATCATGAAGGGCCTTCACCACCCCAACATCGTGCTGTTCATGGGTTCTTGCTCTAAACCGCCGACTCTGTTGCTGGTGACGGAGCTGCTGGCCAACGGCAGCTTCTTCGACATTTACCACAAGATGCCGCGTCCAGATCCTGCTCGCCAGCTGCGTCTAGCTTACAGCGTGGCGTTCGACATGGCCAAGGGTCTGGCATACCTCCACAACCACAATCCGATCGTCATCCACAGAGACCTCAAGTCTCAGAACATTCTGCTGGACGACAGGATGCGCACCAAGATCGGCGACTTTGGTCTGTCCAAGTTCCGAGACGTTGGCAAGACCATGTCCATCTGCGGTAGCCCCCTCTGGGTGGCTCCGGAAGTGCTGCGTGGTGAGAAGTATGGTACCCCGTGCGACGTCTACAGTTTCTCAATCATCGTGTGGGAGGCGCTGGCCTGGGGTGAGCCGTACCCGGATCTGGGCTCAAGTGACATCATGAATGGTGTTGCGGGTGGAAACTTGCGCCCGACTGTTCCTGACGGCACGCCGACCGGGCTCGCTCGTCTGCTAGAAGAGTGCTGGACCAAGAAGCAGGACCAGCGCCCGACGTTCAACGAGCTCGTGCCAAGACTCGAGGCCATGAGCAAGGATTTTGCAGCCTAGAATTGCCACTAGCTGACAACCAGTAGTTCATTTATCGCTAGTGTTCACGCTAGCTTCGTCTGACCCTCCTTCTCGCCTGACTGACACCCTAGTACTCTTGTATTTAATAATACAGCAATACAGCACCAAAGATCTGCTCTATTCGTTCGTTTTTAACTACTCAGCACTCTTTGCTTCTTGTCCTTGTGAAATAGCCAACTTGAACACGCGGTAATGGTGATTCAACGACTTGATCGTGTGCAGCTTGAAATGACTCAGCAGCACACCATCTTCCGGGTTAGCGCGGTCAAAGATCACGCGTCGTGCGCGACTGTGCACCAGCGCCATCGCGCACATGCCACACGGCTCGCGGTCCAGATACACGTCGTATCCAGTACACAAGTATGACTCAGTCGACTTGGTCTTCACCTGTTGCAGCTCTGCAGTGGCGGCGTCCTCTCCTTCGGCACACTTCTGCTTCTTGCTCGCCTTCTCCTGCACCTCCACCTCTCGTCGTCGATCCCGCTCTGCAACGGCGTCGACCGCCACCATCACAGGGTGGTACAACGTCTCGAACTTGTACTTGGCCTGCAACTCCTCACCGACCTCCGACGTCGCAACCGGTTCATCAGTCTCTAGGTCCACCACCACGCAGCCCCACGCACAGCTCAGCGTCTGCTCCCTCTCCTCCTTCAGTCTTTCTCCAACGCTCACCGCAGACTTCAAATGCTTCAGCATCTTCTCCTTCTCGTGGTCTTCAATTGGTGGCAGCGCTGTGGCCTCCTCCACGCTGGCGTGGAAGATGAGCGGCCAGTGCTTCGTGTGCTTCTCGAACAGCTCTCGGGTGCGCGGTGCGAGCTTCAGCGCGTCTGCCGTGGTGAGTCGAGCTTCGAACATTGTTTCCAGCTGCTCGAGCTCCTCGGAGGGCTCTGTGGTGTCGTGGGCGTCCGAGTTTAAAGGGCACACGAGCGCCACGAGCGTTTTCGGGGATTCCGCGTGCTTTTTCAGCCGCTTCAGGTGCGCGAACCCGAGCTCCGTTAGTGGCTGGAAGCTCGCGGACAGGTGCTTCATGACCTTGGAGCCGAACCGGGCGGGGAACTCCAGCGCCACGAAGCGCTGCTGGGCCTCCAGCGCCTCGGCATCGAACTCCTCGGGGGCGACCACTTCCACGAGCTCCATTGTTGTCTTTTGACTGGCGTAAAGCAGAAGTAACGGTGCGTGAAGTGACGATAAGTGAAGTAGAGTTAAGGAGTGTCGACCAGCGAGAAGTTGAAGTTTGTACCCATTTTTAGCCGGTTTTTAGCGATCTTATCATCTGAGGAGGTGAGTGGCTTGCCTATTGCATTAGTGTCCATGTCGTCGCCCAGGTTCTTGAGTGTTTCTCCGTCGCAGCCGAGGGTGCTGCCGTTCGCGACGGCCACGGACTCGACGCTGCATCGTCCGGCGTGGCGCAGCACCAGGGCCATCGAGCCGTCGCCCTGGAGTCCGAGGAGAGTGAGTGAAAGACTGCTTCCTTCGTGTAGACTGCAACTGGTCCTTGACGTGTGCTAGTATCTCGTTTCCAGCCAACGTCTCGGTTCAAAGGTCACTTGCGCTATGATCTGCTAGGCCCGCCGACTTCCGATCTACCAACACCTCGGCCGGCAACACCAGCAGCGATCGCAGCAGAAACACCGCCCTCCTGTGAAGTTCCAGAAGTCAACTCAAGCACTGAGAAGAGCGAGTCACCTGCAACTGAGCTAGAAAATGCTGTAAATTCTCCCGACCAGAATGAAAATAGTGCTCCTGAAACAACAGCACCTTCAGCTAGCAATGATACGGCAGCGAAAGGTGGAAGTGCAGTCTCTCCCAGGACCGATTTGACGAATCTTGAGGAGCTGCGGTGGTTCCAGCATCGGTGGCTAGATAAGCACGGCCGCAATAGCAGCCTCAAGGCCACGCGTCAGCAGCTAGCACTGATGAGACGTTGGTTCGACTCGCTGGACGCAGACGGATCTGGTGAGGTCGGACTGGACGAGCTCGAGGACCCGCTCGTGTCGGTCGGGCTGGCGTGCAGTCGTGACGACGTCCAGCATCTGATCGAGGAAGTCGACCTCAACGGCACAGGCGGCGTCACATTCGACGCCTTCTTGAATCTGCTCTACCCGGAGCGAGCCAAGCGCGAGCGAAGTCGAAGGTTTCCCCCGCCACTTCACACACCCAAGCATCGACCTCCAGCTCGTCCCGATGCCTCGTCGAAAGCCTCTGGGGTGAGTCCCAAGGCGAGAAACTCTGGAAAGACCGTTGTCGTGAACCCTGTTGCGCGGTTGTTCGAGGACCTGCAAGCAGGGAAGCTTGGTGACATGGACGTTCCGTTCCCCGTCCTCATCACAGCTTACCGTCGACGGATGCTTCTCAACGCGCACATGGCTGACAACCCGACCGCGAAAAGGTGAGTTTGGAGCTGTTAGACACGACTTGTCATTGTTTTCTTACCTTTGAGACGCCGCCAGAGTTGGGTCTTCCGTGTTGCAGGCTCTTGAGGCATCCAGGCAAGAACCCTCGACGGACGATACGTACGACTGGCGCAGAACACATTTCGACCTTCAATTACCTTCGCTGTTTCCATGACAACACGAGAATAAGTCTACATCATCGCAGTCAGACCCAACAGGACAGCAGCAACTGCACAAGAAATCCAACACAATAGTTATACCACAAGTCACATCCGCTCCTCGCTCTTCCTGAATCAAATCTCACCACTTTACAGATTCATTTTCAAGCCTTGACAGCTTTCACCTAAACATCTCGCCCGTGCCGAAGGCAGCTTGACTCACAATGTCCTATGTCATCGCCTGAAGCAGATTGCTGCCCTTGATGGTGGCACCACGAACGTGAGGGGCTGCCAGTCTAAACCGGACGGCCGACTCGTGTCTACTCGTTCGTTCGCCACCACCACTAACCAGCAAGGTCAGCTCTGCTTCGTCCGCTACGCACCAGATCAGGAAAATGGCCAGGTTTGCAGCATACATACACACGCCCCGCCACTCCCCTCAGGCTTCCCGTGGCCCAAGTTCGCCAACGGGGCCTCCTCGGTGCTCCGCTTGCTTTTCTGATACTTTCCGTCCATGCCTCTCTCCATTGCGTCGTTGCTCGCTGCCACCGACTCCAGAATGTCGACCTTCGCTTATAGTGGGTAGAGTGTTACTTGGCATTCACCGTACTCATAGGTGGGGTCTTTGAAGAGCCACTAGTACTTGTCACGGGCTTCTGCATCGATGTCTGCGAGGGCTGTGAAGCTTGAGGTCCTGATGTTGAGTTGCCGGGGTGTTGCTGGTTCGGGGCAGCACCCGGCTGACCGCCAGCCTGGCCGGCAGCTCCTCCTACCTTTGTGCGCTTGAAAGCGGCAGCATTTGCTGCTGCCGCCATCTGCTGCTGAGACTGTGTAAGCGTCCGCTTTGTACCCGCCAGGTGCGCAGGATCGTTGCCTCCATTCTTCATTGCGTCACCGTTGAGACCGGAACTACCATCTCCCTGCAGATCGTCAGATCCTAGCAGCGAAGACGATAAATCCAAGTTCAGGAAGTCGGAAGATTCACCGAGGCTCATGTCTCCACTCATGCGCTGCTGGTTGGCGCTACCATTTACTGCACCAGGTCGCTGCTGAGCTTGAGCCTGGGCCTGGGCTTGCGCGCGGGCTTGAGCTTGGGCCTGAGCTTGCTGTTGCTGCTGCTGCATGTAGTTCGGGTTCTGTCGCTGCTGCATTTGCTGCTGCATCTGCTGCTGTTGCTGCATTTGCCGCATCGAGTTCTGGCGCTGGAGAGCCTGGTTCTGCTGGTACTGCTGCTGTTGCAGCGAGTTTTGGCGCTGCATCTGAGCCTGCTGCTGCGCCTGCTGCATCTGGAGCTGGCGCCGCTGCAGTTGAGCTTCTTGGAATTGCTGCAACTGCTGCGGAGTGAGCTGCTGCCGCATCTGGGGGTTTTGCTGCATTTGCATCTGCAGGTGTTGCTGCTGCATCAACTGCTGCTGAGTCATCCGGTTCCCGTAGGGCATGTTGCCAACTACGTGGCCTTGAGGACCCATGCCGCCTGCGCCCGGGTTCATCGCCATGCCTGGAGGCGCATTGCCTCCCATCATCGCTGCGCTTCCGGCTGCAGCTCCAGCGTTACCCGGGACACCGCCTGCAGCTGCACGCGGATTGCCACCAGCCTTGTGCTGTGCACGCGCACCCATCGTAACCGCCAAATGCTGTAGCCGCGTTTTCAGAGATGAAAAGTCACCGTATTCGTCGCGGTTTTTCGCAGTACGGTACAGCGAATCCTCTAGTCGTCTAGCCATGTCCGGCAACCGTCGAATCCACTCAGCGGGCGCATCCGGTTTCCGCTGTTGCAACAAACTAACACTGTGTATCACGTAGAACAAAGCACCAAGTCGTTAGTTCTACCACCCTGGTTGTCAATCCCCTAGCGACCGCAACAACGTACATTTTGCCGATCATCTTCCGACGCAAAGGCAGATCGTTCTCCGACTGCCACGCAGTCTGAGTGTCGCCGGAGCTGGAACCGCTAGGCGTCCGACCAGCCGCAGCACGCTGCTGAGCCTGTTGCTGCGCCATCTGAGCCGCGCGCATCCTCGCCGCGTTCACCATACCAGCCTGCTGAGCGTTCTGCTGAGGTCCGCCCATCATCATGTTCGGGTTTCCATACTGCTGCCCGTACGCCGCGTTGCCAGGAGCCGCACCACGAGCCATGGCTGGGTTTCCGCGCTGCATGTACGCAGCATTCGCGCCCATCATGTTTTGCTGGTTCGCAGCGCTCTGGCTCATCGAGATTCGCAGCACTTCCATCGGCGGCGGGATCAGATCCGGGTGCTGCATCATCATCGCCTTCACGCGCGCAAACTCCTCCTCGTACGACGACGTCGGCGGACGGTAGGCCTGACCGGGCTGGCCCCCCATATATTGGCCAGCAGCGCTGGTAGGCGGTGCACCGCTCACGCCTCCCGGCATTTGGCCCGCGTGCATTTGCTGCTGGTAGGGCTGGCCTGCGAACTGCTGCGGTTGTCCGTTCTGTTGGTTCATCATCATCTGATTGGCGTATTGGTGCTGCCTCTGCTGCTGCATCTGCATCTGCTGCTGCTGCTGGTTGCCAATGTGCGGCCGCGCGGAGGACGTCGTCGACGGAGCGGACGTCGTGGCGTTGCTGCTGCTCGCGTTACCAGCGCTGGACGCCGCGCCGCTGCTCGAAGAAGGCTGCATCGGAGCCGAAGAGGCCGCGGACGGCGAGGGCTTCGCCCCTGACGACGTGGCCGTGGACGCCGCCGTGGACGTGGACGTGCTCGTGCTGTTGGCGTCGCTCTTCATGGGTACGGACGCTGACGACGTGGCGGCACTGTTCGTCGTCGTGGTCGAGTTCGAGGTCGGCGCTGAGGCGGGGGCGGACGTGGCGGACGCGCCGGCCTCCGTCTTGGGCTTGGCGTCTTCGTTCTTCTTGTCCACGCTGGTCGTGACTGTCGACGCCGACGTGGCGGTGGTGCTGGTAGAAGACGACGCGGCGGCGCTGGACTCGAGCTCCGAGCCGAAGTAGCTCGAGCCCATGTCTCCTCCGCCGGACGAGCTCGTGGACGGCGCGGCCGACGTGGGCGCCGCCGAGGCCGAAGCAGCAGGAGCGGGGGGCGCTGCGTTGTCCGCGGGCTTGTGGCTCTGCGTGGCGCTGGGCGAGGGCTTGGGCGAGTCGCCGAAGCTGAAGTCGTTGTCGCCGCCGCTGGGCATCGAGGCGAAGGGGTCGTCCCCCAGGCTCTGCACGCCCGTGGGGGTGCCCACGCTGAAGGGGAGCGCACCGCCGCCGCTGCCGCCGTTGGGCGAGTTGCCCATGGGCGTGCTGTTGGTCCACGAGCCGAGCGAGCCGAGGTCCAGCAGGTCGCCGCCGGCGAAGTCGAAGCCGAACGAGTCCATGGGTGGATTGGTGGGTGATTGGGTTAAATACTACTACAAGACACTATACGCGCGGACTCCGTCTGCAAATGCGCAACAAGAGGATGGGTTAGCACCACTTAACCGCGTTTAGAGACTGTTAAAGCGAGAGGGGGGCGCCCAAGCGGCCAAGTGTAGCGTAGCGTAGCGCGGCGTACCGGCGGGTCAAAGCGTCTGCCTCCCAAGGTCCGCCGCGTGGAGAGAGCTCTGCGCTGGATATGCTGCTGTGCCTTACGGGGGGAGAGGGGCTGGATGGACTGCGCGGCGCGGGCTGGGGCGGCTGGCGTCTGCGTGGAGCCTTCCTTCCTTCCTGCGGTTTTGTTGGGGCTTTGACGGCTGAAGCGCCCCGTTCAAAACTGGCAAAATTCAAAAATAACGACTTTGGCGGCCCAGTCAAAGTATAGTTAAGAAGTCAAAAACCTTGCGAATTTCAAAAAACCTCGCTTTTAAACGGAGACAAATTCTCTAAGACGCGGCACGCTGGCTTTCTCTCGCGCCAAAATGGGGGGGCCTTCCTCAACTCGGGGCCCCCACTCTTGGTGAGATTACTGCGGCGTACGGCGAGCTGCCGACCGCCGCCGCGCTAGTCGAGCGGCGCTACTAAAGCTATCGTCGATGTACTCGAGCGGCGCGCCGCTTCGTCTATTGGAAGTGGGTGCGTGCTCAACAAAACCTGCCAGAGGCGCGTCGAGGCTCCCACTTTTGGTCGAGCGGTGATTGGTCGGTCGGTCGGACCCGTAATAGCGGGTCGTCACTGACGCCCCGCTATTACGGGTAGTACCGTGTAGGTAGTGGGATTATTGGCTAGTAGTAATATGATATTATCACTATTATCCAAATGTCTATTAAATGTAGTAATATTTAATTCTAATATTCGAATAGCAGTAATGCACCGACGGGCCTAATATGACTAGTAGTAGTAGTGGAGCATCACAGTCGCGTCGATCCGTTGGGGGTCGAGACCCTGCAATGGGCAGGCCGAAGTCCCCGCTCTCCAGATGGATCTAGTGAAGCTGCTGATGACTTGCATCTAAGAATCACATCTAGAGTTTTGTATTTGTTGGGGTTCAGACGGCTAGCTACCCCGATACTGCGCACTGCTGCAGTGTTCCGTGGTAGTACATGTAGCCCATCAAAAGCATCACAGCATCACATCTAGAGGTAAATCAGAGTTGCAGCTATACCCGTTCAGACAATCACATCAATTTACAATAACAAACTAGGTCGTCTTGGACTTGGCTGGGAACACCAGTGGTATAAACGCTGGTGATGGTACCGGTGCTAATTGCCATGATAAGGGAGAACTGTGGCCTGCGATATTCATGGGCGTGGCCCCTGCGGGGCCACGCCCATGAATATCGCGCGTGCCGCAGTTTACTTTCTGAAGCTGGTGCATGGGTCTGTTGACGTGCATTTCCTGGCCTCAGTCTGTCTTGCTGAAAGTTGCCGTTGAACCTGTTCGGTTGACATCCTTCTGGCTGGTGTAGCACGAAGGTTGCGCCAGGTAACGCTTACACGTCCGATTAATCCGCTGGGAGCTGTCCACCCCCTCATTATTCGGGTGTTCATAGTATAAGTCTGATTGTAAGTAAGAACTATATCGCGAGCTCCACATGCTGCGCGGTTACACGCCCAGACCCCCGCGACACAAAACTAACTCCGAGTTGCAGCAACGGGTCCGTTCGCTGGAAAGCTCGTCGCTGGGCCCGCCTACGCAAATACCGCGTGGTCCTGCTTTGGCTACGCTCCTCACAACCGCTCACTACCGCTTTTTGTGCCGGCTGCACCCGAGCGGGTCAATTGTGTAGGCAAGTAGATGAAGCGAGATACTGCCTATTATGTTTCTTCTTTAAAAAAAAGTAGGAGATCGCCGCCTATATAAGCTTGCTTTTCCCTCCGTTATTTTTTTTAACTGATATGAGGTATGTGAATGCAAGTAAGTGCATCAATGTAAGGACCCCATTATGGCTACAGTACTAATATGCATGTTGACCATCACTCCCAATTCCGCTCGAGCTGCCATATCTGCCTCCATACGCGAGGTATGAACTGCCGCTGTGAATGCTCGTTGCGTTCTCGTCCTAAGAGGGTTCCACACGACAGCATCGGTCTAGAGCACGCTTGCCGTCGATCCACATTCAGGCATGGATCGGTTTTCGCCGACTGTTGGTTCGGGAACCCGCGGCACACGTAAATGTTCCCTCAAAGATGCTCAACAGTCCAAATGTGAGTATTGCGTTTTCTATCTCGCATGATCTGCTTGATAGCGCTTTACTGCGTTCTTCTTTGTGGTTTTTGCGGTTGGTGCATTGCTTGGCCACGATACTTAAGCGGCAAAGTAAAGTAATTGATTTGAGCAAAGTTTGATGACTTCTGACTAGTTTCACGAAAGGCTTCTGGTTGCCTTCCGCTCCCAGTATGGCCACCGTAGATGGAGCAGGAGGAGGACGCAGCGCGAGTTTATATGGGAGAAGATCGTCAGTATACATGTACCGACGTGGAAAAAGGTTCGTAGAGAATTGTAGCCTCATTTAAGCGAAAACAATATAATACCACCCCAGACTGCTTGGTCCACTTCGTGAAGATCAGCGCAACAGCTAACATATTACGTAGGTGCAAGTAGTTTCTAGTTTATGTATTTAAGGAAACAATGTACTCGAAAGTTGAAGCACTTTACTTGCTACTTTGAGGTACTCGAGAGTACAAGGGCGATTCCCAGATGTACTACAGGGTGTGGGCTCCTGGGGGTCACATCCATCCACATCAAAGATGTGCACACACGTGCGGCTACAGAACCTGTGTGTCGCCTTGCTTAGTACAATAAAATCGACTAAACCAACCACGAACAGCAGCGTTGCCTTTGAGATAGCTTACCACACAGCTCGTAGCTGCACATTTGATGCATCTGTCGGCCACACGAAAATGTCTTCGATACGGCACTTCCGTGGCAATCGCTCTTCGCGTGATTCATACCACGCTTACGTGGGGTTGGAAGGCGAATCCTAACGATGTGTGTGCGATCTGTTTGGTTCAAGAATGGGGTACATTAGTAGTGATAAATAGCACTATGTATTATCCATGTTTTTACTACTACATTCAATTAGCACTACGAATACTCCAATCTCAGAGCTATAGTAGTAATAGTAGTGGTGGTGACAATATGTCAACTAACGCTACTAATCGAGACTACTACCGAGCCCATAAATACTGCTAAAACGCATACGTAGTTCATAGTTGCCCGCCAACCAAACGTCAGAATTGACCTGAGTTGGTGATGGGGAAGACGCCCGTGGCCACGCGCAGCAGCGCGCGCGCCGTCAAGGAGCGGCAACTGGCGCTGGTCGAGGAGCCAGGACGCGAGCTGCAGGCCGTGGGCTCGCGCGAGCTGCAACTGGACGACGACTGGGAGGAGCGCCTCAACCTGCAGGTCAAGATCATGTACGGGCAAAAAATGGCTGCACCTCGTTGTGACTAAAACCTTTATTTATATTGCCAAGGCGCTAATAGGGATGTGTTGTCGATGGTTTTGCAGGAATGTGGTGGGCACGGTGGACCTGAAGACGCCGCTGGACTTGAAGACGATTGCGCTGCACGCACGCAACGCCGAGTATAACCCCAAGGTGCGGCTGGAAGAGGAATGGTGTTGCAACGGTGCAGTTTGTGGGGATAATTGACTTTATTCTTGTTGTATTTTGGCAGCGCTTCTCGGCGGTGATCATGCGGCTGCGTGACCCCAAGACGACGGCGCTGATCTTCGGCTCTGGCAAAGTGCGTTGGCAACGGTTGTCATGGGAAATGGAATTGAAGTTGGTGTATTTATTGACTTTTCTTGTGCTTGAATTGCTATTGTAACAATGCTGCAGATTGTCATCACGGGTGGCACTAGTGAGGAAAGCTGCCGGTTAGCGGCGCGCAAATTCACGCGCGTAATACAGGTCGGTAGAGCGGGCATGGTGTGGTATGGAAGTCGAACGGGTGCTGACTTTGCCTATCATCGGTTTAGAAACTGAACTTCCCGGCCAAGTTCACCGAGTTCAAAGTGCGCAACGTGATGGGAACGTGCGATATCCGCTTCCCGATTCGGTTGGAGGGGCTGCTGAACGACCACGCACGATTCTCCAGCGTACGTTCTTGTGACGTATTTGATTGTTTCATGCATTAAGAGCTGACATTGGTATGATCTTCCGCCTGTAGTACGAGCCGGAGCTGTTCCCGGGCCTGATCTACAAGCTGGTGGAGCCCAAACTGACGCTGCTGATCTTCGTCTCGGGCAAGATCGTGCTGTGCGGAGCAAGAGACTCGAACCACCTGCACCAGGCCATCGACAAGATGTACCCCGTGCTGCTGCAGTACCGCAAGATGACAGCACCCCCGTCGCTGATGACAGGCAAGCCAGGCTACGAGGATAGCGAGGACCTTGACCGTCTTGAGCCAGGGGCTAACGTCTAAGACCAAACGAGGCAGTACGAGCGTGCATTGCTGTATGTATCTATCCTTATCCTATGCAACTACAGTAAAAATCAACGAAAGGCTACACTAGGAAAAGTAGCATCTGCATTCCGTCTCCTCCACGCGAATCACTGCATGTTCTGTAGAGCAAAGCTCCTTCTCCCGTTCTTGCCCAGTTTTTCCTAGTCGCTCTTCGGGTTCTTCTTGTGCTTTTTGCGCGTCTTCTTGCCATCGCCTGCAGGCTTTGTGGAGTTGTCTTGCTTCTTGTCGGACTGTGACTTGCTCTGGTTGGATTCACCACCGCTCTTTTTGTGTTTCGCCTGCTTCATCTGCTTGAGACGGTTTGCCTTTTGGAGATCGTATCCCGACACAGTGTTAATACGGTGGCGCATAGGAGGCGCCTTCAGCAGCTCCTTCCTCTTCGACATACTGTAATGGGACACAAAAGGAAGCACAAGTTAGCAAAATGAAATGACGAGATCCGTGATGGTCAGTGCCAGCGTACCTAGCCTTCTTGAGCGAGAGCATCCAGTCGGGAACCTCGCAGCCAGAGATCTTCATCACGTTAGCGATTGTACGCAGGTACACCATATCGTCCTCCGTGAAGAACGTGACAGCCTTGCCCTTGCGGCCATTTCGTCCTGTGCGACCAATGCGGTGAATGTAGCTCACAGCGCTCTGCGGGAAGTCGTAATTGATGACCATGTTGACGGCCTTGAAGTCCATACCACGACTCATGAGGTCGGTACAAATGAGCACCCAGACTTCACCCGTGCGGAAACGTCGAATCACGTCGTCACGCTGCTCCTTGGTACGGTCTGCATGGACGGCGCCGATGTTCACTCCATCGTACAACAACTCGTGGTAGAGTTCGTTAGCACGCTCCTTGTTCTGCACGAAGAGCAGCGCGGGGAGCTGAAGTCCGTCGTGCAGCAGCTGCTTCATAGCCACAAGCTTTCCTTCCTCCTTGCCCACGAAGACAAGTTTCTGGTCAATCGTGCTGGCACCAGCGTTTTTCGTGCCCACAGCCACCTTGACAGGGTCGCGCAGCACAGTCTGGGCCAGTTCTTCCACTCCTTCCAGCATCGTGGCACTAAACATGGCCCGCTGGACCTTGGCGTGAGTGCAAGCAGCAAAAATTTCGTCCACCTGCTCCACGAAGCCCAACTCCAGTAGTCTGTCGGCTTCATCAAGACACACCATTTCAACAGTCGAAAGATCGACCTTCACTTCCTGGATCAAATGCACGAGACGCAGCGGTGTTGCGATCACAACGTCGTGGTTGACTGCCATCTTGCTCTTGGTCTGGGAAGCAATCGTCGCAGCGGTAGCCTTGGAAAGCAGCGTGATATGCAGCTTCTTGCCAGCCGCAAGGCGCGTAAACTCAGAGCGAATCTGCACAGCCAGGTCACGAGTCGGAGCGAGGACGATCGAGCGAATCCCGCTGCCAGTTCCACTACCAGCTGCCAAGTTCGCGAGAATAGGAATGGCAAACGCTGCAGTTTTACCGGAACCCGTGGGTGCTGTGGCCAGCACATCACGCCGCAGCAGAAAGCTGGGAATGGCTTGCATCTGCACCGACGTTGGCTCCTTGTACTCCGAGCGCCCGATGTTCTTCAACAGCAAGCGCTTCATCTGCTGCGCGTTTGCACTCGAATCCATGCGCATGTCAGCGAACGCAGTGATCGGCGCAGGCACGCTGACGCCGCTCACACGGATACCAAGCTGGCGTCGAAGCATCTGAACTCCCTCTCTGATACACGTAAAACGATCATTAGTACTCGGTCACTTCAGCATCCACACAAGCATACCCACTTACTGCTCAGCGGTAGCAGTGCTCTTCTTCTCCGCTTTCTTGGCTTCCTTCTTGGCCTTCTTCGAAGCACTAGCATCGGCCATGTCCTCGTCCGCATCTTCGCCATTTGACTTGAACAGAGTCACAGCATCCTCCTCGTCTTCGTCTTCATCTTCGTCCTCCTCCTCGCTGTCTCCGGACTCGGACTCAGCGTCCACTTCCGACTTCTGCGACGCAGCCTCGCTGCCCATGGACTCGGTGCGTGAGCGACGACGCGCTCGCTTCTCCCTGCGCTTGTCAGCCTTGGTCTTCGGGGGTGCCAGCAGCTTCGACGCCTGCTGCCGAGCCTCTTCCTCCATGCGCAGCTCCTCCAACGCGCCAGCGCTCAGCTTGCGCTTGCGGCGAAGCTTGCTGCCCTCTCCACTGCGCGGCTTGCTGGCAGGCTCGTTGCCGGCCCACTCGGGCACCATGTCGACGCTGATCTTGCGCGGCTTGGGCGCCTTCTCCTTGGGCTTCTGGACCGCATCGAAGCCGAAAAAGTCCAGCTCGTCCACCTCCGCCGCCTTCTTGTCCTCCTTCTTGGCTCCCGTGGCTGGAATTCATTGGCAATTACAAGAGAAAATAAAGTATTTAGTTAGTATAGGAAGGTGTTGCGTTTGGAATTGAATTGTGTTGGCTGTAGAGCGAATTAGAGAGCGGAAACTGCATGAGGAAAGAGAGCGTACACTTGCCGAGCTGCTTGAACTGCTGCTTGTCCTTCTGGAACTTGGCGCCGCCGAACTTGGCGCCCAGCGTCAGCGCTCCGAAGAAGGTGCTCGACATGATGAGCCTCTGCTGTTGTGTCCAGCCAAGTGACCTGCAGAGGGGCCACTACACGGGTGAATACCACTAGCCAATCAGAAGATTGCCCGAATTAAATGGGAAACTGACAAACATCGTGGTGATTTTGACACAGAGATGTGCCTAAAGGCACAATATATTATGGGCCAGCGTTGAAGCTGTCGTAGAGAGCTACAGTCAGCAAGTTCTCTTCATCAATGTTGCTGCAGTTCTTAGTCACCACTCGTGGCGACTTGTGCCGCCGTATTAGCTTCGTTATCGCCGTTTGAAGCTGTGGGAGGGTCCACTTTCGTCTCGCTTGAGCTCTCTGGGACGGTCAGGACGAAGTACGACGCTGGCATTTGATCGGGCGTCGTCGGCCGCTCCAAGGATGACCTGGAATCCGACCAGTGGCCGTTTGGTCCTAGCTTGACCGTGATCTTGGTGCAGTTCACGTTGATCGCTTCAGCGTCCACGTACTCGTACCGCAGGTTCTTGAGCCCGTTCTTCTTCCACGTGCGGTGGTGCTCCTTCAGCAGCTCGTGTTTTACAGTGCACTTCCATTTGTTTGTGCGGAGCAGCACCAGCTTCTCTTCCAGATTCAGTTCTTCGAGGTCTCGAATGGTGCCACTGCAATAATGGAGAGCATAGCATCACGGTCAGCCCACGATGCACTGAACGTGGTTTACTGCCAGTAGCCGAGTCCTTACCTTGAAGGCGCTTCGATGGTGAGTTTCTTGCGCATCACGCGACTGTAGAGCTCGTTGTCCTCTCCACCCCAGCCCCAGAAATTGTTGGGAAATCCGTTGACCTTGATGAACTGCTGGCGCGTGAACGCCACGATGCCTCCGAAGTAGTTCGAGCTCTCGTTGTAGCGATCCCACACACGCGCGACGTGCATGGGGCCGAGACGCGGCACGGTCGTGTAGAACTCAGCCAAGTCATCCTACAGCACCAGCAGCACAGCTCCATCGTTAGAGTCAATCACAGCAACGTCACTGATCTTTACTCACCCCAGGCAGCAGGTCCACGTCGTGGAAGATGAAGACGTCGTAGTCGTTGCGCGCCATGTCGAAGCCTGCATTCAGCAACTTGCCTCGATTAAACTTGCGTCCATCCATCGACTGCTCCAGGATGAAGATGTGGAACGAGGCACTGCATCAATGAGATCACCACCACCACCAGAAAAGTCAGAAATGTTGCCGTTTGACACCGTCGCCGTGCAAGCTGAAGTCGGCACCTCTTCGACGCGCAATGGCGTTGCAGGAACTCGGTCATGTACGGCACGAACTCGTCCAGATGCGCTCGTCGCTGCTGCGCCGGGTGGTTGTCGCGGAACGGCACGAGCACCGCCACGCGCGTCGAGTCTTGCATGGCAGCAATGCTGCCGTCGTCTACTCCTGTCTTTTCCGGTGTGGCAGCAGTTGTGGCGAGATCATGGTTTTCTCCGAGAAAGGCGCCGGCACTGCCGGTAGCTCGCCGCTGTCGCTTGTGGCTCTTGCCTTCAATCTCCGGCTCGTCATCGGGCCGCTTGGTCGCCATACACAATGCCCCAGTAGAAAAAAAACTGGTAGATGTCTTCACGGAGGAGGACAGAGCTTAAACCATCCAGTGGTTGGATACGCATACGCGCAATCCCGTCCTTGTCGAGGGAGATGCTAACCTTCTCTCGGCTCAACGAACACAACCGTCTCACCACGATAGCGCACGTACAGATGCTTGGCGTGGTCGACACTTCCAGAACCACTTGAAAGCAGACATATTGGAATTTGTATGTGGCAGTCTCAGCCAGTGTTCTGACCTCCATCATTATATAACCTGTTAAATCGTGTCCACGACATGTAGCCATGTTCCTGAGCAACTTCAACTTCTACCCTACCTGCTCGAGGAACTCGGCCGGCGTGAAGCCCACGATCTGCGCGAACAGAGCCTCAGGGACGCTGTGCTTGACCATACACTTGCTCACGCGGCGTCGGTTGCTCGCGTCGGCTTCGCTCATCCGCCTGAGCACTTCTGCGACGCTTTGCTGCGTCTCGGCTGGCACGTCGCTCTCGAGCAGAGCTCTGACCAGGTTGTCCAGCATGTCCAGGGTCTGGATGATGCGGTCCGCAGTACCGTACGTATCCTTCTTCTGGATCGCAGCTAGCGCCTTCACTGCAGCGGGCGTGTCCTCGTCATCGAAGCTGCTCAAGCTCTTGTCAAGGGCAGGCACGGCCTTGATGCCCAGGACATCCACCAGCAGATCCGGTGAGCAGAGCAGCCTCTGAGTGAACGGAGCTATCCCGCGTGGTAGTTCACACGCAGAATTGATCGCGATGCTGGCGTTCTGCCGCACAGAGGCGCTGCTGTGCGTCAGACACTGCGCCAGCGGCTCAATGCCGAACTCAATCACGCGCGGCTTAGCGTCTTCCAAAGTCGATAGCGCCATCACGGCTGCAACCAGACATCGAGTGAGCTCGTCGCGCTTTTCGGTGGCTTCACAGCGCACTTGGCCAAGGAGCACCTTCGACAGCGCTTTGAGGCATAATTCCACGGCCTTATACTGAATGGCCTCTCGTTTGGCCTGATTGTATGCAGCCACGTTCGTGATCACCATGGCGGAGTGCAGCAACGTATCGGCATGACACAACCGCGGCTTCTTGATCAGGGACAACACTGGCGCGACAATAGGAAATTGCGCGCAGGCTCGAGCGCCCTCGTAAACACGCGTGATGTTGGCCAGAATCTCCACAAGCACGTCGACAATTCGCGTGGGTAGCTTCGACAGCGGTTGGGTCGTCAGCATGTTGGTCAGAGTGGCCATAGCCTCGGGTTTGTTCGCGAGCAATAAGCAACCTTCGCTAGAAATCGTCAGGTTGATGAAAATGCGGCAGCCAGCAGCAACGACCTCCTCTTCGTCATCACCAAGCAAGCGAGTCGCCGCAGTCAGCACGACCTCATCGCTCAGTTCATTCGGTGCGTCCTGTCGGCATTGATATCGAAGTTTTAGTGATCGAGTAGATCTTGGAGCAAGACGTTTGATGAAGAAATGAACGTACCGTTTCAAACAGCACCAGGGATGCCACCACTAGTGCCGCATCAGTGCGAACCTCGGCGGAGATCGACTGAGTCAGGTCTGCGCAGGTGAACATGAGCTCCTTCGTGACAGCCGTGTACTTCGAGTTCGGGCTACTGAGCAGTTCGCGCAAGTCCTGAAGTGCGCGACAGCGGTCTTCGTCAGGAAGATCCTCCATCGCCAACAACTCTGCATACTTGGGGATTGCTCGGGCGCCGAAGGCACGTGTTACCTGAAAGCACCACGTCATTTAGGTCCGTTGGTTCTGAGCACATCAACGTCGTTTGCCTCACCTCCTTGGAGTTGTACGCCTCCCGGAACGGCTCATCCGCGTACGGGTGGCGGTCACGAAGCTGGTCGCTGACTCGGTGCATGCTGGTGATCAAATGCCAATGTGAATGCAGCTCACAGTCCAATCCAAAGCAAGGAGCACCATGCAACTAAAAATACGCAACGAAAAATAGAGATGAAGCCGAGGAAGAGAAGATGAATGGGAAACTACGTGTATTTCTGATAGGACTGCATTCACAACATGTTAGACCGGATATGACGCAACTAACACCAGGTCTCCGCCCTTAGTGTGCCTGCCACCTCTTCTTGCTGCACTCTTCCTCCGCACTACAACTAAAACCAATACAGACGACCGAATCTACACATGCAAACATACCACTAGTATGCATTATTTGCCCTTCCTTTCTCTCATCTACCCCACTTGGAGGCTTTGATGACGTCTTTCGATCACGGATAGGACCAACCGCCGCCCCAGTGACCACTTTTCAGCGGGTGAGAACGACAGCGAGCCCCGTTTTGTTCAGTCCGCCCGACGCAATGCTTCTAATCATCAAGAAAGCAGGAGGCTGCCTTGCAACAGGCCTCGTTTGGAATCGCCCCACTCACATGCAGATATATACAACACGAACTCAGTTGATACACACACCTCACCCGCAACGTTGAAGGAAGAGCGCAGCTTGACTATCTTGGACGCAGACTTGAAGGAGAAGAGGTGAGCTCCACATGTCCAGGCGGAGACCTACAAACACCAAGCGTGTAGAAAAACACATTTGCATAGTTAGAGTGTAAACCATGTGGCTTGTTCCTGAGAGGATCTACTTCTTCTCCTTCTTGGGCACACGGTAGGCGCCGACAACCACGGCGTGGTCGCGCTCGTACGGCTCCAGCGTCAGCTGCTCGGCGGGCTTGAACTGCTCCTGCTGCAGCTTCTTGACCTCGCGGGCGAACACAGCCTCGGGGGCGGCCGTGGAGTCAATGCAGCTAGCCTTGATGGAGATGACGAAGTGGCCACCGTTCTTCAGGAAGTGCGAGGCGTTGAGAGCCACGATACGGGCCTGATCAGGCTGGGCGACATCGGCGAACACGACGTCGACCATGGGCACGAGCATACGGTACTTGAGCGGGTGACGGGCGTCCTCGATGATCGGGACGACGTTGGTGCGCGACTTAGCCATGTTGATGAGGTCGCGGCCGACACGGTGCGAGAACTCGACGGCGTACACGGCGCCGGTGGGGCCGACGATGTCGGACACGTGCGACACGGTGGTACCGGAGGCACCGCCGAGGTACAGCACCTTGGCACCGGGCTGGATCCAGATGTTGTCCACACCGCCCAGGATGGCAGCGGCGATCTTGGAGCGGAACGGGTTCCACACACGGTACTCGACCTTCTCGGTGCCCTCGCCCGAGGCGGCGGGCACGTCCACGGAGATGCGCTTCTCGCCGTACACCGACTTGCCGGGCGTCGAGTTGAGCGTCACAAGAGCGTCCTCCTTGCCGCGGGCGATGAAGATGCCGGCGTGACGGTGGGGCTCCACGACGACCTTGGCGCCACCGGCCATGCCACCGCGGCCGCCGCCACGGCCACCGCCACGGCCGCCACCGCGGCCACCACGACCACCGGCGCCACCACGGCCTCCTCCACGGCCGCCGCCACGTCCGCCGCGGCCACCGAAGCCAGCGCCACGGCCACCGCCACGGCCGCCGCCGCGGCCTCCACCGCGGCCACCGCGACCACCACCACGACCGAATCCACGTCCAGACATTGCGAAGTTCTGAGTTTCTTGGGAAAACTGGGAGAAGAGCTTTTCCGGAATGGGCGCTAGAGTGCCAAGAGCTCCGATGGACCGAATGAATGGCCGCGTCCAGCAAGCCCCTGCCAGCCAACCAACGTCGCGCATGTGGATAAGACGCTTTTTGGCCAATGGAAGCGTGATCAATATTATCCGCCAATGAGAAGATAGATAGAGGCCACTATTCGGAGCAGCCTGGATGTTGAAGTGAAGAGACGCAAATCAGATATCTCCGCATGAGCATGATGCTGGCAGTGTTGCTGGTGTTACTGCAGTTGCCTTGCAGCGCGCGGGCCTTCCGCGTGATCAACTCGTCGACGGACCCGCTTATTGGCACGCACGCGGTGTTTGAGCCTTATGCTGCGGGCTACGTGGGCTACTACGGCGACCCGAGCAACCCGTCGGCCGAGCGACTGAACGAAGGCTCGCCCTACTCGCCCGACACGCCGCGGATCTTCTTCAGCGCGCCGCTGCAGCGTATGCAGCGTTTGCTTCGGTTGCTTTGCTATTACGGTTGTGTGTGTATTGTACTCACCGGGTACACATTGCATTGCAGAGGCGTGTCCTGGCATGGTGGGGCCCGGACGCAACGGCGACTACTACTGCTTCAGCCGCGAGTACGGCTACTGCGACCGACGCAGTGGGCTGTGCGTGTGCAACCAGGGGTACACGGGGCTGGACTGCACGGCGTGTTTGCCGGGCTACTTTAAGCAGGGCGGACTGTGCTTTGCCAAGAGTGAGTGGCGATGGGTGGAGTTGGAAGTGGAGGGCTGTTGCTGACACGTATGTGTTCGTGTTGATGTTGTTGTGTAGAGAGCTGTCCGAATGACTGCTCGCGTGGGGGCGAGTGTGACTATGCTACGGGTGTATGTACCTGCGACCCAACTCGACGCGGAGCAGACTGTTCCCAGCGCTTCTGCGCCTTTGACGAGAAGTGCGTGAGCTGCTCCAGCACTACGTGTCTGCGCTGCGTGGAAGGGTTTTCAGTAGATCCAGCTACACAGACTTGTGGTACGTTCTGGAATTGCTCTGTCTGGTGGCCCCCTCGAGCCAGCTCTTATTTATCTTGAGTTGTAGTGTCTTGCGCGCGATATGATCCGCGATGTCTCTCTTGCAGTTCTTCGCGCTGCCTCACGTGCGCGGATCTGCAGCTCAACTCGGTGCGTCGCAGCGGCGCGCGCAGCATCGACCAGCCTCTTCCTGACGACGAGCAGGTGCGAGAGTTCTCGCAAACGTTTGTGTACGGCAGCCAAGACCCGCGAGTTTTCGACGAAGCTGAGCCCTTCACGGTAGTTCCAGCGTCCTACACTCTATCACCGCTCAACGAGAGCAGTCTCGCCTGTACACAGGGCGGAAATGCTGACGCTGGGTGGTCTTGCTCCGCCTACTCCGAGTCGCACCGTGTGTGCGGTCACCGAGGGGTTTTCTCGTTCGTGTCGCCGCTCTACGCGATTGCTGAAGCTGCCGGGGATATCACTATTACGGTGCAGCGGTCTGGAGGGGGCCTTGGGCGCGCCGCGCTGCTGTATGATCTAGAGCACGTGACCACCACAGCTGGAGACGTATCTCCCTCCATGTTTTACACGAGTTCGCAGAAGCTGGAGTTCGCCCCGGGGGTCATAACACTTGCTTTCAAGCTGCAGATTCATGATGACCACGTGTTGGAGAGCAACAAGACGTTCCGACTTCACCTTCGACAACCGTTTACTCCAACAGACTTGTTCGACGTAGCGCCAGCAACTCTAGGAAATCAGAGACGCACTCTTGTCACCATTTTGGATGACGATGCACCTCGCCCTGTCGCGAATTTATCACGCGTCGTTAGTCCTGAGACTACGCTGATGCTAGGTGGAGCTGCTGGGGATCAGCTCACTTTCCAGATTCAGAGCGTACTAGGAAATGGAGTTCCTGGTGTGGATCCGGCCAATGAAGCTGTCTTTCTGATGACGTCGTACATCGAGGAAGACGATTCCAGTAGTGCGGCTGCGGTGTTTCGTACACTTCGACTTGAAACTGTGGTTTCGAGTGGAGCGGTGGATGTTTCGTTGTTCACGTGTACATGGCTGCGGGAACGCGCAGGTAATTATTCGGTTGCAGTTCAATTGTTGTACCCTGGTGGTCTACGCGGTGAGTACTTTGCTGATGCATGGCTGGGAGAAACATTTGATTCGAGTTTACCAGCTTCTCCTACAATATCGCGGATTGATCGTCATGTAAACTTCACGTGGAATACTGGACCCGCATTTCCTGGGGCACAAAGCCATTATTCAGTCCGGTGGAGTGGCTGGTTGAAGTCACTAACCACGAGCACGGCAATGCTAGGAGTGTCTATCGTTGGATATGCACGCTTATGGATCGACGATGTGTTAATTATTGATCGTTGGGGTGCTGGCGGTGAAACAAATGACGGTTTGCCGGTTGTTAGAGCTGCAGCGGGAGTGGACCTGAATAGTGCGCGTTTCCATTCTTTGGTCTTAGAGTACCGAGCACCAAGACAGGGGGAGGTTTACGTGCGATTGTTGTGGGGAAGTGTTGGGAGCACGAAGCTGGAAGTCATCCCCATGCAGCAGCTTTATTCAGGCAGCCACATCCAGGGCTCTCCGTTTACAAACGTCCTATTGACGCCGGCTTTGACAGCAAAAACGGCATTATCCACCTCTACCTTGCGGAATGACAGATCAACGGCCTCTCCAGCTTTCCAGGTCGTTGCGGGCGACTCACTCGCCTTCAGCGTCTTGCCGCGTGATGCATACGGCAATCGACGGCGTGCAATCGATCAGCATGGCACCCAGCGCGACGTAATTGCGGCAGCCTTAACTTTGACAACCGACCGAAGCGTAGGCGGTGTGGGCACCAAGATTGAAGACGCTTTAGTTTCGTGGAGCTCGAACTTGGATGTATTTCGCGTGGTGGCGAGGCCGCAGCGCAGTGGGGACTATTCTATGAGCGTGAAAGTCAACAGCTATACTTTGGCAGCAAGCCCCTTCACAGTGACAGTGATACCTGGCCAGATAAACCCTGCGCGGTCCGTGCTGTCTGGGTCGGGTCTCCTTGCTGGTCGTGTAGCAGGGCAAGCTGTGAATGTGGCCCTCGTGACTCGAGATCTGTACGCTAACCGCATCTACGCGGGTGGGCTGACTCACCTGAAACTGCAGGCCTCCCTCTCGTCCAGCACTGTTCCGATCGTGGTAACAGCTCAAGTTGTCGACAATGTAGATGGCACGTACAAGTTCACGTACACGCCTCGTGTGATTGGTAGCTACAGCGTTGCAGTGATGTGGAAGGGGGCTCACTTGCACAACAGTCCGTACATAATAACAGTCGTGCCCAGTACTCCCGTGGGGCCAACGAGCAGTGCCCAGGGTCCAGGCATCACTGCTGCTCAGACAAATGTGCAAACTTCATTTGAAGTGACAACTCGTGACTCTTCTGGAAATGCTGTTCCCACTGGTGGCGTGGCTGCAGCGCTGACTGTGGTTCTCGAGCATCCAGACAAGGGCAACGTCAGTGGGAATGCTTGCACGGATCTTCTCAATGGACACTACACCTGTATGTACACTCCTCGCTACGTTGGAGTAACACGGCTGCATGTGACGCTCTCCCAGCTAGCAATAGTCGGAAGCCCGTTCCTTGTTAACGTCACTGCAGGACCAGCACTGGGCTCACGTTGTGTGGCATCCGGGGACGCGCTGGTTTCGGCTGTTGCGGGGCAACGAACAAACTTCACGATCAGCATCTACGATGCGTTCGGAAATCCCAAGGCAAACGCTGGTAGTGAAACTATCAGCGTGACGTTTACTGGTCCAGGAGCGCTTACATCTACTGTAAATGCTGCTGTGGGGGCGACATATACCGGTGGAGGAACGTTTGTTGTGGCGTATACATTGAACCTCAAAGGCGCGTACAAGATTGGCGTGGCCGTGGATGGGGTAGCCGTCATTTCAAGTCCATTTACGATGTACACGTACCCTGCGTTAGCCTCAGTCGGTACCACATCGCTGGATCTGCTCTCACCTGCGATTCCAAAGTTGCAGACCGACCCCCCTGTGGTGTTCATAGCTGGCTCACTCATTGTAGCTCGACTCACCACGCGTGATGTTTTCGGAAACGTACTGGAGACCGGTGGCAATCGCTTCCAGCTTGACGATATCGTGCGTACATTCCTGGACGCACCAATCGCTGACGAGAAGAACGGCAGCTACTTGGTAACGTTGAGACCGACTCGCAGCATTCTGTTTCCATTCACCCCAAAGTTGATGGTGCCAGGAGGGTTGAATGGGTCATACTACGCTGCCAGTAATGTGCCCGTGGGTACTGCTACTGCTGACTCAACCTCAGGTCACTCTTTGATGGCCCTGAAGCGGATTGATCCGTCCATTAACATCAACTTTGGCGAGAGCCCTCCGCAGCTCACGCAGTCGGCCGAAACTTTCAGTGTCCGATGGAATGGCTTCCTGCTTCCTCGTTACAGCGAAATTTACACGTTTGAAGTGGACGTCTTGGGTCTCGCCAGCCTGCGAGTTGGCAACTCTTCAGCAGTTGTGCAACCCGGAGAGACGAACACATTTCTCCAGGTGCCATTGATAGCACAAAACTTCCTGGACATCGAGCTCAACTTTTCCAAGCCGACGGAGATACCGAACGCTACCGTGTACTTGTGGTGGAGTAGTCTTTCTCAGTCACGTGAGATCGTACCGTCATCGCAGGTCTTTACTTCGTGTAGAATCGTCAACAACGTGCCACCACTCGATATCAAGCCGGCTATAGCTGACCCCACCAAGTTCACTCCAGAGTTTGCCAGCTCGTCGCTAGTCATAGGCAAAGCAGCAGTGCAAGCTGTGGTCGATGTATCGTTCATCTTCACAGTCGTCACACGCGACGCCTTCAGCAACAAACTCGGGGGTGAAGACTACTGCACACTGTACGTGCTACTTCCTCAGGTGCCAAGTGGAAGCACACAGCCAGATGTGTCGATTACGGATCTCCTCGATGGTTCGTACAGGGTCAATCTTGTCCCTCATTTGACTGGGACATTTTCGTTGTACGTTGCTGCGCTTCCTGATGCGAAGAAATCGAGTGCTCCATCGGGTGGTGACGCTCTTGTGACATTCTTGAGCCCGTATAACATCAAGGGCAGTCCGTTCAGTCTCCAAGTTGACCCTGGGCTGCCAAGCTCGGTGACTTCCACTCTCGTGGGTGGTGGCTACGTCTCAACAACCGCTGGAGTTCCCACCTCATTTATCCTGGAGCTACGTGATGGCAGTACCAGCCGGCTCACGGCCTCCATGGTGTTTTCCTTCCTGGGAAAAGTTCGGGTCAAGCTCAGAAGTATGTCCACTGGCGCGGAGGTGTCGGCGACATTGGCTCAAATGGATCAAAGCTTCTTGTCTGCTCAAGACGTTCGCGTAACATACACCACCACCGTTTCCGGGCTGCAAGCCGTATTGTTGAGTGTGGATGGAGGCATGTCATTTGCACAGAAGACGACAACGCTTCGTGTGTTCCCCAATGTCGCCACTGCAGCCACCTCCTTCGTGTCACCTAATGGCGCTGGAGTGGCGGCAACAGGAGCAGGCTTGGGGCCCCAGATCTACACGAAACAGAGCTACACTTACCACGTCACTGTCCGTGATGCGTTCGGCAACATTCGCGACAGCGGCGGCGATCTCCTTGTTGCACGCGTCCACGGCCCTGACAGCTCGATTGGAAACATCACAGATCTAGGCAACGGAGACTACGTCGTGACGTACCGCACCATGCTCCCTGGGGCATATGAGATCGAGACACGAGTGGCCGAGCCTGAACGCGGGCTAACGGGGTACTATTACGTTGACTCGAGATCCGTTCAAAGAAACTTGGCGAGTGCTGTGCGCACTGTCGACGCCGTGATCGACTTTGACTGGAGCAAGAACGTCAGTATGAGAGGCTATCCGCGCGTTGTTTGGCGAGGTTTCCTCCGTCCGCTGTACACCGAGGAGTACACGCTGTGGTTGAAAACCCAAAGTGACGTCGGCAGTGCCGCTGGTATCTACATCGACGGCCAGACAGTAATCGACGGCTTGAACACTGGTGCGACGTCCGGACGTATCGTTCTAATCAGCGGACGACTCCACGCCATCACCGTCGAGTACCGCAGTGCCTCGCTTCAGCACGATCCAGGATATCTATCCTTGTTCTGGCAGAGCGTGCACCAAACCGCTCAACTCATTCCAACGCAGGCTTTAATCTCGGACGCCTCGGAGGTCCTACCTCGAACGCAGTTAGCAGCCGTTAATTAATACCAAACAAAACCATGTCATCCCCTTCATCACTGCCCCAACGGAGGCTTAAACGGCCGGTCCCTCCCGCCGAAGCGCAGTTGTCCGGACTCCTTCCGCCCTCCGAGTCCTCCGCCAAGACGTCGAGGTTTCCACCCTTTCATGACTCGACTGCGCTCAAAGTCCACCAAAATTGTGGCCCCGTCGATCACCTTGCGATGCGCCTGCTTGTACGCTCGTTCGAAGCCCCTCTCGTGCTCGAACTCCACGAACGCGTAGCCCTTGGACTTGTCGGTCGCTTTGTCCCGAACGAGGCGCAGACACCGAATGGCCCCGTACTGGCTGAAAACCTCTCGGAGCGTCTCCTCCGTCGTGTCGAAGCTCAGTCTGGCGACAAAAAGCGTCGAGTACGGGTCGCCCTGGATCTGTGGGTCCTTGGACGCGTCGAACCGCGCCTTCATGGCCCGCACCAAGCCATTGTCGTGCGGAGTCGTGTCCGTGCCGTCGATGCTGCCGATCTGCACGGGGTCGTACTCCTCCGCGAACCAGCCACGGCGACTGGGAGGCTGCCTGGGGCGCGGTTCATGGCGTGCGTAGTCCCTCCTGTCGCGACTTCGACTCCGACTCCTGCTCCTGCTTCGACGTCGCTTGTCCCCACTCCGTGCCATATTTGACTCCTTGGATGTGGTAGTTCCAGTTTGAAATATGAAGTTCTACGGAAAAGTTTTTTTTGTGAAATCCGAAATTTCTGTTCATTGCGGTAGTCAAAATACTTCAAACATTGGAGTCAATCATGCAACGGCATTTGTCATTTGACTCTGAATCGAAGATTCCTGGGACTCAGTGGCGCCTGTTCCTTCGGTTTCGGAGCTCGGTGAAGAAGTGTGTAGCGCGATCGACGCCATGAACGATTCTGCTCTGCTCGAAGATGTGTTAAAGGCGAATGGAGAGGAACACCTCTACGACAAGATCATGGAGCTCGCTGCTCACGTGGAAGAGGAGCCGCCCGTGATATTTGGCTGGCAGAACGTGGAAGTCTTCGTTCGGGCTATTCATGTGGCTCAAGCGCAAGCGGTTGCTCCAGGAGGTGAGCCACTACCAGCCAATCCGCTTGATCTTCCTGGCGCGGTGAATGTGCAGAACTTCAAGGAAGCCGTGCTGGAGTATGCGCGAGCTCCAGGAGCTGATGATCGTCTTGACACCACGTGTCTTCCATGCTCGCAAGAGCAGTTGGGCCAAGTGACGTATATGCTGCGAATTCTGGAATTCGAGCCGTAGATCCAGCGCATCATCGCCGTTGGAGTGCCAAATTCGCTGCCGATCGCACGCGTCTACGTGCCACGTCCTCATTCGAATACTCTGGAGAGAGCCACACAGCAATTTCCGAATAGCTTGTGGGGATAGCGTTATCCCCACAGAAGGATAGCGTTATCCTTCCAAGACCGAGTCGGAATCATGCATTTCTAGCAAGCGATAACTTCCTTACATGACCACATCCGTGGTATTTCAATATTGGAATCGAAATATAAAAAGGTTACCGAAAAGTTGTTTTTTGACGAAAGTTTTCGTTCATTGGTCAAAATAGATTTTAGTCAATCATGCAGCGGCATTTGACGTGGATCTTGATCTTGCTGGGACTCCCGGCCTGGATGCGGATGTCTACTTCAGCCGCCACCTCTTCGCTGCGCGTGGCGCTGCTCACGGACGTGGAGGGCAATTGGGACTACGTGCGCAACGTGGCGCGGCAGTCGTCGTGTCTGCAGCTGACGACCAGCGGCCAGGACGAGACGCTGGAGCTGAAAGACGACTGCCTCTTGGTGTTCGGAGGCGACGCGGGGGATAAAGGAGACCACACACTCAAGTACGGTGTAAATAGCATAACTCCTAGACAATAAGTGCTGCAGGTGCTCATTATTATAATGCTGGACGCGTTTTTAGGTGCTACGAGCAGCTCGTGAGGCTTAAAAAGCGTCATCCGGAGCGCGTCGTGCTGCTCGTGGGCAACCGCGACGTGAACAAGATGCGGCTCACGTCGGAGCTCCACGACTCGGAGATGGACCTGCAATCTATGGCCAAAGGTAGGCGCCTTTTTGAGGGCTTGGATGATATGAGTGTTGTTACTAAACTTAATTGTTTGGGTAGAAATTCTGGAGGGCCCGACGTGGGTGCCCAAGGACAAGCGTTTTACGTTGAAGAAGTTTCTGGGTGGTCAGTTGGAGAAAGGAGATGAGGAGGCTGGTGACGACGAACTGGAAGCGGTGAACTCCAAGGTGAACAGGCTGAAATGGATGTTGGAGCACACCATGGGGGCGCAGGGGGACTTCGAGCGCCGACGGGCTGAATTGAGCTTGCGTCAAGCAGTTGGAGACCGGAACGAGGTGACAGACGACGCCGTCGTGAAGTCTTATATGGACAGTGTGGAAGAAGGAGGGGTGTTGCGGGATTACTTGCTACATGGCAGCTTGGCTTTCGTGACGCACCAGACGCTGTTTGTGCACGGAGGTATCATCAATGGCGACGGACCCGCCGGTTTGTCGGCACTTGGGCGTGTGCCGGACCAACCGTCGAAGCGATTTGAATCGGTTTCTGAGTGGGTTGACAAATTGAACGCCTGGTACCGGAGTCAAGTTCGAGAGTGGATTGAACACCCGACGTGGAATGAAGATCGCGCTACACGTGGCGGGAATGAACTCCTCAAATATGTGTTGCCAGATTACACGGGGAGTGTTGTCATGGGGCGCCACCTTCTGCCATCGGGTATGCCAACGCCAGTGCCGGAGGAAATTGCGTCCTTGTTATCTGAAAGTGGCATCCGACGAGTGATCATCGGACATACACCTCACGGCAATTGTCCGACCGTTGTCAGACAGCATCAGCAACAAGAAGGAACCTGCGCTACTGATCGCAATAGCAATGCAGTGACATTTGAAGACGTGATCATGTGCGATACAAGCTACAGTGATGCCCGTGCGCCTGACAACCGAGGCAATGCTGCGTCTGAGCTGGTGGTGGAGCCCTCTGGGCGTGTCCTTGTGAACGGCCTGCTTGAAGATGGTCGACGTATTTCGTATGATGCCCAAGAGGATCCGTGGGTGGGTCGATGGCTTAACGACGGCGACATGGTGAAAGCTCGGGTTGTCGATGACGATTTTAGCGGAGAGGACATATACTACCTGGTATTTCGCGTGGAAAACGGCTACTCGTACACCTACCACTACCGCAAAATCGCAGAACTGCGTGAAATTGGCACGAAAGATTCAGTGAGTTCCCAAGCAGTTTTTTTGGATCCGCAAAAATAGCGTCCCTGATCGACAAATACATCTTGGTGCATGCTTCATCACTCGCTTCTTGTCAGTCTGAAGTTTGCTCCACAGAATCATGACCCTCGACACGCTGACCCGCGCGCAAGCAGAAGTAAGCCATGTCCGTCTCAAGAACTCGCTGGTTCAGACGTCGCAGACATTTCGGGAGCACTTTCGCGCTGAGAAGGAACTTTTTCGTACGATTGCTGGATCGGACGCGACGGTTGTCCCTTCAACTCGACCGCGAACCTCGAATACGAACTCACCGAAAACTCTGGCCGCACTACCAGTGCCCCCTGCACACGAGGAGGACATCGTGCGCTTGGAAAGACTGAATCAGTGCTGCAAACGTGTTCGGATTTGGCGGCGGCAAGTGACGAATCCGTTGTTGCAGTACAAGCAACAACAGCACGTCAGCGGCAAGGGAGGTCCTGGAGGTGTGTCAAGCAGCATGAGCACATCCAAGAAGCCCGACCGGCGAATGCACGCAACACTGCTCATGGCCTTGATCGTGGACATGTACGAGCAGCGGATTTTTAGCGAAGTAGAGGGTGCCTCAGGCGTCGACACTTCGCTTGACGGGGCCACTAGCGGGAGCACAGCAAGCGGAACAAGTTTTCAAGAAAGCTTCCCCGAGTTCGTCGTGCGCTTCCTGTCGCAGCGAGCGTCAAATCGGCGCTTGGCGGTTGATCAACTGCACAGCACAGTATCCACCGTGCTGCACGCCGCTCCAAATCACGCCCGCGTTCGGGTATTCGGGTCGCTCTGTGGCATCGATGACAAGTTTAATCCTCCTGAGAAGATCAAGGTTTTCCTTCACATCTTGGAAAACCTGTACCGGAGTAAGATCGCTGCCAGTGTCGGTGCTTCCGGTGCAAACACTGCACGAATCGAGGAGATCGCGACAGCCATCCCGCTAGCTGATGTTGTCTTTCACAACGTTGGGATCGCGCAGAATGTGGCTCAACAGGTCATTGGCGACCTCTTCCGAGACAATTTCTACTGGAACTTCCGGTTCTGGTTGACGCCGTGCACGGAGCTGCGTGTGGATAGTTCATGGCCTGCTGGCGTTTGTGAGGAGCTCCAGGAGCGCGCGCTCACGTTGGCCACAGCGTCACGGAATACACTGCTGAATGCCCATCGAAAAATTGATGGCGACGCCTTTCTCGAACTCCTCCTAGATGCATGGACGACCCGTGCCAAGCAACTGTACGCACTGCTCGAAAGCGCTACGGATCACGAAGAGCGCGAAGGCAATGAGCTGCTGCGCTCGCGCCAAGTGATGCAGGATTCGCGCATGCAACATCGCCCCACAACTGAAGAAGAGCGCCAATTCTTTGACCAGCTCATTGAAGAGTACTGGAATGCCCCTGTATCATGGACTAGCGCCAAGGTGCAAGCTCGGATTGCAGCTTTGGTGCCTCGCAGACAGTTGACTCAACTGCAACAACTATATGCCGTCTACGTAGCAGAGCTGCCGCCGGAACGACGTTTGTGGGAGTGGAGTAATTGGCGCTGGGAGACGGAGTGGGAATGGGGAGCGCTCGTGTTGACCCCGGACAAGCGTGAACAATAATCAAAAAGCATCCGGCCTCATCTTGTGGGTGAAGGAGTCAGACCTGAATGTGTTTTCCATTTCGGAGTTGTGGCGTGGCACGAACTCCCGAAGATCAAGACACGAACGCCCGATCCTCGACCACACTCCCACACACGCTCGGAAACGGTCATCTGCTGCAGGTCGCAGACGCGCAGAGCTCCGCGCCTTCACTGTGACTGCGCTGTGAATCACAGCGCCAGCATGCTGTTCGTAGTTTGCAACGTCGAATCGCGCGATACCAAGTTGCCAACAACGGAATCCCCGGATGGGGCTGCCAGCCGTTCCATTGTGAATGCCGACAAATCGTAGGCTTGGTGTGCAAGCTCTGCCAAACAATAAACGAGTCAAGGCTGAGCCTTGGCATAAACTCCCAGCAGCCGGCAGCAGACAACTGTGTCTTCACAACTCGTTTTGCTTCTGCTAAGCTAAGCAACGTCTCCCAATACCACACGACACCTCGTCGGGTACCACGAAAGTCAAGTCGCGTATCCGTGTCAAGTATGTTCGGAGGCAAGCCGTACCTGTGGGCCTGCGCGCTGCTTGCGTTCGCGTCTTCCAGTCTCGTCGTGGACGCGCAGTCGACGTACGACGCTATTGTTGTTGGCAGTGGACCTGGTGGACTTGCTGCAGCCGAGTTCCTCTCGCGTGACCCGAGTGTCTCCGTGCTGATCGTCGAGGCTGGCCCCAAGTCCCTTGCTGCTACCGGCGGCACTGTGAGCCCGGACTACGCCACCGGCAAGGGTCTCGCGACGTTCGACATCCCTGGCGAATACGAAGGCACCATCTACAACTCCAAGTACTCGCAGTACCGTGTGGACTGGGTCAGCGATACCTACCTGTGGCTCGGCAAGCTCGTCGGCGGCTGCTCGTCGATCAATGCCGCGCTTTACTTCCGGCCCCCGAACGAGTACGTGACCAACATGCAGTGGCCGTTTACGGCGGAATCCATGGTCGCCAAGATGGACGAGAACGAGAAGCTGCAGGGCCACACGGACAAGCCTTCGACGGATGGCCAGTGGTACACGCAGGAGGGCTACAAGGTTGTGGCCAAGGCATTCCTGGCCCAAGGTTACACTGAGAAGACGCTCAACGACGTTGCAGCACGCAACAACAAGCACAAGACCTTCGGCCACGCTCCGTTTGCCTTCAAGAACGGCCGCCGCAACACCCCCGCCAACTCTTTCTGGGGTGCTATGAGCAAGCGCCCCAACGTGAAGCTCGTTACGGACACCAAGGTCGACTACGTCTTACACTCGGCTGGGAAGGCTACGGGCGTCGTGTACGGCGCCAACAAGGCTCAGCTCTCGAAGCGCGGTACGGTCATCATGGCTGCCGGCGCGCTGGGCACGCCCAAGGTGCTCATCCAGAGTGGCATCGGCCCTGCCGACCAGCTCAGCCTGCTCAAGGGCAACAGCAACTTCACCGGCCTCTCGCAGGGTGAGTTGATCACAAACCCGTACGTCGGTCGCAACCTCTTCGACACTAACGTCGTCTTCGCCTCCTTCTCGCACCCGGACATGAAGACCTTCCGCTACACAGACCACCCGTCGTGGGCCATTGACCAGTACATGAACAAGAACGCCACTGGCCCGTGGAGCAGCTCCGGCCCGGTGCTCATCGGCTACGAAAACTTCAACGTGCAGGGCCGCGCGTACGATTTCCAGACCACGGTGCTGACCCACGGCTTCGGCGAGTTCTCCAAGCGCGACGACGCGCTCACGATCGCGTTGTACGTGAACAACCCCGAGGGCCGCGCAGCTTCGGGCTTCGACGGCAACGGCGCCTGGCACGCGTTCAAGGAAGGCACGCCCTTCTTCGGCACGAACCGCGACTTGGTGGCGATGCAGCAGTACGCTCAGCACGTGGTGAGCGCCATGACGGCCCAGGGCGCCACGTTCCTGTCCGGCGGCTCGGACGCCGCCGGTGTGGCCAAGTGGGTGGCCGCCAACGCCGGCCAGGCCACGCAGCACTTCGGAGGCAGCTGCTTCGCGTCGACTGACGCGTCCTCTGGATCCAAGCGCTGCGCGGACAACAAGCTGCGCGTGCTGGGCACGAGCAACATCTTCGTCGCGGACGCCAGCGCCATGCGCGACGGCACGGTGAACCCCTTCGGCTTCATCACGTACATCGGGCGCGAGGCTGGTGGCCAGGCCGCCAGCTACATCGCCGCGGGCGGCGTCGGCAGCGCCTGGGCCGTGCAGAAGCCCGCGCAGGGCGCCAGCTGCGGCAAGATCGAGGAGAACGTCGACTACGCGGGCAACGACGTGGGCAGCGCCAGGAGCAGCTCGGCCGAGGGCTGCTGCTCCATCTGCCAGACCACCGGCGCGTGCAAGGTCTACACGTGGACCAACTACAACGGCGGCACCTGCTGGCTCAAGAGCGCCAAGGGCGCGACCTCCACCAACGCCGGCGCGCGCTCGGCGGTGCTCAACTAGGAGTGATGGTCATATAGTTGCAGTTTTTTTCGAACAGTAGACCGACCACTGTCAGACTGAATACAGTACACTACAGTACTCTGCAAACCAAAGTATTTCGCGGCGACGTGAAGCGCAAACGGTATGCAGTTGTGGCGATTGAATTTGGTACCTGTACTAGTAAGGACTTCATGTACCGTGGCTGTAGCACTCGTAACTTTTGAACAACCGAAGGACTCTGCGCAATACTGTAGTAACTACTGTACATGTAGTGGTAGATGACGCATGTGTTTGCGGAGTGCAGCCAGCCTGGCCCAGCGTGACTGTGCGTTGCGAAGGGAGTGTGTACACGTAGCGAAACCACTTGGCGAGCTCGGGGTCGATCAGCGGAGACCGTGCGACTTTCGAGGAGACCGCCGGCAACATCCCCACGACAAGACGACCCGACCAACTGATCGTTTCGCTCGCTAGCGTTGCGTTGGTGCGCGATCGCTAAGAATCAAATCGGACGTGGGCTCGGCGCTTCAAGAAGCCTTCGGGCTGTGCGACTAGCGTCAACCTCATTTTGGGTGGTGTCCGCCAAAGATCGCCAAGGTGGAGAGTCAGACGTTGAACCCGATTTACCCTAACCGCAGGGCGGACTGACTCGTTGCACTTTGTCACGTCGACTTGTATGATCAGCAAAGGGCAATGCAGCTCGTGATCATTTTGACACGCATCAAGTTCTCCTCCGAGGCAAATACGCAAAGTGTAGAGAGCGATTGGTAGCGATGCTTGCAGCCTTGCACCTGCCCTTGTTTGGCCAAATCAATTAGTAACGTTTGAAGCACCATTCGCGTCTGATTAGCGGCTGCTCATTTCTACACGATGAACATGACCGGTAGGCACCCACGACGCAACACGCGCGCAGCATTGGCAGCAACACCGAATACAGTATTAGCAGCAGGAGCACCACCGAAGTGGCTGAGACGATTGCTCACGACCACCACAAGATCTTCCGGGCGCCGAATAAGACGCTGACCGTTGCGGTCTGATTAAGTCGGCAGATGAAAATGGAGCGCCGGCATGGTATCCGCTCAGCATGTCAACGAACAGCGCGTTGTGCGATCGTCGAAGATCATCGAAGACCTCTTCCCGCCCCACCCACATTGACCCCGTTGACCTGGCTGATGCTGTTCAACATGGACGGACGATGGTAAACATCCGCCACCCACCGACCCACCGACCCACTGATCGCAGCAGCACCGCAATCACGTGGACGACTGTCACACCCAGTGTACATCGGGTACGGTAGGTACAGCGGCTAGGATAACGCTGTGCGGTAAGCTGACGCGGCGCGCAGCTTCGGTGGGAACCGCACCACGATGTTAAACGCGATCAGCCGACCTCGTGTCACTTTTAGCGCCCTCGGCGCCAATAGCGACTCGAAAACGTCTTACTAAGAGGCTGCAAGTCGTAACGTCTAGCAGCACTTAAGGCTTCCGCTTTTTGCCTGCACACATCGTCGCGTCAAACGCGTTAAGAGACTTTCAGTGCGGGCACTGATCCTCTCGTCTCTGTCCGCCAGGTCAGCTCAAAATTTCGCTTCGCAAGCGGTCAGTGTACACATTTCCGTAACGTGTATGGCTACATTCGTAATTACTTACTATACAGTGTTTATGTAATAATTTTTATTACATAACTACATTTGTAGGACCATAAGAATCGGGAAATGACATAAAATGCAGTTTCTGAAACCATGCCTTTCTAGAAACTACTGATGCCATAGCCCCCAGTCTGAAACCCTGCTAGCGCCGCCCCTTGTGGCCTGCTCACAGACTACATCAGTGAGAAAAAGAAAAGCTCCAGCTCAGAGCGAGGAAAGCAGGCGCAGCTCGACCCTGACACGCGTCCGAGCGCTCCATCCTCCGCGTCCCTGTGCGCCCACCCGCCTCGCGACTCTTTGCTCTCTCGTCTCGTGGCGTCCGCGTCTCCAGACCGTCCCTACAGCGCGCGCTGTGCTCGTCCGCGCGCGTCGCCTCGACCAGAGGACGAGGAATAGGCGTCTTGGCCCAGAGGAGCTCCCAGCGTTATAAGGGCTCGTCTTCCGGCTTCGTTGGACAGGTGAGGCGCTGCGCCACACTGCGCACCAGTTTGTACTGCTCCTACTGCCCCCGACGAGTCCGCACTGACGTGTCTATATGCCCCACAGCCGCAGACTATCGATTTTTAGGCCGCGATGGACTCCTCGCACGCATTTGTGGGGGACTTTGGCATGAACATGAACGGCGACAACCGGTTCATGAACCAGTTCAATCTAGGCGGCGGCGGAGGCAACGTGAACGCCGGCGGAATGGGCGGCATGGACCTGTCCAGCGGGCTGGACTTCAGCGGCGGCATGAACCTCATGTCGGACTCGTCGCTCATGCTTGGCGGCAACTCGGGCGCATCCTCCGCGGGGCTCATTGACTTCCCGGACGAGCTCAACTCGCCCACGACGGCGGCGAGCAGCGGCCCGAGCAGCAGCAGTAGCAGCATGATGGTGGATACGTCGTCGGCCATGATGACCGCGTCGTCGGCGCCCATGCCCTCGACGGCGGACGCCATCCCGTTCCCGGCATCGCTGGCTGCAGAGCCGCTTTCGAACAACAGCACGACCGCTTCGTCGTCTGGGGGACTGGACGTGATGAACTTCATGAACTCGACAACGACCAGCAGCGCCATGGGGAACAACAACAGCAACAACAACACTGCTACTGCTGCTGGCAACGGCATGGGCTTGGACATGAACTCGATGAGCATGAACATGGGGATGAATAACATGGGCATGGGCATGGGGATGAACAGCATGGGCATGGATATGAGCGGCAACAGCTTCGGCATGAACGACGCCAGCCAGATGATGTTCAACAACATGCAGCAGCAGATGAACATGATGAACCCGCAGGGATCCTACTACATGCCGCAGCAGATGCAGCAGCAGCACTACATGCAGATGATGCACCAGCAGCGACTCAACTTGCAGCGTCAGCAACAACAGCAACAACAACAGCAGCAGAAGGCATTGCTCGAGCGTCAGCGCTTGGCCCAGCAGCAACAGGCGCAGAAGAACAACACTACTCAGCAGGCGCAGCAGCAACAAGCAGCTCAGCAACAGGCCGCGCAGCAGAAGCAGCAGCAGCAGCAAATGCTCGCAGCAGGACAGATGCCGCCTCAAATGGGTGCGCAGAGACAACTGAGCGGAGGCAACCCAACTATGAATGCCAACGCGAACGCGAATGCTGCTCGGACGCAAGCTCAAGCTTCAAGCCAGAACACCGGATCTGCTGCAGGCGGAACGCGACCTACGTGGCAGTCGTCTGCTGACCAAGCTTTGCGCAAAGAGATGCTGAACCACATAATGCGCGTACTTCAGAACCAGCGGTCGAACGCACCAGCGAATTGGCTGCAGAAGCTGCCAGAGATGGCACACCGCCTTGAAGATGAGTGCTACCGAATTGCCGCGTCCCGTGAGGAATACGCCAACACGAGCACGCTCCAGTCGCGATTGCGTAGCATCGTGCGTAGCGCGCAGACCCACCAGCGCAGTATCGGAGCTAATGCTATGCGGCAGCCTGGTGCTCCGAATCATGCCCCCGCTGGGACTCCAGGACAAGCAAGCACCGCGTCGACTGGAGCACCGATTCCATTTCCCGGTGCTCAAGCCGTTGCTGCTGCAGTGAACGGGGCTAGCACCGATTCGAAAAATCTGGCCGCTCAAGCGATTCAAATGCCACCCGAGCTTCAGGACCCGCCTTTGCAGGTGAATACTCCGGTGAAGACCGAGACGGCCCAAGCGCAGTCAAGGATGCAGTCAACACCTTCGATGACGCCTTCGATGATGAATTCAACTGTGACGGATCGTTCTTCCATGAGTGGCACACCTCTCGCTGGGCAGAATGGAGTCCAAGGCACTCCGGTTGCTGGCGCCAATGCGAGTGGGAGCGCAGCAAATTCGCCTGCTTCGGCTGCGCGTAATAAGTCGGCCCAGATTATTTGGCAATTTAAGGCTCGCGCGCAGGAAGTAACATCAGCGTTGGACCCGAGCCAGACCACGGAGTACCACAACAAGTTGCGCCTCATGGTCCGAGACGATGTAAAAACTGCCGGATCCAAGGAAGTGTTGCAACGCCAGCAACAGCGATTATTGTTGCTGCGGCACGCTATGTGGTGCAAGTCACCCGAGGGCACGTGCACGACTACCCCGAGCTGTGGCGAGATGAAGCGTCTCTGGGCCCATATGGGTGTGTGTCGACAGACAAATGCGTGCTCCTACAGTCACTGCATTTCGTCGAAGTACGTGTTGTCGCACTTCCAGCAGTGCACGAATGCCAAGTGTCTCGTGTGCCAGGTGGTCCGATATCCTGTCGAAGTGAAGGAAAAGAGTGGTGCTCTGATGCTGGACGCAGACCGCGCGCTCCAGCAAATTATTGCGGCGAGTCAGCGGCGGCAGCGCATGATTGCGATGAAGAAGCAACAGGAAATGCAACAGCAGCAAATGCAACAGACTCAGTCCCAGCCTCAGCCGCAGCCTCAGCAGCCGCAACCGATGCCGTTGGCCATGCCCGCGCACTTGCAGCAGCCCCAGAACAACGGAAATGCTGGGGCAATGAGCTACCAGCAACCGCAGCAGAACGCTGGACAAACTGCTAATCATCTCACTCCGATGGGCGCCAATATGAACTCAATGGGAATGACGATGCCGAACCGTTCTGCCTCGATGCCGACACCTCAAGCTAGCCCTGCTGGTGTCGGGTCAAACGGTATGATGGGACAGCAAGGATCTGTGAAGGCGGAGAACACTCCGGGACAACCTACGAACCTTGTCCCTGATGACCAGCGACAGCTTCAGCTCATTAAGCAGAAACTGGCAGGGCGTTCTCTCGAGCAACTGACAGGGCATTGCTTAAAGCTGGAGAAGTGGGTCGAAGAGATTCGTGCTCGCATGAACGCTATTATGAACGAGTGCCGGCAGCTGCTGCACCTGTCGAACTCGACACAAGACCCAATGCAGAAATCCCAGTACGAAGCTCAGGTTCAGGAGAAGCGCGTGATGCTCAAGCAACTGGATGCGAAGTTCAAGCAATGCAGAAGTCAGCGGAACATCGTGAAGCATGTGATTGACGAGCGAAATGCCTCGACAGCAATGTCTACGCTGAATGGTATGATGCCGGCTCAGGTAATTCCCAACGGTTCGGCAAGCGCGATGCAGCCCATTCCGATGCCTGCTCAGATGCAGCAGCTGAACCAGCCTCAGCACATGCAAACTCCGACGGCTCCCGCCCCTGGAATGCCATCCAAGCCGTCCCCCGATGACCTGTTGGGCGAGGAAGATGTGGATGTCCCCACAAAGGTTGAAGGCAATCTTACTGTCGCGGGAAAACCTTTGGAAATGCCGATGGACCTGCAGGATACAACCGCGACCCCCGTTTCAGTGGCGGCTCCATTGGACACATTAACGGCTCCGCAGCAACCCATGAACAATAATGCGATGGGCGGTCGGCCAGAGCTGACGATGAACCACGCACAAGGGCAAATGTATGGCCAGAATCAAGCACCAACGCAGCAAAACGGCAAGGCAGTTAATTTGCAGATGGGGTCAACATCTTCCGGTGTCATGATTAAACAAGAAGCCCAGGCGAAACCTGATGCGACGGGAACAGGATCGGCGGCGACTTCTAATCAATCTGCTGCGCCGGCTGTGAAGGAAGAAGTGGCCATCAACCCGCTTACGATGAACAATTCCAAGTTGAACGCGATGATGGTGGAGCATCGTCGAATGGATGCTAGCTCCAACTTGCCTCTTCCAGCGGGTGCAGTCGGTACACCGAAAGCGTTAACAAGCGATACGAACTCAACTGCGGCAGGTGCGGCCGCACCGGCACCGCCCGCTTCTTCAGAGGTGCCGATGTCGGTGCTGAATGAACTGAGTAATGAGGACCTTGCTTCTCACATCGACTCACTGGTGAAGTACTACAACGCCACAGTGTCTCCTGCGAATCTGAAGAAAAAACTCGAAGTGATTCTGAAGGGTATGATGGACCACAAATTTGGATGGGTGTTCAACACGCCGGTGGATCCGGTGGCGCTCAATATTCCGAACTACTTTAAGATTATTCGAAAGCCGATGGACCTGGGAACCGTGAAGAAGAAACTCGAAGCCGGTATTTACAAGCACACGGATGAATTTGCTAATGAGGTGCGCACTACGTTTGAGAACGCTATGCAGTACAACAGCGAGGACCAGGACGTGTACAGTCTTGCGAAGGATATGCTATCAGACTTCAACGGCGAAATGCGCAAGGTTGCGGCTGAAATTGATGTGGATGAAAAGGCGGCGCGTGCGAAGGAGAGCTCGTGTCGGCTCTGCGGTATTGAGCGCATGGTATTTGAGCCTGCTGTGCTGTATTGCAACGGCGAGTGCAATAGCCGAATTCGGCGGAACTGCTACTACTACACTTCGGCTGACAACAAATACCACTGCTGTCACCAGTGCTTCGGCGGCCTGCCGGATAGTATTAAGCACAACGAAGGGCGCCAGTACAAGAAAAACGAGCTCGCGCGCAAGAAGAACGATGAAGTTCACGAGGAGCCGTGGGTCCAGTGCGACAAATGTGAGCGTTGGGTGCACCAGATTTGCGCTCTTTTCAACGGCAAGATCGACAGCGAGAAAAAGCCGCAACTGGTCAAGACCGAGAGCGGCCAATCCATTGATAGCGGTGATGCGGCTTCCTCGCCGTCGTCGTCTAAGCCAAAATCCGCCGCATCCACTACTACGACCACAACGGTTGTGAAGAGTTCATCATCATCCGGATCGAAGGGAACGGTGCATTCCATTACAACGTCGCCGGGCAGTGAGTTTTTGTGCCCCGAGTGTTTGCTGGAGCATCGAAAGAGCGAGCCACAAAAATATAAAATCGGGCGACACGCGTTCAGTGCGAAAGATCTACAGCGCACGAAGCTGTCAGATTTTCTCGAGCGCCGCATCCAGCAGTCTCTAAAGGCCGAAAGGGAAGACGAGGCCAAGTGGACGCAGCGCGATGTGAAGGACGTCGAAACTGCTGAGGGGCTCACTGTTCGTTTGGTTTCGAACATTGAAAAGCAGCTGATGGTGCGTGATAAAATGTTTCAGCGGTACAAGGACTCGCACAAGTATACATCCGAGCACCGATTCAAGTCCAAGTGTATCTGTATGTTTCAAGAACTGGACGGCGTGTCAGTCTTACTGTTCGGCATGTACGTTCACGAGTTCGACGAGCAAGAGGCAGATTGCAATTCGCGCCGCGTGTACATTTCCTATCTGGACTCGGTAAACTACTTCAAGCCGGCTCATCTTCGCACGAAGGTGTACCACGAGCTGCTGATCGCCTACTTCGACTTTGTCAAACAGCGCGGCTTCCACACAGCCCACCTTTGGGCTTGTCCGCCTCTGAAGGGTGACGACTACATTTTGTACTGCCACCCCGAGTCGCAAAAGACGCCCAAGTCGGACCGTTTGCGCGCTTGGTATGTAGATATGTTAGTCAAGGCTGAGGAAGAAGGAGTGGTGTGGCAAATCACGAACATGTACGACGACTACTGGCGAAACGACAACACTCCTTGCGCGCTGCCGTATTGCGAGGGTGACTACTGGGTCGGCCTGGCCGAAGACTTGATCGAGAAGTTAGACGCTGAGAAGCCGAAGAAGATTGTGAACAAGAAGGGCTCCAAGTCACACAAGCGCAAGAACTCGGACACCAAGAAGGCGGCGAACAAGAAGTCCAAGTCGAAGAAGCCGAAGCGCCGAAAGACAGCATCTGGCGGAGAGGCATCGGGTGATGAGGATGAGGGCGACGATGGACACGACGAGACTTCCGCGGTGAACACTCGTACGCTCACAGTGAAGTCGTTGGACACTCCTGACCGGAAACTGTCGGACCCACTCATGCACAAGCTGGGCGAGGTGATCGAGCCGATGAAGGATGACTTCCTGGTGGTGAAGCTGGTGCCGTGCTGTCGCGTGTGTAACACGTCGGTGGTGCAGGGTGCGTTGTGGCTCGATCACAGCGTGAAAACGGAGCATGGTCTGAATCCGAAGGTGGTGCAGACTGCGCTGTGCGATATGTGCTACCAGAAACTGAAGGTTGTGTCGGTCGCAGGTTCATCTGCAGCCCACCACCGCTTGCAGACGCGGCTGAATGCTTTGGCCAAGGAGACTGTGGCGCTGCCAGAGCGCTGCACGGATCCGGACGAGATTAACGACAGCGAGTTTTTTGACACGCGACAGGCCTTTTTGAGTCTGTGCCAGGGCAACCACTACCAGTTCGACGAGCTCCGGCGCGCCAAGCACTCTTCTATGATGGCGTTGTATCACCTGGGCAACCCGAATCCGAACGCGTACGTTTATGAGTGCAATGCGTGCACGCGTGACATTGTCGAGGGCAACCGCTGGCATTGTCACACTTGCCCCGACTTCGACGTGTGCGACGCCTGCTACGCGAAGGAGAAGCACGAGCACCCGCTGGAGAAGGTACCGACTGGCAGCTCAGCACCGGCGATGCCGACCAAACCCACAGTTACAGCAGAGCAGCGACGGCTTCGCGAACAGCGTGCCAAGAACGTGCGCTTACACATGCAGCTGCTGGTTCACTCGAGCTCGTGTGCGGACGGCAACTGTGGCTCTTCCAACTGCGAGAAGATGAAGGAGTTGATGCGGCACGGAGCGCAGTGCAAGCAGCGGGCGTACGGCGGCTGCACGATCTGTCGGCGCGTATGGGCGCTTCTACAGTTGCACGCGCGGCAGTGCCGCCAATATGAGTGCAAGGTGCCGCGCTGCCACGATCTGCGCGAGCACGTCCGCAAGCTGCAGCTCCAGCAACAGCTCATGGACGACCGACGCCGCGCTGCAGTTACCCAGCAATACCGGCAAATGCAGAACGAGCGGCAGCAGGAGCAGCAGAATCAAGCGCAGGGCGACGAGCCCATGCCGCAGGCATGACCGACCTACCGACCGGCTTAGATCGAGCTTTGTGGACACGAAATGTCGAGTGTAGCATAGGATAGGCAGACAATACTAAATGCAGATGTGTGTCAACGTAGCTTCCAAGTGTTGGCAAGCAGATGAGCACAAAAGTTATCTGCAATTACAAGTGCTTCCTGAACAAACATCGTAGCAGTGCGAATTTCTTGGGCTTGAAGGATAATGATCCCCCCGCGAAGCTGCCGTTCTTGAGTTTGAGCGGCGTGTCCAAAGTGTCGAAGTCCTCGTGGCGCGGCGAGTGGCGTCGAGGCAGGACCGACTGCTATTCGTCGGTGTTTTTCGAAGTGCGGTACGACGAAGCAGATCCGGATGGGCGCGCTGACGTTTTCATCACCAAAGTTCAAGGCGGAGCCCATATTGCGGCTCTTGTGAAAGCCACGCATCAACTTGTACAGTGTGGACACGGGCAATGTCTTAACTGCTGCGCCGTCAAGACGCAACTTTTGCGGGCGTGGCGATCGTCTACTTGCGTGCCGCCCCAGGTGCAGCGGACCCAGTGGTGGTCAGCGACGCGGTGAGCGTCGGGAGTGCTCCACTACATGTAGATACCGATTCGGCGCGTGTTGAGGAGCAACCTGCCGCTTCTTCCTTCGCGAGACCCCAACGTGCTTATCCCAGCAAACCCGTGACAAGGAGTTGCCGAGGCTTTCGTCACGATTCCTGGCGCCAGCTTGTTTGCGGGCGCTTTGCCGCCGAACGCCAACCCGCCGGATCTCATGGTCGACCTATGGCCGATCTAGGAGCGTGTCGAGGACTTGACCGAGTTTTGACTCCACCTGGAAGAGATCCTGTTAATCGTTAGCGAATTCATTTGGTCCAGTGTCCGACAACCGTGTGCCCATGCTGTATGGGAGCTGCTATGCCTGACCATCTTCGGGGTTGCGCACTCTTCATACGGCAACGATACCAATGCCAATCAAGAGAAGGTGAGACTGCATAGGCGTGCTGCTCATTAACCCACTTTAACTGCTCAGGGGGCTCTACAATGGAAGCAGCCTTAAGTCGATCGCAGAGCTGCCCACTGGGTCTCTCCTTCGCTGCCACATCTAAAGCTTATGCCTTCTTGGCGCCGAGCCGTTTCTGACGGCGGCGGTGGTGCGAGCACGGACGCTTGCCGTGGTTGGCCTGCAGCAACATCAACATACCACACACACACAGAGCAACGATGAATTGCAACACTAGTCAGAACACCCTCTCCAATTGCCGCAGCGTTCTACAGTCCGTTCTACCTTCTTCGGGCGACGAGCGTTGCGGTTGAGCAGCTCCATGGCGATGGGCGTCTCCTCCGCGGCGAACCAGCTGGCGGTGGACGGCACGCTGCGCACACCGGCAACAGCGGCAGTGGCGGGCTGACGGGCAATGGCGGGGAGCAGCGAGGCCGGCGCCAGCGCGCTCTTGGTCACGGCGGAGAGCAGGCGCGAGCACAGCATACTGTCTGGCTGGGAGATGCTTGGACGATGGAAAGCAGAGGCTGGTGTCGCCCGAACTTTTTCTTTCGCGCGACCTTCGGACGACATTCAACACAGCGGTTGAAGTTGCCCTTTTGCTTGACAAAGTGCGCACTCGCTGCAATGCAGCCAGCGGTCGCGCGCAGCGAGACTTGGCGCCGGAAGGAGAGCACAACACGGCGCCAGCTGAGCAAGAGAGGCAGAGGAGATGGAGATACCTCTGCTGCTGCTGCTGCTGCTGGGGAGTTTGTGCGTCTGGCGGCGGTCATTGACGACTGCGCGGCGTTCAACCCCAAGCAGTGGCGGCATGTGCTGGACAAGTCGGCTACAGTGCTGCGCCAAGGAGGACAAGCTTCCAGTAACTTAAGCAATGAGAGGAGGATGGTGGAGAGAACAGAGAAGAAGACTTCAATAAAGCGCCCATTGTCGAGAGAGGAGGAGGAGGAGTATACGCTGGTGGATGGACTGGGGGTCTTCCCGACGCTCTCTGTGACGCAGTATTTGAACCAGCCAGACATGGTGAAGGACATTTTAAGAGAAGCTGAAGGGGCGATGACGATGGGGCAGCAACAGAGTGAAGAGGGCGTGATTGTGGAGGAGGAGGAGGTTGTTGTGGTGGATCCAGAGATACAGGCGGAAGCAGACGGAGGTGATGGTAGTTTGGAGATGGAGACAGCGATGGAAGAGGAAGACAGCTTGCCAGTTAGTATTGCTATTGTGAAGAAGGAAACCCCGGCAGTCGTGTTGCCTTTGTTGACGACGATGTCACCTCGAACGCGGCGAGGGCTTGCGCACCTACCTCCTCCCAGTGAGGCGGAAATGCGGGAAGTTGAGAGTCTCGAGCGTTTAGTAGACCACCCAGAATTTTATGAAGACTTTTATCGTGTGCTGAAGAGAAGTCAATTGCAGCAAGCACGGCGTCAGAGTATGCAAAGAGCAGCGAGCTTCGAGAAGCCAAATGTGCAGCCGTTGCAGAGACCAGCATCACTGCGGAAAATGAAGAGACCGCGCGGTGCTATTAAGCCACTACAGGCAAGAAAAGAAGTCAATGATCAGTCTGCCGCATTATCAGCGCTGTCAGCAGAGAGAAGAGACCACGGACAAGACTTACCTGAGCAGAACAGCACAGAGAAGGAGGATATCAAGAGAGATGGCTTTGGAAGCGTGGTTACGGTGAATCGAGCTGTTGCTCCTAATTGGAGCAAGAAGTCAAAGCGGTCTAGCAGCTACAAGAGATTGGTTCAAGAGCGGCAGCACGCTGACGTGCTGCATGGTGCAGCAGAGAACCAGGTGAAGGAAACCATTGCTGAAATCAAGCAGTGGGTCCCACTTGATGTCATTTATGCGTTCGGGCTCGGGAAATTTGCGTCGCCGGCTCAACAACGAGCTGCAGAAGTCATGTTTCGCGCTGGAGTCCGTTTAAGAAACCAGCTTCTTTTCCTTGGAATGTGTCATTGGAAAGACTTTATTGTCTTCACACGAGAACAGGAGTGGGATCAGTCCAGCATTCGACTGCAGTGCTGGTGGCGGCAACTAAGTGCCAAGCATGAGCTTGAAGTGCGCAAACGAGTCCGAAAGGAAATGCAGCGAAGGCAAACAGCTTTTCTAGCTCTACTAGCGAGCAAACGACAACAGGCCGCGTGCAGAATAACACGCTGCATACGACGCTATGCGCTTCAGCGTTCACATGAGCGAGCAGTAATACGGCAGAAAGCTGCGATCTGTATTCAGAAGTTCTGGAGGCAGTTGTGCACTCAGTGGGCGGCAATACGTCGGGAGCTGCAAAAACAAAGGAGGAATAAAGCTGCGGTATGCATCCAAAAGCACGTCCGACGGATGCTTGCGCAGCGAAAGCGAATGCTACTCAGTAAAATTGACCACGTGGACAAGCGCCGCCGACAGAAAGCGCTTCAAATTGCTGCACGAACAAAACACATGAAAATGCTTGGAGCTGCGATTTCGATACAGCGCGCGTTCCGTGGTTGGCAAGAAAAGCAAGTTTTGATGCTCCGACGTCGTCGAGCAGCATTCGAGCGTGACAAGAAAAAGATACTCCAGGTACAAGCACATTATCGGGGCCAGCAAGCTCGAAGATGGGTAAGCAAACACAAGCGTGGCGTTCACAAGGCTGTACGCATTCTGCAGTGTTCATGGAGGTGCTACCTTGCCAGATGCGAGCTTTTACGGCGCAAGCGGGAAGCCTTAGCTCGAAGGAACCAGTTGTTAAAAGAGATTGAAGAAGCTCGCCGAAAGCGACAGTCTAATATCCTCGCTCCGCTGCAGTTGCAAAAGATGTGGGGGCAGATCTCGCTGCTGAAAGCTGCCAATGTATTCCAACAGGGTGATTCCTCGAACTCCCGCGAGGCTCAGGCAGCTCGAAAATTACAGGCTCGATGGAGAGGCAAGCAGATTCGTAAGCGCCTTCGATACGAAAAAGCGAAGGAAGCGGAGAAATCACGGCGTGCTGTCAATCGCAAACGCAGACTAGCCGCAGTTTGTATACAAAAACGCGTGCGTGGAATTAGAGGACGCGCTCGCGCTTGGGAGATGATGAAGGAAAGGAGTGCTGGACGAATTCAGCGTGTGTGGAGAGGATACAAAACGCGAACACGCCTCCTACAAATGAGGTATGCTATCAAGATGATACGACGAATTCAGACGCATTGGATAGCTCGCCGAAATGTGGAGAACCAGCGCTTCCGTGCACTAAATGCTACAATTATTCAGCGGGCAGCACGAAGGTTTATTGGAAGAAGAATGTTGTATGAAGCCGTTCGAAGACGGCAATTCCTAGCTGAGGAGAGCGCAGTCGGTAAAGTACTTGAAGAAAGGACCCGCAGCCGTGTGAAGGATGAGCTGTTGCTGCAAAGTTTTACATTCAAGGCGATCAGAACTGCTGACGAAGGAGATGGAAGTGCTCGGGAAGAATCGCGCGTTGACCGATCGCTTTACGTTGTCGACCTAGCGAAGAGACAATGGAAGGGGAAGGGTTACGATGGTATTTGGCAGGAGGTTTTCCGATACGCAGCCGGCAATTCGCTCGAAATGGATAATTCTCATTTCGCAAGGTTTCTCAAAGTGCTTCCCCATGCTTTCATCCACAAGACCCACTTTCCCATGCAGAACGCTGATGTAATTTTCGCAAAAATGAAGGAGCCGAAAGCAAAGACAATCTCGTTCCCGAGATTTAACAAAGCGATTCTGATGTTGCTGAAGGAGAAGTTTGCAGATGCAAACAACAAAGAAACTTCAAAATCTGCTGAGCCGGTGGAATCTGGTAGCGACCACGAGCACTTTCTTCGGTTTATGAATCGCTTCGTACTTCCGTCCACGATCCAGAACGGGAAATACAGAAAAATGCTGGAGGCGCATTGCACCCAGCGTTTGCTGTGGTCAGCAGCGGTTCTGCGGAGACTTGCGAGCCGAATTACCAGCAAAAGAATGCACGACAATTTCGTGATCGTCTATCGGGAACAACACGTACAGAAGCACCGCAGCAGATGTGCCTCTACGATCCAGCTAGCGTATCGCTGCTACAAGTTTCGCTTGCAATTGAAGACGATGCTCGCCGGTATGTTTATCGAGTTCATCGATCACACCGGTCGGACTGTGAAGTTCCAGCATATTGCCAGCGGAAAGGCCCTCACAAAGCGCCCAGTCTTCTTGAAGGGGGTAGTGTGCGGGAAGATCGTTCCGTTGCCTTTCCCTGGTGAGGAATTCCACGCGTTCTGTGAGCGGCACGAAGATAGCACAAATGCGTCAAGGATTCCAGCCGAGGTTTATTGCGTGGAGTGCGAAGATACTATGTGTAAAACCTGCTTCGATAGGGATCACAAGACTCGAAACGCGTTTCAGCGGCACCAACCACGAAAGATCGAGAAGTGCATTCACTGCGGTACGGAAACAGCAACACGAGAGTGCCTTCAGTGTGGCAATGGCAGAGTGCCGTTTTGTGATCCGTGCTTTCCGCACGTTCACAAACGACTTCAGAAGCAGCCGAAAGGAGCTAAAGAGGAGACGAAAATTCTACCGGATCAGCCTGTTGAGATCACACACAAGTTCCAAGCTCTAGTGGTCATGTGCGTGGAATGCTCAGACCGAGTAGCCCAATGGTCATGCGAGACGTGTTTGGATCTCTTTTGCAAGCGCTGTATGAGTTCATACCACGCGAAAGGCCAACGACAGTATCACCACTGCCATCGCTTAAGCTATTTCTCCATTTTGCGACTAAAAGCTGAACAAAAGAGAGATGCTGATGCTGAAAAGGAAAAGGAAAAGCGGAAGAAATGGCGCGAGGAGGAGCGAAAACGACAAGAAGCAGAGCTTCAACGCCAAAATCTTGCTGCTACGAAAATGCAGGCATTAATCCGGTCATTCGTCGCTCGGCAGTCCGGGAAAGCGTACATGAAGCTTGTACGTCAAACACAAGCAGCGCGCGCTCAACGAAAGAAAGACGACAAAGTGCGGTCATCCATCGCGTACAAGGTGAAGGCTGTGTTTGGCGTATCACCAGCACTGAAGTCCGATACAAAGCAAGAGATTGCTGCGCGCAAACAGCGGTTCGATGATATCAAGCGCGCCCTGTTCCTCCAGCGGCGATCTGGAGATAAGTCTAAAGCGAAGAAGCGCTGGAGCAAGAAGCAAAAGGCTCGAGTGTTGGAGGCTGCTAGAACTTGGTGTGATTACGACGAGCCGGTCAAGATCCTGAAAGGAGAGTGGAAGAACTGCGTGGGAACGATCGTGTCGACCCAGAACTTGATGCTCACCGGGAGTGTCCTTGTGTTTGTCTCTCTGGCCAATCGCTCTGTCGTCGTTCGGTGGGAGGACATCGAGCCCTACGACCAAGACGAAGCTTTGCGCCAGGAGTACGTACCACCAGGCCAACTAGCGGTGAACGTCACGCGAGACTTTTACGCCAAGATCTCGCGTATATTGGAAGGTGCTGTGCGGAAGGCACGCTTGCTGTATTTGCAAACGATCGAGTTCAACCGTATCATGCAGTACGCATGGGTGGTCGAGTACGACAAGCGGGAGCAGAAAGTGGAGTATTGGAACGTGGTGCTTAACCGGCGTGTGTCAACACCGCCCAAAGCAATGGAATTAATCGAGCGCATGGAGCCGGAAGACCGGGAAAAATTGGAGAAGCGAGTGGAGCTGGCACGAAGCAAACTCGTCGCTCTGCTAAACCCGTTCCAGCCGAAGAACAAGCCCAAGCTGGCACTGCGACGGAATGCCGTTGTATTCGTCCCGAGTGGAATCGTCGTGGAGGAGAGCAACGCTTCGCTGGCATCTTTGAAGCTCGAGATGGAGGCCATCGATGCCGCTCGCTTCTGGCACGACAAGGTCATCGCCAACCGGCAGCTCGGCAGTCGGAAGGCGCGCAAATTCCTCGCTGCGTCTTCGTCCAAGGCGTGCTGGTGGGTGGTGAAGCTGTTCGTCTGGATGGATCTTCACGCGGAGGGCGGCTTTGAGCCCAACGCGAGGAAGCTGTTCAACCTGTCCGAGGAGCTGCAGGTGTATGTGGTGCGGGAGGTCAGCGACCGCTTCCAGCAGTCCGGCGACCCCAATCTTGCGAAGGACAAGCTGGTGCAATTGACCACGTTGAAGATGGCTACGCTGCAGCTGCTGGTGACCAAGGACCAGCGAGACGCCGAGGAGGAGGAGGCCCGGCAGGCGCAGTGAGTGAAAAAGGCAACTTCTAGTTGAAGCCGCTCGGGCTCAGACAGCCCCAGCCCGCATCAGGCGGCTTTTGACTGGCCAGGGAGAAAACTGTCCAACCGACTACTCATGTCAAGATCTAGAAACTGTCAAATGGCATAATTTAAGCTCTCTGTTTAAGCGCGACTTACTGAGTGGATGTAGTGCGAAGGTCGCGCCAGTGGAACTGGAGCCGCTCGCGCCCAGCCAGCCAACCAGTGGCCCGCCGAGCCGCCTTCATTTGCCTCGCCCACGCAACAAAAGGGAAGTTCGAAGCTAACGCATCAACTAGGAAACAATGGGTAAGTAAGCCCGACAACTATGAGCCCGCGACGGCGGTGAATGTTCCAGCAACGGACAGGAAAGGCAGCGCAGGGCAGGCGAGGGCGGCGAACAGACATGCAGGGCAGGGCAGCGAGTGCAGCTCAACACAGGCACAGCTCAACACGCAGCGAGTGACTGGCACAGGGCAGCGACACCCATAGGCATCTGCAGCTACGAGCAATACGACAATGGATTAAGGACCGCTGCACTGCTGCAACCGACGCCATCGCCCTGGCTGCTTTCCTGTCCAAAAGCTGCACCGTCGCGGGCATTGACAAGATTTAGGCCGACGAGATCCGCAGTGCTGACTGTTCTTGTGTCTGTTGCGTGCAGTCCAGATCAAGGCGCACGAGCTCCGCACCAAGAGCAAGACTGAGCTGCTCCGTCAGCTGGACGACTACCAGCAGGAGCTGGCCCAGCTCCGCGTGGCCAAGGTCATTGGCGGCGCCGCCTCCAAGCTGAGCAAGATCCGCGTGGTGCGCAAGTCGATCGCCCGCGTGCTGACGGTGTACAACCAGAACCAGAAGGCCAAGCTCCGCGACGCCCTGGGCAGCAAGAAGCACGTGCCCCTGGACCTGCGCCGCAAGCAGACGCGCGCCATCCGCCGTCAGCTCTCCAAGCACGAGAAGTCGCTCAAGACCCTCAAGCAGCAGAAGAAGGAGTCGTACTACCCCAAGCGCCGCTTCGCTCTTAAGGCGTAAGCGTTCTGCTAGTTGCTGGGCGTGCGTCGGACTAAATACACCCTCCTAAGCTTCCCGCCATGTTTCGACACGGCGTTGATCAATTGTCGGTTCGTAGTTGGGACTTTATTGCATTTTCATTGCCGTGCTTTGGTTACTCTACTCCTCTGTCACGTCCCAGCAGAAAGACTCGTCCTCGTTCTCCGAGTTGGAGTCGGACACGATGTCGAAGCTGCTGGTTTCATCAGTCTCCACTGCAGCTTCAGGTGTTGCATCTTGGTCGTGTGACTGCGATTCCTCGTTGCTTCCCTCAATGAGCTGCGTCGCGTCCGGGTCCTCTGCGTTGCTCTGTTGCGTGGATCGTAGAGTGCATGCTGGGTCCACCGTCTGCAGTCCGCTGATGGCCATGTCGCTGAGTAAGTCATCGTGGATAGAGAAGTCCTCCTCTGGCACGTCTCCTGGTGGCTCCTCGTCTTCGACAGACACTACACCATTCTCCTACATTCATTAATGGAGACTCTCGTTAGTGGTTGCTGACTGGCGAGGTGAAAGAAGACATTCATGAAGGGTCTTGTCAGTGGTTAGTGAGAGCTGAGTTTGAAGAAGTTGGGGTGATTCGCACCTTCACGGTGAAAGGCTGCACTACGTAGCCTGCCACGGATGACTTTATGATCGTCACCGCGCGATACAACGAGTGTCGCTCCATTATGAGCTGCAATGCATCAACCAGTGTTAATAGATGTTGAAGCGAGTAACCATGACAAAGCCACCGCATTTTCCGACCCTTGTGGTGACGCAGTGCGCCCAACTGTCGCCAAGTTGCGGCTTCGTATACAGTCCACCTAGACGGCAATAGCAAGTTAAAACTCAGACAAAGCCGATGGGACCAGGGATAGACAAGAGTCTACAGAGCCTACCTTCGCCTTCAACCGTGCTGGCATGATTCGTGACGACAGCGAAGGCTTGGTATGTGTCTGCGAATAATCTGAATGCAGATGTACATACTCATTAGTCCACCATAAAGCAGCACGAGGGAAGCAGATCAACCTACTTCAAGTCTCTTGCGAGCCGTAACATTTGGTGTTGGCGTTGTGCGTGCGTTAAATCATTTGCCTGGTATCGCACATATAACACAACAAGTTAATTATCTCAAGAAGCGGATTGCATTCGCTAAGTCATAAGGGACTCAAGCACCTAGCTGACCTTGTTGAAGAGAGTAGTCACGCAGTCAATAATGAGGAGCTTTACCCTGAATGAATGCATCGAATCCTCCATTTCCTTCAGCCTGTAATGGTACGCACGGTGTTAGTCTGGATTTGAAACACCAATGCTTTAAGCAGCTCACACGTACTTGGAAGCTAATACAGCGATTGATTTGACTTTCACCACACGAATGCGCTTGATGATTCCAGCAGCTAATTGATTCAAGTTTGCCTCTTGGCCAGTACTTGTCAGGCTAATGCGCGCAAGGGTTATCTGCAGGAGACTGCACTCACGACCACACCGTCAGGTTTACGCCACAAACACCGACATACACGAAAAGCGGACCGTTTAGCACTGAAGTTGTGCTCGACGTCGAAAAACATAACACCGCTCTCTGGGTAATCCATCGCGCAAATGACGGCAAGCGTCATGGCAACTTGGCTTTTGCCGATACCAGAAGTGCCCACAAACTGCTCACAACACCATTCATCAGCGACAAAATACCGGACTAAACTTGCACATCAATAACCAGCAGAACCGCACTTCTGACAATGCTCGGCAATGCAGTCCGCCGTTCAGCGCTTGATCGATGCCTGCCAGTCCTGTTCGCAAGAACGTCGGGTGGTTGGCGCTTTCCAAGAAGAGGTCGAAGGCCTAAGACACACAACCAGAGACCATCAGCAACAACCCACAACACAAATACCTTTGCAACTTCAATCAAGGGGCTGTCACTACCGAGCGACTTGCTGGGGCCAGTCGGATCGAGAGCTTGGCCACTAGCTCCTACTCAACCAGTCCGTGAGAATAATGATCCACTCTACTCAAAACCCAAATTTCTCCGCCCTCAGACCTCCGTCTCGCGAACGGACATGTCCACGGCATGGGCGACGTCCCACACTGGGCGCTGCAGCAACTGGCGGTGCGTCGTGATGCCGCTAGCCTGAAACAGCGCGCGCCGCCGCTCGTCCACATTCTCCCGAGCCAACACCCGCTGCAGCATTTCGCATTATTGGCTACTGCCACGGATCCAACGATATCCCACCAACCACACATAATACGACACAGAAAACAGTCATGTTGAAGTTAAACAGAAGACACACCGGCCACGTACCCGTTGACTGTTGCACCCATTGCTCCGATCTTTGGGCTACGGTTTCACTCCTCAATCTGCCGTCCAAGACACAGCAAGAGCTCAGAGCGATGATCTACTACGACGCGTCGCGGCTGTGGGGGATTCTGCTGCGGTGGCACGGGTCGGCGCTGAGCGGCCAGGCGCCCGTGCGGGCGCTGCACATGGCGGTGGTCGCGCTCGGCATCTCGCTGGTCGACCACTTCTACCCGTTCGTGGTGGCCACCAACAAGTCGATGGCGTTCACGGACTCGCTCACCGTGTTCAACACGTTCCTGGGGCTCATCATCTCGTTCCGCCTCAACTCGGCCTTCAACCAGTGGAGAGCGGGCATGGTGGCCATGGGGGCGCTCTCCGAGGCCGCGAGGGACATCGTCGGCTCCGGCTGCGCGTACGTGAGCACGACCATCAAGGAGGAGGTGGAGGAGAGCAAGGACGAAGCCAACGCCAAAGAAGCGGAGCAAGAGCACAAGAAGCACGCGCACAATGGCAGCGAGTGCCACGACAGACCGCGACCCATTTCGCGCGATATCCTCGAGAAGTGCACCTTCTTCACGGAGCTGCGGCGACTCGTGTTCCTGTACATCGCCATCGTGTTCCACGACTGTCGTGGCCGCGACGGCATTGACAAGTTGAGGGACACGGGGGTGCTGACTGAGGCCGAGTACGACGAGCTGTACGCGTCCGGTTCGGAGTACAAGAAGGAGATGAACGAGGTGGAGTCCTACTGCGACCTGACACGTCGGACTCCGCACAAGCTGCGTGCAGCCATCACCGAGCTCTGGCTCAAGAGACTGGTGCAGGTTGCTTCACAGTGCGGTCATCTGACGCCGGGGAACGCTAGCACGTTGCAGAGTAAGATCTCGCAGCTGCCGAACCTGTACACGACGGTCTTCCACATCGCGAACGTGCCGATCCCGTTCAACTACATGCAGTATCTGCAGTTCCTGCTGGCTGCCTACATGCTGCTCTACATGGTCGTGATCGTGCCGAGCTCGGGGCTCTACACGCCGGCGTGGGTGTTCGTGTGGGGCACTTTTCTCTTCATGGCCGACGAGATCGCCATGGAAATTGAATGTCCCTTTGGTCTGGACGCCAACGATATTGACCTGGAAGAGAGACTGCTGCAGATTGAAGAGGAGCTCACGGTGCTGGTCCGCAGTCAGTACTACTTCGTCACCGGCGGCTCGAGTCTCTGCTTCACCGGCGGGTTGTGGTGCCAGATGCCGACTTCGCTGCTCGAGTCCAAGCCGGAGATCACCAAGTCCTTCTCCTTCCACCAAGGTCGACTGTCCCCGTCCAACATCGCGACGGTGCAGGAGCACATGCTGCCAGAGATCAACGAGTACACGGGTCTGATCAAAGACCCACCAGCAACACGGATCAAGATTTCTGCCAAGAAGAGCATATCGGGAGGTGGCGGCTACGGGTCGATGGCGTCTATGACTGCGTAGATACCAGCACTTTAACTCTTAACATGATGACCGTCAATGGATGTCGAAGCAAAAATCTATTTGGTTGGTACTGTATGCACGGGTCTACTTGCGAAAGTACCTCGAACAACACCCCTCGACGTCCTTGAGACTCAGGTCACGCACGCCAAAGACCTTCACAGACGGAGTGTACACGCCCGTGGCCACCACGTGGTTGCCGTCCTCGGACAGAAGTCCAGCAGCAGCTCCACGCCGAGGGTAGTCCTCGTCCCTTAGACAGCGTCATGCGCAGACTTCAAATACTATTATCACAATTACCTTACGTTAACACTACCTCTTCGATGTCCGAGTCGTCAAAGCTCATCACACTATCGTTTGGCACGGTGGCGCTGGGAGCTGGCAATGGATCTGGCTGAGGTACTGCATCCATCGTAAGCCCTGCTCCATCTTGCTTGCCAAGAGCATCAATGAGTCCCATCACGACCGCGCTCGTCGAAGCCTCCACCGACTCGCCACTGTCGCCTAAGCTTGGAATGTCCATGCCAAACGACATCTCGGACGACGCCACTATCGACTGCCTGTAGTCGAGTCTTGCTGCAGGCTCAATGATTGCAAATTCACTGGCTGTTGAAAGTCGATCCGATTCCAGAGAGGTTGTGGTCATGTGTGCTTCAAACTGACCAGACCCTGTGTGCGAGAGTGCCCGGTGTGTTCCAATTCGTGTCTGGGGTGGCTCCAGGTCTGAGGAAGAGCCGATCCGTGGAAGAAGCCACGCTCCATCCTCTTCCTGCCGCTCTTGTCGACAGTTGTCCACTTCATCATTCTTCTGTGCAGCCACAATCCGTAGATCTTCCCCTGAAACGGGTTCTGCCTCGGAATGGCTTTGTGCAAGAGAATCATTTTCCCACAACGATCTCTTGTCACCCATGTTCGCATCCACGTTTGTCGCTATGATCTCGTCCGTACGAGTGTCATGGGGAAGTCTGGTTTCCGTGATTTCTGTACGGCCATCATCTCTGCTTGGGGCCCTTCCGCCAACTGGCAACTCTTGCAAACTGTCGTCATCGCTCGGTTCTGGAGCCACCTCCGTCATATCCACATTCGCGCCCAACTCCTCGTTGTCGCGATGAACACTATTCACAAGATCGCCAACTGCTTCTTGAACTTCAGGTGGGCTCACTTTCTCCTCTTCGGGGGTGTTACGCGTGGACTTATCGCCTGCTGTCGGTACGTTATTCTCCACAAAGTTGCCAGGAAAATACGCACTGCTCTTTGTTGCAGCCTCTCCCTCGACGACCACCGAAAGTTGGTGTTTGGCTGAATATCGGCGGGCTGGTGTAAGAGCAGATAGCTCTTGATCTTCTTCTATGTTGCTGAGCAATTCATGAGGTGTGCCGCCTGTATCATGATTGCTTTCAGCTACTTTCTTCTCCGTAGCCACTCCAATAGTATTCACTGTTGCTACCCCCTCGTTGTTTGCATTGCGACTCAGGAGATCTGGCTTCGCAGAAGGTCCGAAAGCTGCCATCGCCTGCCGAACTAGCCCCTGACTGATCTCGGACTTTGCGCGAGCCTCCATTTTGAAACGGTCCAGAGCTTGCTGCCGGGTTTTCTCCATCGGCACCCACTCCTTCTCGATGATCGTGTTGACATTGTTTTCACATTCGACCATTCTCGCTAAGACCTCGTGGGGCAGCACTTCCAGATGACCGTGTAAAGCCTGCTGGACGATCGGCAGATTTTCCTCTGACAGCCACGCACTCTTAGCAGGGACGCCAAAACGACGAGAAAAATGCTCGAGTTGTGACAGGCAACTTGCAACACGCTCCTTCACTGCATTTTCGTCATGTTGGAACCGACTTCGGACATACTTGTGCCGAGGGATCGAGCTGCAATTTTTCGGAGCAGCTTCGTTACTAGCCACATTGGTTGCCGCCCTATAGCAAGGCACATTCGCAAAAACAAAATGAGTACAGTTGCAAATTCTCCTTCCCTTTACCAGTTTCCAGTACAGAAACGTACTGTTGAGCTCGCTCATCGAGCGCATCCAGGAGGTCCTGACTGTGAAGTTGCTGAATGTAGTCGGGAATTTGTCCATCGTCTTCATGCACAGGTTTAGAGATATCAACATCTTCCACATCAGTACCAACGGCAGTGTCGACAGTGGGTACGGCCTGCGAACTCGGATCAGACTCCACGAGGCTAACTTCAGGTGCTATCGTTGGCACTGGATCATCAATAATGGTAACTTGTACCTCAGCGTCTGCTGAGGGTGTTCGCAAAGCATCCACCGTCTGACTGGCTGCATCCTCGTAGCTCAAGCTGATAGGATCCGTGCCCGTGTCCTCATAGATCACTGGACTTTGTTGAGTAATCGTCTCGGTCTTGCTCTCAACTGGAAAAGGGCTGGCCTGCTCATCTGTTTGTACAGACTCGTCGGCAAAAAGAAGCACTTCAGTCTGAGAGACCTTGTCGTGCGTTGCAACAGGAGGTACTTCGCGTGCCAAAGCCAATCTATCTGCCAGCTCTTTCTTTTTTCGCAAGGCTGACAAGTGCAGTGCTTGGACTTTTGTCAATTCCTCTCGGGAAGCAGTCAGCTCAGCGTTCACGTCCTCAAGAGTCTGCTGTAAAATCTTAATTTCTGCCTCCGCAGCAGCGAGTTTATCATCATTTCCGTGAGGCGCAACACTAGCCGGCAAGCCGGCAGCTCCCATCATCTTCATTTTCATTGAATGGAACTGAAGCTGCTGCTTCAAGTCAGCCAGCTCGTCTTCAGCTTTCTGCTTCTGCAGGCAGACTTCGTCCAGTTGTCGGCGTGATTCCACGTGCTGCTGCTCAGCTACCAGTCGCGTCGCTTTCAGCTCTTCTGCAAGCTTCGTCTCAGTACGCAGTCGCTCGTACACCTGCTGCACCTTTTGCGCTTCTTCTTCCACCAGCGAGCGCAACTTATCTTCGTGCTCATGCAGCGCTCGCTCCACTTGCTGCACCATCTTCTGCATGGTCGCTTCAGACGCCGTCTGGCCCTCTTTCCTTGCCTTTTCAGCCGCATCCTCCAATTCACCACCAGCGTGCCGCTTCATCTTGTGCTTCACCGGTGTTTCGACCTCAATACTCTCGCCAAAATGTCTCCTTACGAGGTGTTTCTCCAAATACTCCTTCGACGAGAACAGTTTCCCACAAAATCCGCACACGCGAGCTTCCTGCACGGCTGGTCTCAGCTCTTCCTCCATTTCATTCCCATCCTCGTTCTCCTTCTGCACCAGCGCCTTCCTCCTCTGCTTCGCCTTCCTCTCCGATATTAACTCAGTCAACAAGGTCTCAATCGTCGCCACCGCCGACGGCGAAGCTCTAACTCACCACAAACAACCAACAACAATAAAACTTCCACGAATCCCTCAAAACTTTTCGTAAAGATTCCGAAAAAAATCCCAAAACTTACCCGTGGATCTGCAGCAGCTTGGCAATGTTCTGCAGCACCTGGTGCAGCTTGTCCACCTGCTTGTCGCCGCTGCGCGCGCGGGCCTTGAGCTTCTGCGCGCGCAGCAGCAGCTCGTCCCGCTCCGTCTCGACGTGGCGCAGCTCCTGGCCCAGCGACTCCAGCACGTCGCCGTCCCGCGCCCGCATGAAGAGCAGGTACTCCATCGCCAGCTGCAGCACGCGCACCAGGAACCAGGCGTCGCGCGTCGCCGGGTCTTTCGGCGCATTCGGCAGCCGCGCAAACGTCACGTGCAGCGCGTACGGCTCCAGCAGCGCCGGGTCACCGCGCCGCACCACGTCCACCACGTCCAGTGCGCCCAGCAGCCGCCAGTTGAGCTTCTCGCTGCGCTCGCGCCAGCAGAAGCGCTGCATCGGAGCGCCTAGCCTAATAGTGAGCCAGTTGAGGAAATGCTCAGTGTCAAGATATCAGATACCCCTTGCATCTGATTGGCTGACGTATGTTGATGTAGCCATCTCTTATTTCAACCAAACACCAATTCAAGTGTGTACTGAATTAACTCAGATACTTTCTTTATTTACTTAGTTAGATTACACATCTTTTCGACCAATCACGCTGGGCTGCATTATTGGCTGGTGTCCGCAGCAGCGGCTCAATTGTCATCTTCATCTTCGCGGAGCTCCTGTCGGTGTCGGTCGGTGCATCATGGCGGCGCTGGCAGCTTCGTCGCTCAATGGCGTCAAGATCTACAACCTATCGTCTGGCAAGACGCTGCCGCAGTGGCTGGCGGAGAAGGGCGGCAGTCGCAAGGCGCTGGCCAAGGACGAGGACTACCGTCGGCGCGTGGAGCTGCTGCAGGACTTCCACTTCCCCGCCGGCTCGCAGCGCGTGCGCATGTCCGCGGACGGCAACTACGTGGTGGCCACGGGTGTGTACCCTCCGTCCGTCAAGGTCTATGACGTGCGCGACCTGAGTCTCAAGTTCGAGCGCGGACTGGACGCCGAGGTGGTGCAGTTCGAGGTGCTGTCCTCGGACTTCGGCAAGCTGGCGTTCCTGCAGGCGGACCGCTCCGTGGCCTTCCACGCGCCCTACGGCACGCACTACAACATGCGCATCCCCAAGTTTGGTCGGGACATGACCTACCACAGGGAGAACTGCGAGCTGTACGTGGCGGCCTCGGGCTCGGACGTGTACCGCATTAACCTGGACCAGGGCCGCTTCGTGGCCCCGCTCGAGCTGCAGTCGCAGGCCTCGGCGGCCAATGTGGTGCAGCTGAACCCGATTCATCAGCTGCTGGGCGTCGGCTGCGAGGACGGCGTGGTCGAGATGTTCGACTCGAGGAGTCAGCAGCGTGTGGGCACTCTGGACATCGCCGCGCACTTCGCGTCCTCTAAGTCGGACAAGCAGCTTGAAGTGTCGGCGCTGAGATTCGACGATGACGGGCTGACCTTCGGTGTCGGCACGTCCGAGGGCCAGTGTCTGCTGTACGACCTCCGCTCGTCGCGCCCGCTGCTGGAGAAGAACCACCAGTACGGACTCCCCATCATGGACCTGCAGTTCCACGACTACGCGCGCAAGGTGATCTCGTCCGATGCCAAGGTGATCAAGATCTGGGACCGTCGTGACGGCGCCGTGTTCACGAACGTCGAGACGCCCGCCGAGGTGAAGGACGTGTGTATTGTGGAAGGCGCGCAGGGCAAGTCCGGTGTGCTGCTTGTGGCTGGCGAACAGGAGCGCGTGATGAGCTACTACATCCCCGAGCTGGGCATTGCTCCCAAGTGGTGCTCGTTCTTGGACTCGCTGACGGAGGAGCTCGAGGAGGAGGCGCAGGCCACGGTCTACGACGACTACCGCTTCGTCACGCGCGCGGAGATTGCGTCTTTCGGACTGGATCACTTGGTGGGCACGCCGCTGCTCAAGGCGTACATGCACGGTTTCTTCATGGACGCTCGCCTGTACAACAAGGTCAAGGCTGTGGCCGAGCCGTTTGCGTACGACGAGTGGCGCAAGAAGAAGCTCAAAGAGAAGGTCGAGGCCAAGCAGGCCAACCGTATCACCATCCAGCGCCGTCTGCCCAAGGTCAACCGCGCTACGGCGGAGCGCATCCTGCAGAACGAAGCCAAGCGGAAGAAGAACGGCAAGGGCGCCGACGGCGAGGAGGCCGACGCGGACTCTTCCTTCTCCAACCCGCTGGGCGACGAGCGTTTCTCGCGCATGTTCACGTCCTCGGACTTCGAGGTGGATGAGGAGAGCGACACGTACCGCATGCTGCACCCGAACGCTGCCAACACGAAGCAGCAGCGCAAGCAGGAGGACATGGACAGTGACGCTGGCAGCGACGACGACGACGAAGATGAAGACGACGAGGTGGGTGGTCGCTTCGCCCGCGTGGAGGACGACGAAGAGGAGGAAGAGCTGGAAGGCAGACCGAGCGACGAGTCCTCGGACGAGGAAGAGGACGAAGCCCCCAGACGCGCCCCTCAGCGGACTGCTGCGAAGGACAAGCGGAAGCCGGCGCCCAAGTTCTACGAGATCGCCGAGGGCGAGAAGGTGGGCGACCTCATGTCTTTCGGCTCGTCGAGCGACCGTGCCGCCCAGCGTGAGAAGAAGCAGCTGGCCAAGCTGCCGCTTGCGGAGCGTCTGCGCATGCAGCGCGTCACGGAGAAGGAGCGCAGTGCGTTCAAGAAGGAGGAGACGACGGGCGGAGGCTACGTCCGTGAGATGTCGTTCGTGCCCCAGGCCGATCTGCTCAAGCAGCAGCGCGCCCGTGAGCGCGAAGGCGGCAACACGGACGGTGACGACGCCTTTGGCAATGGCAAGCGGCGGAAGAAGCGCGGCGTCGGCGACCTGAAGCTCGCGAACCCGGGACGGAACCCCCGCTTTCGCAGATAAGAGATAGACACCCGTGCATACACTACCAACCAAATAGATTTTTTGCTTCGACATCCATTGACGTGCATCAAGTTGAAGTGCTAGTAACCGAAGCCATCGACCTGTAACCTCGATGTGCTCTTGTTGGCGGCGCGTGTGACCTATCACCAACTTTCACGTGAAATGGTCTCTTCCACCTCATCATCAATATTCTGGCGTTGGCTTCAACGTAAGTTAGGGCATCCTGTTGTGAATGAATTCAAAAGCGCAGCATGACAATTAGACGAGCTGGCCCCATCACCTCGCTCTGCTTAAGCCGACTTGATGCCGGACATGCCACCCGCCTGCTCGATGAGCTTCTCCGTCTTGGCACGGTACTCCTTGTACTTGGCCTCATCCTTGGGGATGCTTTCGTCGCCCTTCTTGTACATGACAGCCAGGTTGTGGCACGCAGGGGCGAAGTTGGCGTCGCAGGCCCTCTCCAGATACGTCTTCGCCTGCAGGATATCGCGCTTAATGGGACTACCCAGTCCCGGCGACAGGTACATGGTCGCCACACGGTTGCAACTGTTGGCGTCGTCACGCTCGCACGCTTCCTTGAAAGCCGCCAGACCCTTAGCAACGTCCTGCAACTCGAAATCACGATTAGCGAAGCCCACCATCACGGAATTTTTAACCTTGTGCCAACCTTGTCGCAGCCAATGCCCTGCATACGCATGAATCCGACGTGGTGACAGGCAGCAGCATGGCCATCCCCACACGATTTCTCTAGCAACAGCCCACAGTCATCGTTTAGAGTAATAGTTCCGACTAACTTGACCAGGTTATGAGTGACACAACTCACCGAAAAGCTTGAACGCCTCGGGATCATCCTGCGCTGAGCCCTTGCCAGCAACTAAGGGAAACATACAGAGCACACGAAGTCAGAGCCGGTGGAACGCACTCAACTTGTAGCAGTGCACCGTTGCACATACGCTTCAGGCGTCCGAGGTTGAAGCAGGAGGCCGGGTAGCTGTTCTTGGAGCAGTTGAGCTCGTACATCTTGGCTACAACAGTCAGCAGATAATTGCCACCCAGCAGTTAATACACTATTGCAGTTAATGTCACAGCTGCAGCCTTGCATGGCTGTTACCTGCATCGTCGTAGTTCTTGTCCACGACCGCCAGCCACTCGCCCCAGCTGTGGCACGCGCTGGCGTCTCCGTCGCCGTCGTTGCAATTGGAGCGGAACTCGTAGTGGCGCTCCTCCAGCTGCTGGTTCACGCGCTTCACCTCGGCGGCGCTGCGGTCGCTGGATTTGACCATGGCTGCGGTGTCGATGTCGCGATGCCGATCGGGAATGGAAGGTGTCCTCCGCCTCGCGTTGCGGACTTATCTATGCGTGTGTAGCCATTTTGCGCTTTAACAGCGGGCAGTTGTGTCGCAGCTACATTTGACAAGCAACTATAAGCAATTATAGTTGTATTCAATACAAAATTGGGGGAAATCCCAAATTACGCCCGTACGGACACAAGGAACTCATCCTTTCATTGAGTTGCGCTAAGCTCGCATGTTGTTCATCCCTTTTACATTTAGCGAAGAGAAAACATCTCTTTTGCCTTCATGTTAAAAGCTACGCTGAAAGATGTCTACAAGGTGCGTTTGGTATACACGGGTCCATCGAGAACAGTAATCACTACAATAGAAAATCGAGAACGGTAATCACCACAATAGAAGCCCGTGTATACCAAACACACCTTGTAGACATCTTTCAGCGTAGCTTTTAACATGAAGGTAAAAGATATGTTTTCTCTTCGCTAAATGTAAAAGGGATGAACAACATGCGAGCTTAGCGCAACTCAATGAAAGGATGAGTTCCTTGTTGTTGCGAGATTAACGGAGAGACTAGGAGGAGAGGAGTGTGGAGGAGTCGTCAAAAGACGAAGTGAGTTAGATTAGAGATGGCTCACTGCCAGCAGCAGAGCTTAGATGGTTGGTTCTAGCAAAAATACACTGGTACATACTATACGACATAGCTATTCCTTGACTAACAGCCTGGAAGGGACTTTTTGTATCAGATCATCAGCTTCCAGAGGTAGCTAGTACGATGTGCCACAATGTACAGGTGCAAACATTGACAGCCTCCCTGTATCTTTGCGTATGATTGGCACATACCCGAAGGCATGTAATATTACACGTCGCTGGAGAATCTCGCTGCAAACGCCTCAGTCTTCAAAGAGTCGTCTACCAAGGAAGCCCCTGAGTTAGCTGCTCCGACTTAGCCCACTCAGCCCTGTATGTTTAGAAGAAGGACTTCTCGGGCAAGCCATGGGAACACTCTCGAAGACAGCGCAGTCAGCAGCACTGGTGCTGTGCACGCCGTCCTCAGCACCGAAAGGCCTGAAAAAAGGAAGCACGACACTGCAGCCAAGATTCAAAAGCGCAAGCGGAAGCGCGCAGCTGCTCGCAAAGAGAACCAAGATGCTGGTGCCAAGTCCATCGTGGAGACAGCCACCACGGCGACCGGAGGGTGTGAGGCCGCGTGAGCCGGGTTGAAGAAGGCCGCGGGAGCCAAGGAGAAGAAGCTGAAGAAGGCGGCTGGAGCCAAGGCGAGGAAGGCTGTTGGTGGGCTGCTCGCAGAGGCCCTTCAAGCAACCATGGCCGAGGCTGCTGCAGAGCCTTCGGAGATAGCGCCCGCAGCAAGCAGTGTTGGGCCGTGCGGCTCGCGCAGTGGCGCTGGAGCGCCGGCGGGTGCGTCGAGGGAGCATGTTGCCGCTGCTACGGCACATTCTTCTCGTGGCATTATACCGGGGATCCTTAGTGACATGGGTTCAACCTCTCACGCCATCGACCAGGCGGTAGCCCAGATCTTGACGGAACTTGCAAGCCGTACTCTCGATGGAGGTGCGCATCACACTGGCAAGGTATCTCGTCGAGCCCAGACTGCTGCAACCGACCAGCGTGTAACGGCACGTACGCATGTACCTCGTGCCACCAAACAGGATGTAGCCAGCGAATGTGAAGATACAGTCACCGAACTGGGCACTTCTGACACCGATGAATCGTCATATGGTGACGTGTATTACCCGATATACGGCAAATACTAGAGCAGCAAGCGAGTGACTACTATGCAACTACGACAAAGACCTGGAGAGTGGCCCGTATCAACGACCGCCGCAATTCTCCTCGTGGTCCAGAATACCGGTGCTATGGCTCAGCCATCTGCTCGTCAATCGACGCTACTATCAACGTACTTGGGAGCCTCTTCAGCAGCTTTTGGACGATGGTTTCGCCAACGATGTGGACCTCGTGGATCGCGGGAAGGAGTCCGGCGAGGAGAAGTTCAAGGACTTCTGGCCTATGGACGACTTCGGCAAGCAGGCAATTGGTGCTGACGCACGAGGCTTGTGCGTGTTCAGTGCATTGAAGCGCGCGACCGAGCTTGCTGGCCGCCATGACATCGTCACGCAGGGTGATATTGACACGTTTGTTGCGGATGAACTCCGAGAGCATGGAGTGGACCTCACACGGGGCACTTCGTGGAAGGTAGCGCTGCGGTTCCTGCGCCGCCTCAGAGACGCCGGCCGAGATTTCATCTTCAAGGCCATCGACAAGGACAACTTCACCGTTGCTGGGCGGCGTGGGGCACGTGTAGTGGAGGAAGTGCCTCTCTACAACGAAGTTTACTTCGTCGTCGCGTACAACCATAGCCTCGTGGGGCACGCGTTCGTGATCAGCGTCCAAGAGAAGAAGGACAAAGTTCGACGCATCTACGATTTGAAGGAGCCCAAGCCAGTGCCGTCGGCGATGGACTGGATTACCTTCGTGGCCTGTATTCGACCTTTCATCGTCTTTAAGAGAAAAGTAGGTAGTTAGGAACCGCGTTTGCCTTATCAAAAATAAATTGCCCAGCAAAAACAAATTGTGTCTGCATGGATATTGAGAGTCATATGCCTATTATCATTCGGTACAATACCAGGGAAACCTCAGTGAGGAGAAAACCTTAGAGCGAACAAAACATAAAACCCAGTGGGAAAAAACTAAAGGAACGCAATTGAGTAGCCACGCTTCGTGCATTAGTGTTATTCTCGTACACTATTCATGCACGGAATGGCTAATTAAGCGTCAAGGGATTTTATCCTGAGCTTTGCCCTATGTTCTCTAAACTGATGCTTGTCTAAAGCTTTAGTAAATATATCAGCAACCATAGTTTTGGTAATGCAGTAAGCGACAGAGAACTTGTGTCGCTCGACTTTTTCCTGCACAAAACAGTATCGAATATGAATGTGCTTCGACCTCCCGTGTAGTTCGGGGTTATAGCAGATCTCAATGCAGCTTTGGTTGTCCTCGTGAATAACATTGGCTTGCGTTATGCCAAAACCTAACTCTTTGAGGAGCAGTTTGAGGAAAATCATCTCTTGCATGCAGTGACACAGAGCGATGTACTCTGCCACTGTTGTAGAGAGAACCACCGTGTGGTGTTTGCGCGAAAGACATGAGATAGGACTGCTCGCAAGCATAGTCATATATCCACCAACAGACCGTCTCGTGTCGGGACAGTTGGCATAATCAGAGTCGCTGTAAGCTGCCAGGTCGGCCAGGTTCTTGGGTGTGGCATCAAGAGATCCACCAAGGAGAAGACCGTAGTCTTTAGTCCCTAATAGATATTTCAGACCTCTAACTACACGGAACGGAAACTACTATAAACCTTGGATTCCTCTTTTAGGTCATTGTAATGCTAAGTTTGGTTCTTCGACTGAAACCGGCCGGCGGTGGCGAATGTTGCATGACGAGGATTTGCAACGTAACCATAGGTTTCATTTTGAATCTACCAGTAACATTATCGACATGATCGAAGCTTGACTTGTACAGAATACCCCTTATTCATGCAAGAAAGTGTCATCGGTTGGTCAAACGGCCGGTAAAAACGCTCTAAGTTGTGTGAGTCACAATCTAATATGAACCACCATTTAATTTAGGCATTTTCACTCCAAATTAAAAAATCGACATCATACACCTCTACGTTCCCAGAGTACTGCTGTAAGGAGAGGCCATATCACCAATTCAACCGCCTCCTCGTACTCACAATGCATGGCTCATGCGAGGTAGAAGGGTCTGGAAGAAGATAGTCGATCCAAAAGTGTATCGAAGAGGATATGGTAACCGGTTCAGTATCCGCATGACTCCATGTACATCGGTCATCGCAGCAGCTATATTTATGTTTTATGGCTAAATAACGCTATGTAGGCTCGGCTTACGGAAGAAGAACGGCTCGTGCCGACCCGCCAGCAAAGTGTAAAGATCTTTAAGCGGATGGATCAACGGAGAAAATTCCTACTACCGTGGCCGAAGATATCATACAAAAGCAGGCTCAGTTCGAAGCAGCAATACCCTATATACATCGCCCAAAATACCAAACGACAGGAGGCTATCAAACACGAATAGAGCCGAAAAAAAACCATGGTTGATTCTAAAGATAACCTTTCACTTTTTTAGAGCTAACAGAGAGTTAGATTCTGTGTCTCGCATATAACCAATACATCAACCAAACATCGTTACGAACTGTTTTCTTACTAGGAAAGCGGTGGTCATCGTATGCCTCACGTAGAAGTCGGACTCCGATCTGATACAAATGGTACAATTGTGCGGTTAAATATACTACTGGAGGAGATACATGCATATCGTTCACTCATGGTAGTCATGTAAACATCTTCGGCGCCGGTGAGCCGATCCTAAGAGATGCTGGGCGGTTTGGGGCGTGGGGTTCGTCCTCACGTTTTGTATACAGCCTAGTGTATCGAAAGGAAATCAGGTTAATATTCCTGAACCGAGACGTGGATCATGTGTGGCAACACAACCGACCCAGGAGACGATAGCGTGTGTCCTAGGAAGAGTTCTCTTTTCTTTTTAACAAGCATGTCGTGCCTTGAAACGGATTATCCGGTGATAAGGAGGACGCCTTGGCAAAACACTTTACTTTTTGAAATGTCCTGTGCGCCCACGACAGCCCTTGAAAATCCTGGCTAGAGATTTATTCGCACCCTCGTCCGTGCTCATAACCGTATCAGGTCTCCAAGGTTAGCAGCTTCTAGTTGATAGAAGAATATAGATAAGGGAAGTCGGCAAATAAAATCGTAACTTCGGGAAAAAGATTGGCTCTGAGGGTTGGGCCTAGGGGTCTTTTTAAAGAGCTTGTGGCGGCCTAAGCTGGGCTGCGTCGTAACGTTTCGGGGATCGGATGCAGCCCAGCGGTCGGGCATCTCTTGCTGCGCCGGAGAGAATGGTCGTTGGCTTTCGGGCTGGCGGCTGTTTTCCTAGTGTGTTGAACAACCGGCTCAGAACTGGAGCGGACAAGGGGGACCCGACTGTTTAATTAAAACACAGCATTGTGATGGCCGGATACGGTGTTGACACAATGTAGTTTCTGCTCAGTGTTCTGAATGGCAAAGTGAAGAGATTCAACCGAGCGCAGATAAACGGCGGGAGTAACTATGACTCTCGTAAGGTAGCCAGATGCCTCATCATCTAACTAGTGACTCGACTACGATATCAACCAACCGTGTCCCCAAATGAGCTTCCTCACCTAGTAGAGTACTGGCCTTTGCAATGCTTGATCTGGATGATCATGCCATCTCTCGGCAAGACGCCGTCCTAAATATGATCAGCGTTAAACACCGTTGCCGTGATCAAGACAAGTTCGCATATTGGGGATTTTCATCGAAACTGACCTCGAAAGTCTGTACCACATACGTCCTTGTTAACATCGAATTCGTTGATTTCGATCAAGACTTTCTTACCTTATGGAGGTTTTCAACAGTCTCGGGACATCGGCGTCCATCAAATGATGCTGCAAAAGGCTTGTTGTGCTGTACAGATTACGGGAAATACATACCAACCGCGAACGAATGGTAGCGTTGGGTGCTTGGCCATGGAGCTCTCACACATGGCGACTTTCACATCTATCACCACAACTGGAATGGGTAAGTGATGAAGGGAATCAATACCACCAATGAGTAGTAGTTTATCTTCCACGATTGCCAAAGCGGATTTGCCGTTTGAACGATCACTGTTCTTCTTAAGCTAACGCATCTTTCGCAAACTGTTAGTGCGTGTTTCGGCGGCTTGTTGGTATCTTCAAGCGCATCACACAAGACATGTAAGTAAGATTAAACAATATACAGTCTCACTAAAAGCCAAGCAGGTGTTTCTTGCCATTGGTGCCCTGCATTTTAGACAGTGACTGTGCTTCGAAGCTAGCTGCCCTCTTTCACTTTCTTTTTGACATTCCAGCCATCTTGCAAAACCGAGAATGATACGCACACCATAAAAAGCTGTGGTCGTATGACGGTGTCGGCGTTAGTAGCCGTACAGTTTCTAAAAATATGTACATTAATGGCAGAACGTATACTTGTTCTCTAACCAATGTGTTGAGGCAGTGACACTCACAGATTAGGGTAGTCCTATGCTTGGAACAGCGTGTCATTTCTAAAATGCTGTGCCTTGCAGGTAAAAGACTATGCACTATAGTTATCGATCGAAGCGGTAGCATACACCAACGAAATAGATGGAATGGACATGGGCTATTCTAGATTATATATCCATTTTTTAATGTGTCATTAGCAGAGTGTAATGAATTTTTATGAAGGGATGTACATCGGTTACACTATTTATGCCTGTTTTGTTCGGCCAATCTTCCGCTGAGGATGACTGCTTCATGGATAACGATTTCTCGCATATACTACAGTCATTAGAAGATATACCTCATGTTGTCTCGAATTTGAACTCCAAATTTAGACCATAAATAACGTATGCACATTCATTTTAAATCTAATGCGAAGTGATATCTCTAGAGGATTTGGTTAGTGTAGTGTATATACAAACAAATAATCCGTTGGTAGGTAAGCGTTTATGAAGGACTCATATCACACTTGAGGACTTGGGTTTATAGAGGCCTGTCCTGAAATGAATCGGTAACGGGGTACCTAGATAATATTACGCTTACATTCGCCTCGTTCGGTCCATTCTAACAGAAAATCAGAATATAAACTCGTAATGGACATGACTTGGGCGTAAGTACCCCGCAAGCCGATGAGTCTTTGATCTAAAATATACAGACACAGGTGAAATTAACGGCTTCAAAGCGTTGTTACCAAAGGTTCTTTCATGATTATATCATTGATTTGAACGAGATAATACCCTCTGCCGTCAGAATGGAAGTATTCAGACTCCTCCTCACCATCGCAGCACTGCTGAACCTCGCACTCCACATGATGGACGTCAATTGGATATTTTCAAGTTCAAGGTGAAAATAGCTTTTGAGGAGAGAAAGCAGAGATGAAACCAACGCTCAAGTGCTAGGAGCAGTCGTAGAGGTCGTAGCGTTAGTTTCAGAATCTCCGTCTGCCGCTTAAGCCCTCCTGCTTTAGCTTTCAGCCTTCAGCACTCCGGTCATGGTGAGACTTACAAGCCGCTCCTTCCTTCACCTGACACCTGAAGTGGTGGAGTTCGAAGCAGAGCATCCGTTTTATGCTAAGGTCTTACAGCTAGACTCGGAGGAGGTGACGTTTCGCAGCTTGGAAGGAGGCGAAGGGAAACTGGATCGTGCCGTCGCCGAAGATCACGTGGTTCGGGCCAGTGAAGTTTCCCAGGCCGGTCAGATCTCGTTGCTCCGACGACCCGTGTCCATCAGTTTAGCTGGAGAGGTTCAGTATGGACAAGTGACCTCGGTCGACCAGAGCAGTGTCACGATCCGATCCGGTGGTCATGAATTTGTGGCAGCGGCAGCTGCAGTGTCAGTGGTGCCACCAGTGATTGTTCTGTTGCTTGAAGACGTCGAGTTCAGAAGCGACGAGTGGAGTCCTACTGACCTAGAGGCGATGGAGCAGTCAATTCTGAGTCGGCTGCTCGGTACCGGCGGTAGTTCTGCTTCAAATCAAGTGTCCGAGATACTGAAAGGTCTGATGAGTGAGGGAAATCACCCTAGTGGTGACAAGGTGTGTCAGTGGATCGACCCAAGAACAGGAGAGGAAGCTCATTTTCCACTCCAGCACGCTATCAATTTCGCTTTTTACGTCGACGGAGGGGTGTCACCAGTGCCACGCAGCGTATGCAACTCATTTTGCAAACCACCAACGCCCCAACCGCTTCGGAGCACGTCCGCTTTGTCTCGCGGCTCGGTTCAGGACGTGGAAGAGCTCTTTGACCCGTTTCCAGACGACGATGACTCGCCCCAAGACGAATCGGAACGCGGTGCTGAAGTTGGTCGGGCAACCACTACCACACAACACGTGACAAAACGACAGCAAGAGGTCACGGTTGCCAACGGCGACGATGGCCACGTCCCCTCCAAGCGACAACGAGTTCAAACCGCTATTGATCAAGACGCGTTGATTATCGCAAAAATAAGCGACGAACCGGACCTTCTCGAGCGTTTCTTGATGAATAGGAAGGAGGCCAACGTCGAAGCGCAGCCGGCGGAGGGTGGTGGTACCATACGTACTCACGTACAGAAGCCATCCCCTACGTCAAGGGGAAAGAAGTCGTCTAAGTACGCATTTGCACCGTCCGAGGAGCAGGAATTAGTTCACGAGCGCATAACAACGGAGAAGCACAAAGGTAAGTCTGCCAATGTGTTTTGCAGAGGTTTATTCGGTCCGAGCACGTGGAGTTCAAAGCCGCACCTGGAATTTGTACGCGGGCCTATGATATTCGTTTCGGTTCTGGTGGTCTTTCGATTCGACACTTTGCAAGACTATCGAGGGATGAGCGGGTGGATTGGTTGGAGGCCTGTGGTTCAAACGTTGACAATTTGTGTGCAACTGCAGAATTCTCGGCGGCATCGCCGGCATCGCGCATCGAAGATGTTGTGGACTCTGCCAGGGTTTTCCTCACCTATGCTCGCGAGTTTTGCTGTGCTAAACTGGTCGAATTGGTTGAGACCATCGTGAAGTTCATCGAACACACGCTATCGCAGGTATCGTGGACGCCAAAAGAGATTTCTAGCTTAGTTTTCTGGGTAAATGACGTTCTCGAGGATTTTCGTACAGCGGCTGAGGAAGGTGGTGAGCTTCGAGCCGTACAGCAACGTTGTACGACCGATGACCGGTTGCTCAAGGATGTGATGTTTATAAAGGTGCATCGGCAAGTGCAAGATGTACGACACGAGATAATGTCGGGACCAGCACGCCTTGAGGGCCACGTTGAACAAGGATCCCAGCTCCGCAACGGCCGCAACCACGACGGTAAGAAGCGATTTGGGCGAATCCCTAAGGAAGTACTTCGCAAATTACCAGTGCTGAACGACCTCGCATCAGGAAAGTCGCGACGACTGTGCATGCGTTTTCTCTCAGCGGCGGGTTCTGCGGTGGACAGTGATGGCGGTTGTCCCAGCGAGCATGGGCATTTCGTTCCCAAGCAGCTTCCTGCGATCGTGAAAAACGAGATTGACAGGCGCTTTGGTGGGCTGAAGGACGAGTACAAAGAGTTATGACTCGTTCAGACTGGTCTGGCAATGTATCCATCACGAACGCAAAACGACCGACCGTCGGCGGTGCCATGCAAAGCCGATAGGGTCGCGCGAGGTCAAGTAGCAAACTGCGTTAACACAATCAATTCAAGTGATGGATCTCAGACGGTGTTGGACCAGTCTAGATTACGCGTGCAATCGAGGCCCCCACGCGACTCAATTAGGGTACCCACAACAACGAGCAAGATTGGCGAGGTAATTTGTGCGCAGTCGGCGGGATCTGCGGTAAATCCGACAGCGCCAATGGCTGCTGGTTGCACAAATAGTCGTCAATCGAGGCCTTGTTATGACACAGAGGCAGACGCAAGGAGCGAGACCGGCAAGGTATCCTGCACCCGGGTAGCTGACTTGCGTTCAAAATCACTTGGGTCGCAGCAGTTGCCGGTGGAGGGTGCAAGCGTTTGTCGGTTGAGGTGTTGCAGTCACGCCCACATTAGTCTGTCATTGGATTCGGCGCGAGAGATTCAATCATGTTTGGAAGCGGATTTACTTCGGGCCGAAGCTCGAATTTCCGTCCTGCACCGCAAACGGGGGTTCGTTAGTGCAAAGCGACCAGCATCCCCTGTCTACGCAATTGACGAAGTAGCCTGCAAGTCTCTATCCACCGTAATTCGCACGCACATAGCGTAGACAGCGTGCTCGACCGAACAAAGCCATCGATCCTGTCCGGCTGCGGACCGTTCTTAACGGCTATCAACATCTCGATCTACTCGTTGAAATTGCTGAGTAGCCGGCCTAAGCCATCCTTATGTTCACCTCGGGCCTCGAGCACCACCATGGGCGTGGCCCAGATTGCTTCGAACGCCTTCCATCGACGCTCCGCGGACGGTCTGCCTTGCACAGATGGACCGTTCACGAAGCGGCGGTACCGTCTTACGCATACCTTGTCGAGCAGGGTCAGCCACTTGAACACAAAGCCGAACGCGGCCCCTATCAATCGCCCCGCAATGCTCCACAAGGGTCTCGTGATCACGCCGCCCACCGCACCAATCAGCACCAGCAACACGGCCGGCCAGTGGTTGCGCAGCACACACCACACAATCTTCCACACGAACAGGGAGTGCCACAGGCACCACTCGACAACATCCTTCACGGTTTCCATGTCCGTCAAGGAGACGAAAGCGAAATGCCCTCGCCTCGGTTCGCTCCTCACGGTCGTCCACAGCACTCCATGTTCACAACCATCCTCGTAAGCGTCCAACCGTAACGGGTGACCCACCGTCGCAAGTCTCGTCAATCAACTTAGTCAATCACTCGACCGTTTCACGCCAACCGTGCCTCTCCCATTTCCAGGAAGGGAAATCCGCAGCCAAACGTCCCAACTGCCAGGTCGGAACGCATCAGCAGAGGCCGCAACAACTCGCAGTCTCGCCCTCATTTCAGCTTTTGCCGAGAAGAGAACAAGACTCCCAAGAAGCCCCAGCCACCACCTTCCGCCATGGCCAAGTCGCGAGACGTCAACAGGGAGGCCGTCCTGCGACGGCTGCGCGCACGCCTCGATCGCCGGTCCCGGGGCGCGGACGCTGATGCCGATGCCGATGCCCAGCTCCGTGCCCAAGTGGACTTCTACGTACGCCTGCGCGCGGCGCTCTTCGTCAACAGTGGCTCCACGAACGTGGACGCCGTGGACGCCGTCGCCGTCGCCGTCTTGGCCGACGACACGCTCTTTCCCGTCGAGCTACTAGAGACCGTGACCCTGCTGCCGCTGACCGACGCGTTGCGGGTCGTTGCTGCTCCCGCTCACGACCTGTTCACCGTCCCTGGGGCTTCAGCACGCTCGACCACCAAGCGTCCGACCACTCGCAGTGCGTCCAAGTCGCCACCGGCCAAGAACCAGCGCAAGTCCAAGGACCAGGACCAGGACGACGAGGAGGACGACAACGAGGACGACGGCACGGAGGCCTACACGTTTTCCTTGCCCGACAAGTATCCCGCCGCCATCCGCCGCGACATTAACAAGATTGTCAAGCAGGCGGACGCGCAGGGCAAGACTCCGCCTCGCATGGCGTACCCGTGGGTTGGCCAGCGTGCGTGGTACGACCCGCAGGAGCACCCCGCGCTTCACGTGGCGCATTGGCGCTTCTGGATGCACTGGCGCGACGTCTTCTTCGCCTGCGCGCTGTATGCGCCCTCTGACGAGTGGACGGCCCGCCGCAAGAAGAAGTCGAAGCCGGCCAGGCGCGACTCGAGTTCGGCTTCTACGGGTATCTCGGTCTCTTCGAGAACCGCTCCCACGACAACCTGATGTGGCTCGGAGGCAAGGCCGCCCGCCGGTCGACCGCAGCCAAGGCGAACGCGAAGTCCTCCTCGGACGCGACCGTGGTCACGGACCTCGCCACGCTGTACCGCCACGAGCGCGGACGTTACGACGCCATCATCGCGCGCGCACTTGACCCGTTCCGCGTGGATGAGGACGGTTACCAGTCCATCTCCGAGCTGCTCGAGCAGACGAAGGCGCTGGACCCGACCAAGCCTCCCCACCTCCGACTCAGCGACGAGGCCCTCGCGCGCGTCGTCATCGACGTCACCGGCGGCGACCCGCCCAACCCGTCTTGGGTCGGCAACAACAGCGCCGGGACTTGGAAGCTCCTGCTGGGAAACGACCGTATCCGAGCCCTCGCCAAGAAGCTCGCGCCCCTCGCGTAGAAGGGCAAGCAACCGTTCCCGCCCCAGAAGGCGTACGACGAAGACAAGGAGCAGCGCGACAACTACTCCGACTTCGCGGACGACGAGGACATGTTCACGGTGTTGCCCCCGACGTCGCATTCGGACGAGGAAGAGGACGGCGAACCCGAGGAGCTCAGCGAGAAGCTGCCCGAAGCCGAAGTCGACCAGGACCAAGAAGACGACGAAGAAGGCGAGCAGGCCGACCAAGAAGACGAAGAGGAGCACAGCTCGGGCGTCAACGAGTCCACGGACGACGACAAGAAGAGCAGCGCGGGCGACGAGGCCGATAACTCGGCGGTCAAGAAGAAGAGCACCGCCTCCTCGGCGACACCCAAGTCCAAGTAAGCTCGCCGTCGTCTTTTTAGGGACGCGTCACTAGTCGTTCATGTTTCTTTCTCCAAATCTGCTAGCGTCCCTCCAATTTATCAATTCAAATTCAAAACACGTAATTCCATTTCCACCGATCCGTTCTCGAGTTCCAAGTGACCGTACCATCACCGCACGCGACCGTCCCTTAGGATCACGAACAACACCCTTTCCGACACTGCTAAGCCATGAGCAGGTCTTCGTCCTCCACTTCAGCGTTAGCCTCTTCCAAACGGGTACTCCTCCGTAGCTCAGGCAGGCGCTGCTTCCTCCGTTCGGCTTGCTCAAAAGCCGTCACTAAGTCGCTGTACTCGGGCATTAACTCAGCCCGAGGAATCCAGTGACTCTCAAAATTAGCCGTAAGCACCAGGTACTTCACAGCACGGCCGACCACTTGTTTCGCAACAATCTCCAGCAGCGGCGAAGTAACCCCCGTGAGGGCCGTATCCCCGCGACCTATGGTCACCCGTTCCGTGAAACTGGATTGCCGGTAAACCTGCTTCCTCCAGCGGACCGTCTTCAACTTCATCACCGTCCTCCACAATACCTTCCGGCACTTCGTCCATGTAGGACCGAGTCCACCGGCCACGGAACTTCTTCAACCGGTTGACGTTCACCGTGACGATCTTGTCTGGGTGCGATGGTATGTCGATCCGATAGGCGTTCTCGCCCACTCGACCAACGACACGGTACGGGCCATGCCAGGCAAAGGCCAACTTCTTCGTCCTCGCCTCGCCCCTCTTGTTCCTGAAGAGTTGATAGACCCAAACAGGATCACCGATTTCGTACTGCACAGCCACGCGATCGCCCAGTCGCTGCACATGTCGATCCTGCGCCTTCAGGAGCTGCCTCTCGACCAGATGACGCGAGTCACGCAAGGTACGGTAGAGCTCGCGGCGGTACGCTGCCACTTCATTGCTCTTCCACTTCTTGCCCAGGTTCAGAAATGCGACGTCCAGCGGCAACACAGGATCGCGCCCGTAGAGAGAAAAGAAGGGAGAGTCGCCCAACGATTCATGGTAGGATGTCCTGTAGGCGAATAACACCCTCGGCAAATATAGATCCCAATCCGTCTGAGCCTCACTCACGTGTATTTTCAGCATGCCCATGAGCGTCCCATTAAAGCGCTCAACCAGCCCTTGAGTCTGCGGATGGTACGCTGAACCGTACAGCTTCCTAATCCCCAGCGTCCGGTAGAAGGACTTCGCAATCTCCGACGTAACGTTTCGTCCATTGTCACTCAGCAACCGCGACGGCACACCGTGCCGCGCCACCACTCCATTCACCATTACTTCCACGAAGGTCACCGAATCCAGGCGAAGCACAGCAAAGGCCTCGGCCCACCTCGTAAAGTAGTCGACAAATACAAGGATATACTTGTTCCCTCTCTCCGTCACGGGTAACGGTCCCACAGCGTCCACCACCAGCATCGAGAAAGGACCCGAGAGATCCGCCACCGGCATTCGCTGTATCTGGCCGGCCTGCCACGGTCTTGACCCCTTCCCACTGCCACAGCGTGGACATACTCCGTGACGTCCTTCCTCCAGCCAGGCCAGAAAGCGTGCCTCCTCACTTTCTCGAGCGTCTTTGTTAGACCCAAGTGCGAGGATAGTACGTCAGCGTGAAAGTAGTGTAGAACGGTTTCCACGTACGGCACCGGCACTACCGGGACGGTCAGGGACCGGGCAGGTCCGACCCGAGCCGGCAAAGTGCACCTTCCTCATCAGTAACCCGTTCCGAACCACGTATCGAGACCGCATCCTCACAATCGTCGACCGGAGGAACGGATCCAAGGGTAGGGCCCCGTCCAGCAGCAACGCCACCAGCGCCTTCACCCACGGAACCTCTTGCTGCGCTTGTATGAACTGGACGATTTCGAGACCGAACCGGTCCACAGGTGTTAGAGGGGCACCTCCACCAGGAGTGTCACTCACGGCTTTATTAGGCTGGTCAGGACACTCGTCGTCGACATGCCCATCGGCACGCTCGCCACCTATACCAGGACCGTCGTCGGCCCCCGCTTGCACCCCGACTGAAGTCGGAAGCATGTCGTCGACCGTGCCTTCCAGGCTCAGCAAGTCCCTCATCGAGAGAGCCGCCACCGTGTCCATAGGTAGTCTAGATAGACCGTCCACGTGCCCCATAGAGGTACCAGGCTTGTGATGCCCCTTAAACTGCACATTAGAGAGTTCCATTGCCCACCGAGCCAGCTTAGCGTTCGTAGTACGGTTACCAGGACTAAACACCCACGTCTGCGCCTGGTGATCCGTGTATAAGTCGAACTCACGCTTGTCGAGATAACATCGGGACTTCCTGGTCGCCCAGACGACCCCCCAACACTCGATCTCGGAGATGCCGTCCTGCTTCGTGATCCAGCTCTTCTGAGACCCGGTCAACAACTTGCCCGCATACGCCACCACACGGTTATGAACGCCCACTTCCTGCATGAGGCACGCTCCAACCGCGTACCGTGACGAGTCAACGTACAACTTGAACCGCTTGTTACCGTCCGGATAGACTAGGATAGGAGGCTTCATGAGGACCCTCTTCAGTTGACGAAAAGCACCTTCACAGTCCTCGCTCCACTCGAACGGAGCGTCCTTGACCTTCAAGCGTTCCAGGGGCGCTGAAATGGAAGCGTACCCCGGAATGTAGCGACGGAAGTAGCTGGTCAACCCAAGGAACGACCGTATGCCGTGCACGTCCATAGGCCTCTTCACGTTCAGGACCGCTTTTACCTTCTCGGGATTGGGAAGGATACCCATAGGCGTGACAATATGACCCAAAAAGGCAACTTGACTTCTTCCCTAATGGCGCTTTTCATCTTGAGCTTGAAGCCCGCTTGCTGTAAGCGAACACGCACCAGGTGCGTAGGGAAATCCTTGCTGAAAATCACGCAGTCGTCGAGAAAGACCAGGCAGATACGCCACTTTAGATCCACTAGCACGTCTCCATCAACCGCTCGAACGCTGGGACAGCGTTACAGAGTCCAAATGACATCACTAGCCACTCGTACAGACCGTACTTGCATGTGAACGCCGTCTTGGACACGCTGTCCGGGTGCATGGGCACGTTCCAGTAGCCCGAGGCGATATCGATCGTCGAGAACAGCTGCGCGTCCCCCAGCACATCCAAGATGTCATCAATTAGCGGCATGGGGTAGCGGTCATTCACCGTGACCGAATTTAACTTACGGTAATCGATGCAGAACCGTATCCCACCGTCCGGCTTCCGAATCATCAGGACCGGGCTCGCCCAAGGACTGTTCGATGGACGGATCAAATTCAACTCCAGGTACTGTTGGATCTCTGCTTCCATAATCTCTCCTTCAGCCAACGAGACACGGTACGGCGCCTGCTTGATCGGCGCGCTGTTGCCGGTGTCAATCTCGAACTGTAGCAGGTCCGTACGTCCCGGCTTCTTCGAGGACTCCACGAACATCGAGCAGAAGCCGTCCAGCTCAGTCTGGAAGAGTTCCTTCTGCTCGGGGGACAACTTGGACTCGGAGAAGTCGGCCTTCATGCCGTCCGACTTGTCGGGCGGGATGTCGGGCTTCGAGGCCTTCACCTTCTCGCCGACGCCTTCCTCACGCTCTTCCGACACGGACATCGCACTCACTCCGCACGACTCATCGCTTTCAGCGGGCACCGTTCCACCAGGCGCCGTCGTTGCCGGCTCGAAAGCACACTCGGGGATCACGGACGTGCTTGCAACGACCGTCCCCTTCCGAATCCAGTATTCGTCCGTGGAAGCATTGCACACCTCAACGATCACTCGGCCGTCCTCCACCGTACCCAGCGTTCGCGCCACGCACAGCGTAGGCGGCAGACCCAGCGAGCCGTCGACCAGCACAAAGGCCTTATCGGCCACTTCCCCCACCACTCGAGCCCTCACAAGAGCCTGTCCTCGGAGAGGGAGCCGCACCGACGTCGCCATCCCCGCCATGTAGGACTCTTGTACCATCGTAAAGCCCAGAGACAGCACCTCGCCGGAGCTCTTCAGCGTCAGGGAGCGCTCTGCCACGTCAATCACGGCGCCGAACGCGCCCAAAGCGTCCACTCCCAGAATCGCGTCGACATGCAGGTTGTCGGCCACCAACACGCTCAGCGAAATCTCCACCGACCCAAGCCGGAACGACAAGCTGATCCAGCCACGGATCCGAAGCTTGTGTCCTGACGAGCTCCTGACCAGCCCTTCGTAAGGGTCCAGAGGCTCAGAGGACCGCCCCAGTCGCTTCAGCACGCAACGGTCAACGAGACTTAGGGTAGCGCCGGTGTCGGCCAGCATTTGAGACGGTAAGCAGTCAATATAACCACTTGAAAGCGCCTCAAAGTTGCCAACCGCGCACACCACCCTTCGTCCTTCTTCCACGACACGGTGTACACAGTCTTCAGCGTCCTCATCATCATAGACTCCGAAACCATTCGGTAGGTTCACCGTGACAACGTCCACCAGGCCAGTCTTCGGCAGTGGCTTCCGAGCGGGACGTTCGCATCTCACCACCTCGACGTAGTGCGAAGCGTCTTCGTCACGCTCAGGGAAAAGCTCCAAGTCATCGATCACCTCGGCATACGGCTTGTAAAGCGACGAAAAATCAAACATGACCGCCTTGTCAGGGCGACGGCGACGGCGACGTCTAGCACTCGGCGTCTTAGACCGCCCCGTACGGGTCCACAGCTCCAACCAAATCCTTCGAGAGTTGTCGTCGTAGTAGGTCCTCATCCAGGAACATAAGCGCTCACCAGATCGAGCCGTCGCGCTCATTAACTCCTTGACACGGTCGACGTGCTTCAGGAGTCGTTCTTCATCGTACTCAGGAACCTTGTCACGCAGCGGAGGGACTTCCACCGTCCCCTCTTCACCGTCGGGAGGCCTCCGTACCTCACGCACCCGGCCTCCATAGTTCCTAGCCTCCTTCAGGAAACGGAACACAGCTTGCCTTGCCACCGCACGCGTGACCTTCGGGTCCACGCCTCGCACTTCACTCAAGATAGGCACCGCTTTGGTCACCGCAAGGGTCCCACCAGGATCGTCCGGCGGACGCACGACGTTCTCGGCCACGACAGACTCGACGGCCACCTGCATTTTCGCCGAGACGCTCGCGACGTCACAAGGCGGCACGGTCTCCAAACCTCTCGCAACGCCGGCAGCCGGAGGCGCCTCCTTCGGGTCGGCGACGGCTCCCGACGGAGAGCCGTAGCCACGCTCCGGAAGTCACGGTTCGCACGCTTGGCCTCCTCGGACTTGTCGAGCATGTCCTTGAACCAGCCCTGCCAGTACTCGGGCGAACCGTGCAAGTCAGAGGACGCCTGACGCGTCCGTTCCACCACCTCCAGCGAGATCCCGAGGAAGCGAGCCAACTCTTCCGACGACGGCTCGGCTTGAGCCTCAGCATTCCGAGCGACACGCTTCAGGAGCTTCGCCTCGTCCAGCGGGTACAGTCGGTCCTCGAGCTCTTTGTCATACTCTTCGGGCTCGGGGACGACGTCCGTACCGGCGAGGATGGAAGCCTCCTGGCCCGGTTCACCGTTCTCCATCGCCGTGAGCTCATCGTCCGAGAACATACGGTCATTACCAGAGACGGTTGTCGTCTCCAGCGGGACCGCACCATCCTCAGCAGCAGTTTCTGCAAGTACGTCGTCTCCCTTTGTCCAGGCCGAGAACAAGCAGTTCGACAAGTCGTATCCTGGGCATACGGAGGCGGCGCGTCCGCGAACGGCGACGGCACCTCCGGCAACTCGTCCGGGTCCTTCTTCTCGTTTGGTAACTCGGGCGCGTTCCCCTCGGTCGTCTCGGCCTTCAACTCGGTCGTCTCGGCCTCCTCTACTCCACCGGTCTTCACGTCGGCCGCCAATGCGACCGGTCCTCCCACCGCGATGGTCGTGTCGGCGGCGGCCGCCGAGATGGCCAAGTCCTCGTAGACCGTGTCGTATTCCAAGTCGTCGACCTTCACCGCGAGATCCTCTCCTTCATCATCCGTACTAACCACAATAAATTCAGCTTTCTTTTTCTCGTTTGTGTCTTTGTTTTCTCCATACGAAACTTCATCCAGGGATGATACCTTTCCGTCCGGCTCTGCCAATACACTCATGCATACATCCACCCTCGAGACCGTCTCCTCCACTTCGTCACGGTCACGATCCTCACCCTCCGAGTCATCCAATAGACAAGAGGAAGGAGTGACTCTCTCCTCCCCTTCCTCCCGCCCTCGTCATTGAGGCGGAGACGTCTGCGCAGCTTCTCGCAGACTCACGGCCAGATCTCGGAGCGCCGCCACTTCGGGGCACCCAGCGAACGAGTGACCGTCCTCCTTGCAAAACCCGCACTTCACTGGCCCTCGGCCACCGTTTCTGGCCACGGAAGCCTGACCACCGGTCCGGCCGCGACTGGGTCCGTCCTCGCATTCCACGGCGATGTGTCCAAGTTCTCCACACTGGTTGCATATCATCACTTGTCGTCGACAAGTCTCGGGTGAATGGCCCACGTAGCCACACCGTCCGCACACGGGCGCTCCTTCTTGCGTCCGTGAATCAGCACCCTTACGAATCCCTCGCGGTCGACCGTTCCCAGGTGGAGCGTTTCCGCCCGAGCCGGGACTCGAAGTCGTGGCCGACACATGCAGCATGCGCTTCCTTGGCGAGCGCGGCGGCTGCCACTCGTTCCGCATCATCTGCTGCTGCCACTGCTGCTGCTGGGTCATGAACGTGGTCATCGTCTCCGCGAGCTTGTCCAGCTTCGTCGAGGTCTCGGAAGCGGCCGCCGTCGCCGTCGCCAGGCTCGAGGCCGAGCCCGCCACCTTCTTGTCTTCGAGGAACTCGTCGTCTTCTTCTATGGGACGGGACATTTCCTTGGCCAGCAGCCACTCACAAGCCTCGGGAATGTCTCGAGCCGGTCCCGAGTCGAGCGTGGCGAGCATACGCTTGTTGCGTAGCCCGCGTCGGAACAACTGGTACCTCATCTGCGGGTTCGGATAGTCCAGCGAGTCGCAGATGTCGGAGACGCGATCGCCCCACTCCTCCATGGACTCAACGCGTTCACGCTTCGTAGTCTGTAGCCGTTCCCACAGCTCATCAGCCGTTCTGCTCAGGAATTGGTTGTGGGACCGTACTTTCAGCGTAGCGAAAGTCTCAATGGTAGAATTGTTCCACCACCGTTCCGCAGGCCTCCCTTTGAGCTTCTGGCGAAACACCAGCAACCGTGACTGATCAGGCAGGTGGGCCGTGTGAGCTTCGAACAGCTCCCAGAAGTCACGAGCCTTCTCCATCGTCGCCGTGTCCGAGTAGAACACCGGCAACACCTTCATCACGTTGGACACCACAGACGACATGTCGTACGCGCTGCGAGCTGGGGTCCACATAGTCGATGCGCGGTTTGGTCCACCGAGGTTCGCAGGGGTCGACTGTTTCTTGGCCGCAGGCACCGCGCCCGGGGTCGAAGTCTTGGCACGAGTCACCGTCTTGCTCGGCTCCGCCTTGACTAGCTGCTTGGCTTTCGGCTCAGTTTTGACGACCGTGCCCCACCCACCGTAGGCGCCAGGCTGCGCCCCAACACTCCAACCGTACGTGGGCGGGTTCGGCAACCGCCTCTCCTTCCCGGTGTACACCGGAATGAACCCGCTCGGGTTACGAGAGGGCACTTCCTCATGTTCTTCCTTCACGTAGGACCTGTAGAACGGCCGCGAATGCGCCGTCTCGATCGGCACAGGGTCGTCGTAGCCGAAACCACTCGACCAGTAGTGCACGGGCCTCGAGAACGCGCCTCTCTACTCTTCGGCATCAGCGTCCCGTAGCTCCCCGGGGCCGGGCACCGCCTCCTTCTCCTCGGGCTCTAGCTCCGCGGGAGCACCGTCTCCTTCACGCTCCTCATCAGCGTCCTTGAACTCATCTTCTTCTTCATCAGCCCAGAGATCTCCCATCATCTCTTGGCACAGGACTTACGACCGGCCGCGCTCGTCATCTTGGCCGTCGTACTCATCCCGCTCCCGTCACCGGGCGACATCGGCGTCGCTGGCGTCCCACCAGTCTCCCTCGCCTTGCGAAGCCGTTCAGCCTCCAGGCGCGCCACTTCTTCTTGCACGGTCCGCTGCTCCGCGGACCCTCGCCTTCTCCAACTCCAGACATCTTCTCCAAACTGTAAACTCCAAACTTCAAACTTCAGGGGCTCCGAGCGAGCCGTAGACCAACTTCAGGGGCACCGAGCGTGCTGTAGACCAATTCCAAAGGCACCGAGCGTGCCGTAGACCAATTCCAGAGGCACCGAGCGTGCCGTTCTTCACTTCACTTCCAGACAAGACCGTTCCACAAGTCTTGCGCGGATGCCGAGACTTCTTGAAGACCCCAGGGACGAGCTCTCGATCGCGATTCCAACGCGCTGCTGTCACCTCACAAAGGCCAACGAATCCCGACGCCCGACTTGACCAGACTGTCCGATGCCCACTTCACAGCGAAGCCAGTACCCTGCTTCTCCACCACGCGTCGCGAGTCGCCCTGGAAGGGACGGCTGCCGCTGCGAGAACGAAGTAGGACGGTACGGACAGGAAAGGAACGGTATGAAATACAACAGAGTCAAATGCAAAGATTCAACTTGTTGTTTCCACAGCAAATTCACGACTGACCAACCTACCCGGCACGGAGCACTTCGCCCCGCGTTCTCTCTTGCTTCTCTTCAACTTGAGCGTCGATACACCGCCGCCCCCGAACCCATGGTCACCTCCTTTCACCCCTCCTCCCTTGGCTCACGTCAAGGCTCACGCCCCGAGCCACGCAGCGTCCATGACCTCCATCCTGTCTCCTCCCGTCACCGCCAACTCGCGGAACACGCCACTGCTTCCATCACGACTCTTCGTCCACGCAACTGGCCCGCCGCCAGCTAATCCCCGCTAAAGTCCGATGACTGCTCAGTCAGCTCATCCTCGAACAGCTGATCCTCGAGTAGCAGTCCACGCGCTGATTGACAGGCTTCCGGAGGACGGCTACGACCGTACCCGAGACGGTGACCACCGTTCCCACTCGGGACAGGTTGGCCGGCTCTGAACAGTCGCCGCGCGCAATTGAGAGTTTGAACAGCTCAACTTGCTCCGCTTTTGACGCAAAAAATCGACAAGATAGCGCAGATCCTCAGCTTAACAACGGTACCCTGCTTGCCTTTGCACGGGCTCTGGTTGCCGAGCTACAAAATTCCAAGTGCGGAGGTTGGCCAAAGTGGCGGACTTTCGGTTGGATACGTGACGATGAGGTCGGTCACCGCTAGGTTAGGAGATGAATGTAGAAAGATGTATGTACACTAAGCTTGAGATTGCTCGTGCTGGGGAAACAGTCTGTCGTTTGACCTGTAGTTGATCTGACCTGTCAATGACCTCCATCGGGCTCTTCCTAATCTGCGTGAGCATTATGATCGGGAAAAAAATATTATGGTCATTTTTTTCGTGCTCGACGCGACGGGCGTCCTAAAAAAAATTGCGGACGAACGGGCGCGATATCTTCAAGAGCTCTCCATTTCTTGTAGTGAACCATGGCAACGGAGGAATTCAGCCGCTCGATCCCGTTCCTGCCAGACCCGCAGCAGCGCGCCAATGTGCTCGAGAAAAGCAGCCGCGCAGCGTTCGAGCAGCCCATCGTGGATCACGACAAGTGGTTCCTGACCGCCCGAGAGATGCGGGCTGCGCGCGATGGCTTTGAGCGTCCGAACCACGCACTCTTCACGACTGGAAACCGCGTGAAAATCTACCCTGCCTCGGCGGGTTATTTCAGCGGTGTAGCAGACGACATCGCTCAGACCATGAAAAACGACCTTGTGTACATCGCAGGCTGGTCCGTGTGCAACGTGCCGTTCAAGCCTCTCGAGTCAAGTTCGACTCTGCATGAGTTGATCAAGGGCTCCGTGACTCGAGGAGCTGATGTCCGCATGCTCATCTGGTCCAACTTGACGGAGAGGAAGCAGGTTCTGGACGTCCGGGACTTTGTCAACGCCCTACCGCCGCCGAAGAAGAATGGGCCTGCTCGGTTCGTGTTCGACGATCGACTGCCTCATCCCACGTCCTCACATCACCAGAAGTCCGTCGTGGTGCGCAAAGGTCGAGAGCTTATCGCGTACGTGGGAGGTGTAGACCTCACCTCGAACCGTTGGGACACACTGGAACACGATCAACACGAACTGCGTCAACGCGCTGGTATCGAGCGAAAAGGTCGCAAGGGATGGTTGGATGCCCACGCTCGGATCGTTGGCCCTGCCGCCAAGGATGTGGCTACGAATTTCCTAGCGAGGTGGAACTCGGAGCCTAAGCCGTCGCAGGATTTACTTGACGACTTGCTGGAGTTCGAAAACCCAGACTACTCCTCCCTCCCATCAGTTGAAGACACTGAACCCTCGCTAGTGATCCCAGAAAACGGCTCTCACGCCGTACAATTTGTGTGCACGTACAGCCCGGACTACGACGGATACACTGACTTCGCTCCGATGGGCGAGCAGTCCATTTTCCATGCCCGCATTAAAGCGATTCGAAACGCGCGCAACTTCATCTTCATCCAAGACCAGTACTTTATCCTTGTGCCAGAGCTTCTGGACGTTCTGCTTGAGGTGCTGCCCAGCATCACGCGGTTAGTTGTCATTGTGCAGAGAACTGCTGAAGCGAGCTATACTGGCTACGACAAATACCTGTACGACATGGTCTCCCCTCTGCAGCTCCATTTCCCCGAGAAGTTCCAGTTGTACACCACGAAAGAGTCACGCGACTTGTACATCCACAGCAAGATCGTGATCGTCGACGACGTGTACGTCTCGCTCGGCTCTGCTAACTGGAACCGGCGGAGCATGACAAGCGACACGGAGCTCGGAGTCAACATCGTGGACAGCGAGCATGTGCAGTCCCCAGACAACGTCACGATCAACAAGCTGGCTCGGGACTTCCGTATTCAGAAATTCGTGGAGGCAACAGGGCTTGCCTATGAGAAGTTGGAGGTTATGACGTTTCTGGAGGCGTGTGATGCCCTCGAAGCCGCTGCTCGTGACGATAGTACTGGCCTTATTCAAACGTATACCCTGGAGGACAAAGCCAGGTTCGACCTGGATCACATCCAGCGAAAGATTGTCGATCCCGAGGACCCGTTAGGCAGCAGGTGTGGCCCTACTATGCTGTTTCGCGGTTGAAAGTGTGAGGCTGACTTGTTGTCTATGTTTTTTATTAGTAGAGAACGACAACAAAGTGGCCTGCGGGGTGCTTTATCATGGTGCTGTCGATGTTGGAGACCAAAGTCAACAAAGGACGCCTCAGCCGAAGCCGGCAAGATCAAGAAGTGATAGCGTTAGATTTACGCTTAGCACTCTGAAGGGAGGCAATCTTCACCTCAAGCCATTTTAGTGCACTACTGCTATGCGAAAGTATCGGACAGCTTACGTTTTCTTCCTTGCTGCTGAAGTTCACTCAATCGCTGAAGTGCCGCCTCTGCAGTTGGTCGTTGGAGAGGATCTGGATGCGTTAGCTTCACCTTGAAAGCCGTTCGCTCACCTCTGTCGTCCCATAGATCGCTACTTTCCTCCAGCAGCCGACCCACCGACCAAACGTTCACTGCTGTTGTGTGTGTTCCCTTCTTGATGAAAATCTCGGGGGCATGATTTTCACTTCTCAAATGTTTCTCACTCGAAGAGTCAGCCGGAGTCGGAGATGCGTCCTTGAAATCAATCAAGAACCACGAATTGCTGCTATCGCGGCACTTCATCACGTTCGCCCAGCGAATATCTCGGTACATCCACGATGCAGCGTGCAGTTCACTCAGTGTCTCCAGAATGTCGTGCACCGCCTAAAACAATTCGACGAGGGATCCCGGTTTAACGTGTATTCCTCGAGGCGTGAACACCATACTTCTGAAGTCTTGATTCACGGATGCCACGCGCTCTGTGTGAGGGATGTCATGATCTTCCAGCACTTTATAGACCACTGCTGCCTTTTGAAAAAGGCGTCGTGGAAAGACTTTCGTCACTGTTGTGGGCTCGAGGAGAATCTTGACAGCGTCTGATCAATGGAGAAGACCGTATTCATCAGCTCCGCTTGCAGGACACAAAGTAGCAATACTTTGTAGCAATCGAGCCATGATCAGCATCACTAGCAACAGCCGAAAACGCCCGGTCGGAGATTCAAAGGAGAACCTCCCAACGAGGAAAGTTTGAATCGCATCTGAATCGGTATTTCCACGTGTTAACGCGTAAAATTGTATGAAGTTGGATCCGATGAATACCCGAACAAATAAGGCACGTCACCATGCAAACACTGAACCTGGCTGAAGGGGGAGATGTTAGGATCGGTTCCGAGGGACCCTGTTCTTCACCTCGAAGGACGCAAATGGAGTCAATAAACAAGGTAAAGTCTGGAAGGGTGGACCCGTTGAATGGAGCTTGAAGTGAGAATCGGGTACTCCACTTATTGGCACCAAGTAATGCAAAGTCGAGGACTTGACGAATTGCTCTGTCCCAGAACCAAATGCATCCCGTTTTCGTGGCAGAAGCCGGTACTTGTGGAACATACACCGAGTGATGCCATACTCGCTCCAGGAATGTCACGCAAGGTTTCGATCTTGAGGACTCAAACGTGTTCTTCAGCACCTTTGATTCAATTCTGGTTACCGAGTACCAGACGTCGAGTAGTCCTGGAGGCACACCGATCTTTACTGGAAGAGGACCAAGGAGGAATTTTTCGAGCTCACTCACAGGAGGCAGGTCGTCAGGAAGTACTCGATGTGCCTCGAAGTCCCCCAACCATTTGTCAGTGTATCCGTTATCGAACACAGGCATCATAGGTGTCACCCCGAGCGTAACATTGACTGCTCCGTGTGTCAGATCTGGAAGTTGCACGAGCACATGAAGCACACCCGTTGGAACCTCCGAAAAATAATCCGTCAGTGGGTAGGTCGGGTTGATCCAGCGCCTCACTTCCAACGAGCCGTCTCCTTTCCTCAGAACGTCTACGTAGCCATCCTCGCAGTCGATCCACTTGCCGTTGCTGTGCTGCGCAAGGTAAAGGTCAAGGCAGTCTGCGAAGCAATCGCACTCGGGGATCTTCTCCTTGACAGCTTCGCTCAGGTGGCATCCCAGCCGCTGGTCGTCGATCTCTACGAGAAACACTCCTCGCCCTGGTGTCCTCATTGTCGCGCACATGAGCGTAAGCGCCACCACGGTAAAATTCGTTAATAAACTTGAAGGGAAAATTGGCACGATGCGCAGGCAGATGTGTTGAGTAGGAAGCAGTAGCAACGAGATCAATGAAGACACGAGTCTTTCCCACGGAGCACTTTGGGATTAAGGAGGAGAAAACCTCGTAGGTGGCAACCCCCTTTGTGTTTGGCTGAGACTAGACGCTAGAGAAAAGTACCCAACTGCAACAGCACGGTCCCAGTAGTCTGTCAATATGGAAGCAGGAACACGACCTTCGCCACACTCCCACTTCGTGTTGCTGGTGACCATCCTTGCCTTTCAATCTCGACCTTCTTCATCAGTCCTCGCACGCTTGCGCTTGCCAGACACAGGTCGCTTGTCAGGCATTGGTTCAACGTTCAAAAGCTGTCGCAGTCTTCTGAACTGCGTGGGGCCAAGCGGTTTCGTCAAAATGTCTGCCAGCATTTCCTCAGATGGGCAGTACTCCAAAGCAAATTCACCCTTCTCATAGTAGTCACGAATCTTGTGATACTTGAGATCAACGCCCTTCACCTTGAAGTCTCCGGTGTTTGCTTTGATGACAGCAATTGCCGCTTGATTGTCATCATACAAAACTGTCTGCTTGCGACACAGTCCAAGCTCTTTGCACAGATTGTGTGTCCACTTGATCATTGTAGAACACTCTGCAGCAGCTACAAACTCAGAACTGCACGTATCGTCCGTGATCAGCCGCTGCTTGTGGCTCGAGTACGCGTACGTGCATCCCTCCATTTGCAGCACGTATCCAGTAATTGAACGGCGATCATCCTTCTCATTTCCTAGATCAGCGTCCGCAAACGCCACGATCTGTACTTCCGGCTTCGTAGGTCTCCACGCATCTACATACGCATCGATCTGCATCCGCTGCTCTGTGGTCTTCTTCTTCTTCGTCCACACGAGCCCGTAGTCCGACGTCCCTCGTAGATAACGCAGCACCCTCTTCGCTAACACATGATGCTCTCGAGTAAAGCAATTAAGGTACTTCCCCAGTGTTCGTACCGCGTTGGCTGTATCTGGGCGTGTGCACTGCACCACATATTGTAGAGAGCCAACAATCTGTCGGTAGTCGACCTCTGGATCCGGATTGATACAGACAGGTTCGCGCTCCGGGTCTCCAGGCATAGGAAATTTACCCTTCACTTGAGGCGTAGGAACAGGCTTGCACTTGACCATCTTGCAGCGAGCAAGAATCTTTTCCGTGTAGCCCTTCTGTGAAATCATCAACACGAGCCCCGGCACATACGTGATCTCCATTCCTAGCAAATGCTTCACCTCACCGAGATCCTTAATCTTAAATTCACTGCTGAGCTCACCCACCACCATCTCAATGTCGGTCTCAGTACCAACAATCAGAAGATCGTCAACGTAGACAGTCACAAACACTTTGTTTTCTCCCACTGTCCTCACATATACACCAGCGTCCATCTTCGTGCGTTTGAAACCACACTTCCGCAGGTACTCGTCGAGCATCTTGTACCAGATCCGTGGCGCTTGCCTCAAGCCATACACACTCTGCTTGAGCTTGCACACGCGACCTGTACCGTCATTGAAGTAGTCCGGTTGCTCCATGTAGATGTCGACACCATCCAGCGGTCCATTTAGAAATGCAGTTACAAAGTCCACTTGGCGGCACAACAGACCCAGCTCCAATGCTAGGAGGAGGATAAACCTCACAGACTCAGCCTTTGCTACTGGAGCGTACGTCTCCCAGAAGTTGATGCCATATTCCTGTTGGCAACCCTTGATAGTGATCCGCGTCCGATACCTGCACACTTCACCTTGTGCATTTCTTTTCCGAACGAAGACCCACTTGTTCTTCAGGATCTTAACTCCATCAGGCCGGTCCACCAATTCCCAAACATGGTTCCTCAGCAGCTCCTTGTACTCCGTGTCGAGAGCATCAACCCACTCTTTCGCATCAGGGGCGCTCAGAGCTTCCTCCACTGAGGTCGGCTCGAGCAGCTCATTCACGGCATGAATCAACCTCGTAGTCACGCAACCTCACATTCTGCTGCCGAACACGAGTTGATCTTCGAAACAATGCACTTGGATTATTTGCTGCTTCATCATCATCCTCTCTATCTCCCCCCACGAAGCGGGAAATATTTTGCATCGGTTCTCCATTTCCAATTGCAGTCTCAGTGGCTTCATCATCATCATCAAAGTCACTGTCACTTATCTCCATGCGATCCCCATCTGAATTCCTGAGAGCTAGCGGACTCGCTAAAGGTACAGAGACTCTGCGGTTAGACAGATCCCCATCGACCTCATTCGGTGCTGAACCACTGCTGTTAGACAGGGCCACGCCGCCGTTAGCTCCAACTCCACCGTCTCCATCAGTATCCAGTTGGTCACGCAGATATCTCCATTCGCGTAGTCCGCGCGCACGCGACGATCAAACCTCAGCCTCTGCTGATCTCGACGGATTCGCGCTCAACGATCCGCTCGGAGGCACGCTTGCCAACGCAGGCTCGCCAACAGCGGTCGGAGCATCGACCACAGTACTTGAGTCACGATCCCTAAGATCCTCACTGCAATGTCGTTTTCCACTGGGCTCAGCTTCCGACACCATGCCAAAAGACATCGAAGCACTCGGTGCAGTTAAATCACCCAGTCGAACGTATGGAAGCTTTGACGGGAGCTTGTATTTACCGCGTGAAAATCGGTTGAGCAGAAGCTTCTCCACGTAGCTGCGCTCCACCGTCCAGTCTTCCGCGAACTCGACCGTCCTTAGCTCTTGAATATTGCCCGAACGCAAATCCAGCTCACGATAACTGATAGAGTTCTTTGCGTAGCCTAGGAAGATGCACGGCTTCCCTGGATTCTCCAGCTTACTCTTGCGCAACACTTTTTGCGTGAAAGCAAAAGCCAAACAACCCCACGTACGCAAATTAGAAAGCTCTGGTCGCTCACCAAAGCGCCGTGTGAATGGAGTTTCACCCGCCAATGCACTGCTCGGACTAATATTCAGCACCTCAAGAGCAAATGCGAACGCCTCTCCCCACAAAAGGATAGGCATGTCCACCATCGTTAGCAAACTCCTCACTCGAGACATCACAACCCCATTCATATGCTCCACTAACCCATTCTCCTCTGGGCTGTAAGCATTAGTTGAAGTCCACTCAATTCCACGAGCTCTCAAAAATGCCTTCAAGTTGTTATTCAGGAGTTCGCGTCCCTTGTCGGACCCAATTACTTCAATTCTGTGTCCTTGAGCCAGCAGCCACGCGACATACTTGATCACCAAATCGTCAGACTGGTCTTTCCTTTTCAACAGGAATCCCCACACATAACGCGTTGCTTCGTCTTATACGAGCTGAAAGTGCTTGAAGCCATCGTAGGTCAGCTCATTGACGTAGCACATGTCGGACATGAGTTTCTGGTAGGGCCTTATGGATCGTGAAGTCTTCACTTTCTTGTAAGACATTCGCTTCATCCGCGATTGCACGCACGTCCAACAATGATCCGGAGGTACACAGCCACTCCCTGCAACATCCATGCCTTTCACAGTTTTATTTCTAGACATTTCTTGCAGAGCTCCAAAATTCAGATGTCCTAATCGAGCGTGCCATCGAACAAGAGCTTGCTCATTCTCGCGCGTCACTGCGTCAATCCTCTGTTTCGGAATGACCGTGGACTGCAATCGATATCGTCCGCGAGTTTTTACCAGCTTGAGCAGTTGATTCCCTTTGCGAAGCCATGCACTTGTGTGGTTCTCAGGCTTGACAAAGTCCCAGCCAGCTTGCTTCAACTTGTCCAGACTAAGCAAGTTGTTTGTTCCACTTGGAGTGTGCAGCACATTCGAGAGACAGAGCGTTGCCGCTTCATCGGGCTGGTTTTCATTCTTCACTCGAATTTCCACCTCACCAACCACGCCTCTGTTCCGAGATGGCTTGCCTTCCCAGTCGAACACTAGTGGGCCATCATCTTGGCGCACATCAGAAAGCAACTCCTCGTGAATGCACACTAGCCGAATCAAGAACCCACTCCAATTTGGTGTTCATCGAATTCTGCGTAGCTACAGTCTCCAAGTCAGAATCACTACGAGAAATCATGTCAATTGTTCTCTGGTTACCACCACTTCTTCCACCACTTGCTCCAGAATTGCCCTTACTCTGCCAGCGTTTGCGTTCTGGAAGCTGTGAATCTGATTCGTCATCGTTGCGTCTCGGACGAGGGCAGTTTGTCTGAATGTGCCCAGTTTGATGGCAGTTCCAGCACTCTCGTTTGTCTTCTTTCTCATTCTTCTTGCCGCCTTGTTTTCCTCTGGGACCACCTGCATTCCGGACTGGATTAGCCTTGGCCTTGTATCGACCTCGACTACGCGTTTTTCCTTTGCCTGGTTGCTGACTAGGCTGCTTTCCCTGCTTCTTGCCAGCTTCGGCGGACGAGATGTCGTTGCCTTGCGGCTCTTCACTCCTTGCATCAAATTCCGACTCGGCGCGAAGAGCGTTCATGACTTGGGCAGCTGAAGGAGTTGCACTCTTATGCCCCGGGTCATAATGCCGCGAGAACTGACGGACGACGTCTCGATGCGTTTGCACCACATTCCCCAAGATAATCTCTGCGAATTCCTCATCAGAAACACCTCGCTTGTAGTGCACTAGCTCCTAACGTAAGAGCTGCATCTCTCGTAACCAGTCATCCATACTTCGATCAGGAGTAAATGGGTTCGCCACTAGTCGCTGTCGAGCGAAGATATAGTTCGCGTATTCTCTCTTGGTCTGCTTGTCCACAAAAGCTGTCCACATTTCCTGGGCGCTCTGCTCGTGACAAATGAGCTCAGCGTCTGCTTTCGGAACACCTCGGAGAATTGCACCACGAGCCAAATTGCTCATTCTGCAAAACTGTGCATCACTCACAGTCGCACGTACAGCTGCAGCATCTTCAACAACACCCCAAAGCTCCAAATTGACCAGAAACGTCTTCAATTCTTCTGCATACAAGTCAAAGCTACCTTGCATCACAGGAGCCTTGTTGTCCATCTTCGTCCCGTACCAGCTGCCAGTATACTGCGGAGGAGCCATCAATGGCGAAGGCATCAACCCATACGCCGGAGGAGGCGACCACATCGAAGCCGCAGACATCGCTGTAGGAGATGGATTTCCAGCCAATCCATAGCTGCCAACCAGTCCTGGAAACGTATAACACCAGCCAATCGACTAGCACCCACAGATCTACCGATACTCGTAGCTGCACTAGTACCAGTACCACAACTCACTCTACCAACAGCAGCGCTTCCAATCGCACTAGCCGTTGCACTCAGGTTCACCGTCGACACCCCAGTAGAAGCCACAGTACTGGGAGGCACGTTCACTGCCACGAAGCCTTGCAAAGATCCGCCGCCTTGTCCGATCGACGCACCAACTGGCGCACTTGACGCTGGACTTGTTCCCGACATGCTTCCTTCTCTCAAAGCTCACGAAAGGAGTCCGTAGAGCTTCAAAGCTTTGGGCTCATAACCTGGCACGATGCGCAGGCAGATGTGTTGAGTAGGAAGCAGTAGCAACGAGATCAATGAAGACACGAGTCTTTCCCACGGAGCACTTTGGGATTAAGGAGGAGAAAACCTCGTAGGTGGCAACCCCCTTTGTGTTTGGCTGAGACTAGACGCTAGAGAAAAGTACCCAACTGCAACAGCACGGTCCCAGTAGTCTGTCAATATGGAAGCAGGAACACGACCTTCGCCACAGAAATCTAGTCCGTAGTTCGAATGCATCACTCACGCCACTACCTTCAATGTAGGCTTTTTCATATTTTTTCAAATATCGCGAATTCGTCAGTGTACTTAACCCTTTCGCGAGTATCCTCAATAAATTATAGTATACAACTCATAGATACGTCATAGTCTCCTTTGTTCCGCTCGAGAGGCTGCAACCACGCCCGATTTCCCCCGATTCTTGGTAACATTTGCGCCTTCACCCTATCACCTTTCTCAAACTGATTTTTCTCGCCATCACGGTCTTGGATTAGGTCGGCAATACGCGTGTCCCTCTCGCCGCCGGCGTAGACAATATCATACGTGTTGTCCGCATAACAGCGAGTGATCATACCCGTCAATTTCCTGAATCCTTTCTTGGGATTAAACTGAAGAACTCTCGCTTGAGGCAGAACATCGACACAACCTCCGATGCCAAATAGTTTCAACTTGCGATTTGAAACAGAGGCGAAAAACAACCACTCGAAGACGAACCGATCCACCGGCGGATCATCGTCACTGTCGTCGAAACGAACCACTAACTCCGAAATGACTATCTCTTCGCTATCCTCTGCCAAGTGGGAGACAGCAAACGAGCTCACAGGAGACAATCTAGGATGATGATCACGCGCTGCGCGCTGCATCCCGGAAAAGGTGTTAGTTGTGTCAGAGTGATAAAATCCGCAGCAATACCTGGACAGGTCCAATTTTTTAGTGCTGACAAGCGCCATGTGCAGTATTTCTTTCACCTTCGTTGCGGTGAACTGGAACATGAACCGGCACGAGCCACCGGCATAGTAAAATTTCAACTTTAAGGCGTGGTTCCTCTTCTCCTCATCGTTATGTCCTTCCTCACCACAGCCATCTTCCGCGTTCACTTCGTTATACATGTACACACTTGCAGCATCAAGCTTGTGCATAAAAAGCGTCGTCGGCGATGGCTTCCAGATACTCCTCTTGCGTCCAAGAATACATGAAATAGGCCTTGATTCTCAAAAGTGCGTCATTCTGGGCGTTCCTCTTCCCGAGCGCAGCCATGGGGGAGCAGACAACGAGTCGGTCTTCCTCGCAGAGTCTCGCGAGTATGTTGGGTAAAATTTCCTCATGAGTTTTACAGTTCTTGTACCCATCCACGAATACGAACAGCTTTTCATCAGCGACACGAGGGAGCACGGACATGTACTCGTTGAGATCGACAAGTCTCCACCACTTCTTGGTCCTCATAACCAGGCAGGACGAGACCACACCTAAATGAATCCAAATCACGCTCCATTCCACACGATCCAAGGAAGCTGCGAAACTTAGTACAGAGGCAGACTTTCCAACCCCCGAGGGGCCTACAACCAAAGGTCTCCTGTTACCTGCCACCACCTCATTCTGCAAGTAGGACCACAGATCGTTCATTGCAGAACGACGGTACAGCATCAAGTCACGACCCGAAAACAACCCACACGCTTGCAGAAGTGCAGCAGGCAGCGTCACATACTTCTCGTTATTGTCAATATCGATCTGAGGCACGACCTCAAGCGTGTTGATCTTTGGTCCATCTTGGTATGAGCTGGTATATATCGAACGAGGCCGCTTATTGGGCGTGAACTCTTCGGGCAGCTTCACCAGCACGTGGATCTGGTCGTTGGCTGGAGGGTTCATACCCTTCAACACGGTATTGATGTCCAATCCGCCCAGGAGCTCTTTGTCTTTGTGCATCAGCGCTTTGATAGTATCCGTCGCCACCCTCTTCTGCAACTGCTTCGCAGCTTCTGAGCTGGTCTTGAGCCACGCGCCGCCATCCTTCGCCAGGAAGAGCTGCAGTCTGTCAGCGTCGACATCCTTGAGATCATTCGACTGCTCCGCCTTAATGGCCACCTTTAGCTCATACACAGGCAGGCCCTCGTCGATGACGATCGTGGTCGTGCTCCTTTGTTCAACTATCGCGCAGTTCAGTCGCACCATTTCTTCTTGGCAGATTCTTGAATGAGAAAATAACGAGAAGAATCGGCTATCGTACTTCAGCGGAATTCAGACGTCGGCGGACTACTCGACTACATCAACATCGTGAAAACCTTCAAAGCAGTCGGCCATGCATCAACAAGCTGCAAAGCATTGCTCAGCGGCTCAACCTGCTTGCGGGGGCTCACGTAGGAGTCCCGTTTTGTGGGGGCTAAAACCAAATGGTTTCCCCATTACAAGTTGAAGTGTACTTCAACTATGCTGCATCATAGACTACGGTGCAGCATACAATGCACAGCACCAGCTTCCGTCTCAACAAAGGCGCAATCCCCAAGTCGGGGCGATGTGGTGGTTCGGTCCTTGCGCTGCTTGGTCCTGCGCCTCGGACGTGGCGCCCACCACCTCCACCACCAGCAGCGGTAGGATGAGCAACTGGGTGGACCTGCGTCCTCTGTCGGCAGGTGTGCTGTCCGCGTCGCAGTCTCCGCCGCGCCCGGGGCTCTACACAGCGCGCCACCGCGTGACGCAGGAGTTGGCGGCGCTCAAAGTGCTGGACCGGCGACTGCTGCGCCAGCGCGCCACGCGCCGCCGTCTGCGCCAGGAAGTGCGCGTGCTGCAGCTGGCGCGCGGCCACCAGAACCTGCTGCAGCTGCACGAGGCCAAGGCGGTGGGCGCGCGCGTGGAGCTGGCCTTCGAGCTGGCGCGCGGCGGCGAAGTGATGCGCCGCCTGCGCTCGGAGCGAGACGCCAGTCGCGTCCTGCAGCAGGCGGCGCAGGGGCTGCAGTTCCTGCACGAGCGAGGCGTCATCCACGGGGAGGTGAGGCCCGAGCACCTGCTCTTCAGCGACGACGAGCCGGACGCGCGCGTGCTGCTGGCGGCGTTCGGGCGCGCGGCTCCGTGGCGGTCTCTGACGCTGCGCTGCCGCCCCAAGACGAGGGGGTTTGTGTGGGACGACGTGCATCACGTGCGCTTCGTGCCGCCGTTTCTCCTGCGACGGAAGAACGGGCTCAAGTGGACAGAAGTGGTCGCGGAGGACGAAGGAGGACGCTTGGTGACCAACTGGAGAGAGGCGCAGCAGAGCGACGTCTGGGCGCTGGGGGTCACGCTCTACGTGATGCTGTGCGGCTGCTTCCCGTTCAGTGGTGGGGATGTACGGGAGGACAACGTGGCGGACATTGAGCGCCGCGTGCTGCAGGACAAGTTGACGTTCCCCGAGGACGGCGCACTGCTGAGTCGGGCGGCGAGAGATCTGCTGCGTCGGCTGCTGGAGAAGGATGCGGACGCTGCGATGAGTATCGACGAGGTGGCAGCGCACCCGTGGCTCAATGGGGGTGTGGCGCCGGCTGTGAGCTGGAGCGCCGACATGCTGGCGCAACACGAAGCGTTCACTGCACGATACGATGAAGAGGTGGCTGCTGTCGCGTACCGACCGTCGCTGTCAATGATCTCCACTTCCAACGTCCTGAGTGGACCTGAAAACCAAAACGAGGCGCCTCTGAGCGGAGCCAGTACGTTGGGAACCTATGACGCCCCGCGCAGCAGTTTTGGTGTCGGCGGCGCGATCTTGAAGCGTGACACTCTGGAGGTGGAAGCGGAAGAAGAGAATGCGCGCCCGTCCTTTATGTCTACGCACGGCACCCAGCTGCAACTCGATGAAAAAGCGCAGCAAGAGCGTCCAAGTGCCGACTGCTTCATGCGCCTCGCCAGCCTTGAGATAGGAGGCAACAACGTCAACAGGAACAGCGATGACGAGGACGTTGTAGCCGACCCAGGCACAGTCAGTCCTGCACTCGACGGACCCAGTACTCCTGCAGTTGATGCGAGGCATCCCGTGGATCGACAAAAGTCGCTCGACAAGCTGTGGCAAGTACTGCTGCGTCAGCGTCGCTTCTTCTCCTCCAAGTCGCTCAGTAGCGGCTCTAGCAACGACAGATCATGAGTCAATCCGATAGTAAGACTGCTAGTGTACTGTAAATTTTTGCTTAGCTTGATGTGAGTCCTGCAAATCCTGTCATAGCTTGGGGCCGAGAGATCGCGCCAGTGCTTCCAGGTTGACGTTCCCTGTCGTATGCAGGTAGGCCAAGCGGTTCATGCGAGGCTGAAGCGCTGCCATCGTAGCCTCAGTGCTTAGCCCCACAGCCTTCAGCGCAGCGTCCTCGTCCTGGTTTCCTTGCTTCGCTTCAGGATCGCTGGGGTGACCACCTCGCTGCTTCTTCTCAGCGGAATCTGCTTCCTGTTGCCGCTGCTGCTGCTGCTGGGCGTCTTCGTCAGGGATGGCGGTCTTGTACAGGTCAGCGAAGTGGGTGTTCGTGCCGCTGGAGACCGCTTGGTCTGCGCTCTGACGAAGCAGCTCGTTGTAGTAGAAGTAGATGGAGGCCATACTGTAGTTGCAACGAAAGGAAAGCTGAAGTTGCTGGAGTTGAAGTTGTTTTGGTTATTTTCTATATGCCTAAGTGCGCACTTAGGCAGTTAGAAGAGCGCTGCTGCTGCTGAGTTCGCACTAGCCGAAGACAGTCGACGAGGCTGGTCCAGGGCACGCTGGCGCATGGCAGCTACGCAGTCGTTGATCTTGGTCAGTGCTTGATGCTCGGGGCTGTCGTGGTCTGCTCGCAGCTCTTCCACGTGCTGGATATGTGCCTGCAGGTCCATCTCGAGCGCGCGACGCAGATCGTCCACGATGAAGTTGCCCTCCCCACCCACGGCGCTCAGCACGTTGTGGAAGTATCCCAGGTCGGCAGCCAACTGCTGCGCTCCCATCTCCGACAGCACCGAGATGGAGCACAGAGTGCGCAGAAACGCAGCCAGAGTTCCGCTGGCCACCGCTGCCGTCCACAAGTCCACGAACTCCGTTGCCGTTGGCGCTGGTTCTGCCACAACAGACTTGGCATCTGCTCCGAAAATCCGCTGGCACGTCGCAAGCTCGGGTGGTGCCAAGTGCAGCAGTTGACCCAGTCGAGTCCACTCCGCTTGCACACAAACTTCCTGTGCGCCGCGTGAAGCCACGAAGGCGTTCTCGAGACTGCTGCTCTCGGCGAAGGGCTCGAGCTGTGGGAGGAGTGACAGTAACAGGTCGGCCACCATCGTGATGTAGTCTTGGGGAAGCATGCTGAAAGTCGGGAGGTCTCCTAAAGCAGCGTCTGGCATCTTGCGCCAATTCTGCATGGAAAGAGGATTCCATTAGCTGGGCAATACTCGAAGGTGGAGAGGGGGGCATTTGGCTTACCTCGTTCGTGGGTAGTGTCTCCAGTACTCGCGCGATCGGAAGAAACACAGTATCGTACGTGAGCAGCTGCACCTCTTTCGTCCATGAACGCACCGCACGCTGAGCCTCGTCGAGTAGCTGCGTGAATTCATGCCAACACACATCAGAACACGGAACATCAAAAAGAGATAAGCGCAAGTGGCGTACCGTTGCTGTGGGGTACCGGGAGGCAGCCCCGTCGAAGTTAGATGCGCCCGCAGAGTGATCCAGTAGCTCCATCTCAAACTGGTGAAACTGTGACTGACGAAGTGGGTCTTCACCATGAAGCCACGACTTGGACACCGCTGCTACAAGTTTTGTTGGATCTACGAGGTTTGCTAGCGTGACACTTGCAGCATCATGACTTTTCTTGCGACGGCCCCGCGGCGATGAAGACCCTGACGTCTCGCCGAAAAACTGGGCGAGTTGCTCACGCATGCGAACACGAACCCGGCCATCGAGCGCACATAGTTGACTTTCCAAAGATCCACAGACCTTTAAAAGTGCTAGCGACGCGTGGAATTGACTCCAATCCGGCGATGCCACCAATGCTCCACCAGTGGTGCCTTCAACTGTAGCAGTAGGCTCTGCCTTGCAATACTTGCGGATCGCAGGTATAGTCGAGCTCAACGCCAGTGTGAACTGCTGAACCGCGGCACCAATAGCTTCCACAGCCTCAGGGAAGGCAGCGCCACCTGTAAATTCGTAGCACTGTTGCAGACTCTCGTCAACAAGTACCCATGCTGCTTCAGAAGCTTCCTCGAGACGCTGAGAGAAGTCCTCTAGTGGCGCTGAATCTGCAGCATCTTGATCCTCCACTTCGTTTTCAGCAACATCTCCATTTCTCTTGTCGTTAAACACAGGAACGAGTCGCAGCAGCGCATCGGTAAGCGCCTCGCTCGTAAACCGAGTGTAGTCTGCGAAGTAAACGCGATAGGGCTCGAAAACAACGCGAAGAATGCTTTCAGCACTTGCAGCTGTGTCGTCACATTCAGCCAAACTCACACCAAGCTCAGTTTCCAGTGATCTGAAGAGCTGCACCACTTGGCCAGCGAATCCTCGTGTGGCTTGGAAGCAGCGCAGCAGTCGGCCGAGCTGGAAGTCGGAGCCTGACGGGCTACTGCGCACGAGACGGTCTCGGAAGGACTTGGTAAGGGGCTCCAACGTGTTGTGAAGCAGCACGAGCAGCACACTAATGAGCTCACCAGAGCCGAAAAGCTCCTGGGCATTCCGCTTCTCACGCTGCAGCATCCGCAACACGTCTCCGTAGAAATTGTCCAACCAGCTCGCAAAGGCGCTTTCGGCGTCGTCCTCATCGCTCGCTCCAGTCTGAATCTCTTCACTATAGGCATACCACACGCGGTGCACGTGCGCCGGCCTGGCCCTACAGAACTCCTCGCGCACGAGGTGCGCTCTGTCCACACTGCCCAAGACGTCCAGACACCAGCGCAGCGGAGCCACGTCGCCTAGATCGTCTTCTCTCAGCCGCGTGGCCAGTCGCGGCTGCACCGCCGCCTCAATCTGCGCGCAGAGTCTCTCCATCGTCTGCTTGCGGTCCCAGGCACCCGGCAGGTCCTTGAGCACGTCGAGACTCGTCTGCATCTCCCGCACTCGGTCGGCCAAGTTGTCCGCGGCGTTGTCCCTCTTGCCCTCGCCCTTGAGCAACTGCGACAGCAGCGTCGGGTCCTCCACCGCCGCGAAGCACGCGCGCACGTTGCGCCCCCATCTCGCGGCCTCCACGAGCGCCTGCGAGCAGCTCTGCAGGCGGCGCTTGGCCTCGTGCAGCGTCACGAGGTGGCGCAGGTCCTGGCCGGCGGCGGGGGACGCCGTGGAGACGGAGCCAGAGGCGCAGGCCTCCTGCACGGCGTCCAGGCGCCTCGAGAGCGGCGTGGCGGCCTGCTGCAGCCCCTGCAGCCGCGTCTGCAGCGTCGGCGCCGAGAGCGACACGTGCTGCAGCGACGCGTGCAGCGACTGGGCCAGCGACTGCGAACGCAGTGCGAGCTGCGGAACTAGTGGGGCCAGCGCCGACGCGTCCCCCGAGCGCGCGGCCAGCGCCTCCTCCACCCACGCGAACGCGTCGAAGCTCGCCGACCCGGACGCCGCCGACTCGAGCAGCACCGCGTCGTCCATCCTACGTCCAAATGATACGTATGCCTCGACACCCAAGATGCGAGAAACGAGGCATATTCATTGGTGTGTTTTATCCGGTAATCGATTATTATAGGTCAATTGTTTCACATTTAGTAGGATATATAGATAATCGATACTATTGGTATGCAAGGTAGTAGTTTTTATTTTAGTCGGTAGATGTATATCTTTGCGCGTCAACTGTCGAATTGAAGCAGAAGCAGAAGCCCCAAGAAGACCTTTTGACGACCATGGGCTTCCTGCGCAACGTGGCTGGCTCGGCCATCGCCCTCTCGCTGGCGGCGGTCGTGGCGTTCTACACCGACCTGCAGCTCTACGCGGCCGTGTGCGTGGGCGTGCAGTGGCTCTCGGCGCTCTACGCCGTGCCCAAGCAGGACGAGCGGTACTTCGACCTCACGGGCTCCGTCACGTACGCGGTCGTGTCGCTGCTGGCCTACGCCGCAAATGAACGCGCGTCCTGGCGCGAGTCGCTGCTCACCGCGCTCGTGTGGCTCTGGTGCGTGCGCCTCGGCTCGTTCCTGTTCCTGCGCATCAGCGAGTGCGGCGAGGACAAGCGCTTCAAGGACATCCGCGTGAACCCGCTGCGGTTCCTGGGCGTCTGGAGCATCCAGGGCCTCTGGGTGCTGCTCACGGTGCTACCCGTGCTGCTGACGCTCAAACACGGGGTGCGCGACCCGCAGGTGTCGCCGCTGGACGTGGCCGGCGTCTCGCTCTGGGTCGTGGGCTACGTGATGGAAGTCGCGGCCGACTACCAGAAGACCCAGTTCCGTCGAGACCCGAGCAAGAAGGGGCAGTTCATCCAGAGCGGCCTCTGGTACTACAGCCGCCACCCCAACTACTGCGGGGAGATCATGATGTGGATCGGGGTGTTCTGTGTGAGCGTGCACACGCTGCCGACCGCAGCGCTCAAGTGCTGGGCGGCGCTGAGTCCGGTGTTTGTGACGTTCCTGCTGCTGTTCGTCTCGGGCGTCCCGCTACTGGAGAAGCAGGCGGAAGAGCGCTGGGGATCTACCAAGGCGTACCAAGAGTACAAGGCGCAGACCAGCGTGCTGGTGCCCATGCCCAAGACCAAAGCCAAGTCGGCGTAGTGTGGCACAAACTGTCTGTGGCTACGGCAATTTTTGAGAACAATGTGAGCAAGTAGTAGCTGCAGCAGAAAACTGAGTGAAGAGTTAATAGTACCTACAGTACTTGAACACCCACAGCAAGTGTGGTATTGACCCAGGCCATCCGCCCTGAACACACACATTTTATTCAGGGGGGGGGGGTCCTTGAGCCGCGGCATAAACGGCAAGGACATTGCCAAGTGTTAAGTTAGGTACTTCTTCAACTTCGCAATGACTTCCTCACCGCAATCTTCTGCCATAAGGTAGGCCGCAAACGAGCTCACGGGGTACCGTCGACCGACCGCACCGCCACTCTGCATCCCATAGAGAACGTTGATTTTATCGGAGTGAATAGTGCTGCGGCAATAGTTGACCAGGTCCATCTTGTTCCGAGTAGAGCGAGCCGCCGCTTCCAGTGCGGATTTCACGGCGTCCGTAGTGCATTGGAACATGAGTCTGCACGAGCCTCCAGCATAGTAAAACTTCAATTTCACGGCGGCATTCCTCTTCTCCTGTTCGTTTTCTTCTTCCTTGTCACTGTCGTCTCCAGCATTCACTTCGTAAGCGATGCTCGATGCATCAAGCTTGTCGGCAACCGTGGCATAAAAGGTGTCATCAGCGATGGCCTCATGGTACTCTTCTTCCGTCCATGAATATATGAAAAAGATCTCGATGTTCAAAAGATCGTCATCTTCGGCGTTCCTCTCCCCCATCGCAGCCATGGGGGAGCAAATAACAAGTCTGTCGTTGTCTTCGTCGAGTCTCGCAAGCACGTTTGAATAAAATTTCTCATGAGCCTCAGAGTTCTCGTATCCATCCACAAACACGAACAGCTTTTCGTCAGCGATACGAGGCAACACGAAGTCGGTGATATCAACGAGTCTCACCAATCATTGGTCCTCATAGCCAGACAGGACGAGACCACACCACCCAAATGAATCCAAACGACACTCCATTCCACAGGATTCAGAGACGCCGCAAAGCTTAGTACGCAGGTAGATTTGCCAACCCCCGCGGGGCCCATAACGAAAGGCCTCTTGTTTCCTGTGACCACATCGTTTCTCAAGTAGGTCCACAAATCATTCACCCCAGAACGACGGTACAGCATCAAGTCGCGACCCGAAAACAAACCGCACGCTCTCAGTAGTGCTGCAGGCAGCTTCACATACTTATCGTTGTTGTCAATATCGATCCTAGGGACGGCCACAAGTTTGTTGATCTTTGGCTCGTAAGCCTCCACTCCAGTTGTCCAACGAGATCGCTTGTTGGGCACGAACTTCTCAGGCAGCTTTACTAGCACGTGGATCTGGTCGTTGGCTGGTGGATTCATACCCTGCCACCTGAACTTGACGTCTGATCCGCCCAGGAGCTCTTTGTAGCGTTTTGATAGCATCCGGTATCTCTCCATTCTGCAACTGCCTCGCAACTTCTGAGCTGGCCCCGAGCCACGCGTCGCCATCCTTCGCTAGGAAGAGGTGCAGTCTGGCAGCGTCGACATCCTTGAGATTATTCGGTCTCTTTGCCTTAATGGCCTTCTTTAGCTCATACACGGGCAGGCCCTCGTCGATGACGATGGAGATCGTGCTCCCTTCTTGGATGATCACGCAGGTCAGCCGCGCCATCTTTCAGATTCTCGAATGAGAAAATAACGAGAAGAGTCGGTCGTCGTACTTCACCGGAACACAAACCAGAGTTGTTAGGGCGATACGACTGCAGGTGCAAATCAGTATAAAAATGCATGCTCCGCTATCGGTTATAAACGAACGAATCATTAACGTATCGGAACGTACCGTTAACTTTAAAAACGCTTGGATATTATATTATCCAGCGGCGTGTTGCTTGAGTCTTTTAGGGTCGACATTCGTGTGACACGATCGATCGGATGTCGCTCGACCATGACTCCAAACATAACTACGGTTGTGTTTGCAGTACATGTATGTTCAACGATGTTACATCGGTGTCGCCACGTTCAAGTCATGGAACGACACCCACGAACACCCACGAGTTTAAGAGGCGGCCCCTAAGAATGTACCTATAACTGGATTTCTCCGAGAAGACGCATATTTAGGTACCAGAAAGAGACTACTAGTGCAGACACAAGAGGTATCATTGGATAGGTCTTACTACCACTAGGTCAACGGTGATGCTTAGAGCTGCACTAGTGCTCCAGTTCACGAGAAATGAGCACGTGAAGTTTGCCATTCATGCGACTCTTCGACATAAATTACGGTAGGTAATGCCTTTCATATGCAAGTTATTTATGATAATGTGCGAGTGATATTTATCAGCTATAGAGATCGACGAAAGTTGTAGACACTGCTAAACGGCTTCTGCTTGGAAATCCGCTGCGTAGATGTCTTCCCTGCAGATTGGGTGCGTGGCCATCACCGAAGTAATCTATTGGACACGTATTTTTCAGCGCGACCTTTCGCGGTACGAAAGCCTGCACTCAAAATTGACTACGTCTAAGTATGGCATCTTGCAGAAGAACGTAAATGCTGATGAAGCAGAGGGGTCTCCGCGCTGAAACGCGTCAATTACTCCTTTTAGGTATTGATGTATCCCGTTCCGAACTATGGCGTTGATCTGACAAGCACAGGACAAAACGAATTTATCAGTTTCTCGGTAATATTGGACACCGTTAGGGGCCGCGCCTGTTAAATTGAAGTCGTGGGTCTTCAAACGATGCTGGTCTCGTTTCAACCATTCTGCACGTGCTCGTTTCAACCATTCTGCAGGTGCATACGTACCGTTACCACCGCATTCAAGCCTTGACGTTGGTTGCATATTATTGCAAGATAGCTAAGGCATAGCGCGGACCAGTACATGCTCGCGTAAGGGCTTGAGATAGTTGGCAGTGCATGCTTTCATGGTTTCGGAACTTGGTAGCAAACCCGAATAAAGACAAAAGCACCAACTGCTGAAATTTAAGGATTCTTCGCTCTAACCAAAGAACCTCGGGCAGAACTGCTAGGCACATTTAAGATAAATTAACTTCAAACCTAGAATCAAAACTACATGATAAAATCCAGAGCTTCTCCGTGCTTTAGCACGGCTTAGTTAAGAAAACCACAAGTAAAATATTGAAATTGTTACTACAACATGGACATTGTCTGAGAAAACACCCTAGTCTGAACTGCAGCGTGTGATCAAGGTGTTGTTATGCTGCCGAATCTGCAGTCCCGTAGTCACTTCCCTTTCTGCTGCTGCTACTGCTCCGGCTGCTGCTGGTTGTACTCGGAACCTCGATGAGTTTTGTAAACTCATTAATCTCGGGTAACGATCCCTGCTGTAGCAGAGCTCCGTGCGACGGAGAGATACGACCCTGGTGGAACGAGAAATCACTGAGCGGGGGAGTGATCGTGGACTTCCCCGAAGAAGTCTGTGACGCAGGAAAAGCGAACTCCGAAAGGCGTGTCAGAGTTGTTCCTCCCGACACGAAGTAATACTGACTGCGGATCAGCACCGTGAGCTCCTCCTCAATCTGTAACAGCCTCGCCTCAAGGTCGATATCGTTCGCGTCGAGGCCAAAGGGGCATTCAATCTCCATGGCAACTTCATCAGCCATGAAGAGGAAAGTTCCCCACATAAGCACCCACAGCGGCGTGTACAACCCCGACCGCGGAACAATGACGAACGTGTAAAGCAGCATGTACGCCGTCAGCAGGAACTGAAGGTACTGCATGTAGTTGAACGGGATCGGGACGTTGGCGATGTTGAAGACGGTAGTGTACAGATTGGGTAGTCGCGCGAGTTTGATCTGCAGATTGTTTGAGTTGGGCGGCGTCAAGTGTCCGCGGTTCGTGGCGACCTGCACGAGTCTCTTGAGCCAGAGCTCCGTGATGGTAGCACGGAGTTTGTGAGGCGTCCGACGGACAATTGCCCGGTAGGACTCCTGATCTTCGACCTTGAGTTTGTGCTCCGACCCGCAGGCGTACAGCTCATCGTACTCAGCGTCTGTCAGGACACCAGCCTCCTTGAGCTTGTCAATGCCGTCCACACCGCGGCAGTCGTGAAACACGATGGCAATGTACAGAAACACCAACCGGCGCAGCTCCGTGAAGAACGTGCACTTCTCGAGGACGTCTTGGGGGATAGTCGAAGCCTTGAAGTCCACTGACGGGCGACGTTTTCGAGCATCTTCGCGCTTGGTTGCTTCAGTGTCTTGCACGTCGGTGTGCTCTGGCGCCTCCCTCTTGATGGTAGTGCTTACGAACGCGCACCCAGAGGCAACAATGTCCCGCGCTGCCTCTGACAGGGAGCCGACTGCTACCACACCCGCGCGCCACTGCGTAAACGCCGAATTCATGCGGAACGACACGATGAGGCCCAGGAACGTGTTGAACACCGTCAGCGAGTCCGTGAACGCCGTCGATTCGCGCGTAGGAACCACAAACGGGTGGTAGCGGTTCACGACAGCGACAACAAGTGCGAACATCGCCATGATGAGCGCGCGCACTGGAGCCTGGCCGTTCAACGCCGACCCATGCCAACGCATCAGCACTCCCCACAAGTGAGTCGTGTCATAGTAGATCATCCTTCAGCTTGAATGGAGAGGAACGCGCTGCTGGGAGTTTTCAACACTGGTCAAAGTTTGTCGGGTACGAAGTGGGAGAGCTTTACTGGAGGCACTTGCACTCACGGCGACGCGTGATAGTCATACATCTGACGGAATAAGGACGCAACCCCAGCTGGAGTGTCCGCATATCAATCAAGTCGATGCCGTTGCCTTCACGAAAGCACACACCACTGTAAAGCTGGTCATCACAGTCACACTTGGTTTATAGCGATCCAGATACCACAGTAGCGTGGCAGCAATGATGCATGGATGATTCTCGTCCTCTTCGGGCTCATCCTGCCGAAGGTCTCCAATTTTCACCATCGCTTGAAAAGTTTTGGCGGGAATCAATGAATCATCTCTTTCACGCTACCGGCTGGATGGGCTTGGGGGGCAACCTGGTATTCTGCACACCGTTCTGGCCACTGTAAAATGGGGGCATGGTGCTCCCTCGCTGATGCCATGCGCTTCACTGATGCGTAAAGTTTGCGCCGCCGGTGTGCTGGAAATCATGTTCATTCTGGAAAGCGCGTTCAAGTACGGACTGACCAAACATGATTTACTACGACACGTCCCGACTGTGGGGTGTGCTGTTCCGTTGGCACGGATCGGCGCTGAATGGCCAAGCGCCGATGCGCGCGTTCTTCATGGCGATGATCGCGCTGGCCGTCGCCCTCACTAACCACTATCACCCATTCGTGGTGGCTACTCGCAACTCGACGGCGTTCACGGATTCCTTGACCGTGTTCAACACGTTTCTCGGTCTCATCATCTCGTTCCGGTTGAACTCGGCCTTCACGCAATGGCGCGCGGGTATGGTGGCCATGGGGGCGCTGTCCGAGGCGGCGAGAGAGATCGTGAGCTCTGGATGCGCATACGTGAGCACGACCATCAAGGAGGAGCTCAAGGAGCGCGACGTGGGGGACACCAACGACGAAGCCATTGCTGACGCAGCCAAGCGCGCAGGACGGACGTTGGAGGAGGAGATTGAGCTGGGCAAGAAGCGCAAGCACATGGGAGGGGTGAAGCACCACAAGAAGCAGCCGATTCCGCGTGACGTCCTTGAGAAGTGCACCTTCTTCACGGAGCTCCGGCGTCTGGTGTTCCTGTACATCGCCATCGTCTTCCACGATTGTCGCGGTCGTGACGGTATCGACAAACTCAAGGACTCGGGTGTGTTGACTGATGCGGAGTACGACGAGCTGTACGCGTGTGGCTCGGAGCACAAGAAGCAGGTGAAGGACAAGGAATCGTACCGTGCTCTGGTGCGTCGTACGCCTCACAAGCTGCGCGCCACCATCACCGAGCTCTGGCTGAAGCGGTTGGTGCAGGTTGCAACTCGCCGTGGTCACCTCACGCTGCCTAACGCGAACAACCTGCAGATCAAGATCGCCCAGCTGCCGAACCTGTACACGACCGTCTTCAACATCGCCAACGTTCCCATCCCGTTCAACTACATGCAGTACCTGCAGTTCCTGCTGACCGCTTACATGCTGCTCTACACGTTCGTTATCGTGCCGAACTCGGGACTGTATACGCCGATTTGGGTGTTCCTGTGGGGCACATTCCTCTTCATGGCTGATGAAGTCGCTATGGAGATTGAATGTCCCTTTGGCCTGGACGCGAACGATATCGATCTTGAGGCGAGGCTGCTACAGATTGAAGAGGAGCTCACGGTGCTGATCCGCAGTCAGTATTACTTTGTTACTGGCGGTGCGAGCCTCTCTCACATTCCCGAGAACTCGGAAGACGGATCTTGGCGTCAAGTGCCGTACGCCAAGCTGCAATCAAAGCCGATGATCACAGAGGCTTTCTCGTTCCACCAAGGGCGACTATCGCCCTCGAACATGGCGATGGTGCAGCAAGACTCGCTACCCGAGATCAACGAGTTCACGACTCTGATCCAAGATCCAACCAAGATCAAGGACGAGAAGGAAGGCAGCGCGTACGGCTCGACTGATGGGGTGGCGTAGGGATGATTTCCACCTTCTAGCTCTCCGTAGTCAGGAGACAGCAGCCGTGAACACATTATGTCAACGCGTAAGAACAAGTTGGCCGTGCTGGTATAACAAAATGTGGTAGCTGTTGTAAGTGAAATGTGTTGGTTCACTATACCAAAGTTAGTGTCGAGTTTCGAATATTGCTAAAGAGAAGAATGTTCAGTTTTTGCTGGTGTCTACTCGTCAGCGGTGATGCTTTTTGTTGATTGCCGCTTCTTGATTCGCCTTTTTCTCTTTGATAGCCTGCTCCTGTTGTCGGCAATCCGTGGTCCGTGAAGCACCTTGACTCGAGCGACTACATTCTCAATTTCCAATCTTTTGCCAAAGCCGACCACAAGTTCTTCGTCGAAATCGACCTGCAAGCTAACAAGTTTGCTTTTGACCCCCACCACGACGAACTCGAGCCTCGACACACAAAAACTTCCTCTCGACTTCGAAAACTTCCTCAGCCACGTGAGACAGTACTCGAGATTAAATCCAACCTTTTTGCCGGAAACTATTTGCACGAAGCGTACCAGGCGGTCTCTCTTGTACAGCAGTATTGCGTTGTAGCTACTCTTGCCTCGCCGACACGGGACGACACACATTGGCTCCTCGTGAATTTGACACGGGATATCATCGTTCATTTGAATGTGACATGGACCCCACCTCCGAGTGTTATCATCGCTATTGCCGAGGATGACGAGACTACCGTCCCGGAGGCTCAAGAAGAATGCCATCTCCAGCATCCAGCCACTCAGCACTGGATCCGAATTGAGTCCATGTGACGACTTTAACCTTTGAATACTGCTTGCTTCGCACTAAAGCAGCATACCGACTGACCACAGATATTATCGTGAGTTCCGACGAGCCCGGCCACGGAAACATGGATCGAAGATACTCGGTAGATGAAAACGATCTGTCCATGGATGGAATAGCACGCTCAAGCAAGTCACATACCTGCTGTGTGTTTAATTGAAACATGTTGCTGCAGGAGCCACCGGCGTAGTAAAACTTGGCATTAATCATCGCGACGCGCTGCTCGATAGATATTTTGCTACACGAAGATTTCGGTTGAAGTAACGGGTCGTCGGCATCGAGATTCTCCAGCACATTCTCAAAACCTTCATCAACTTGAATGGCAGCACTCACCCAGCGTCCATGAACATGCATGAAACTCTTGCGCGCGGGTCAGAATGTCATAGTTAGCTTGCGGTTTCCCACGCCAACTCGTCTGGCACACAAACACGAGCCTCCGTTGCTCCTTCTTCTCTTTCTGGGTGATCCATCCTCGCATTTGGTATTCAGTTTCTCTTTAATCCCAGGAGTCCACCCGGCAACGATCACCAAATGGAATCTCCTTTCGGTCTCTCCAGCGTGGAGAACTTCCGGCAACATCTTCATCTCAGTAACTATGGTCTTGCGTGTGTCTCCGACCAAACGTACACACCAACTCAGCTTCGACCCCTCCCTCACATGGACCCATGTCACCATCCACTTGCTTCGATCGACTGTTGTGGCAAAGGCCATAGCGGTGACCGATTTGCCAGTGCCCGGTGGGTCCATGATCCAGCCGATGTGTGCTTCATCGCACACTTTCTCTTGGAGGAATTTGAATTGATCGTGGAAAGCAGACCGGGAGTAAAGCTTCAGACGCTGGTTTGGCAGTCCTGATTCTTCCAAGTCTTCCTTCTCGAGCCAGAAGTGCGTATCTCGAGGGCTACATGCGTGTACCGGTATTTCCCAGCTTGAAGACTGCCAGTCGAGTTGCTGGTCATTGCCGAACAGAAGTCGCCGTCGAGAGTTCGCAATGCGCAGGATTACTTTGTGTGGAAGTTTCAAGAGTACATAGATCACACGCGCCGTCGGGGCTTCGATGAGAATGTTTCCGGTAGTTGCGCTCAAGTCGATTTCATCGCCCGAAAGAATGGTGGCGATGTCCGCAGGAATTTCACCGGCGAGCAACTGCTTCACGCGCGAATCGTGCGATGCGAGCCACTCTCCGTTCAACCACGCTAGATACAGCGCCACTGTTTCTGGCAAGATCAGCCTCTTCTCCTCTTCGACGAAGCACTCGACGATTTTTTCACGCAACAGACTAGCTGACCAGTGTTTCTCCGCCATGATACAATTGTTACCCCCTGGTACGCCAACAACACAGTAAGAGATCTGCTTCATGATGCTTGTCCGGCCGGGATGAAGGCACATTCACAACTGACCTAACCGACACTTTCATCTGCATGTAGTCAAAATCTATAGGTTTGGCTTCAATCCACAACAGATTGACAAGGTGACTAGAAGATCATGAACTATTGTGCTTTTAACCAGTGTTTTACCCTCTCTGACTTTGCCTTCCCTTAGTATAAGCGCTACTTCCTGCTCTTAGTGAACAAGATTGTGGATAGTGTTGTCAAAGCGCCTTGACCAACTTCCCAGACAATTAGAGACGGTCTGTAGGAGAGATTCACACGCCTGCTCTTCTGAGAACTCTGGCTTGAGGGTCGACACGATATAGTTGATGTCATCGCGACCCGTCAACTCAGGCATATCGGCCGGCACCATCAGCAGCAGCAGCGACACAAGCAAGTGCATGTGCCGCCGCAACACATTGTACGCAATGCTGGCGATATCCACGAAGGTGCCAAAGTCTTTCCCCTGGGTTCCGCCCATCACGTACGCCATTTCTTTCGTGAACACGAAAGGAGAGCGCTCACGAGCCATCCCCATCTAATAAACATACACACGCAATCGATTAGAAATCTAGTGTTCCAGGCTCGTTAAGCAATGAAAACGTACACTGTACTTCAGGTGTCCCAAGAAATGACCGAAGTCAATGTGGAAGTAGCGTCCCGCTGAAGAGATCTGGACAAATACCAAGAGCGAAGTAATTAGCAAGACAAAAGGGATTATTTCTTGAAATCGACTCTGCTCCACAGCCGTAACGTACCATGATGTTGTCGTTGTGGCGGTCACCGATGCCGAGTACGTATGTTGCGATGCAGTAGCCAGCACATGAGCGTGTGAACAAGCTGATGGCTGCCTTGTGGCTTTTGGCATCCGGGTTATTGGCATGAATCCACTCGGCAAAAATCGGATCCTTGAACGACCCCAAAATACCGCCGCGCTTGTGTACATCGGCCGTAGTGACCGAATTGGGCACTATCTGAAGAATACCCGTCATCGGCGAGGTGGCAACACATTTGTACGGCTCCATTGCTAGATCAAGACCTTCTTCACGCCACATTTCGTCCATCAGACGAATCAACTGCAGTGTTAAACAATCCTGGCGTACATCGTCCCCAGCCTTGAACATCACAGTCACAGGATCGCCACCCTCTTCGGCATTCTCAAATACCAACCACAACGGCTTCTTCGCCGAGTCCATCACGCGGCACTTGCTCACGATGATTTTACCCACTTCGATACGAGGGTCAAGCGGCAGCTGGAAAGAACCAGGCAATAGCTCGTTCAGCGCCTCGAGTCCTTGCTGCATTGCGCGCTTCATCTCTGCCGGGCCATCGTTCTTCTTTGCCTTCACGCTCTGGCAAATACGCTCCAGCATTCCACCTTCTGAGAAGAGCTTGTCCTGCAGCTTCAGAATAGCACGCATCTTCGAACTGCACACATCCAAGTACGTGTTCAAGATCGTTCCGTAACGCTCGCGGTACTGCTCATTGTGTGATTCCACCTTCATGCTCCAGAAGAGATCGAAGCCGATTTGGTTCGGGTTCTTAATGGCACGTTCAATCAGCAGCATAACCAGAGGTGACGCGTGGTGGTTCTCATACTTGATCGCTTGGACAAGCTGCGGCAAGAAATAACTGAAGGTCGTATCAGCCATCAGACCGAGCTTCTGCACCGCGAATGTGCGTACACCTTCATTGGCAAACTCGCCATTCAAAAGCTCGATGTAAGCTGCTTGGTGGTCAGGCTCAGCCCAACGCGGTAAGAGTGATAGCGCTTCTTCAGCCTCCATAGGATCGTCCCAGTGAACACAGGACAGCACTCGAGGCAACGCTTGGAATATATCGAGCAACTCCTCGCGGTACATCCACAGCTGAGTCTTCTGGTAGGGGCTGAAGCGATACAGCGGGTCCAACAAAATCAGTTTCCGGAGATCCTTCAGACAGGTGTCATGCTGACCTGAGCTATCACTGGTACAGGAGCCGGAGTCCCGACGCTGCTTTGACGGAGTCGAAATACTAAATCTGCCCAGTTGGTCACTGATGCTTGGTCGTGGGCTTTCTTCAAAGAGCAATTCACCATTGTTCGTCTCTCCAAACGTAATAGTATCGCTGAAAAATGACCCGTTGCTTGCAACAGTCTGAATAGCATTCATCCAGGCCTCGCGAGATTGCTTGGTGTCGGCCGACATTATGTACTCACGCGAGGAGTTCACAGGCCGCACCTTGAAGCACCACGTTTGACGCACCCTTCGCGTACCGCTGTTGACTGGCGCAGTCGTGAATGTTTGGTTCATGTCATCGGCTGTGCTGACACTGCAGTTTTTCAACGAGATCTGCTTGCGGGCTGCTGTCTGATCGTCAGCATAGCTGAGTGAACAGGTGCTCTGGTCCACGATGAACCACCTTCGCCGCCAACGGGTCAAGCTCTTGTAGTTCCCAACCTTCCGGAGCCACCCTTCCTTGTGCAGCATGTTTGACCGACTGCTCTGGACAATACTGGCTCGGTGTGGACGAACACTTGACGCGAGCAAGTCGGTGTCACTCCAGTCAAAAATGACGGGGGCATCGAACTTGCAAAACTCGACCTGGATCAACGGCTCGTTGGGCAACGCCACGTGCGGCACTGGGCCTTGCACACAAGAGTACAGATTATTCAGCATACGAACATACTGCAAGCCTTGCGTAAGCATGCCATCCACCTCGAACGCGTTGATTCCAGTCACGAGCATCTTCTCTTCTTGTCCGTTCGACCTGCCGCCAATAACCTTCTTGATTCCAATCACAGTCAACTCCACACGCATCGTACGTGTAATCTCTGAAATACCAATGTTGAACTTGTGCCACACCGGGTTCGTCCACTCCACGTACAAGAAGTCGTTGCGCTGGGCCTTCAGACGAACATCCGAGGTATCCACGACAGAATTATCAATCAATTGCCCCCCATCGTAAAGCGCGATACGAACCAACACGCTCGCACTAGCCAGCTCAACTTGGGAGATATTGGCCGCTTCACTGGTTCGTTTCAGCACACACGTCGTCCGCGGGATGTTGAGGACGCGGTGGATCCGGATAGCGAAAGGTTCCTGCACCATGACACTGGGGATCGGAGCCTTCTTATCAGGTTGAGTCTGCTCCCAGTCCGTATCGCCCAGCGTCGTCATCTGCAGCGACGCGGATCGATCCGCTTCCAGCGCCTCGTCGACCTGGTTCCCCGTGGCTCTGCTCGCTCTGGAATCCCCTGCCAGCTGCAGGTTGCTGCGGATACTCAGATTCAGCATGGCCGTCTCGCGGATGATGGACTTGTGCACCACCGTCAATCTGATCGTCTTCTTGGTCATCAGACACTCTCGGACGTGCACGTACTCGTTCAGGATGCGGAAGCGGTCGATCATGTAGTCGCGGAAGCCCGTGATCTTGAGCAGGTACTCGGTGGGGTCATACGGCTTGAGCGGTGCCGCATCCAGCGCCTGCTTGTAGCAGTTGAAGATGTGCTCGACGATCTCCCCCACCGTGTCACTCGTGGTCACGGCCATCCTCACGTCCGTAATGGCTTGAGCGTTCACCTCTCTCAGCTGGAACTGCCGCTTGTAGATCACGTGGACGGCTGAGAACTTGACGACTCCACACAGCGCCTTGACCCAGCGATGGTACTCGCTCTCTGACTCGGCCGCGAGCACCCACGTCCTGGCTGTCGTGACCAGGAGGAACCCGTAAGGTTCCGACTTGCTGTCAATGGGCTGCACAGACGACACTCGATCCAGATCAATAAACCCCTTCTCGTAGCTCTTCTTCTCGTCCCGGCTGAGCGGGATGCCGTGCTTCTCGGGCTTCTTGCGGTAGTAGGCCAGCACGCTGCCGTCCAGCTCCATGTAGCGCTTCTTGAAGGCCTTGATGCCCTCGCCGCGCTTGCGCAGCACGCCGCTCACGAGCTTGGAGGGCACGGCGTGCGACACCTGGTGCTGCGAGATGATGAGGTTGGCCGGGATGCGCGCCACGCAGTTGAGGAACTGCGGCGTGTCCAGCGCGAACTTGGTCTGGCCCTTGTGCGCCACCCAGTCGCCGTCCTCGACGCGGAACTCGGGCGTGTTGGCGCGCACCTCGAGGTCCGTGGGGGAGATCTCGGCGTGCGCGCGCTGCAGCAGCTGCCCCACGGCCGAGCGGAAGTAGAGCGACTCCTTGCTGTGGTACAGCCCCGGCACGGGCTGCCAGCGCGGCGCGCCCGCCCCCGTGGCGCCGCGCCCCGCCAGCGGGTTCATGGCCGCGAAGGACGGCACGAGCGAGCTGTCGACGTTGTCGAAGGCCTTGCTGGCCTCGTACGCGGCGTAGGACGAGGCCAGCGACTCGCGGCTGGACGGGCGGCCGAGCATGGGACGCCGGGGGGTAGTGACGTGGTTAAGGAGGAGAGGGGAATCACGCGGTGGCTTCTCTCTGGGGGGCGGCGAGTTGCGCAGTGGCACTTACAGCAATGGTTGAACCCAACGACCTTTGGGTTAACTCTCTTTATAGCAGTGCCTTGGCAGAAGAGTCGAGGGGACGTGAGAGGGTATCTGGATGCTAAAGGGCGCAGAAGAGGCTGTGATATATGATACAGACTCCATTCCGCCAGCCACAACGTCTGGCGTGAAGCTAGACGCAATAGTTTCTGGCCACGGCAGCAGGTCAAGAACAGCGTTAATCGAGGACGATAACACATGGTGCAGGTGTCCACAAGCGTCGTTCGAACGTCCACCATGTTGAAGTTGCCGTGCAAATCCCGATCTTAGTCGCTTCTGGGTGAGCATAACGTGGCTTCTTATTCCTCAGTTACGCGATGGCTTGGTGCAGTGAACGATTGACCTTTGCATTAAGATTATTATTTTGCTTGTGGAGTGCCTCTCTCTCCGCAGACCGAGCGGATGTCAAAGCCCACAGAGTAGTCGTCTTCCTGCCTTGAAGCAATGGGCCGCGGCGTCGCGGGCTTGAGCAGCATGGGGAAGTGGTCGCGCGAGGTGAGCGCGACGGCCACGCCCTCGCGGTGGATCTGCTCGGCCGCCTTCTGCTTCTTGCGGATCTCGACGAGCTTCTTCATGCCGCTGTCGCGGTTCCAGGAGCCCGTGAGCGTCTTGCGGAGCTCCTCGCGGTCGTGCGCCTGCTTCTTCTCGATCGCGTCGAGCTCGTTGCGTATGCGGCGCAGGAACTGCTGGTCGTCCTGCAGCAGCTTCTCCTTGGTGTGGATACGGTCCTGCTCCTTGGTCGAGATCTGGTCCTGCAGCTGGTGCTTGAGCTGCTCCTTGACGCGGGTCAGATAGCGCTGGTCGTCGTATCCCTGGCGCGTGTGCTCGCTCTCGGAGAAGAAGGTGCTGGCCTTCGGGTCCGTCGTGCGGCGCTCGTGCTTCTCGACCGCGAGGGCATCGTCGCGCTGCTGCATTTGCACGCGCAGGTGCCGCTGCAAGTCCTCCGCGCACATGCGGCGCGTCTTGTGCTCGAGCGCCATCGTGTCCAAGTCGCGCCGTTGCTGCAGCTGCTGGTCGAACGCATACTTGGCCTCGAGATCCACGTCGTTGGCCAGCTTCGAGATGTGGCGCTTAAAGGCCGACTCCATCACGCGGTGCTTGGCCGAGCGATCGCTGGCGGTTGAGCCCGGAGAGAGCAGCGCGTCGTACATTTGCAGTTCTTCTTCGATGCTAACATCGCCGCCGATGATGTTTTCGGGGTCGCTGCGGTTCGTGGGCAGCGCTTCCAGGTCGTCGGTCGGGAACGCGATGTTGGAGGCAGCAGCTCTTCTCGCGCCTTCGTTCTTGTCGGGAGGTGGGAACGCCTCGTTATAGTCGACGACATCTTCCGGCGAGATGTCGAACTCCTCGAGGTTGCCGAGAGTCGACGGCGGGCTGCTGATCATCGAGCGCGTGATCTGGTCTTCGAGTGCGCGCGGGAATTTGAGCGGGTCGAACAGCACGGAGACGCAGCGGTTCTTGGCGATCAACCGGCCGAAGTTAAAGGCTATGGACATGGGAACGCCAGTGCTCGCTACCATGCCGATCTTCTGCACCATGTCGCGAATGGCGCAGAAGACCAGGTCCTTGGTGAGGTTGTGCGAGAACTTGATGGCGATCTTGGTGAAGTTGATGTCTTCCAGCGACGCCAAGTTGGCGCTGGGCAGCGGTGGCCGTCGCTGAGAGAGCCCGTAAGTCTTGATGAAGGTGTCGGACAGGAAGAATATGGGGCGCAGCTTGGGCTGGTTGCGCGAGTTCGTGAAGGTCTCCCACGTGATGGTCGCAAATGTTGCAATGTGAACGCCCTGAACCAGCAGCACACGCAACGTCAATGTAAATGCAACAACTACAGCTGCATGTACCAAGCAATACACCGCACCTTGCCCTGGTTGAAGCGCGACTCGATCCAGTCATTGAAGGCGCGCCAAACATCTTCCAGCGTCTCGCGTTTCCTGTCGGCGGCGCATTTCGTGCGCGACAGCCGCGTACTACAGTCGTTCAGCAAGTGCTTGAGCGTGTACAGCGACATCGCGCCGACGCTCCTGCAGCCAAGAGCCTTCGACTACTGCGTGGCGGGCGACAAGGACGGATTGACCAGGCCAGGAACAACCAAGCAAGCGTGTCATGCTTCAACTTAGCGTCGCACTATTCTTGGGAGGACGGGACACTAATAGCCTCAACGGGGTTATGGTAAAGTCGACGAGTCTGCAGGAAAAGTCTTCTTTTCATCAGAACTTGGGGCACGCAGCGCCTCTGACCGGATCTCGTGATCTCCACGTAACACGAGGCGCTGATGAATGGCATCAAAGCAGCAATACGTTGAGTGAACTTCATCTCTCTTCCCTTGTAAATTATGATTATGGTACACCTTGGCATTCTCCTCCTCCCTCTTCTCCTCCAAACTCTAAGATACGAACATCGCGGCGCAACATAAAGCTTCCATGGTCACTCCTTCAGGTAGAAGGAGCTAGATTCCACCTCCTTCAGGTAGAATGGGTGAAATCCCCAGCCCTTTCATGTAGAACAAGCCAAAGCTTAAATGTCCAGCACACGCAGCGTGAGCCGCCGCGACATGGCGATCTCGGACGACTCCATCATCATGCGGTAGATGCGTTTCTCGCTGCAGCCGGCCTTGGTGAGCATCGTGACGCGCTCCAGGGGCTTGAGCCAGCGCACCTTGCGGCGCCGCTGCGTGCGCTTGGGCGCAGCGGAGGAATCCTTCGTCTTCTTGGTCGTCCTTGGTGGCGCGGGCGTCACGTCGTCCTCCTCCATGTCGTCGCGCTCCATCATGGCGGCATCGTCCAGCGGCGTGCTCCACACACTGCGCGGCTTCCAGGCCAGGCCGATAGACGGCCCGCCGTGCTTGGGCACCGCGCTCCCGCCCAGGCCCACGCCGAACTCGTAGACGGTGACGGTCGACCAGCGCACGCTCTTCTTCATTTTCTCGTCGAGGCTTGGTGGGGTGGGGTACGCAGGTGCTCAGGTCCCTTGGGGCTTCTTGACGCGTCTCCTCTGAGGGGGGTTTTCCAAATGGAGGGAGGCGGTGGCCTGCTGTTCTTTCACACACGACGATCATGGTGAAGCCGCGAAAGCCTCGATGCATCCATCCATTCGTCGAAAGTCTATGGGACTCACTATGGGCGTCGACTCTGCCCCCGTTCCCGCATCACTCTCGAGATAGCTGCAAGGAGGGGGGATGACCCGTACGCGTTGCCCGCTCAGTACTAACCGTCCCAAAATAGAAAGATGTCGCCCCGCCTGTTGTGAAGGAACCAGACCAACACCTAAGTCGGTTTTTGCACGACGCCATTCGACGAAAGTGCCATGGCGTTGCTGTATTGTGCATGCATGGTTGAGATTGAGGCCAGATGGGGGGTTTGTGGCGTCGGCGTCGAGGAAATGCTGCTATTCCAGCTATTCGCGGCCCAGTTGGAACGGTCTAGATTCGGCATTGCGCCCGCAACGGCCGCGCGTCACCCCAGCCGGCACCTTGACGCTGCCGCCGTCGCCAGCGCTGGCAATCCGCACGGTGACCAGGTACAGGTCGCGCCTCAGCATGGAGAAGGCCGTAACGACGCAGCCGCTGCTGCAGACGACGTCCTCCTGCGTGAACTCGTCCACGGGCTCGCTGAAGTGGACCTCGACGCGCCGGATTTCGCTAGCAGCGCCCCTGGTGGCCGCAGATGAGCCCGTGGCGACGAGACGAAGGATGACTTGAGGACAGGCATCGCCTGCATCGCGACCGAGCAGCACAGGAATGAGCTCTTCTTCATGGAGGCTGTACCTGAAAGACTGGCCTGCTCGACACGCTACCTACTGCAAGTACAGTACCTTGCAGTAGGGCCCGAACCTTCATGCGGTCAACAGGGTCCGCGCAGGCGAGGCCCGCCACGTCGATGGCACGCACGCCGTCGCACAACAGATCCCTACGACAACATACCACGGGGAACGACGCCCCTGCCTAAGCTCAACCGGGCCGTCCAATTCCGCTCCGTAAGGAGCAGCTGACGTACTTGTCGGCGCCGCGACGCAGCAGGAGCTTGACGATTTGGTGGCGCCCGAACAAGCTGGCGACGTACAGAGCGGTCCGCTGCTCGCCATTGAGAGCAATTAGCCACCACCAGGATGCCTAAAATCCTAGCTATTGTCTTCAACCTGGTGGTTGCCCTGCCATCAACAGCAACGCCGGCTTAGTGGAGAAAGTAACAGGTGAGCACTGCCCTCGACGGCGCCACTTACGAAGACCTATCCAGCCGCAGCCGCATGGGGCAAAGGAGCACGTGTGCTTGTTAGCAAGAGCTCCGGCCCATCAGCTCCGAAGCTACCGCTTGATACATAGCGACAGTGGGCCCACCTTGGTGAACACAGCCGCCGGGTGTTCAGCGATGAAGCGCTGCACCTGGTCCACCTGGTTGTCGCGGACAGCGCGGTAAAAGCCATCAAGACCAGGTGTCGCCGCGTCGCGGGTGTTGATGTCCTCGCCGCCACCGCCGTACTTCTGGCTCCACCACAGTACGTTGCCGCGGCTCAGCGGCGGCGTAGTGCTCGGACTCCTCCTCCTTGCCGCGCTGCTCATGGTCGGGTGCAAGATGCAAGTTGCCGCGTCGTTTCGTGATGAGCGCATGTTGCGCAGGCGCAACATTACCCTCGCTTCAGTGACCTCAAAATATGTACGTAATCAATTCCTCGATTGAGCCACAATCAGCTGGCGGCGGCTTGCAGCTGGGCGCGCAGTGCCTCCAGATTCGAGCAAGCATACATGTATCGGCACGAAGCCATCGGGCCTGCTGCGGCGTGTTTATCCCTGCGCGGAGACCGATCACGATCACGGACGCCTGAAGCGACAATTGCAATGACATCACAAAGTCTTAGCGATGAATCTTAATCTCGAGAATAAGTTCTCGACAGGTTTTCGAACGTGAACCCACCTTCGTCAATGCGAGCCAAGCTCCTAGGCGTCGGCTCAAGCCCTCTCGTTTTCGCTAGCGGGTTCCGCACCCACATTGTGTGTGTAACTTAGTTTTGCAGGAAAGAGCAACGAATTAACCCGCGGGGTAGGTGTATTATATTGGTAAAACCTGGCGATTAGCTAAGACCGCGCATGCGGGAAGGCTGCGAGGGGAAGAAGGAAATTTTGCACCGAGGCCAACAACGGGCCCAGCCACACAGCGCCGCGGCGGAAGAGAGCGAGCTTTCCGCCCCACCAGCAGAGCCCAAGTAACACTAGCGCGCGGCGGGCGTCTGCCATCGTCCATCGACCGATCACTGGCCCGCAGCTCCAGGAAGCAGCAGCAGCAGCGGCGGCGGATAAGCCACCTACGGTAAATGTCGTCGCAATGCTGCATACCGCGGTTAACACCACCTAACCGTTTAGGCTAGTGCTAACCTTATTGTGTCTGTCTTCCCCCTAATAATTGCGACCTTTATTAGATGTTTAGCTTAAACCCGCGGCAGTCCATGTCGTCGGTGCTGCAGTCGAGCGGCAGCGGCGGCGGCAGCGCGTCGCGGCTCAGCACGGCGTCGTCCTTCATCTCGGCGGCCTACAACAGCTACGAGAGCGGCGCGAACTTCCGCAACGTGGACGCGTCGCTCGTGCCGTCCTTCGAGGCGCTGAACCCGTACGCCAAGGCCGGGCGCAGCATGATGGGCGACGACAAGCGCTGGCAGCCCGTGCCCGACCTGTTCCACTCGAAGGAGTCGCTGTACTTCCGCTCGGCCGTGGGGAAGGTGCTCAAGAAGGCGCACGAGGAGATCTCCCCCGCCGAGCTCGAGGTGCGCGCCAACACGCCGGAGTTCAAGGTGGAGGAGACGGACTGGATTGCCCACAACTCGAACCAGAAGAACCAGTTCGCGCTCATCACGCCGCTCAAGACCGTGGCGCGGATCCCCGCCAACCTCATCATCTCGGACGAACCCATCTCGCTCACGCAGCCCATTGCCAACCACATGGGGGGCTACCTACGCAAGAAAGGAGAGAAAAACAAGGCGCTGAAGAAGAGGTACATGGAGCTGAATGGCAGCGTGCTGGCCTACTACAAGAAGAAGCCCGAGAAGAACGGCATCCCGCTCAGCAGAGACGAGAAGAAGACGCTGGAGAGGGGACGCATCGATCTGGACCGAGTCACGTCGCTGCAGCCTATGGAGTCCAAGGCGGAGCCGTACGGTATCCTGTTGGTGACGACGGCGCGTACGTGGGCGATTTGTGCCGACTCGGAGCCCGAGTACCAGCGCTGGCTGAAGGCGCTGTGCGACGTGGTGAAGTTCAGCGCCGTGCACGTCACATACAAGCGCATGTTCCAGCTGCAGGAAGTGAGCGCCAAGGCCATTACCGATGTGAGGATGGTGGTGACTACTGGTGATACCGTGGGCCAGATCGTGGAGCACATTTTCAACTGCTACGAGCAGGCGCTGGATGCGGCGCCGCTGAAGCCGTACAATCCCGCTGAGTACCGACTGAAGATCACCGGTTATCGCGACTACATGATCGACAGGTTCCGCGTGCTGAACGAGTACATGCACGTGCGCGAGTGTCTGCTGACGAAGAAGACGATTCGACTGACTGTGATCCACGAATCGGTTATCCAGGAGACGGCGATGATGAACCTGAGCATTGGGAGGGATTTACCCGTTAGCACGGGATCGATGAACAACCTCGTGAACCAGTTTGCTGATATGTTTGATGGTGGCGAGAGAGCGACCTCCTTGCAGATGACAACGCTGGGTGATGAGTGGGAGCGACCGTCGACGGTGGGAAACCCGTCGCTGCCCAGTGGAATTATTCAGCAGCCGTTTGCTATTCGCATTCGTCGTGTGCTGAACATTCCGCGGACTACGTGCGTAAGGAAGAGGTCGAGCGAAGAGGCCATTGTGACCCGAGTCCCGTTGACCAGCTCGAGCGTGATCGTTCGCATTGAGCTGTACGATGGAGGCCAACTGCTTGAAAATGCTGTGATTGACACGTCGGACGTTCGCTTGAAGGCGCAGAGGAATGACTTGCTGTACGCCGAGTGGGAAGACCCGGTGTGGCACAAGTTCAATATCGATATTTGCAACGTGACGCGCACGATGCGCGTTCAACTGACGGTTTTGGGCGTGAAGAAGATTGTCGGCAATTCGGCTTCGAACATGGACGCGACTGAGGAGAAGATGCTGGTGACGGGTGTGAATGCGTTCGAGGTGGATGATACGCTTACGCAGGGTCAGCAGTACGTGCACATGTACAACAACCTGCACACTTGCATTCAAGGACCTGTGCCTCATGTGACGCTGCCCAACGAGCCCATGATCCAGGTGGAGTTCTCCAAGTTTGATGCACCGATCAAGTTCGACTGGAACGATGATGATGCATCGTCTATGAGTGACCGCTCTCACCGACGCAGCATCGTCGCTACCAGCCGGTCTGTGATGTTGCGCAAGGAAGGATGGCTGCAGAAAGTGGGCAACTTTTCGTCATTAACGCGTTGGCGTCGTCGTTGGTTTGTTGTGGACCAAAGCACCTGCACGCTGAGCTACGCGGACGATGAGACAGCTCCTCGTAAGCTTATCACTCTGCGCAACTGCTCCGTTACGACTGCTGATGACATGAACCAGAAGTTCACGACCGCTCCTGTGAACAAGGGTACGCGCAAGCTTCGCCAGACTTGGTGCTTCAAGGTTCGTCCGATGGGTTCTTCTCGTGATTACATCATTTCTGCTGAAACGAAGCAAGATCGCGAAGAGTGGATGCTGGCGATCCAAACCGTTGCGAAGGGTGACTCGAGTATTAGTGACTTTGGCAGCGCCAATGGAAGCTTTGAGGAGTCGAGTGCTTCAGTACCTGTTGTTGAAAGCCCCCGTGGAGAGGAAAACAAAGAACAGCTTGACGGCAGGAACATTTTGGAGAGTGTCGCACAGGACCGACGCGATTCGACGTCTCGCAGCAGTGGACACAGCTCAACTCAGCGTGAACCCGAGCTGAATGAACTGCGTAAGCTCATCTTGCTGGATCCACTGTACCGATTCAGCCCGTACCAGAAGGAGCAGCTGTGGATGCACCGTGAAGAATTTATCGACATCCCTGCGGCCCTTCCTCGTATTCTCTCGTGCGTTCACTGGGACGACCGCGATGAATGCGAAGAGGCATTGAAGCTGCTTCCACGCTGGTCTGTCCCTGAGCATCAGGCAGCTTACATCGAGTTGTTGAACGGTGAATTTGCGAACGAAGGAGTGCGTACCTTTGCTGTGAAGAAGCTAGGCCAGATGGCTGACACGACCTTCAGCTACTTCTTGCCGCAACTGGTGCAGGCTATCAAGTTTGAGAACCACCACGTCTCGCCCCTTGCCATGCTTCTCATTGAGCGTGCCATCAAGAATCCGAACCAAATTGGCTTCGATCTCTTCTGGAGTATGAAGGTGGAGTCGCACAACGACCAGTATCGCGAGCGCTACGGAACGATCTTGAACGCGTACCTGGACGTCTGTAGCTCAAAGATGCGTGCTATTCTGAAGCTGCAGGACAAGCTTTTCTCGGAGGGTGGAATGCTGGAGCGTATTTGCCAGAGCGTGAAGGCGAAGAAGAAGGACGGCGCTGCCGAGATGAAGCGAGCAATGCAGCAAGGACTCGAGGCGCTGAACGAGCTATTGCCTGGTTCTTTCCAGCTGCCGCTTGATCCTCGTATTGAAGTGGGTAAAATCATCGTGAGCAAGTGCCGCGTGATGGACTCGGCGAAGAAGCCGTTGTGGTTGGTATTTGAGAATGCCGAAGAGGGTGGCGATCCTGTGACTGTGATGTTCAAGGCTGGGGACGATGTACGCCAGGATTGTTTAACACTGCAGTTGATCCGTCTGATGGATGAAATGTGGCGAGATGAGGGTCTGGATTTGGCGATGGAGCCGTACAAATGTGTTGCCACCTCGCCAATGACGGGTATCCTTCAAATGGTGCCCAACTCGGTCACGACGGCCGAGGTGCACAGGCGTGATGGTATGATGGGCACCTTTAAGGATCCTAGTTTCTCCGACTGGATTCGTGCGAATAACCCTGATCCCAGGAGCCACAAGGCTGCTGTGGATCTGTTCGGCCGCTCGGCGGCAGGTTACTGTGTGGCGACGTGCGTTCTTGGCATCGGTGATCGCCACAACGACAACATCATGGTACGTTCGAACTGAATCTGCGAAACTCTTGTTACTTTTAGCAGTGTCCTAACTGTTTGTATTTCTACTACTTTAGATTGCTGTGTCCGGACGCTACTTCCACATTGATTTCGGTCACTTCCTGGGTCACCTGAAGTACTACAAGGTATGTTTCCGATTGCTAACCCCCCCCCCTTCTAGTCCAGGGCTAACCGATTGTCTTTTCGTGAACTTTGCTCAGCTGGGAATTCGTCGCGAGCGTACACCTTTCGTCTTCACAAATGAAATGGCCTACGTGCTCGGTGGAGTAGAAGGAAAGGACTTTGCGAAGTTCGTCGACACAGCCTGCACGGCGTACTGTGTGCTGCGAAGACACATGCACCTCTTGGTGTCTCTGCTGCTCTTGATGGTGCCCGCAGACATGCCGGAGCTCACAGGGCGTGATGACATCAACCACATCGTGACAACACTAGCACCGGAGGTGTCGGACGAACGCGCCCGCGAGTCCTTCGAGCAGACAATTCATTTCTGCCTCGACAGTCGGTTCAAGCGCTTCGACAACTACATGCACAACATCGCCCACGCGTTTACATAAGGCGTCAACGCGCCTATCCGGGTGCGTTGAGGCCTGGTGCTGGCATGCGCGTGCAGATCGAAGAAATAAGTAAATCGCAGCCAAGAGTGAGTACCAGCGCGAGAGTGCAGGCCAACCGGATGGATCCTTGTGCTCTTCGCGCTCCGGGTGAAGATAAAGAAGCAACAGTACTCTTCGAAGACGGCAAAGGCTGCAGAATGTCGTGGTTGTTGCTACCAGATTCGTTTGGATGGGTTCGACGTAGCGTAGCTACAGTGTATTGTTAATATTCAGAGTCCACTTGCGGCAAGACATGCGTCGTTTGTTCTGGCTAAACGCCAGCGTTTCTCTAATGCTTGAGGGTCCTGATCATGTGCTTTCGCAGTGCACTGGCAGTGTCCGCAATGATAGCGCTGCGGCTTCTACGCAGAGACGCCACCATTGAAGCCAACCCCGATCGTTCCACGTCCGAACGTTCCATTCTCACCTCGTTAAGCAACTGATGCAACATGCCAACGATCTCGTCCTCGTGTTCTTCAGGTCCGGTCACATGAAGTCGCAATAGTTTGGCTGCAAACGCGGCCAGGTCGCCCACCTTGTAGCCTCCCTCGTCTTCCTTCGTTGCCGCGCCTTGGTTACTAGGCTCGTCTTGGTCCGCCTCTGCAGTCTCCTCGTCACTATATGAAGCCTTGACGACCTTGCGAGGTGCTTCAGGCTCGGTCTCCACCAACTTTCGCTTGCTGCCTGCTCCTAGTTGGACGGCTTCATCGATTGGAGGTCGAGCGACTAGGAGTATTTGGATGGTCTTCTCTGGGGCACAGATGTTGACAGAAGAAGTTGGGTCGACCGGGTCACCGGACAAGATGGTTTGGATGTCTTCGGGGATTTCTCCGGCGTTCAGCTGCTTCACACGTTCGTCTTGAGTCTGCAGCCACGAACCATTGATTTGGGCCAGATACAGCTCCACGCAGTCTGCCGGACACTGGATCCGCTTTTTCTCGTCGTCTCGGTTCACTTCGTCAATGAACGCCCGTCGCAACGTCCCCAATCGAGCATTGTCCTCGACTTCCACGCAGATGACGCCGCCGCGATGACCCACAAGTACCCCGGCGAAGAACTTCATCGCGAAAATGGGGTGGCGAACCCACAAAAATGAATACCGGAAAAATGCTTATATTTCAGTGTTTTTGTTTTGTATTGTGAGCGTTAGCGCTTGGTGAATACTTATGTAAGTGATCGACACTATCCAAGTGTTTTAGGCTAGAAAAAAAGAAACACGTTTATGAAGATTTCTTTGGCAAGTGCCATGTAAATGGTAATACCTTCCACCGTTCCTGATCATGTCGTTCAAATTGACCTGAGTCGACACCCACTTCAGAGTGCGCTACAAAAGGTAAACACTTGATGGCTGGTCTAGTGGGTATCGATTGTATTCGATCAGCAGGAACGCAGATGATAGAATTGGACTCTGAAAGAGTGAAGTTTAGCGATCTATGCGCTCGAATGATGTGTTCCGAAATGGCCCCCTGAGCTCGTCTATCTTTTCATTTGAAAGTTTGCGTGGGGAATGAAGAGTCTTATTATTTTAACGGTCGGGTCAGGATTGCGAAGAGGAAATGACGATTCAGGCCCTAAAAGAAGAGCTCCACGAGGATCTTGAAGTCAATCCTGATGAGATCGAGCTGCTCCTCGCGAAACGAGGAACGTGGCTCAAGTGCAGTTGGAGCGAGATCAAGTGGCTGGAGCGAGGTAATATGCTCAGTTCAATCACGGAGCTCCTGGTTGACGACAAGAAGATGGACCCGCAGCGTAAAGTGGGGGGGGTCGGCTTCCGGGGCTTTGAGGAAATCGAGCAAGACGAAATCCACGTTCTCATGAAGCTCCCAGAGCGCGTCGTGCAAGCCGAATTGCGATGGTTCGAGAAAGTTCGCCGCCTGCAAGAGGGTACGCACAGCATTTGTATATATGCACAAGCTCTATCCTTTACTAACATGAATGTTGCGGCAGAAAATGAGTGCGTCAAAGGCCAATGCTGCGGTTTTGACGTTTTGTTCCTGCTGCCATGGAATTGGTTCTTCAGCCGACGACCCTCACAACCGCTTAGCAATTAGCATGGAGGTTATCGGAGGGCTAATGCATAATGACACTCTTGGTCGTTCTTACACCGTCAAGTCTCAATAAAATACTCCTTGGCGATTAAACGCTGAATGAACTAGCCAAAGTTCGACCAAGTTGCAGGTTTGCCCTCTCGCCCAACCGTTGTAGACACGGATGACTTGCGGTCGTACCAATTGCTGAACTGGCGGCCCACAAGCACGCCTGCGAAGAAATTCATCACGAAAATGGGGTGCAGTGTAAGTGCGGTTTTTCATTATTGACTAGTTTCCATTTCGATAATGTTATTGCATATATTATAAAATGTGAAGCTGCCAAATACTATTGCCGTTTGCAGATATTTTGGTCAACGCATGCTTATTATCTCGTTAATAATCTCGATTTTAATCCATCCAGCTCTTAATTAAGACCTAGGTCTGATTTATATATCTCGCCAGTACGGTCTAAGATCCGAGCTTGGGGCTCTGTTTTCTCGACCAAGGCGCTTTTCTACGACTTGGAAACGCAGAAATGCCATTCTAGACGGGCCAAACCGAGTTTCTGGGCCTAAAAGCGGCCCCCAGCAAAGCATAAAGCTAAATCAGCCCTCGCCTATCTCGTGTCCACTCATATTAAGAGACAGGCGTGGTCTATTTTAGAGGTCTATTTTAGAGGGCAAGTATTTGCAAGCGGCAATACATGTACACTTGTACATCATTGATTGATAGTGTTCAGCACAGCGTCTTCGCGATATTGTAACAATGGGAAGTGGGGCGCCGGCACAAAAGGGGGTGGACTATGTTGATCGAACAGTACCGCTTCAAGTGCTGTCGTCGTCACCCAGCTGTGTCGTATGAATAGAATAATAATGCATTGCTACTACTCTATTCCATACTACAGTCCGTGCAGTGAAAAGAGTGGCTTCTGAAATTTTGTATGCAGAACCAGAAGCTCACTACCGGTTAAACTCGTTTAGTAACTAATGCATGGCGTTTTTTTAGCAAAAATATTAGTTTGGTTTGTTTCTGACGCTGTATTATGAAATGATAAAATGAAATGAAAATAATCCTTCCGAAATGCAATTCAGAGAGAGAGAGAGAGAGAGAGAGAGAGAGAGAGATCACGAGAATGCAATGTATCCCCACTAAATGGAAAGTAGCTGACGAGAGAATTAGAAAAAGGTTTTCTGAGTGTGAGTGTAAGTAAGTGGTAAACCACCTTTTTCTTTAGTGACACTCAAAAAGGACGTCATGAATAAAATGCTAGAAAAATGACAAACTTTATGCAGATTACTTGGTAAGTGCCATGTAAACGGTGACGCCTTCCATCGATTACTGTCAAAACTGGTGAGTAGTGGCATGTTGTCGTTGTCGTTGCCGCTGCAGGCATCGGACCTTGTCGGTACCGAATTCAAACATATAGCAGCAGCATCCTCCGGCGTAGCGATACTTTGCATCCACCATTGCTTCGCGCATAGCCAAAACATTATCTTGCTTCCCTCCATCTCCATTATCACCCTCCCCTTCACACCACGTTTGGGGCGTCTAGCTTGCTCGAGACGCTTTCATAAAAACTGTCATTTCTAATAGCAGCGTGATACTCGTCCAATGTCCACGCAGATGTCGAAAACTCTTTCACTCGAATACGCCTCCCCGTAAACCTCTTCTGATCGTGCTCATAGAACTCCATCGAGCAGATAAACGCCAGTCGACGGCGGTCACCCTTCTTTCTGTCGAGGAACTACTTGGAACATTTCATAGTAAGATGTGGGAAATCTTTATCGTTCCAGTCATTGACTAACAGCAGATGCCGCTTTTCACTCTCGTCGGAGTTCAAAAGTTCGACAAGTTCATCGCCCGTGGCAGTAAGCGTTTTGCGTTCGCCGCCGCTTAGACGAACGCACCAATAATGATTTGGAAACAAGGCATGAATCCATGTGACGATCCACTGGCTTGGATCGAGAGTCGTCGCGAACACCATGGCCGTACACGATTTATCAGTTCCTTCTGGCCCAACTACCATACTGAGACGCCCTTCGCCGTACACCTGCTCTTTCATAAACTGAAATTGTTCGTGAAAGTTCGGTCGGCAGTAGAGCATTGAGACTTGAGTCCCCAGCCCCGAATATCGCGTATCCACCTCGTCAAGCTGGAAGTACTGCTGACTGCTATCGTAGTGGTGCGGCTTCCACGGTACTGTTTCCTCCCACTTGCTAGCTCGAGGCTGCGGGACTATCAGTACCTGGATGGTTCCCTCAGGCGTACGCTCATTGCTGATACGACGGACACGCCAAGTCGGATGAATTTTCTCGCCACGAAGGATAGTTTGAATGTCGTCGGGGATCTCGCCGTCATACAACTGCTTCACACTGAGATCGTTGGTTTTGAGCCACGAACCGTTGATCTTTGCCGGATACAGCTTCACGCGGTGTGTGGCTGTTCGTCGTATTGGTTCACCGCGTGGATGAATTTATCACGCAACTCGAAGATTAGCGAGGTATCCTTGACTCTCGCCCACCGGGGTAGCCCACGAGCACGCCAGCGAACACCTTCATGCCACAAGTTTTACTACTTGCAGCCTAAGTTGAGTGATTGAGATTTACCACGAACTAACGTATAAGTGTAATCGGTTCTCGGATTTCCAAGAAACAAGGTCATCGTCAGTCATCTGGTAGAACACGTCAATCGAATCAAACTCTCATCCCCGCACTATTAATCACACACAACCAATGCGCTCGATCCTGCCGCCCAAGGTCCAATGCCTCGCCGATGTCGTTCACCAGCTCCATTGACAGCGCAGTATACAATGAACTTCATCTGGTGGTGCGAGTTTACGACTCAGAACTCTCTTGGACAACTGCAGCAATGGACGGAGCTGCTGCTCGAGGGAAAGATAAAGTGGTTCAGTGGCTGCACACTAACCGACCGGAAGGCTGTTCAGGTCAAGCCTTCCTCGAAGCAGCAGCCAATAATCATCTCAATGTGCTGAAGGTGCTCTACGGATACTACCCAGCACTGTCCAATCCATGCGAGGAAATTGTCGTGGCAGCTACTGCCGGCCATGCTCGGATCGTGCGATTCCTACAGCCCAAGTTGCATTCCAAACCGTTCCGCGTGATTAAAGCTGCAGCTTCCAACGGCAACGTCGTCGTACTGCTAGCTCTCAATCCAGGCGTAGAGGACTTGCCTCTCGAGACTGCTGCGGCGAATGACCACACTCCGATGGTGCATTACATGCTCATAGCGGGCTTTGACGATCGCTACATTCTTGGCAATGCCCTCGTCGATGCGGCAAGCGGCGGTCATCGAGGGGTAGTCGACGCTCTACTAGGGAAAAGGATCCGTGCTCATGACGTCGGTTATGCGCTGGAGGAAGCTGCCCGAAATGGCCATACAGATGTGGTCTCGATGCTACTGAAGAGAGGGCAACCGAGTAAAGAAGCAATCACGAGCGCCTTCCGGGCCGCTCAGACAGAGAAGCAGCTCGTGCTGTCAGATTGTTGCTTGAAGTCATACCATACCGCACGTAGATTTCACAAAGGATGCGTGCGACTGTTGTCCGGAATGGGGAGCAGCCAACAGCTGCATCGTGACGGCTTTCCGCTTTGCCATTTTTACCAGCAATGTCGAGCTTGTGAGTTTGCTGGTCGATCGAATCCACCCCTACTAAATGGACCCGGCGTTGATGACGGCAATGTTAGATTACCGTGTGGACATCATGGAGTTGCTGTTCAAGGCTGCAAACGAGAGGAAGCCAGAGCACGGGTTCACGGTGGAAGGCGTCACGAGCGCCTTGGAACGTGCGGTCGACATGCGCTCTATTGCGATGACAGAAGTTTTGTGTAGGAAATGCAGTACCATTCAACCTGGTCGCGCGCTGAGGACTGCTGTGCTACAGAACAACTTGGAAATGGTAAAGTTGTTGGTTTTGCAACGAAATCTGGCTTCTGAAGTGGTGAAGGTGCTACTGGACGAGACGGATGCGCGTACCATTCAAGGTGCACTGACGGCGGCTGTTACGAGTGACCATGCTGATGTTGTTAAGGTGATCATGGCTAGGAGTGCTGTGGTTGACATTACCGCGGCATGTGAACTGGCTGAAGTCACAGGCGAGGAGGAAATTGCGAACCTGCTTCGGAGGAGTACCTTGCCCAGCGCGCAGCGCTTCTTGGATAACGAGGGACCCTCGCTCCCCATCGACTGGTTCCCACCAGTTGAGCATGAAAAAACACTGTTAGGTTCGCACCCACCTTCTACCCGTGCAATACAATAGGAAGGTTCTCGCTTTCCACTTTGTTCGTCTTGGCAGCGTGTAATATTTCTCATCGAGCCTGAGCGTGAGGTGCCGAGCGAAGGTATATATTTCGTGACATATAAGTTATTGTATTTGCGCGTGATGAAAATCGCCCGCGTGCCCGATGGCTAGTTTTGTCTTGATCCCACCACACTCTTGCAAGACTCTTTGCCGAAGCTACGCACTGCAATTGCCGTACCGAACAACTCACTCACTTACAGCCGGTTCCACGCCTGCTCTTCCGAGTCATCTTGGACGACTGCGCGCTCCATGATGAACTTGCCTTCCTTGTACTTTTGGGAGCTCTCCATCGCTTTGATCTACACGATGCATACGTACCACGAGTTAGCAAAGTACACGTCGAATTAGTAAAGATGTAGGCCTTCCCCACGTACATATTTCCAGCCCAACACGAAGTCACACTTGCTGCATTGCACGTCCGATATCGTGTGCATCCCCGTCATGAGGTAGCGGTTTCTCGCTGGGCCAACTCGGACGTTGTACATGTTGTTCATGAGGAAGGCCTTCCCAGTGCGACCAAAGAACGTCTTGGACACGACGTCATCGCGGTCGGCCACCACGTTGCCGCAGTCAGCGCAGCGGAAGGCGTGCATGCCCTCCATGTCGCAGAGTTCACGCGAGAACCCGAAGGCCCTGCTCTCGCTGCAGGAGTGGCGCCAGGTTTCTTCGGCCTGACGCAGCAGCGCGTCGTCGTCGTCGTTATCCTGTTCGTCCGCGACGTCGCCGTCGCTGTCGCTGGGAAGGTCCAGCCGCGGTGCACGGCGCCAGGCGCTGCGGTTCTCGAGGTACTCGACGTGCTTGCATCCGCTGCGGATCACCACGAGAGGCGGCATGGCTCGCGCGACTTCCAGCTTTAGGTGGATATGTTGTTCTCTTCGAAAAGAAGATTTTCTTTTTGGTCAGTATAGTGAATTTCAGTCTAAGGACCAGTGTAGCCACGTCAAGAAAGTGTCTTCCGTCCTTTCAAAGCTCGTCACCGGAGAAGAAACTGGGAATGCCGGAGCAAGGTGAAGCTTTGGGATATCTTCGCCTTCAACACAATAGACATCTGGGGAAATGTAAATATATTGGCGTAAATGCGAGTCCGCGTCGAAGGCAAGGAGAATTTCTTCCGTCATATATCCTACCCTCCTCTTGGCTCTGCTTAGTCGCTTCGGCACTCAAAAGAAGCACGTGTCGAGGCTTCAATGTCTCTTTCTACGTCGAAAGAGCCGACTGCCTCCCTTTTAATCCAGCTTACATCTCCTCCATCAGAGCGTTGAGCACCACCTGCACGTTGCCGTTGCACTGCTCCAGACGGTCAATGACGATGGCCGTCTCCACGCCCGGGAAGATGTCGCGCACCATCGACAGCTCCGCCGACCACTTGAGCTCCTCCTCCGTCACGACGGGCGCAGCGGGGGTCTCCACCACAACGGGCGACTCCTCCACAGCAACAGCAGCAGGGGCCTGCTCCTGCTCCGTCACCTGCTCCCACTCGCTGTCGCTGGTGGCGGCAACAGGAGCCTCAGCGGGCTCCTCCACCGGCACAGCGACGGCCACAGCCTCCGTCTGCTGCTGCACCTCCGGGGCGGGGACGACCTCCGTCTGGGTGGCGGCGGGCATCTTCATGTTCTTGATCTCGCCCACGACCTCCTTGGCGAACTCGCTGATGCCCTCGGCGGCGCACTTGATGCCCTCCGTGGTCTCCTTCATGAGCTGGTCGAAGGGGATCTCCTGGATGCTCTGGCGCGCCGCGTGCAGCGACTCGCGCGCGTCGTGCGCCACCGTCTTGAGCGCCTCGTTCGTGTGGCTGAGGCCCGTCTGCGCCGTCTGCTGCGCCTTCTCGGCCCACTGCTCGTGTTTGACCTTCTCCATGGCCACGTTCAGCGTCTCCACGAGCTTCTCGATGGCCTTGAGGATCGGGTCCGCCACGTTCTCCTGGAAGGCGACGGCCGTGCGGCTCACGGCCTCGAAGCGCAGCGACGCGTCGCCCTCCGCGCCGGCCTGGAACACGCGGCAGGCCTCCTCGTACTCGGCCTGCGACGTCACGTTGAGCACGTCGCCCTCGGCGTCCGTGTACTGCACCACGAAGGCGTGCGGCGCCAGGTTGAACGTCTCGGCGAAGAGCGCGGTCAGCGCTTCCAGCGAGAACGAGGCCAGGTCCACGCGCAGGCGGTGCAGCTCGCCCTTGTAGCTGATCTTGAGCGCGGTCTGCTTGGCGTCCATCGTTTGCTTTGCTGTAGTTGTGGTTGGGGGGGGGTTTCACTGAAGAAGCGTTCTTGTCGCTCTTGCTGCCAGTTGGAAAGTGAAAACGAGGAAAACCCGCCTTTGTTCTCCCAGCGTCTGTTTGAGAAAGTGGCTCGGCCAATCAGAGACGAGTTTGGGAGAGGGGCGGACCGTGGTACAGTGTACCGACGCCACTTTTCAGAAGAAAAGCTCAGGAGCGTTTCTAGAATTTAGGAAGAGGCAGGTTGCGACAACTAGCGGACATGTTTGGGCGCTGGTGGACGACTGCATGTACACACAATATATGTCCTGTGGACCTCACGGTCGAGGATGGCAAAGTCGGAATGCTAGTTGATCGGCAGTGGATATCCTCGCGTTGGACTCAACCAGCTGTCCCAGCCTGCGCGTGGTGTGGTGCACATCTTCAAGCTTCATTTTCCTCGAATCACGTGCCGTTCCATTTCATCCAATCCGCGCGCGTAACGTTTCGGTACAAAACGTACTGCTGTCGTGCAATTGCCACTGCCGCACACTCGAGCCAAGACCCAAGAGCGGGATCTGCCTGCCCTGCAGACGCATTAAATCCCCATGTCGTCCGCGCCGCCGCTGTCCACCACGTCCTCGAGCAGCGCCGGCAACGTGTCGCCGCGCCTCAGCCGCATGAGCTCCTCGACCGGCGCCTTCTCGTCCCAGTCGCTGCAGGGATTCCGCACCGTGTCGCTGCCCGGACTGTTCCCGGGCACGCACCTGGGCATCCTGGCCTCGGGGCTGCTGGACAAGCGCCGCGACGGCGCCGTGCGCGGCGGCTGGGCCAAGCGCCTCTTCATCCTGTCCACGCGCAGCCTGCACTACTACCGCAAGGTGGAGGACACCGAACTCTTCGGCAAGGAGCGCGGCCAGGTGCTGCTGTCCGACATCAGCTACGCCAAGGTCATGATGCCCGAGGAAGCCCCTATTGGCAATGTGGAGCCCGGCCAGACCGCGTACTTCGTGGCCGTGCTATCGGTGCGTCCTATTGAGCTGATTGCAGGGCCGAGAGGAAAGTTGCTGAGACTGTGTTGCTGTCTGTGCAGAAACGGAAGACGCTGCTGCTGTTCCTGCGCGCGGACTCGTTCGAGTACGCCAGCAGCTGGGTTGCCATCATTAACAACGCGGTGCACACAGCCAAGGGAGTCGATTTCGCGCCGAGATGGACTGTGGACACCATGCAGAGCTTCATTGCGGCTGCTTCGGGGTATGTGGTTGAAGTTCTGCTTGCTGTTGAGGGTGTGTGCAATGGTGGCGATATTGACTCCCAACGATTGTGATACAGCAACTTTGAGGAATTGGAGACGGCGCCTACGGCGGAGACTCCGGTTGAAACCACGTTGAGCCTGACAGTAACGGTATGTGTTGGTGGCGAGGAGGTTCGATGTTGCGCATCGACTAAAGTCCCGTGTTGAACGATTCTCGTCTTTCCAGCGCCCGGTACCTACAGTTCTTGTTGTTAGCATGGTCTCGGGGCCTCTCAGTGCAGCGACGACAACCGAGAGATTAGTCAAGCGCAATGTTGATCTGAGCACGGAGCTCCAGCTGGGCGCTTTCGAGCAAAAGGACACGTGCGTTATCGTGCTGAGTGATGGCGAAGAGCTACACATACCGCAGCGATTGCTAGGCGACACGAAAAGCCTTCTTACCAACGTCAAGCAGATCGAGCTGACGACTCCTGCTCGTTGCCAGCCGCTGCGACCACATATCGTATCGATGTCCAAAGTTTCAGGTACGTTTGATCTTACTGTGGGGTTTGTGTTAAGGGATTTCTAACACTGGGGTGGCGTGCAGTTTCATTCCGATGCGTACGAGCCCCGCCTGTTGTACGCGCACGACGAGACTCGGGACCTCAGCCGGTGATATCGTCGCTGCCTTCTACCTTCACAGTCGCGTTTCCTGGTACACTGGGAGGGCTGTTCCTGATAAGCTGTCTGGTGTCGTTCTACTGCGCGACGCCGTTTGTGGGCTTGATGAAGATCACGATCGTGCTCGGATTAATTCTTTCCATCTCTCAGATCGCCCAGTTCGTCATATGGTAAGTCGCAGCTTTATTTAATATTCCGGTGCTGGGTATTGCGGAGCTGACGCTTGTGTCTGTATCGCAGTTTGTCAGGAGCACAGGGCCAAAAGCGTTTGAGTCCCGTTATGTTGCCGGTTGCCGGATCCAAAAACGCAGTGACCGCCGTGGCGAACGAGTACCTATTCTACTTGACTGTTGACAGTATTGAAGTGATAGAAGCGGATCAAGACAAGGAGCCGGCAGTGTCTGAGACTGCATCTCCTGTTTCAGATGTGACTACCGACATGACTACCGAGACTGCGACGCCTGAAAACGCTATCAGTGGAGGCCCGATTGCATTCTCGCCCCGATTCATCGCTGGCGAGAAGGGCGATGTGGAGAAGGGCCGAGCACGATACGAGGCTACCTTGCAATGGCGAAAGGAGAATGACATCGACAACATCTTAGTGACTCCGCACCCGAATTTTGAGATCATCAAGAAGTACTACCCGCAGTACTTCCACGGCAAGACGCGTGACGGCCATCCTGTCTACTACGAGCGACCTGGAAAGATCGATCTGCCGGCACTCAAGCGTGAGGGACTCTCTATTGACGACCTGCTTCGTCACTACATGTACATGACGGAGTACCTCTGGCGAGTGGTGGAGCCGGACGACTCCGGCCGCTCGATTACTGTGCTGGACGTGACTGGCATCGGCATGTACGACCTCGGTGGTGAGGTGCTGGACTTCATCAAGCGCGCGTCCGCATTTACCGGCGCCCACTACCCGGAGCGCAGTGCCCACATTTTCATCATCAACATCCCCGGCTGGTTCAACATGATCTGGCGCATGGTGAAGCCGCTGATTGACCCTGTCACGCGCGAAAAGGTGCGCTTGCAACTGACTGTTGGCTGTTTAGTACTGTATCGAAGGAGAACCAACCAGAGATTTCGATGTGTTGCTTTGCAGGTTCACATGCTGAAGGGAAGCGCTATCTTGAAGGAGCTGGAGACTCTGATCGACATGGAGAACATCCCGTCGGACTTTGGCGGCGGGGGCGCGGCGTTGGGCGACTCGGAGGAAGAGCACGCGCTCGCGGCGCACGTGAAGAAGTATCTGTGAGTAGAGGACGACGACCTGAACTAAAATGAAACAAGGCGAAATGCAACGTCCAGTCAGATGGCTACATCTGAGTAGCGTTACTGCGCGAGCCGGAGCGGACTCGAAAATTAAACACCTCTATTTATTAATTCGATGAACTTGTACCAGAACAATGTAAAGCCCTGTTTTTGATACAAACAAATAGCTGTTGCATCTAGATAGATTTCTTATAATTGATAACGTTCCAATTGTGCAGACAGTAATGGACGTAGGTTCAACGATCGGAGGCACCTGATGGGATGCCAGCTTGGATTGGGCTGATTAGATGCTCCCATGACGCGCGCTTGGTGACGTCTGGCCCCCGCCAGTGAAGCGGCGCCAACCGGTTGCTGCAAGTTGCTGCTCATTCTCCGATCGACCATGTCGCTGACGAAGCTCTTCCTCCGCCGCGCTGCCGCCCCTCGCACCCGCTCGCGCTCCTCGCTGTCGTACGCGACTCGCGCCTTTTCGAGCTCCGCCGATGAGGGTACGTGGGCACACCAACATGGCTACACTGTTGTTGATATGAGTCAAAGCTGACGTGAACGTCAACGTTTCCCATTGCAGTCGAGCCCGAGCCGGTCTCGTTCGAGGACATCAGCACGGCGTCCTACCGCATCCGCGAGGGCATCCAGCAGACCCAGTGCGAGTACTCGCCGCTGCTGTCGCAGCGCATGGGCGTGGAGCTGTTCCTGAAGAAGGACCACCGCCAGATGACCGGCAGCTTCAAGGAGCGCGGCGCGCGCAACGCACTGCTGCAGCTGAGCGACGAGGAGAAGAAGAACGGCGTGGTGGCCGCCTCGGCCGGCAACCACGCGCAGGCGTTGGCCTACCACGGCCAGCTGCTCGGCATCCCCGTGACGTGCGTCATGCCCAAGGTGGCGCCGCTGACCAAGATCGCCCGCTGTCGCGAGCTCGGCGCCCGCGTCGTGCTGCACGGCGAGCACATTCTCGAGGCCCGTGACAAGGCCGAGGAGTTTGTCCGCGATGAGGTGAGGACAAGATGACTGTTGCATTGGTTTTGAGTGACCTGAGAGACTGACAGGGTGCTGCTGCTTACAGAACATGGTGTACATCAACGGATTCGACCGCCCGGAGATCATCGCTGGCGCCGGCACCATGGGCATTGAGATTCTGAACCAGGTGCCGGATGTCGATGCCATCGTTGTGCCTGTGGGTGGAGGTGGCCTCATTGCCGGTGTCGCCCTTGCGGTTAAGACGCTCAGCCCGAAGGTCCAGGTGATTGGTGTCGAGCCCGAGTATTGCTCGAGCTTTTCGGAGGCTCTGAAGGTTGGCCGGCCCGTGAACATGCCGACGCAGCCGACGCTAGCGGATGGTCTTGCTGTGCCTTGCGTCGGTGTGAACGCGTTCGAGATCGCCCGTAACTGCGTCGACAAGGTGGTGACTGTCTCGGAGCGCTCGATTGCTCTGAGTGTGCTGCGTCTCGTCGAGATGGAGAAGGTCGTCGTTGAGGGCGGAGGTGCTTCGTCGCTGGCTGCGCTGATCGACAACAAGCTGCCGGAGCTCAAGGGCAAGCGTGTTGTGCTGCCGCTTACGGGCGGTAACATCGACACCCCTGTGCTCGGCCGTGTCATTGACCGTGGTCTGGCCGCCGATGGACGCCTGGTGCGCTTCGTGGCCACCGTGAGCGACCGTCCCGGTGGTATCGCTCAGCTGACCTGCTTCCTGCGCGACTTCGGCGTGAGCGTGAAGGACATCTACCACGAGCGCGCCTGGGTGCACGCGAGCATCTCGCACGTCGCAGTCAAGTGCGTTGTCGAGACGCAGTCGAGCGAGCACGCGCTTGAGCTCAAGCAGCGTCTGCAGGATCAGGGCTACCCTCTCATCTGGGAAAGTTTTGCCGGTGGCCAGGCCCCCGCTGTCGAGCTCTAAGCTCACGATAGAACTTTTAAGCACTCGTGCGCCATGTAAGTAGAATATCGATGATTTTGTTTATCGCTTTTGTTTTCAATCCTGGGCTCCAACGTCTACGGACTAATGCTAATACCATCAGCATCTACATCTCGGCCAGCTCTCCCAGGTAAATGTTCTTGTCACTGCTGCACGAGCCCACGATGGGTTCTGTGGGGTGGAAGGTGGCTTCGTTCACGCTGCCTGTGTGTCCGGGCAGGTGGTAGCGCAGGTTGCCCGTCTCGGCGTCCCAAATGTACACGTAGCGGTCAGCCGAGCCGCTCGCTACGAAGCGCATGTCCGACGACCAGCCGCAGCGAATGAGCGTGCGGTCGAAGCTGTGCTTGGCGCCCATGAACGTCGTCTTGAGTCGCTCTCCCTTGACGAAGGGCCGGACGTCCCACTTCCTCACCGTCGAGTCCATGGCATTGGACAGCAGGTAGCTGCCGTCGGGACTGAGACTCACTCCGGTGACGATGTCCGCGTGGCCCTGCAGCACCGTGCTCACTTCATCCTTGCGGAGGTCCCAGAGCTTAATGTCCCCATCCAGTCCGCCTGCAATGACCTGCGAGTTGTCGCCGGAGAAGCACACGGCCGTGACCTGGAACTTGTTCTCGAAGGACTTGACGGCGCGCTTGGAACGCACGTCCCAGAGCTTGGTGGTGCAGTCGTCACTGCCGCTCACGATGAGCGTGGGGCCGCTCATCACGGGGCAGCAGCTGTTGACCACGGCCGAGTGGCCCGCGAACTTCTTGACGCGGCTGCCGCTCTCGGCGTCCCAGAGCCCGAGCGTCTTGTCGGCCGAGGCGGACACCACCTGCGCGCTGTCGTACGTCCACTGCACCTCCAGCACGGCGTTCTTGTGGCCGCTCAGCACGTGGTAGTTGCGGCACTCGCCGTACACGTCCCAGAGCAGGATACTGCGGTCGAACGAGGACGACGCCAGGTGCTGGCCCGACGGACTGAACTTTAACGAGTACACGGCCGCGCTGTGGCCCGAGAGCAGCATCGTGGGCGCCAGCAGCCCCGACGTGCGGTCGCCCACGCGCTTGGGCGCCACCACCGACGGGTCCACGGCCACGATCTCCGTCACGCGCGAGCGCTTGGCCAGCTGCGTCTCCCCCGCGGGCGTCAGCGCCGTCGACGCGGCATCCGCCTCCTCCTCGCTCAGCCGCCGCTTGTTGCCTGCCATTTTGAATACCGAAAATGAGCGCAAAAAGACGAGTACATGTTTATTTTGCATCAATCCGTATGATTCGATTTAACGTTTCAACAGATCGCATACGCTTTTTGTCTTCAACTTGTCACTTATTTAGTTAAAGTGACTTTACTGCTGTCCACTGCATGCCTCGGACTCGCTCAGGGCGGGGCACGCTTGACCTCCATAGGCAGGGTACGTGGTAATCTGGCGGATGTGCGTGCGCTGCATGGTCTTCTGGTTGCACCCGGACCAGTCGGACCAGTCCGAGACTTGGCAGTCGACTGGGTCGCACGCCGCCGTCTCGGACGTGGCTCCGCATGCTGCCCCGTTGGTCTGTGGGAACGTCACAACCTGGCGGGTGCGGGTCTTGAGGCCCGTGACAAAGTTGCAGGCAGACCAACTGCTCCAGTCTGAGAGCACGCAGTCCACAACGCACGTCGCCTCTTCAGTGAGCGAGTCACAGGCAGCGCCTCCGTACATCGGCTGTCTCGTGATGCTGCGCGAGCGGGTCTTCTTCAGCGTGGTGGGGTAGCACCCAGACCAGGCACCCCAGTCGCTGAGCTGGCAGGCGACTGCATCACATGAGGCTTCTTCCGATAGTGTTGGACATGCCTGGCCACCGAATAGGTCGTAGATCTTCGGCGTCCGGCTCCGTGTCTTCTTCCCCGTCGCGAAGTTGCAGGACGACCAACTACCCCAGTCGTTCACCTGGCAGTCTTGCTTGGTGCAGTACAGCGTCTCAGTGAGGGCGGGGCACGCAGCGCCGCCGTATTTGACAGGCGTGGTCACCGGACGTGTTCGCTTCTTCGCACCGTCATCAAGGTTGCAATCTCCCCACGCACCCCATTCACCAACGACGCAGTCGATGGGATCGCAGGGTGTGGTATCAGCCAAAGCTCCACACGCGACTCCGCCGAAGTTGCTGGGGGTCACTACCGTCCGAGTCCGTGTCTTCAGGCCAGTGGCTTCGTTGCAGGTGCTCCAAGCGGTGTACTCGCTCATGACGCAGTCCACGGCGGTGCAGTAGGCGACGTCGGTGAGTGTTGGGCACGCGACGCCACCATACAGAGGAGCCGTCGTTATCTTCCGCGTGCGCGTCTTGGCGCCTGTGGCTGGATCGCACTCGGACCAGGACCCATACTCGCCTACGACGCAGTCGACCTTGGGGCACCACTGCGTTTGAACGAGATCCGGGCACGCCGCACCTCCGTCGTAGGGGTACACGAGGACATCGCGCGTGGAGATCTGCTTGCCGTCGAGTGCTGCACACGCGCTCCAGTCGCTCCATCTTGAGACGTAGCAGTCCACAGGCTTGCACGCGATTGTTTCCTCCATAACACCGCAGGGGGTTCCGCCGTAAAGAGCGTCCTTCACTATCGTTCGGGTACGCTTCTTGTAGCCGCCGCTGCATGTCGAGTAGTCGGACCACGCACTCAGCTCGCAGGGAACGGGCTTGCAGGCGACGTACTCGATGAGCACGGGGCACGCTCGCCCCCAGCCAGACTGCGCCTTCACGATGGTGCGGGTGCGGTACTGCTTCATGGTCGAGGTATCACAAGCCGAGTACGCACTCCAGTCGCTTACGACACAGTCCACATTGGCTGCCGTAGCGATGTCCAGCTGGATCCAAACGCACACGCACAGAAGTGCCACCGCCGTGGGGCTTCGAGGTAGCCGGCTTCGCTTTTCTAGCATTGCTGCCATGTTTGAGATGATCTTCGATCAAGGCCTTAGGCCTAAAGGCCGATTGCCGCTCCTTTCTTGGTCTTCGCTCTGGTTGACGCTTTTCAGTTGTGAGAGATGCAAAGCTGCGGCAAAAGCTAATAACGTCCTCATCCCTATCTAGTGCACGCTGCACGCTGTAGGGATCTAGAGATTCCCAGACAGAGAGGGAGAAGAAGGTAAGACCAACGGGACGAGAACCGGAGAGCTCACAATAGCATTTCTTGAATGAAACGGGATCTGTATTGAAGTTGCCTTGGCCGCAGATAAGGCACCGAAGCTGGTCAAGAGTAATAGTCCGTCTCTAATGCTGCCCCCTAGCAAAGATCTACCGCCTTCCGGCGCTGCCCGCACTTCCATCACCCGCCGATCCTGAAGTGGAGCCAAAGGATGAGCATGGCGCTGACCTCTTGAGCTCAGGACACTCTGCTCCGCCGTCGTGCGGGTGCACGAGGATGGTGCGAGTGGACACCCGCGTACCGTCAGTCAGGCACTCGCTCCAGTCCCCCCACCGCGAGACGTAGCAGTCCACGCTGGTGCACTTGATGTCCTCGGACAGAGGCTTGCACTTAGCGCCGCCGTACTTGGCCTCCTGGACGACAGTACGCGTTCGAGTCTTGTAGCCGTCAGCGTTGCAGCTGCTGTACTCGCCCCAGGGACTGACCTCGCAGTTCATGGGCACGCATGTGATGGTGTCCACGAGCCCGGGGCACGTGCGGCCCCAGCCTTCCGACTTGCGCTCCACTGTCCGCGTACGCGTCTGCTTCATGTTGAGCTCGTCGCAGCTCGAGTACTCGCTCCACTCGGACACCACGCAGTCGACATTCGCCGCCAGCACTTGAGACACTTGCAGCGAGCCGAGCACCACCGCAACGATGCCGATGCTCTTCATGCCTTCAGTTGATAACCTCGAAGCCTGCCAGTTCCGAAATAAAAGCCATGAGCGCCATGCTCGAGCAGCGTCTCCGCTAAACTTAGCTGCCAAGGGCGTATGTATGAAGCCATTTCTTCAAAAAGTATCAAGGATACTTTAAGTATCAAGGATACTTTTTGAAGAAATGGCTTCATACATACGCTTCGGTGCTGCAAACCGGGACGCTGAGCAAGGATGACTGCTACGCGGTCACCGTGAAGTTTGAATGTTCTCCTCGTGTCGTCAAGGACCGCTTTGACAAACGAGGCTCGCCGCGCAAGAAGAGGGGCCGTCCGCGCCCCAACATCGGCGAGCTAGCGGACAAGCTCACCGAGGCTACGGCCGGCAATCCCGTCATCCTAAGAATCAATCAGAGCGTCGCTGTCCGACCGTAGATCACATGAATTCCTATTGGCTGAAATTGCTGCCGAGCGCAGCGAAGGCGGCCCCGTCGCCGAAGCGACCCCCTCATACGATATTGCGGGACCGCAGGGACCGCCCAACCTCTGTAGTAGTAACTTAACATTGAGAGTAGTGCAGCGAGCCGACGAGGCGAGCGGAACGGGTCCGCCACTGCCGTAGCGAAGTGTAGGCATCCTGCTCCAATTGCGGGGCGAGCATAGCGAGTGAAGCGTCAACTAGCTAAAATTCCCCGCCGCGTAGCGGCGGCGCTCGGCTAGTCGAGTGCAACTTCGCGGATATCGCTCACACGGTGAAGATGAAACCCCGTACGTACCGCCGATACCACGACGAGGTCATGCTGGAGCTGATGCTGCGCAACGCGCCCGCCAAAGGCACTTGGGGCCGCACGGTCTTGCTACTCAAGCTTCTGATGCAGCTTATTGACGGCACGACCGACTCCATGTTCATCTAGGACTCTACTTCAGCCACATGGAGATAGCGCGGCGCATCGTGGCCGCCAAGGACAAGCGCAGTCTTCGAATTGTCATATACGCGGATAAAAAGACGATGTGGAACGAGGATTGCCACGACGTGTACGCGTACTTACTGGAGAACAACGTCGAAGTCTACGTCTCTCTCGATTCTGCGATGGAGCACTCAAAGATGTGGATTTTGGATGGTCGCATCATAATCGAGGGCTCCTTCAACATCTCGGTCGCAGCTCTAGGTGTTAAGGAGGATCGAAAGCCCAAGATGTTACGATCCAGGTCCGGTCGATCCGGTGTGCGCGCTTCCTCGAGGACCTTGCCGCTCGATTCTTGCCGCACCCGCCACCGATAAGGAAGACAGGAGTAGCCAAGTAGTGTAAATGCACAAATACACAACTTGTTTCCTTTTACTCACTCTGCCTTCGCCCTCTTGCGCTTGACCTTGCCGAATTGAGACTGAGCTCCTACTTGCCCAATGCACTGTGGCTGCAGCTACTCTGCCAACCACTCGAACTACTTCAACACCTGTCTCCTGCTGTCCTCCTCCCACGTCCTCGTCGCTCCTTCCTTCGCCTTCTTCCAGGGCGGTGTCCGCACTTTCGCTCCTGCGACGCCTCCTCCGATGCACCAACGCACCACCGCGCGCGCCAACGGCTGCAACCGGAGGCGATTCATAACACAAGAACAACGAGAGCTGCACGGTAACCACCGATAGAGCGCTAGCTAAAGCGAATGTCAAGTCGATTGAAGCTGCCTGTCGCGCAGATAAGCAGGTGAAGGTTGTGAAGCCTGTTCAGGGAGGCTTCACGACGAGCAGGGATTGGTGAATTCATTCGTCGTTGAGTGAGAGTCTACAACTATACGAATCCAACCATCAAAAAGCATGCTGTGGACATGCTGTCTTCCCATTGGTTGAACAACTGTATTTTTAGCGATGTCCAAGTATTGTGGAAACCGATTATATTGTATAAATCGGTTGATTAAGCAGATGATTAAGCTTAATCGAGTCGGATTTAGCAAATCCGACCTCCTAATTAGATCGACAGCCTACGATTTGTACTCTGATTTGACAGAGCAGTCTGTTGTGGAGACGTTCACCGTGGGCGACCGTGTATTGCCTTCTACGACTGGTATTCAAACTGCTGCGGTTACGAATCTGGGCGCGAACAAGTTCGCACCAAGATTTATTGGACCATTCAAGGTTACGAAGGTATTGGGCGATGCTTATACTCTTCAACTACCGTCTGCTATCCGCCTACATTCCACCTTCTACGTCGGTCGACTCCGACGTTATCACTCCGCAGTCATCCCCAGCGACGCTGGTTCCAGCCGTCCGCACGGTCCCGTCGACCACGGTGCTTCGGCGGATCATGCGCCGCCCCAATCAGCTCGCCCCGCAGCGCAACCATCTTGCACTCCAGCCGCAGCAGCTGGTCCCAACGCTGCTGCTGTTCCTCCGCCTGGCCTCGCCGCCAACTCCCGTGTTGCTGTCGATCCGGTTCGTGATGCTGCTGCTGCCGCGCAGCAGCGCGCCGACGTCGCTGCTCCTCCTCCGCGTCCTGCCGACGGTCACGCTGCACGGTTTCCGCGTGACGGCCCCGCGCCTCTTGTGGATAGCGCGGGTAACGCTCGGCATATCGTGGAGGCGATCTTGAAGCACGACGATCATCGTGCTGCTCCACGCGTTGCTCTTCCGCATCGCGGCGCTCGCGGCCGCGATTCCCACGTCCCCATGCACGGCCAATATCTTGTGCGTTGGCTGGGTCAAATGTCGGATAGTTGGGAGCCACGCGAGGTCCTGTTGGAAGACGTGCCAGACTGCGTGGCGGCGTACGAGGCAACCCTTGGAGGGGTGGCAAGTCTTCGACGTGGCGCAGCCGTCCGCCGCGCCTAGCGTTATCAACAGCCTTACGATATCGAGCGATCAAGCCTTCTTCGGGTACAGTCAACGGGTTTGCAGCTAGAAGACGCCCCCACGCAGGTTCGTCAGGTCGCGGGCGATTATACCCATGACACTCTGCACATTTGCGAACGTAGTGGACGAAGCAGCAATCGTGGTCGTTGTCATACGACGCGTCACGGACTTGCTTCGCCAGCGCGCTCACGGAGCGCGCTCGATGCTGCTCTTCACGAGGCTCCAGTCCTCGAAGGAACACGGCGATTTGCATGCTAATCAGCCCGAATGTCCGACACCCACTCGGCATTCGGCGGCCGATTTAAAGTAAAACCGACAAACGCTAATGCTGACGAGAAATGACAGCGCAAATACATGACTTCACAACTTGATAAATAGATAGCAGTACAGTACATATCGACTGCTCACAGAAGCGTATTTAATGCACGCGATGCTATTCCTCGTTAGTAGGTGCGCGAAACATTAGCTCGTGGCGGTAAGTGGTCGTTTCTCGCATTGCAGGCGGTAATGAGGCAACCCCTATTTTATTAACCTTACACGGATTTATACCCTTACCGATGCCATATGAAATCATAGGAATCCTCGATTTACTACTAGTCAAATCCCTCATGAACGCTGCTTTATCAGCTAATCGGCTCGGACAATCTAATCGGTTTCCACAATAAAATAAGCATTCCCGCTATTGGTCCGAGCACCGTAGCGAGCACCATGGTGCACGAGGAAGTGGTGATCGACGGCGACTCGACGGAGGACGACGAGGAGGTGCGCATCATCACGCCGCAGTCGCGCAAGCGGCGACGCCGCTCCAACGTCATGATCGACCACGACGAGGAAGGAGAGGTGGAGGCGGAGGAAGGAGAAGAAGAACACAAGCAAGAAGAGGAGAAGAATCAGGAGATGGAGGCACCTTCCGCTGCCCCGCGGCGCCAGCAACAGCTGCTTCTGGGCAAGGACGGCGTCTCCTCGCAGCCCATGACGCTGCGCACGCCGACGCCGACGCGTCGCTCGCGTCGCAACCTGCAGCAGCTCTCGATCTCGGCGGCTGTGGCTCGTGGCGAGCGCGGACGCCAGCAAGAATCTGCTGGCAAGGAAGAAGTAGCTGTAGGAGAGGAGGGAGAAGAAGAAGACGATGACGACGATGAGGTCTGCATCATTCAGCCGCCGTCCGCGGACTCTGTCAGGAGCAGAGGCAGTAGTGGACGCAAGAGCCGACAAATCGAGGACAGCGACGAGGAGCTTGAGCCCTCGCAGAAGGAACAAGACGTGGAGATGGAGGAGAAGGAGGATGAAGACGAAGACGAGGAGGTGCAGGTGCAAGAAACGTCGTCGGCCTCGAGACGCAGCTCGAGGATCGAACACAAGCGCAAGGAGAAGGAGGCGCAGCACTCCATCGCTCGCAAGCTGGACTACCCTATGCTGGACAATTGTCTGGACAATCTGCAGACCTTTGGCCCGCATTATCAGGGAGGTGAAGGTGATGACGACAACGATGAAGATTACCAGGACTCGGAGATGGAGGAGGCTCCACCCCCTCCCAAGAAGAAGCGACGATCTTTGCCGCGAGAAGGAGAGCGGGATAACCGCGAGAAGGTTTACGCGGATGGAGGAGAGGATGTGGACGACTTCATTTGCGACGATGATGAGATCGAGTACATGGATGACGACGAGGAGGGCGTCATTAGTGTGGAGTCGTCGGACGATGAAATCGGAGCTGACGATCCTGAAGAGTTGACTGCCATGCTGTCAGCAGGGCGATCGCGTGAGATACACGAATGGTTCACTATTTATCTGGAGTATCTGGAGGAGTGCATTCTTGACCCCGAGTTCGAGAGGAAAATGCACCGCAAGCGATCCAAGGCCAAGTACCAGCTTTACGAACAGGCTGTCAATCGTGTAAGTCTATTCTCTTTATCTATGCAACCATACACGTGCGGATAGTGGTTAATTGACCGTGTGTACGATATTTAGATTGAGCGCAAACTCTGTTCGTGCCGCGACACGGTCCGTTCTGGTGTCGCATGGCCGGAGGAAATGGTTGATGCACTGAAGTTTGCATCGCAATATCGTTCAGGCCACGTCTCCGCAGAACAGGATTGCGACGCCTGCAACCGTCGACAACATTTGGCTACCTATCACGTTGAGCTTGCAGGTGCTGCCTGCGACGCAACTAGGTTGTATGGCAACAACTGGATGCATCAGTACGTTATGAAGTTGTGGTGAATATGGCGGTACTGGATGCTAACTTCGATGTATACAATGCTAGTTTGAAGGAAGCGGCAAAGGAGGCAGAACCTGTTCACAACTCGTTCGAAATGGGCAACGTGTGCCACGCCGTAAGATTTCACGTTGCCATATCCATTAGTATCGTGTGGGTAACTGCATCTAACATTTGTCTTTGTCTGTCGACTATCTAACCCCATTTAGCGCACATTGGCCTACTGGGAACTATTGCACGCCAAACAATTTTGGTCCGTTTTAGTAGATGCTAAGCTGAAGGAGTGTGCTGATGATAGGACGGGACGGATCGCTGAGCAATATCGAGACGATTTCTTCAAGAAGGAGTTTGGACGCTTTAAAAAGCTCGTTGAGCTGGTGGAAAAGTTTGCCGATGACTCCAAGCGAATCGCGATATACATGCCGAACGTGTGGAAAAGGATCACACCGCGCAACGTGAAGAGCGATTTCCTCCCCCTTCCATCGCGAGCCGCAGCACGTTCGGATCCAGAACCCCGACGGGGCACGCTCGATGCATTTGTTGCCGAGAGCGAAGAGGAGGAATCCGAGGACGAAGAAGCTGTAATGGAGCAGATCGAGGAAAACAAACGAGCTGCTACAAGGGGCAGCAACGATGACGACCAGGCCACGGACGATGAGGAGGAAGCTAACGTGGTGGACGTGAGCTCACCACGCCAGACACCTCGCTCCGAAAGCAAGAAGGAGCAGAAGCTTCAGCATGCAGTTGACGAAGACAAAGAAGACGAAGACCAGCAATTCAAGGACGTCAAGGATGCCAAGAAAGTGAAGGAAGTCCAAGAGATCAAGGACGAAAAATCAGACTCCGAGAAGGATATCGACGACCTTATGTGTTTGGTGTGCGATTCAAGCTCGCGCAACGCTGGTGTAGTCCACGGTTTATACCTTCACATGTATTGCTGCTATGCGTGTGCTAAGCGCCAGCATCGGATGAAACGTGGTTGCATGGTGTGCAACCGTCCTATCGACCGCGTGCTTCGACTGCTTCCTCTCACGCTAGACGCACGGAAGGCTATTCGAAACCAGCAGAAGAAGTCGTAAATGGTACACCAATAATGCCCAGATAAGCTGCCGTGGCCAATTAAGTGGAAATGTGTATTCGGATACCAGCGTGCTCTAAGTGCTGGCTATTTCAACGCTCTTTCCGTTCGCATCTTGTTCCTCTCGTTTTGTGTCGTAGTCGAATAGGTAAAGTACCTTGTTCCGGCCTGCAAACGGGAGGAACGCACGTTGAACTGACGGGTGCTTTTCCAGTAGATACCGCACGAAGGTCTCGTATGTGTCGACAGGGGTGCCGTCACGGCATTTCCGATCCGGAAACACTCGGCTCATGACGCAGCAAGGCACAATGGCGAACGGTTTGCCCAACGTCAAAGCTGCGTCGACGATGGCCTCGGTGGCTTCGTCAGGGTGCATGCCAACAAGCACAGAACAGTCTGCGAACAGCTCAGTGTGTAGCTTGAGTGTTTCAGCATCCAGACAGCGGAGAAGCTGAGGGCTCATTTTGCGACCTTTGACGGCTTCTGCTTTCGCAACAAGCTTCCGGTTGTATTTTCCAAGCTTCATTGGCCTCTGCAGGACACATAAAGACAAGGTGGTCAGTTAAGCAAACGTACAGCGTTGCTGATCTCTAAGGTACGTACCGGGTCGATCAGTGTTGTCGGGATGCCTCTCTGAATCCAGAGCTGGATAGGAATGTCGCCTTTGCCACCAGCAACATCGATCACCCCCGTTCCACGAGCAAGGCGCTCCTCACCTAACGATTCCACAAGCCAGTCGCAGAAGATGCGGCTGCGTTGCGCCTTGTCGATTTTGGAGTGAGGGTCACCGCTGTCACCAGCGAGATGCGCAGCTTTTGCGCGCTGCTCGAGCCGCTTCGCCATCCAGCGACGTCGGTTCTCTTTGAAGTCTTCTGGCCGTCCGTGCCAGAAGTGGCACTGCTCTCCGCGCAGGCAATTGGCGCCACCAGACGACGAGAAATAGTACTTGCACGCGTTGAAGCCGTCCAGTACGACCATGTTGGTGTACTTGTTCGTCGCGCCCGCCTTCGACGACGGTGGCAACACCCACGAGCCCTTCACGGCAGCCGACGCTGCTGCTTCAGTGGATGATGCTGCGCCCGAATCCGTGTAGCTGAAGACTGTGCCTTCGTGGTGCAGACTCCAGAGCTCGTCCACACGAATCGTATGCAGCACAAACAACCAGCCGTCCGGGTGCCCTGGTTCATGGCGTTTGCGCTGCAGCACGCCGTGTGCCGTCACCAGGTCACCGAGATGCACGTCCCAGTTGATCTGGCGGATGGCCGCCACGTCCAGCACGCCTTCCTGCGCGCGTATCATGACCTCCAGCAGCTCTGAAAACAATGTAGCATTAACCGTTAGACCAGCTCGCGACCACCACTGCAATTGATTCCTGTGGCGGTGTCCTCGACACCCGGAGCTTATTGGGTCATCCCTGCAGTATCTATAGCTTACGAGTTTATCTATATCTATTAACCACGACTCTGTAATCGTCGAATATCACTGGAAGACGACGCAGTCGATACTTGTTCTCGTTGCAACCCCGCACAAGAGTCAATGCGATAACTAATAGTCTCACCTCCATCTTGTAGCTGGATGTCGCCGAACACGAGTCCTTTGCTGCAGCAAAATACGCAAGCGGATATGAGAATGACAATGGCTGGACTATTGGATTGGACGTAAGCTTACGACAAGTTGCGCTTGCGAACGAAGCGCCCATGCACAGAGACTTTGGTGTCGCTGCTGCTGTCCTCGTTGGCAGCGTCGAGCGGCGGAAGGTCCCGCAGCGACTCCACGCGCAGCCCAGTCATTTTGTTGGGCTGACGTACTAATGGAGATGTACCCATGTCAACATTTGGGTGTGGACTACACAAGTCTCATAATTTGTGTGGCGCACATCATCCGGAAGTTGTCTTGACATGAGAGATGAGTGAAGACATGTGAAGCATAATGGCCTGGGCGTGGCGCTCGCACAGCTCCAGACGCGGCAGCAAGAGAGCCCGGGAGCAATTACCACAACAGCAGTTGCAGGTCGTCATCCTGCTCGTTTGCGGATCCCGTTGCCGCGCTTAGTCAAAGCTCGGCGGCCACACGTTTCGTGAAACTTGACCACCGTCTGTGCTGCCGAGGGAGCAGAGTCAAACGACCGGAAAGGCGCTCGCAAAGGCTGCAGAGACCATGTTGCGCCGAACCTTGTAACTTTCAACGCCAAGCTGCTGAGCTGCTCGCTACTATAATCCAGTCCGCCCGTGTCCAGCACAACGCGTGGTTGAACTCGAGTCAAACCAAACAGCGTGTCGACGCGGGGGATCGGTCGGGAGCCCCCTGGATGGATGGATACGCTTTTCCTCGACGCGACAAGAGAATCCGGCCGAATAATTCATTATCGTGCCCTCCAACGCCCATGAGACCAGCCAGCGCCTTATCCTGCGGGTGAATATTCGCGCACTGCCTGCCGGCACGGTGGACAGCAATAATGGTCGGCGCGACTGTTGAAGCGGAGACCGACCAATCGCCGCGCAGCAATGGGTCTACCGACCCCGGACGTGCGACATGACCCGCCCCAAATCGCACAAAAGTTACCACCGACCGCTCTTTACATACAAATCGCTGCATCCGCTGTGTCCTACGCCCCCAGAAGAGATTCAGCTTGTCCAAACCCTCGCTGCTGCTGCTGCTGGCGCTTCCCCTCCCGCAGGCTATTGCGGCTTTCAGACGCGAGCGAGGAAGGAAAGGAGCCGAGCCACGGCCGACGCCCACCGACGCCTCCAGCGAGACCGCAGCGCAGCGCACGCAGCCACCGCGACACCCGCCAGCGCACGCGGCAGACGAAGAGCAGCTCAGCGAGGTGCCGCTCGCCCCTAACGGACGCGAGGAGCCGGCGCTAGAGCGCGAAACCCACAGCACAGAGCCCTCAGCATGATGCAGACGCAGCCGCTGCCCACGTGCGACGAGTACGACCCGCTGGACGCGCACCTGGACGAGCTGGAGGAGCCAGGCACCAACTTCCTGCAGGGTACGGATGGGTCTGTTTAATTTTGTATCGATGGGGTTTTCTTATTTGATATTGACATTTCCCGTGTGTTGGTGGGTTTTTAGATTTTATCGTGGCGCCGCAGCCTATGCAGAACGACACGCCGCTGTCAAACGGATACACGTCGGAGGAGTCGGACTACTCGGTGGTGACCCCGTCCGATGAGCAGAACTACCAGGACATGTCGTTCCTGCAGGCCACCAACACCAGCGAGCTCGTGGACGTCGTGGGCGACCTCAGCCCGGGCAACCTGACGACGGTCGCGCCGCCGCCGCAGCAGCAGAAGCAGAAGTTTGCGGGCAAGGTCATCAAGGGCAAGGTGCGGACCTCTCTCTTCCCTCTTGTTCTCAGCTTTCAGTTGAAGCTGGCAGCTCTGCTATTGGTGCAGAGTTCCTAGTTACGTGGTTCTTTGTCATTGTCGTCTGACGCGCGCGCCTTTTTGTTGTGACAATTTGTGCTCTCTAATAGACCTCCAAGTACCGGGGCGTGACGCAGACCAGCAAGACCTCGTGGGGCGCCAAGTACAGCGCCAAACGCATCACCAACACGTGCAAGACGCCCGAGGAGGCCGCCCATGCCTATGACGACTACCTGAAGGCCAACTACCCGCAGAAGTTCGCCAAGTTTGCCAATTTCTGCGACAAGTGCCACAAGTTTGTAAACCCGCTTGGATTGCCTCAGTTCCAGAGCGAGTGTGAGTGTGCAGCCAGCTCGCCGACAGGATCTTCCACGCCGGGACCGTCGTCGGTGTCTCCCAAGAAGGAGATTTTCAACAGACAGCAGATCACAACCCCCACAGCTGCGACGTTGTCGTTGGTGCCACCAACGGCCCCGTCGCCGGGTGGAGGACCCTCAGTAGTGTCGTCCAATGCGCTCAACATGATGGGAGCCTCCAACCACAGCTTGGATCTGAACCCCGCTGATGAGGAAAACGCGACCTTCCTCAGTCGTCGCTCGAGCAATTTGTCAGTGGGCTCGCTAAAGTTTAGCTTTTCGGAGGACACGGAACAGTTCTTTGCGGAATCCTTCAACGACGTGGCCAAGATGGCCTCGGACCGCGGCGGTGCTGCTCTTGTTGATGAGCAGCAGCAACAGCAGGATCAAAAGCGCGACAGCTTACCTATCGCGGTTATCAGTTCGGCTGTGGACTCGTTCACGCAGGAGGACAATCTGGACCAGATCATTAAGGACATCAACCGCTCGTCGTCTTCGCATTCGCTGCTGAAGGGTGTCACCGCCGAGGAACGCATGGATAATGGCAGCATGGGAAGCTTTACTGCCACTGGAAGCAGCAGTGGTAGTGGAAAGATGAGCGAACTGGCAGCCATGAACAACCTTGCTGGTGTTCAAATCGAGCCCACGACGGCCAATTCGTTGGACTTCGATGTGGACGAGCTTGACGAGCTGACAAAATACTTCCTCTCGGAGAACGATGCTGCGGCCGTCGTGCAGCGGGAAATGGCGTTGAACCCTGGCCTTATGCAACAGAACCCCGCTATGATGGGAGTCCAGAACCACCAGTTCAAGAAGATTCACAGCCTCGACTTTGATTCCGAGAACGCTATGACTGGCAGCTCGCGTGGTGGCATTGGCATGAACGACGTGAAGATGGAAGAAACGGAAATGATGAACCCGTTCATGATTCCACCAGCAGCCACCAACGCTGCCATGCTGATGCCGCCGGGATCGCCTCCGCCGGCGATAATTGAAATCCAGACTCGCTTCCTGGAAAAATACTGGCGCAACGACCGCAAAAACATCCAGTGCTTCCCGTATTGCCCCGAACATGGTGACTACTACCGCGTGCGCATTGAAAATCTTCAGCATCGGTGTAAGGGCGTCTGTCGCGCTGCGGTGAAAGCTCACGTGTCGATCCCGGCCCCTGCCGGCGCTTCCGTTGTGCAGCCTGGTCTACTCGTACTGGCACGTTGCAACAGCACCTTCTCGCGCAACATGACGCTGTCAGAGCAGCAATCATTGAACCTTACTGAGATGAAGTCTCTGCAGGGCGTGAGTGCGGTTGGTGTTATCGACAACTTTGCTCCACTGAGCAATGGCGCGCAAGGTGTGCAATTCGATGTTACGTTCCACCCAGATGTGTGGAAATTCGAGTTCGATTTACCCAAGAAGCGGCGTCACGTGCAGAGCTCGAGCCCGGCGGTGTCGTCCCACGGGACTGATGGCGATGCTAACGACCCGCTGGCAGCCGAGTTTTTGTACTTCTTCGAGATCGACGTGTTCTACACGCGTGAAAAGACAACATTTGAGCGACTGGGTCACACGGAGTCAATCAACTTTCAAATTGGCAACACACGGACCCTACTGCGGCAGCGCAACAAGATGGTCGAAGAGTTTAACAGCAGCGGTGGACCGCAAGCACACGCGACCCAGAATGACAACGACAAGCTTGTGGATGCGGACGAAATGCCTGAAAAGAAGAAGGTCAGGGTGAACCTGAATCAACAGGAATTCCGGTCTGGAACGTCGCTAGGCGAGGATAGCGTTCTCAGCAGTCGAGGCATGACTGGACGCAAGTTGTCTCTGGGCTACATCACGGGCGAAGGCATTTCGTCATCGTCCAAGCGGAATCTGCTTCAAGACAAAGCAGCTGCGTTGGATGTCGACGGGTACTTCAGGGCAGATTCGAAGGACTCGCTGTTCGATCACGAAGCTGGCACGTCCGACTTGCCTGAAGTCAAGGCCGACGTGTGGAAAGATGCTGACGATGGCACTGAAGATTTGCAGCAGACTGCTACGTCTGACTATCGATCGTACGTGTCGCCGAAGCAGAAGAGCGGAAATGTGCAGATTGCTGACTCACCTGTCGCAACAGCCATCCCGATCAAGCCCAGCACGAACGCTCGCGCCGCAATTCCGACGTCATCAACGAACGAATCGTACAGCCTTCCAAAGCTCTTGGGATACTCGTTCGCCTGCGTGCCGCTCTCGGTGCTTTTCATTCCTGTGGGCATTTTGCTGTTGCTCGGGTTCTTGGTGGTGCCCCCAGCTGCTTCTGGAATCGTCAGTGCGCTGGACGCGCTGTCGGACATGGAGCTGTCTCGCGCCAACAGCAGTTGCATATCCCGGGACCAACGTCTTGTTTTGAATCGTCTTGCGGAAGAGAAGGTGGATTCCAACGGCAAGCCGAAGGGTGGTTTGTTCCGCTATCACGGAAACGGCGAAGTGTGGGGCCGGATCTTTTACTTCAGTGGTGCGAAGTTCGTGGTCTCCATGGTTTCTTTGATCCCGACGTTTGTGCTGGCGTTGTTCGCTGGACTTCTCTACCCGATTCGTCCAGCGTCTGCTGCTGTGGCTAACGCCGCTTGCAGCTGTGCACTCTGGTCACGCGAGTTCACTCGCGAATCAACAGGCAAGCCTCTCACGGGCGGCACGCAGTATGACGAAGTGGGTGGACTTGTATAAGCGAGCGGTGGATGATCATTGTATTCAGAGCAGAAAAAATCTCCGCCTCGGGTAATTTAGCGGACCGAGCGCAACAGGTAGCTAGCTATTGTGGCGGCGCGTTCGAAGCGTCTACTCTTATCTTGGTTTTGAGGTCACGATCTATGTAATTTAATTTCGCATTTTGACTTTGTTTTCTTTTTCTTCTCACTCTTCGGACAACAAGCACCAAACACGTACAGAGGACAAGTAGTGCAAAGAGAGGAATAAGGGAAGCCAGCGTAAACCAAAACAAAGACAGACCTGAATTTAGTTTTCTGCTACGAGCGTGGACACTCCGTAGGCGCCTTGTCCTTGGTCTGTGGCATGAGACTTTTCTCCTCGAGAGGTTCGTTGAGGACGCCGTGCAGAGTGTGTCCAGTCTTGCAAAGAGCTTGCGGGTGCTAGTTGCTGAGTTTACTTGGAGCGGAATTCCTCGCCACCCGTAACCATGTCAAACTGACTGGCGAAATCGTCTATCGACATCTTATTGGCGTCATCCTCCTCGTCATCGAATACCCAGGTCGTGCCTGGAACGTACTTGGACCCCTCCGCTTCCGATCCAGGCGGGCCCTTCGTTCCCTTTGCGTAAAGCGGCCCCGCACTACACAACGCCACATGAGCGCGGATTAGCTGAAATGGCGACGAAAACTGTTCAAGATTTACTGCTTACCCGGGGAGGGCGTCTGCGATGCCGGCAGTCATGCAGCTCTCGCCAATGTCTTCGATGTTGGTAAGCAGGTTCCGGGCGAGGTAGACCGTATCCCCCGCCTTCTTGAAGAAGCTGTGCTTCAGCAGCGCCGACGTGCCAGGACTATATACCACAAAGTACCAGATCAGCTACCAGCCTTATTGAATACACGATGAAATCGTCAGCTTACCGCTTCGACGGGTCCTTCTGCAAACAGAGCTTGACCACATCCTTGAAGTGGCGTCCGAACTGGTGGCCACTTCCATCGTCCTACAGAAATCCACCACAAAACGTCAGCACAAAGCCACTTGTTGTCCATTTTCTCTTCTAAGCGACGTACATCGTAAGTGCGAAGCGACGGTGGGTCCTCCTGCAGCGTGAGCAGCAGCACCTTCATGGGCTGGAAGCGCGCGTAGGGCGCGTAGCCCTTAGCCAGCTCCAGCGCTGTGATGCCCAGCGACCAGATGTCGGCCTTGTAGTCGTAGCCGCGCACCTGCTCCATGACCTCGGGCGCCATCCAGCAGGGCGTGCCCACGAACGTCTGGCGGTTCTTCCGACGGTCTCCCCCCTCCATCATCCAGCCGGAGACGCCAAAGTCGGCGATCACCACGTGACCCTCGCTGTCCAGCAGGATGTTACCGGCCTTGATGTCTCGGTGGATCTGGCCGTTCTCGTGGAAGTACTGCAGCCCCTTGAGCGTCTCGTGCAGGATGACAGCCACGAACTCCTCCTTGAGCCCCTCTCCCAGCCCCTTCTTCTTGAGCAGGTTCATCACGTGCAGACACGAGCCCTTGTTCATGAGCTGCGTGACCAGCCACAGTTGGTCCTTATGCACGAAGCTGCAGTAGCACTTGAGGACGTTCGGGTGGTTGGTCATCTTCATGGTCTGCACCTCAGCCTACGGTAGTTATCCGGATACGTGAACAATTAAAGGTTAGAGAGAGAAGGTGGTGTTAACACCGGTTAGGCTAGTGCTAACCCCGCCAGAGAAGGTTAACACTAGCCTAACCTGCAAAAAAATGTTTTTCTCGGAATGGATGTGATACGTACGCGGATGTCCTCGAAGCTGGTGGTGATCTTCTCCAGGTCCATGATCTTAATGGCTACGTGGATCTTCTTGGGCACGCAGTACGCCTTCCATACTTTGGCAAAGGCGCCCTATTGATGCAACACACAATGATCCGACACTCGGTTAGCACTACCCTAAACGGCCAGCCAGCCTTGTCCCAACATAGCGCCGGCGCGCTGACGTGGCGCTCTCACTGGACATGTACGCACCTGGCCGATCTGCTCGATGATCTGGTACTCGGAGGCAACGGTGGGCCACTCGTCCGCCATGGTGCTCACTCGCTGTGGTGGGGAAGTGAGGTAGGTGGTGGATACTTTCCTGCTGCTGGCCCAGTCAGCAAAGCGAAGCGGCAAAGGCGGCGGAGGTTTCGAGGCAGCAGCCTGGAGGGTTCGGGTGCCACAGAGCCAATACTCAGCGCCTGAGGTTTCTCCGCCTGAATGCTGGTCCACAATGCAGCGCGCGGATTGGCTGAATTGCGAGAGGCAGATAGTGGTGTGGACCACACCAGCAACAGCTGTGAAATTGCGCCAGGCTTTTCAAAAATTTTGAACTTCGCGCGCGATCTGCTTGGGGCTGTCGTGTTGAAGTTGGTCGAGCTGTTGCCGTTCGTTGGGCTTTGGCAACGTCGTTGTCGGTCTACAAGCGGTATCTGCTAGCACACTCGTTGACGGCACTGCTGACAGTGCTTTCATGCGTATGCATCGTATCATTCTGAATGATACGATGAATGATTCATTCACAAGACGTTGCCAAACGCAGAAGCACTTGACCTAGTTGTTTGGCAGTCCATGTTGGATCACTATTGCCAGTAGGGTATGCATGTGCTTCAACTAGTTCTCGCACTAAACGACGCCTAACGCGGCATCGAATAGTTCCGCCCAGACATCGGACTACGGAGGTTTGAACTTGTCTGCGCGAATGCTAACACTGATTAGCCTCATCAAGACCCGGCGGCTCACGAGCAATGCGACCCCCTCTGGTGTTGACAGTGAACCCGTTCAACCAGTGTGGTTGGGATCCTTCAACAACGCGGATCTGCTTCGACTCGGAGTCGAGCAATCTTTCTCCTTCGGTAAAAACCGACTCCACAGCATCGCGCACTTGATCAACACTATTCTTCACTCCTCGCGACGATTCTGTCTCGTTGTCAATCCTATTGTCGAGACGAGCAACCGTGACTCCGCAATTATGGCGGTAGTGATGGTACAAGCGGAAGCACCTGAAGCTACCATCCAACGGAGAACTTAATAACTAACTCGACCCTGGGGGGCGAGAGCTTCGATGTCAATGGAAGCGACTTCGAGTCGCCGACTTGATGTCCATGGGCCGCAATCTGACAGCTGACAAGTGCTTGCTGGATCCGCTACTGTACTGGAGCGCTTCGCTGGACACGCGCAATGAGACGCTGAGCGGGGCTCACCCGGTGACACGTTGAAGGCAGGTGGACTCCCTTGCCCGAGGTATCTGCAGCAACGATGTCGCCACAACCACCACTTACATGTTAGTGTAATTACGCCGATGCAGCTTGGGTGCAGTCCGAGTCTGCAATGCGTCAATTTCGACTAAGCCGCGCAACAATTGACAAGGAGTAACGTGCGGTCTCCGCTTGCTGCTCCTCGACAATCTGAAGCTGGCAGCAGGCCTGAGTCAGTCGTGATGCGAGCTCCTGCCCAGCGCCAATAGCGGTCATCGCGCGTTGGACAGCGCGCTGGTCTCCAGTGACGAGCTCCGGCCGCATCTTCGCACGGCTCTGCGCGTCGCCCCATCGCGACACGGTCGCCGGATTTACCGCGACGAATTAGCGCTAAAACTGAGGAGCCAGCCACATGGCTTCCTTTCCGCCGCCTGGGGCAGAGGCACAAGGGGCACCGGGCGCAACCGACCATGGGCCGTCACAAGCACTCGCCTCCTGTCCACGAACGGCGCCTGCTGCTTGCTGGCTCGCTTGCTCGCGCCACCGGGAAAAAGAATCCTTCGTTTTGCTAAAACGGATATGATATCTTGGGAGTACCCTAGCCCCTCCAGACCGATAGCTTGAGCTCAGTATACCGCGTACGTGGCGTACTTTTCGCCCCCCTTCGAGCCAAGCAAAGCACGCCAAAGCGCCGCACTTCGTTTCTCGCGAGCAAGACGGCAGAGCTCTAGGCGCAGACCGTGACGATGAAGACTCCCGCGGGCGTGCGCATGCGCATTGCGCTGAGCCACCAGCGCAACCTCCGCTACGTGCTGCTGGCGGCGTGCGGCGCGCTGCTGTTCGTCATGTACCTGCTCAACAAGACGCCGGCGCCCTACACGTACGACAAGCTGTCGGACGAGGAGGACAAGCGCTTCAACTCGCAGGCCATCATGGACCAGTGGCCGGGCCAGTGCCAGATCAAGAACTTCGAGCAGCTGCGCCGCATGTCCATCGTCTACACGTGGGTCAACGGCAGCCAGCCCTGCTACCGGCAGCTGCGCGAGAAGGCCGGCGGCAAGCACGCCGTGGGCGGCTCGCGCGACCGCGAGATCGGCGAGCTCATGTACTCGATCCGCTCGCTGGAGAAGTACGTGCCGTGGCACACGGGCCAGATCTACATCGTGTCCCCGGGCCACATCCCGCACTGGGTGGACATGAACAACCCGCGCATCAAGGTCATCAACCAGGACGACCTGTTCCCGGACTACGCCAAGGAGTTCCTGCCCACGTTCAACACGCACGTGATCGAGCAGTTCCTGTACCTGATCCCCGGGCTCTCGGACATCTACATGCAGGTGAACGACGACTACCTGTTCACCAAGCCCATCGCCCCCCACGAGTTCTTCACGTGCGACGGCGGCATCCGGTTGCTGCACGAGTCCGGACTCATCTCCCACACGCCCCCCACGCCCAAGAAGGGCATCTGGATCGCCTCCGTGCTCAACACGCAGCAGGAGATGGATCTGCGCTGGGGCAAGACGGACCGCCACTTCATCAAGCACGCGCCCTTCGTGTACTCGCGCCGCGCGTTCGAGCGCGTCCACCAGATCTTCGACCGCCCACTGTACATGACGCTCAAGAGCAAGTTCCGCGGCAAGCCCGACATGAACATGCCGCTGCTGCACCACTACTACATGGTGGCGCAGGGCAGCGAGGAGCTGGGAATCCCGATCTACTCCCCCCCTGAGGAAGAGATGGCCGGCTACAAGCTCATCCTCATGCAGAACAACAACATCGACAAGCTCAAGCAGACGTTCGGCCAGATCCTGGACGGATCCACTCCGTACAGCATTGTGGCGCTGAACGACGAGTACACGGACATGCGCGTGGCCGACACGGCGCTCGAGTTCCTCAACAAGTTCCTGCCCGAGCCCAGCAGCTTCGAGCGCAAGCCCGACTCGGAGCCGCACGCGCTTACTGCCCGCAAGCCGGACACTTGCGAGGTGGACCCGATGATCCTGTCGCCCTTACCGCGGCGGGTGGAGGCTGCACCCAAGTACCAGGTGATCGCGTACCGCGAGCTGCGCTGGGTGGCGTTCACGAACTCGCTGCTGCGTGGCATGGGCTTCGGTCTCGGCGCTATGATCATGTACATCTTCTACTTGCTCGTGCTGCGCCGCAGCAAGGCCCCTGTCGGCTCCAACGGCGCGTACGACAAGGTGTAAATCAGCTGAATGGAGGAGAGAGAGGCAAGTGCGGAGTGCCTTCGACGAGCGAAGGCAAGGACCGTCGGCGCTGCGGGCATGGTGGCTGGCTGCATGAAGCGCCCCACGCCTGCAAAGACGAGAGGGTTGGTAGGTTTAGTACGTGTATCTACAGCACGAAGGCAAATGTGCGCAAACTCGCCAGTGTTCTGTGCAGAATAGACGTTGCGATATCTTTTTTTCATTCTGGTGATCTTGTCTTGCTTCATTCTAATGGTCCAGCCAACATACTCGGACAGCTCCACAGAGTGACGTGGCAAAATGTACCCATTTCGATGCTACGACAGACAGTTGAAGTATTCGCAGTGGTCATACATGCATTTCATTTACGGGTCGGCTCCATCTACAAGGCCTTGAAGCGCGCGACCAACAAGGCTCTAGCTACTAGCTACGTACCTATCCCGCCAGCCAACTTAGGTCTGCTTGGTAGAGTGCAGCCCAGGCGTGCCCTTGCTTGAGATCCGGAAAATGTAGACGGAGATGATGGCCGCGATGACGAGCCCAAAGCCGTAGCCAACGTTAATGGCCAAGTTCCACCCGAACGACGACGTCATTTCGGCGAAGGCGCGCTCGTTGGGGGAGCGGAACCGAGTGAGCGTCGGGGCCGGAGCCCAGTCCGCTCCTTCCTCGGCCATACGCAGCGACATGAAGTCGGGCTCCGGCAGCGGGATCACATTCGGGTCGTACGCGCAATCGGGGCCCTGCCAGTTGCTCACCACCTCCACGTGCTGGCCCGCCGGCAGCTCGAAGAACGCAGGCTCCGGCAGCAGCTGCGAGTAGAAGCGGCCGACGAGCTCCGCCGTGCGAGGACTCGTGTACTCGTCGTTGAGCGCAAGCAGGACCTCGGTGCCCTTGTTCTCGAGCGCCATGTTGAACTGCTTGTTAAGCGAGTCCTCGATGTTGTCCTTGATGCGCACCAGCAGCCAGTCGTCGCACTCGCTCAGCGGGTTGAGCTCCACGGGGATGCCGAGCTTCTTGGACCCTTCCTCCTGCATGTAGATGTGGTGCAGCAGCGGCATGTTGAGGTCGTCCGGGTGGCGCATCTGGTGGGGCAGCGTGGCGTCCAGCTCCTTGCCGAACTTCTTGTGGATCTCCTCAAAGGCCAGACGACTGTAGACGAACGGCGCGTGCTTGAGGAAGTTGTACACGTGCTCGCCGCCGTACGTCTTGTCCGTGAGCATGACGGTGTTGCGCACGCTGGCCAGCCAGGCGTTCGACTTCTGGCTCGGCACGTGGCGGATGTGGTTGATCTCCGTGAGCAGCCGCAGGCCGCCGTCGCACGTGAAGAACCGGTCGGGCGTCACGGGCTTGATGAATAAATAGTCGTCGTTCATGTGGATGAAGACGTCCGTGAGGCCCGGGATCTTGTGCAGGTACTGCTCAATGACATTCGTGTCAAAAGTCGGCAGCGTGGCCTTACCCTTGGGCAGCAGGTCGTCCTGGTCCACAACACGCACGCGCGGGTTGGACGTGTCCAGCCAGTCCGGGATCTGGCCGGGCGTGACGATGTAGATGGGGCCCTCGAGCCACGGCGCGAACTTGAGCAGCGAGCGCAGCGAGTACTTGAGCTCGCCCATCTCCTTGTCGCGCGACGAGCCGCCGGCGGGCAGCCCCGCGCGCTGGCGGCGCTTGTTGTAGCAGGCCTCCGTGCCGTTCACCCACGTGTAGACGATGGCGGCGTGACGCAGCGTCTCGAGGTTGGCCACGTCGCAGCGCGAGCCGTCCTTGGAGGGCATGCCGCTGATGAGCTCGGCCACGCGCGCCGGCGGGTCGGGCTCCTGCCCCATGTACAGCAGCGTGGCCACGGTCAGCGCGAAGCCCAGCAGCGCCAGGAAGCTACGCATGGTGGACAGAGGTCAAGGGAGAGAATGGCGGCTCGAGCAGAGCAGAGCAAGGTGCCGGAGCGATCGATCGCCGTGTGGACAGCTACTTTCCACGTACGCAAGGTTTTAGTGCCGGCATGGATGTGCAGGCGTTGTTTTAGCGTTGTTTTAGCATCGGTGGGTAGGGAAGCACTAAAACACCTCTCTTAGTTGTTATAGTCAATGTGGTACACTTAATGTCATGTCCGACACACAACTCGCATTTTTGCGCCAATCGGACGACTCGTTACTCGAAGCGACCATCATGGCAGCGAAGCCGCGCGTGCTGGTGCTGGGCGGCGCCGGCATGATCGGCCGCAACTTCGTCAAGTACCTGATCGACCGCGACCTGGTGGCGGCTGTGCGCGTGGCCGACAAGACCATGCCGGAGATCTCCTACTTCAGGTACCGAGGACATATGCGCGTGTTTCTAGCGATGCGCACATAGGCCTGACAATCTAACTTCTGACGCTTCCCGCTGTTGCGCAGCGCCCCGCACAAGCTGGCGTTCGCGGACGAGCGCGTGCAGTTCGTGCAGGCGGATCTCACGCGTGATGCGCACGTAGACCGCGCGTTCAACCCCGAGTTCGGCCCCTACGACTACGTGTTCAACCTGGCGGGGGAGACCAAGTGCGGGCTCTCGGAGACCGTCTACGCCTCCAAGTGCCGCGACCTGTCGGTGAAATGCGGTGCGTAGAGAGAAGTTGTGTAGGGGATTGAAGTTGGTGTGGTGGGGGAATTGATTGACTTATATGGGGATGTTGGGATCTTGGGTTTTGACAGCTAAGAAGGCGCAGGAGGTGGGCGTGAAGCGCTACATTGAGGTGTCCACGGCGTTCGTGTACAAGTCCCAGGTGAAGCAGCCGGCTAAGGAGAATGCTGAGCTGCAGCCGTGGACGCTGCAGGCCAAGTACAAGCTCGAGGCGGAGGAGCAGATCCGCAGTCTGCCTGACCTCAAGGCCGTCTTCCTCCGTTTGGCGACGGTGCGTCTCGAGCTTGCTGCTGGTTGGGCTTGATGCTATTGTATCCAGTGTTGATGCGAATGCTGTTGCGCGATAGGTTTACGGGTCGGCTGATTCGATGGGACTCATGCCTAGAATTGTCTGCGCCGCCTCGTACGTGCGAAACAACTGAGTGGGTCTGGCGGTGGCGCCTCATTGATTGACTTACATGGCATTTTGGTTAGATATGTGAAGCTCGAGGAAAAGATGAAGCTGCTCTGGGACGCTGAGATGCGTGTCAACACGGTGCGGCCGGTGTTGGTGTTCTACGGTCTGTGGGCGTTTAGAATATCTTATTTGATTGCTGTGCTTGCGCTCGCAGGTTCACGTCTTCGATGTATGCCAAGCGCTGTGGCACGTTACGACTGCCGGAAGCGACGGCGAGATCTACAATTTGGTGGACAAGAACGACACCAGTAAGTCCGTTAAATCCGCATAGGACTTGTTGGTGTTGTTTCTGATCACTTCCGGTGCGTGCAGACCAAGCGAAGATCAACGCCGTGCTGGAGGAGATCTTCCACATCAAGACCGGCTTCATCGGCAAGCTGGTGTCCAACCTGGCGCGCGTGCGCCTCGCTGACGTCGTGGACGACGCCAACGAGAAGCACATGCAGCCTTGGGCCGACCTGTGCACGGTACGCTACTTCGAACCTCCGAGCCCTCGCTCGCTAATTTGCTGACGGCGTCTTGCCTGCCTCTGTTCGCCCCTCCGTCGGTCTGGTATTCAGGAACACGGCATTACCAACACGCCGCTGACGCCCTACATCGACAAGGAGCTGCTGCAGCACAACCACCTCTTCGCGGACGGCTCCAAGATCGAGTCCACGGGCTTCCGATACGAACACCCCACTGTAGGTGCCACTGGTTGCAGCACTGTCCATTGGTTTTGAGCTGACGTTTGTTGAACCAACTCTTTGCCTGCAGTTGGAGACGAAAGAGGTGCGCAGCGTGCTGGAAGAGATGGTGCAGCAGAAGATCTTTCCGCCAATCTTGTCCTGAGCTCGCTCCATGGCGGCTCAGGCGATGTCAATAGGGCGATGCGACGGCGCACAATGTGACGCGTTGGCTCGGGTCCCGTCCCCATCCGCCAGGCGATGGCCCGCCAGCTGATCGTGCCATGCCATGCTTGACACGTTTTAGACCGGAGGGTATACATTTCCCAAGTGTAAACAACAACACGACCCACCTGAGTTTTCGTTCGGCCAAAACCGGGTGCGTTTTCGCCACCAACTTTTGGCATCAAGGGTCTTACCCGCCACAAGCAAGCACACCCGCAAAAGTCCTTCGAGGTGTCGGTCGGTGCGCGCCTTCCCCCTCCCGCTCCTCGCCCCGCGCGCGTCGCCGTTCCACGCGCGCTAGTGCAGTCGACAGCCCGTCGAGTGCGGACTCGAGCCAGCCAAGTCCCGTCGAGATCCGAGCGGCAGAGCCGTCGCAGTCGCCCTCAACTCGACTCCCATCCGTCAGTCGGACGCCACCTGCTACGTCTGCGCCTTTACGCGGCCGCGCGAGCCTCTCCAGCGCCCTCAATTGAAGCCATCCACCCACCCACGTACCTGCCTACACGCACGCCATGGAGCCGTCGCTGGCCGAGGACGAGTTCGACGGCTACGAGGACGCGCTGCCCTACGAGGAGCCGGCCAGCTTGACGTCGTCCACGAGCACCAGCCCCACGGACGGAGAGCCGCGCGCCGGCAGCACGTCGAGCGATGTGGACGTGCCACTCCCCACCCAGCAGATGCGGAGGCTCAAGAGGAAGGAGCGGCTGCGCACGCAGTCGGAGAGCGCGGTGTGGACGCGCGCCTCGCTCAAGATGCGGCCGTCCCCGCCCGTTGCGGACCTGGCAGCCACCCCAGCTATTAGCGGGGGGCTCACGCCTGGAGCTGAGGCCGCGTTCGACCAAGTGCGCAACAGCGAGAGCGCGCTGTCGCACTTTACCAGGGATATGCTCAACGGCCTGGACATGCCGTCGTACTTGACGAACGGCAGTGACGTGGCCTACCGTCGACGCAGCCATGACAGCTCCATGGCCAGCGCGGTGGTGCTGGGCAGTCGAGAGGGAGTCATCAATATGTGGCGGCAGCAAGGAGAGATCTCCGAGCGCGCGTCCGAGATCCTAGAGGACGCCAAGCTGTCGCTGCACGGCAAGGAGAAGAATCTGTACGACGCGTCGCTGCGGAGGCTGTCAGAGGCACAGGATCCGATACTTAATACACTTCGAGAGAGGATCTCGTCCACGACGGCGGCGGGTGGAGCGAATCTACTGGCGGAGCCTTCGTCAACCACAAGTAGTAATCACGCTGCTGAACAACGCGCTAGCGAGTTGGGCTCGTCTCAGATTAAGGCGGACGTGAGCGAGAACGGGAACGCTGACGCCGTTGCTAGAAATTCGCTGCCGATCCATCCGAACACACAAGCGGCAGCGCGGCAAAGCGGGGAGAAACCCTCATTAGACCTCGGCAATGAGTTACAGGAAGTAGACGCAAGCTCGCCCTCAGGAGTTGACGACTCGAACTTTCGACCGCAATCAGCCACGTTATACCACGAAGCGGTCAAGTGGGAAGGCGTGTTAACAAGACGAAGCGAATGGCTGCGGAGACTAGAGCGACACTATTACGTGCTGGAGGGCAAGTTCCTGCGGAGGTTCGCCTCGAAAGAGGCTTATTTAGCGTCTCGAGACGAACCACTCGTGCCGCACCACATCCAGCCGCCGAGCGATCCCTCGAAGCCCGTGCCGGGAAGTCCAGCGGCTAGCATGGTCCGTCGGAACTCAAGCAGTCCTGCATCTACAGGTGTGAGCCATCTCTATGTGTTGGCGGGTGTCAAGGACTCATCCAGCCGCGTCAATGGATTCACATTTATCACGGAAGACAAGAAGACTCTGCAGGTGACTGCCCCTACGGCAGTGGAGAAAATTATTTGGATGCGTCTTGGACTCGAGGCTATCGTGGCACTACCGACACTTCCAGTTGCCCCACTGGACATGGAGGAGTTTTATGCAATGCTCGTTGTACTGTATACAGCTCACAGTGGAAACTGGCGCACAGAGGGCGACATGGCTGTGACATTACCTCCCCCGTCCGAGCAAGTGTTCACTCGCTTCTTCCGGTTGTTAGACAAGGACGTTATTTTCTGCTCAAATTACCCGCCATCAGTGCCATTCCACGGCTCTTTCCGCGGTCATTCAGGCGTCGTCACCTTTATGCATGACTTTGCTCGGCATACGCTCTGGACCAACTTCAAGATCGGTGGTATGTCGGTGGATGGCTCAATTGCTGTGGCCTCGGGCAAGGAGGAGCTTGAGAATCGACGCGATGCGCGCAAGTTCATTCAGAATTGGGTTCACAAGTTTACATTCTATTCGGACGGGCGACTTGCGCGTTTTGAGATCAACGGTGACGTAGTAGCTGCCAGTGCGGTCTTCAAGGTCCCGGGTGCAGCCACGACGCTCAAGCTTCCTCAGGAATTCAATGAGGTTGACGCTGAGCACGGCTTGGAAGGCATGCTGCTTGTGCGGGTAATGCAAGGCCATGGACTCAAGGCAGGCACGTCGGTTAAGAAGACTGTTAAGGAGCCGAGCATTACGGTTCATCTTCAGTACCGCGAGCAACCGAACCAGAAGTCTGCTGCGAATGGGTCTACACCAGGATCGTCTGCGTCGACTGCGACGGGACCTGCGAGTCTGATCGGCGGTATTTCGATGCCTTCTCTGTCGCGCAAGTTCAGCTTCATGACTTCCGTGGCGAGTTCTGCAGCGTCAGCGGCGTCTTCTGCTGTTGGACACACCTCATCTAACAACAATACTCCAGTGGTGGACCCGTTTAGCACAGGGACACCGCGTAACGCAGGGGACGACTCGTACTTGCCGACTCATCCTGTGTGGAACCGCGTGCTGGAGCTCCCGTTTAGCCAGGTTATTGGCACGTGCTCTCTTGTGGTGGACGTGAAAGACCACGCCAAGAATGGAGCTGAGTCTCACCTGGGCTTCGCTACGCTGAATGTCGCCAAGTACTTGATGGCTGCAGACGGCAACGAGCGCAGCAAGAAGCGGGAAGAGGCCGCTATGGCGGCTGACAGCAAATGGTACTCAATTAGCAACGCGAAGGGCGAGTATTGCGGTAAAGTGCAGCTTGGCATCACCTGCCGACGATCAAAACCGGCAGATGATGACGACGATAGCGTGCAACCACGACTGAAGAAAAGTCAGAGCGTCGTGATCGACCGGAAGAACCCGCCTTCCTCCAATATGCTGCAATGGGATACCACTCCGGCCGCTCACACCCAGGCATTGCTAGGCTCTGCGACTCCGGCACTCACAAAGGGAATGACGCTTGATGAGCTCCCGAGTGAGCACGCTCGTCGTCACGGCTGGGCAAATGTCAAGCTGTCTCCTGAGGACACTGCTCGTACGCAGTCTGCTGGCGCGATTGTGAGTGCTCGCAATGATGACGGCGATGACACGGTCCACAAGCAATTCCCCGCTGGAGACGGCAGTAGCGCAGGACTACCGGCAGCTACGGACGCCGTCATCTGCAAGGAGAACGCTGACATGCACACCTTTATGGTTTGCGGCGCCCCCTTCACGATTCCGAGGCACTACCAGCTCATTAAGGTTTGCGGGCGCGGAGCTTACGGTATTGTGATCGCTGCCACGAACCTGCGTACGGGCGGCAACGTGGCCATCAAGAAGGTGATCGACTGCATCTGGCACCCGCACCAGCTCAAGCAGATTCTTCGCGAGTGCCGATTGATTCGTCACATGGCGCACGAAAATGTGCTTAGTTTGCTAGATCTGATCCCGCCGCCATCGTACACGGACTTCCGCGACGTGTACATGACTGTGGACCTGATGGAGATGGATCTGCACCGCATCATTTACTCGAAGGAAGTGCTTCGCGACGACCATATCCGCTATTTCCTGTACCAAATGCTCAGCGGTCTGCACCACATGCACCAGGCCGGCGTGCTGCACCGTGATCTCAAGCCCAGCAACTTGCTCATCAACTCGGATTGCCAGCTCAAGATTTGTGACCTGGGACTTGCTCGCTCCAAGGAGGCGGAGGACGTGGGGATGACGGAGTACGTGGTCACGCGTTGGTACCGTGCGCCTGAGCTTCTGCTCGGTAGCGCCTACGGTGAGGGCGTGGATCTCTGGGCAGCAGGATGCATTTTCGCCGAGATGCTCGGCCGCAAGCCCCTGTTCCCCGGCGAGACGTACGTCCACCAGCTCCAGCTCATCATGAACGTGCTGGGTGTCCCAGAGGAGCACTCGTTCAAGGAGAACCCGCTGGCGAACAAGCTCAAGGGCCGCCAGCTCCTGAGTCGCACACAGGCGGTGGCTGGTATCGACACGAGCACCATGTTTCCGAACGCGAACCCGGAGGGCCTGGACCTGCTGTGGAAGATGCTGGTGTTCGACGTGGAGAAGCGCATCACGGTGGAGGAGGCGCTGCGGCATCCGTACCTCGCCATGTACTACGACGAGGAGCGCGAGAACGCCCCGGTGGAGAAGTTCCAGAGCTTCGACCTGGATGACCTGGACGAGTCGGACCTCAAGGAGCTCATGTTCAAGGAGATCTGCCACTTCCACCCGGAGGAGATGGTCAAGCGTGCCAAGCAGCAGCGCGAGAATCCCGAGACTGTCGAGAAGCTCCCTCCTGGCTGGGTCAAGCGCGAGTCGCGCAGTGTGCCCGGCAAGTTCTACTACAGCAACCCGAAGCGGGGCATCAGCACGTGGATCAAGGAGGAAATGGATTAAAAAGTAGGTTGACTAGCGCCAAGAAGCTCCCTAAAGGGAACAGAGTATGCTGGAAGTGTATGAAATGGGGAGTGGTAGATGATACAATAAACTGCTGCGTGTTCAACACGAACTGAGATTGCGAAAATTGCTAGTATGCTTATAAGAGGTTACACCTTGGCAGAACAAGACACACCCAGGACACGCTCTTAACGTTAGATAACTTGAACGCCGCTTTAGCTGGCGGAGAGTGCGGCCATGCCCACAGCGGCGACTGGCAGGTACGGCTTGGGTGACGGCAACTGGCGGCTGTACAGCTTGATATCGGGCGAGCTCTGGAAGCGTGCAAGACACGCGTCTTCTTGCTGGTAAGGGCTGGTCATTGCTCGGCGGATCTTGAGGCACGAGTGAACCGGCGAGCCCAAGCTGGAGCAGCGTCCGAAGACTGGCCTCAGCAGCGGAAGGCGCGGGTCATACCTCCGGTCATCCAGCGCGAAGAGCGGGTCTGACGACGCCCAGTAGTCCAGCTCGCTCACCATAGTGGAGGACGTCGAGAAGCAGTCTTCGCTGGAGCTGTACATCTCCAGCGACTCGACGGGGTGGGGCGAGAGGCAGCGCCTGCGTCCCGAAGGCAGGAAGTAGTCTTCTTGAAGCTCGATTCTATCCAGGTAGGCCCCTTTGAGGCGCTTCCCGCGGATGTCGAAGTAGAAGGCGCAGTCGTCGTTCTCCTCCAGCACGCGGCTGTAGAAGGCCGAGAGCATGCGGCTACCCGACGACGCCGTGGACTTGTTGGACTGCAGCAGGAACGAATCCCAGCTGAGGTCATAAGAGACACAAACGCAGTTAGGAAACCTAGTGATGCCTCCACAGCCAGAGAACACACGTTGCTGCAACGCACTTGACGGGGTCTTCGTCCTCCTCCTCGTCGGCGTCGAGGCGTCCGCAGCTGAAGTTTTTCTGCAGCCGGTCGAGCAGCGAGTCCTCGCTGGGCGAGCGATCGCGGCGCTGCCGGATCTCGCTGAAGTCTGCAGGGCAAAAGTCATTAGAGCAAGCTGGGAAGGAGGAAGGCTGGACGGTAGACGGACCTGGTTCGTGGTCGCCGAAGCACACGAGTACTGCGCCCATCGTCTCGTGCAATTGGGAACTGAAGGAGCGCCGCGCGTGAGTGAGTGCGTGAGCGGGAGCTTCTGAGAATGACGACATGGCTTGCTGGTAATAGTCCGATCGATCCGATTGAGGGGTGGGCGCCAGCAGCCGCCTGGTGCACCAGTAGTCAAGTAACTTCAACTGCGACCAAAACAAGGAAAGCCGAACGCCCAATTTAGCACCGAAGTCGACCAGCTGGGAGGTCAAGATTGACCCTATACAAACCACACGATATCGGCGTTCGTCGAGAGCCCAATTTAAGAAATCAAATTTTGGGGAGGCGCCATCGAAAGGCAGTAATGGAACTGAAAGGACGCGTGGCTGGGACAGCAGACTCAGATTTTTTAGCGGAAGCGATGTGCTTCCTGTAGGTTTCCTCACCCCGCCGCCGCTTCTAAGTTGTTAGCGCCCTCTATTCCGTTGGCGTTGCCGCGTTTCACTGATTGTTTCTGGTGAACAACGGGCGTTGAGCACGGCAGGCGTTAGGGCGTTAGGCCTCGGGCAGCGAGACGGAGGAAACTCGAAAAAAGAAGCGCTCGCCAAACGTTTCGTGTCGTGTGTCTTTTTGTAGAAATGCAGTGCGTGGCGCAGCAATGGCCGAAGCATGACGCGCCTGTGATCTAACAGACCGGCAACTACCTGACCTGATATGTATGCGTGGCAGCGCATTTAACCCCCCGAAATAGCTGAACGAGCCGCCGTTGCTGCTGCCAGCAACACTTTGATGGAAAGAGAAGGCTTCCGCGTGGGCGGAGGTGACACGCAGATGAAAAAAAAATCGAGAGAAAAGCTGTGGGGCTTCTCCATCGTTTCGTGCAGGTGCTGCTTGCTTGGCAATGACGCTCCTATGATAACGGACGTGAGGCGGGAGAGGAGGATGAGCTCACTTTGCTGTTATCAGGGCCGGTTCAGAAATTGCTAACTGCAACACCAGAACAGCTTCAGAAGAGGTGATACATACATAGATATATAGATGGATGGATCATCAAACTAACGACTCAAAGTACACGCTGGGCTCGCAAAACCGGATGAGCACGGGGCGGGGCGCCGTCTTGAGCAGGTAACGTGTAAGCGCGTACCCGATCTGGCGCGTGCTGTCGTCGCCCACTGCCACGATGACCCAGCCCGCAATCGACACCTCCGGCTCGGGGTCCACCGCCGCCAAAAAGTTGGCCAAGATGGCGCTGCCCTGCGCCAGAAAGCTCGCACCAGACATCAAGAAGCTGCTGCTGCCAGTCGAGGAGGCCGCACTGGATTGCCTCCTCCGTCGGCTGCTGTACGTGTGGCGGTCGTTCGAGTACTTCTTGACCACTGCAGCTCGGCCGTCGAACGACGTCTCGATCTCGACGCCCAGCGCCGACTCCGGGAACTCGAGCTCCACCTCGTCGGGCAGCAGCTCGACCGGTTTTCTCTCGATACGCTTGATGGCGTCCGAGACGAACAGGTCGTAGCACTGCCCCAAGTACCAGTCGGGCACCTCTGGCCTCGCCGATCCGCCCTCGCCCCCTAGTCGGTGATAGTTGCGGATGAAGTCTGCTCGAGTCATCTTGAACTTGCGCGCCAGCCGCGGGTTGTGCGCGTCTGTGTTGAGCAGCAGCACCGAGAACGCCAGCGTGTAGACGGCGTCCTCGGACGGACACTGCTCGCAGTCCGGGTTGCTGCAGTAGTAGGCCTTGGCGAAGGCCTGCAGGATGCGGTCGATCTTCTGCGCCTCGCTGGGCAGCTCGAAGCGACTGAGGTACACGCGGAGAGCGATGTCGAACGCCACGCCCTCGAACTGGAAGCCGTTGGCGTATTCGTGTAGCACGCTGAGCGATTTAGCGTCCGGTTCTCCTAACACCTGACCAACCTGGCAGTAAATCGTCGTCAACAGCGCGTTAATTTTAATAAATTACGCAAACAATGCAAAAATTAGTGCTGTGCGCACCATTTTGGGGTCGGTGTGCGGCATTTCGTGCAGGAACTCGGCGATTTCCTTGGGCGACGACGGACTCTCCGGGTCCATGAGCTGCATGACTCGCGTTGCCTCTACGCTGAGCTGGTCCGAGAGCTTCGGAGAGGGCGTGGAGCCCGGCACGGACGCGTCGCTGGAGCCTGTAGACGCCGAAGAGAGCCGGGACTGCAGTTGCGCCGCTGCATCCTGGCTCGCAGGCTGTTAAAGGTCACAGACACAGTACCAGCAGATTGCAATGCATTAGTTAGTTGCCTTAGCGTAGTACCAGCATTAATGGGGGCACAATGGGAGTGCACCTCGGCTGCGCCGCTCATAACTGTGCAGGGCTTGGTCCGGTCGCCGACTTTCTTGCAACGAAGGAGTAACCCCCAGTGTAAACCACTGTAACCAAGTTATGTTTACGGTGATTTTGGTGTGGTTTACACTAAATGATCTTGAAGCGACGCGAACCCCCTCCATGTATCAATTGGCGAACAGCTACGCTCCTTGGGTCGGATGCCTGCTCCGAACGGCGAAGCGCGGCGCGTGAACCTGCCGCGAGATTGTGTGGATGATCTACAACGTGGCGTGGGATGCGTGGAGCTGCTAGCTCAGCTGAGTCCTCCTGGGGTTAGCGAGAAGAAGCCTTGTGCGTTCGTGGACGTGGCGTTCCACCCGTTGAAGTCGTGGGTGGCTGCCATTGAGCCCAAAGGATGTGGCGTCGTGTGGGACTACGAGACGGGAGAAGTCGTGACGGAGTTCGACTTGGGCGAGTCTCAAGTCCTGGACGACGATGACGTGCGCGACAGCGAAGCGAGTGAAGACGCTGCGGAAGCAGCAGACGGAGCAAACTTTGCTAGTCCTGCTGCAGCACCCAAGGGGCTGTTGGGTAGAGCGACAGCTTCGCCGTCGATGAGGTCAGTGCAGGGAGCAGTTGCCGCTGCGAATGCAGCAAAAGGACTGTTGTCGCCTACTGGGGCTTCTCTCATCAAACCAAGACGGCGAACGACACTGTACATGTTGTTCTACGATCACGAGTCGATCGCGTGTACGACACAACTGCCAGCGCCGCGGACGTGCTTTGACGAGTGGCTGATCATTGTGGCGCGATCTCATATCGTGATCTGCGACCTCGACCAGAACGGAGCGGTTAGTATTGTGTTTGCTACTAAAGCCTTGGCTTGTCTGATGCAGCTGACCTTGTATTATCTAGGTGCACCACCTTGACCCCGAGGATCTACATCGCGGTCTTCCGACTAGTGTTGCTATTCTGCCCTCTGGGCTTTTAGCAATCGGCTGCCAAGACGGAAAAATCCGCATCTGGAGCCCATGGCAGTCGAAAACTGTGGGCACACTCGACAGTGGTTCGCAACGAGGTGCGTCTTGCTAGATAGTTGATTTTGTTCTGTGGGCTAACTGCGTTGGCTGTCTACTGTTTTCAGATGTCCAGCAGCTCATTTTACTTACGACGCCACCTATCCTGATGAAAAGAAGCGGGAGTGGGGCACTTCCTGGAGCGGAGACGCGTCTCAGTACGCAACTCCATCATCTCGCCTGCGCAACGTTGGATGGCCATGTTGTCACTTGGAGGGTGTCGTTTAACGCGTCCACTTCCAGTTGCGACTGTGTAAAGACGTCGGAAGTGGAGCTGAGGGATGTATTCCGGCAGTACGATATGAATGGGATTCATGAACTCAAGTTCCACCCGCAACATGACGTGATGACTGCGGCAGCGCGTGACGGTACCATCTTCTTCTTTGATGTTGCCCCACTATTGGATAGCAACAAACCGTACGTGACACTCATCGGGCTTGGCTGTGGCTAACTTTTATACATACTAACACTTCAAAATGTACGCACAGTGCGACGCTGACGGGGCTGCTTCCGTCCAGCAAGCTCCAGAATATTGTTGTGTTGCCAGGAACTCAAAAGGGGTGCTTCTCAGCGCTTTCGATCTCTCCCTTGAACTCCACGGTATGTTTGTGCTCAGGAGTGTCATTTCTCTACCGGTACTAACACTGTTGGCAGCTGACGGTATCCGAGATTATAGTTAAGGGCCGATACAGTGGGAAGGATAATGTACCAACTATCTTTACCGAGTTTGGCACCGGCAATAGTCAAGAGTCCCGGGATCTCCGAGGCTTCCTTGATCAAGTGCGCCTAATTCGCCAACGGAATCGTCGGGGGAGTATTAGCCTAACTTTGATTTGTTTGTACGAATTTGTTGTACAGATGCCACCGAAGCGCTTGAAGATGGCATCCCTTACCAGTAGTGTTCGGAACCAAGGCGAGTTGTGCTGCCTTACCAGTTACGGTTTGCTGATCCTCAAGTCTAGCTGCTTGGCTACTCCTCTCCCCGTCTTCGTCCCTCGAGGCTCGAACAATACTCCTGCTATCGGCTTCCCTTCTTCCATGGCCATTGGACTGCGAGTTCTCGGTGAAAATCCACAAGAGAAACCACAGCACCACGCTGTGCAGAACGGGGCAGAAGCTCAGAATCCCGCGACGATCGAGCGATCGCGAGTTCCTCAGCTGCAGTATTGCCCCTGGCAAAACGGATTCCTCGCTGCTATTCTTCCTCTCAGCGGGCATCTTGAGGTAATGCTGGAGGATTCCCCCATTCCTGTGCGAAACTAATGTTTGTGTACGTCTTTGACTGTAGATTTTACAAGTGGGATTGAAGCCGGTGCCACCAAATGCTGTAGACCTGGAGACGATATTTGTGGCGCATGCGTTTGCCTTTGCGTGGCATCCATCCCAACCGCTCTTCGCTGTACTCGCGGTGAGTTTTACTACCGAATTCAATCGTAAAAGGACTTGCTAATTCGTCGAATAATGTCGATATATTGTAGCCAAACAAGGAGCTCGCCAAACTTACTCGCTCGACCACCTCATCAGCAATCGTCCAGAGCAAGCGATCGCGATTTTTCTTTGGCGGGAGCAGAGCTTCTGCTGCCAATGCAACTGATGAGCCTGACGCGCGTCAGCAGCGAACTGCTTCGAGGTCATTGACGTTGTCAGTTTACAAACTTTCCGGAGACGATGCAGAGGTTGAATTCGTCGAGACGAGCTTCTCGAATGGGGACGACCACGTACTTCACGTTTTCTCGGGTCCACTGCTTGGCGTAGTCAAGTTCATCGCAGACAATGATACTGTTGATCCAACGCCAGTAATGGGAGGAGCAATAGTGAAGCGAGCTCGCGATAGTCCCGCCTCGTTGAGTCGCATCCAGCGCGCGCACTCGTTCATGCTGGGACTCAGCAACATGTCTCCCAAAATGACGGACTTGAGGCTGACCATGTTGTCCCCATCGCAGTCGCCTTCAGCCTCGCCAACCGCAATCAGCTTTGAATCGGCTGACTCTGCTAGCGATTTAACGAAAACGTACCTCGAATTCTACGAGTGGAGTCACACTGTGGGCGCTGCAGAGGGGGAACCAGCACTACGCAAATTTAGTGGAGGGTTCGCTGTCGACTGTCCGCTTGCCCTTGAATGGGACACCGCTACTCAGAGCCTTTGTGCACTTGTGTATCCAAGCTGCATCAAGATCTACCGCTTCAGCATTTCGGCTGTCGACAAGAGCAGCCAAGCTGAAGGATCCAATACTACGATGGAATGTCTGCACGAAATCCCGACGCCGAGTCCAGCGCTGTCCCTGCACTGGGCGCATCACGCGCTCTTCTTCACGACAGAGGACGAGGTCAAATGCAGCGTGATTTGTCGAACACGGTGCTTTACGCTCGCTCTAGCGTCGAAATGGGTACTGAACGAGGCTTCGTGTGCTACCCAAGTGAGCGACGATGACCTTAACCAGTTCCCAAGACCTCAGGTGAGTTAGAGGTTTCTCTTGCAGCCTTGAAGGATGATGTCGTCTAACCATTTTTGTTGTTTTATTAGATCTTCCCTGCTGGGGCGACTACGATCTTAGGAGTGATCGACCAGAAGCTTGTGCTGGCGGGTCCACTCCACGCTGTTCACATCCTCGACCTGTCGAATCGAGTGTTGCAGTGCGCGATGCTGGTCAGTGCGGGGCGTATCGAGCAAGCAGCAGAAGTCGCCCAACCACTTAGCCCGGATGTCATCCAATGGCTGGGGGCCGTCTTTGAGGCGTTTGGCCATGCTTCACAGGCTTTGCGTCTTCTACCCGCGCTCTCCTTGTCGTTGAAGGTCAACATGTGCATCAAGCACGCAGAGCTGGAGCTATTGGCGAAGCTACTCGGTGAACTCATCGAACAGGAACGAGATTCGCCTGATCTCACGGTAAGCAACAACGTCTTGCATCTTTGGACCGAATGGCTAGACTAATTATCTGCTCAACTTTTGTCAGGGTTCGTCACTCTTCCAACGCGCGTGCATTGCTCTTCACCGTGGACAAGTGGACTCGCCACTCAAGCAGCTCGGTCCAGTGCTTCTGTCACGCAAGCACAACACCGACGCTATCTTCGTGGCCTCTCTGCTGCAGAACGACGAGGTAAGACGAAAGGCTTTTTTGTAGATTTATAATGAATTCCTAAGGTGTTGTGCTGTACAGCAACTCGTCCAAGCGTACGGCTCAGCTGGGGAATGGGGAGCCGCTTTCCACGCTTCAAAGAGCAAAACCTCAAGTCGCTCGGCTGTGCCAATTCAAGGCGCCATTCTGCAAAAGTGGAATGCTGGTATCGCCAAACCCACTGCAGCCTGGAGGACGGTGCTCGAAAAGCAAGGGATTCGACCTCCCACGACGGTGAAACTCGGACCGCCATCGATGAAGACGGCATAACAAAGCTACACCACTCCGCAGCCTGTGTATTCCTTCAACTTACCACTAGCTCAACCTAAACATTCGCAAAATACTCATGTTTCAAAGTATCTTGACGGCATTTGAGGAGTCGCGAGCGATTCACTTCGACTGTTCACGGATTCGGCGTATTCGGTCGGGATGGTGCTGTCCTTGGTTCCTCGTAAGGAGCCGCTAGCGGTGATCGATGAGCCGACCATGTCTGGGGGTTCTAATGGCGACCACTTCGTCGAGCGAGTGGTGTTTCATCCAGTACGGTAGTCCTTCCAGTCTACTGATCTTTGTGTTGTACTCCTGTAGAACTAACAATTCCTATGACTCCAGAGTCGTGGTAGCATCGTGTGTGTCAAGGGAGACACTTTGGAGGAGCTGGACGTCGTCACCGGAGCTCTGCTCTGTCACATCACGTTCGACTTGTTGGCGTCGAGCAACATGGATTTGATCCTCCCCGCCGGCTCGCACTTTGTAGTGGGGTTGCTTCAATCCCGTCTCCTCGTGGTTTGGGACTTAGAAGACGCCGTGCTGCTGGCCACCTCAGACGTCGACAAAGTGCACAGCAGCCGTCGAGTCACGGCCCTCGCCACGTCGCTCTGCTCCGATCGGTGGCTCTTCTTCAACTCCGAGGGCAGCAACAACGTCCGCGTGACTCGCGTGGACTCGCCGCGTCCAGCGCGTGAGATCCTCCGCAAGAGTTCACTGCGTGGGGGGTCCGTCGTGTCGTTGGCGTACTCAACAGAGCACCATTTACTCAGCTCCGGATGCAACGATGGCACGATTCAAGTCTGGAGTATAATTTCCGCCTCGGATGAGGGGGACGCTGGAGCTCCTCGGAAGGGGCAGGAGAATACGGACTTCGCCACTCCACTCTTTGCGGTGCAGTTGGCTCAGTCTCCCGTCGTGGAACTCGCCATTGGAATGTGTACCGGATGCGGAGCCAATGGAAGCAGCAGCAACATGTTCCTCGCGGCAGGATACCAGAACCGCCGAGTCGATGTTATTGCGATGAACGGACAGGCTCACACCTGCGTGGCCTCCACCACATTGTACGTGTTGTCTTTGAGGTATTCTCTCCAGTTTGCCTGACGAATGTGTTGCCTTGTAGGAATCCGCCTCAAACCCCGGACTTCTCGCGGTTAAGTGGAACTTTATCGTTGACAATCCATGGTCAACTTCCTGTGCTGCTGGCGCACTGGCGTTCATTCAGACGCGAGTATGGCGTTGATGCCATTGCAGCTTGGGAGCTGGTGAATGGTAGTGGGAACTCGATCACAAGTCCTCGGGGTGGCGCAGGGGGAAACACCAGTGGAGGAGGAGCTATGACCGAGTGGTGGAATGTTTCCAGCTCCTCACTACTTCGTGATGGGGGCTATCGTGGACTTGGCAATAACCAGATTTTGACTGCTGTACTAGCCACAGATACCATTCTGTGGCAGAACTCTTTGGCGGTCTATGCGAGCACCACGGAGCGTCGGGCGGTGTTCCTCCTTGATGTCAGC